GCAGTTTTCATTTCACTATACTAACAGGATCCTTCCACACACAAATATAAGGTTTTCCCCCTCAGCTCAGAAACCCACCGTGGTCACGCCTGCAATTATTTTTTCTCCATGCCACCATGTAGAGTGATTAAGAGTTAATGACACCATTATCTTGGAAAAAGCAAATGTTTTCCCCTCCCTTTTAATGTTGTTAGAGAGTGGGAGTGTTCGGCCAGCCTGCAAAGACAGCTTCTTGACAACCGTAGAGTTTGATTTCAGGACAAAATGTAAGATAATCTTTGACATTTCTTTACCTCTTCCCTCTTAATGAGATTTATTTGAGCAGCTGCTCACTAAGAGCGTGAAGATGACCAACCTATCATCTTTTCCTGCAATAAAACGAGACTTTGAGCTCTAATTAAGGAACAACAGCATGAAAAGAGTTCCACATTGACCTGCAGTTACATTTAGAGTAAAAATACAATGACAGGTTTCTTTTCTTACATTGAATTGCATTAATATTTTAAGATATTTCCTGTTGCTGTTTTTTAATGAAATGCATTTATCACAAAACTCTGTATTATTATGACAAATATAATAGTTTAATACATGTAGAGGAAGTCCAAAATTGAACAGATTTATCTTTGAGGAAGCATTTAACTGGTAATCTGTCACAGTTACATATTGATATTTTGGATTTTGGCCAACATTAGCATTGATGGATGGGTCAGCGTCACCAATAAGATTACAAATCCTCCTCTGGGGACAGAATCAGGGACTTCCTGCTTTGCCCTTTGGAGTAGCCATCCATCCACTGGGGTCATGGAGGGGCTGGAGATACAGCTGTCATTGGGTTCAGTGCAATGTACTGTCTGGACAGATCACCAACCTCTCACAGGGCTAACATATGAATTACCCCAAAAGCATGTCTGAAAATAGAAAAACACTTCACAGAAAGGCCTCAGCTTGGGATAAAACCAGGAGTCCTCTTGCTGTGAGCAGCAGTGCCGCCCTCTGTTTGGACCATGGGGAAAAAATAATGACCATTAGATCAGCGCTCACACCACTTCTGTTGTTCCTACTGTTATGTTAAAAGTGGGGCTTGTGTTATGCTGGTCTTCCGTTGACACATTATTTACTTATGGTGTCCTTTCATCAGGACCAGATGTGAAAAGGAGTTTTCTCACAAGGTTGGTTTGTATTTTTACCTGATACCTGGTTCATGTTCGCTGATGAAGTCAGTGTTAAATCTGTATTAGCCTGAAAACTCCTGTGAGGAACTCTGGTTTAGTGCCCCCTGTCTTTGCACATCATATCTTCCAAATGTTTAGGTAGTGCCTTTTGACAAACATATAATTCCGATTACTTTTGACAGTCAAATGTTTCATTCATACAAATTTGTTTTGCACCTTGCTTGTATTAGCTTGCAAAGACTCACAGGATAAGCAGGGCTGCCAAGGACACACCTGATGCAGCTTTCACGGCCTGGAAAAAGTGGGGCAGATTCGGAGGAGCCTTCGAAACGAGACAGCCTTCGATGCGCTGCTGTGACACATTCGGTCTACGAATGTGGCCTTCAAAGGCTACTGCCCCTGAAATGGGACACAGTATAGATTATCTAAGAGACAAGAGGTAACACTTTGTCAACCAAGATAAATTGAGAGTTCCTCACAGGAGTTTTATAGACACCACATGAACCATGAAACAACTATTTTCAATGTTTTATTTTGTTATTTTTTTCCCTGGTCCTTGAAGGCTCCCTGAGGGTAACATTTGCCATAATGCATGTAAAATGTGTTCGGTTATGAATCGAACAAACTGCAGTTTATATGATCTTACTCGAACCATACAACACTAGGGAGAGGATGTGGTTCGGATGACTGAGATGAAATCATAATCAAATTTTCAGTCTTTCTCGGCATTTAAGGAAAACTTGAAGTAGTTGTTGTGACTGTATGATAATTGATATTTCTGTTTGTATTCATGTTCTGTTAGGACACTCTGATCCTCCTTGATTCTCTTTTGTTTTGCATTTTAAAGTGAGCTTTTGCATTTTCATGTCCAGAATCTGGTAAATTAATATCTTTCGGGTAGTTTTTGTGGTCCTGTCTTGTACAAGTTGCTCTATGTGGTCAGACACAGACTGACTTTTATGTTTGAAGCTTCTGATAATGGTAACTTTTAACCTGGATGACTTTTGGGATGTTATATTTAATTAATAAACTCTACTATTAGAGTAACACAGTGTTTAGGGACTACTGTTATTTTCTTTTGTATGATGGTGTGTGTTATTTTTGGTCTTTGTTTCATGTCTGGGTCCCCTGCTAAGAGCTTCAGGAAGCTCATCTGGGATGTCTTTTAAATGCATCTTTGTTTTGCTTTGGGTGATTCACTTGAGTGGTGGGTTTTTTTTTTCCCTCAAAACACTGAAATATGACTTTTACATTAACCCAAATTCGGCAAAAGCATATATGTAGATATAAATGATCAATATCTGTCCTCACAAATACAAGTAGCACGCACAGATTGTTTATTGATGCCACTGACTGACTTCATTTGTGCACACTGAACAGGTGGATGTTGAGGATTTCGTACAATAGAGAAGGGAGAGCTGAAGGAGGAAGGCTGCTTTTGGTTACTGAGCCACTGCATGTTAAAATGTCTGAGCATGCCTCTGCGAACCAGTGTGGATGTCTGGCCAGCAGGCAGGATCAGGTGTTCTTGACCTGTTTTTAAAGCAGACGGACAGACAGGGAGACGGACGGACTCAGTCTGGACGCCCTCTGTCCGTCCCTCCCTGTGCCTTTCACAGTAATGGTCAGTGATGTAATGAGAATCCCTCTGAGATTGTCCTGTTTTTGTTGTTGACATTCCCGTCTTGTAGTCTCGGGCCTGAAGGCTTTAGTGTTTGTTAAGCTGCAGAACATCCCTCCCACTCGTCCCTTTCTGCACTATCAATTACATCAACAGCACCCCGAAGCTTCCTCCCAGTGTGTTGCTCCATTTTGTGACAGGAAGGTCTTCTGCTGTTACTTTATGGCCTCCTGCTACATTACAGCGCTTCACTGGTAATAGAGCTCGCTCCCTATTCTACTCCTGGCTCTGCCATGCTATCCAATTTGTCTTTCAAACACAAGACGTTTTCTGGTGACAATGAAGTATTTTTTACAGATATGCTGAAGTCATCACATTTCTGTTTGTCCCTTGTCTCCCTGAGCACAGCTTACAGGGAAATGAATTATACAACAGTATGGACAGGATAGATGTTCTGCAGTCAACTTGAGGCCAATTTGCCCTAATATGACTTGGCTTATGTTCCCATCTAGCCATACAGCTGAAGATGATCTGCCAGCATCCTTTAACAATTATGTTTTCTGGCTTTTTTCCACGCTGTAAATTATGGATGAGCACAAAGAAGCTGGAGGAGTCATGTGACATGTCAAGTCTACCCTTGATTGGCACAAGGACCAAAAATAGCAACATCAAGCATTCCTGCTCTAATTGTTAGTCATACTCGAGCCCCATACATCGTGTAAGCACACACCATCATGTGGATCCACCAGAGAGAAGGTAGCCTTAAATCATTCATTGATTTAAGCAAACAGCTCAGGCAGAAATACATTGGACAGGCAGTACTCATGCATGAAGCCCCGGGCTTGGAGATTCCCTCAGGGATTGTGAGGAGCGGCTGTTGATGCACTGCTCTGTTTGTATGGACAGTGTGTTTGAAGTGCTCTGTTGAGGATACTTCTGTACATTTTAAATATTTAGTCAAATCGTATTTGTTGGGGTTTGATTAGAGAATGAGTTTACATTTTTAATTTATATCTTGGAACTTTAATTTCTAGTCTTTTGAAATTAAAGCTATAACAACTCCTCTTCTCATCACATGCTCTATATGTTATATCCCCTGTATAATTTATATGGAAGGGAAACAAGAAAAATCTTTATTCTTTGGTGCATGCGTAACTCTCACTTCATTAAATTTAAATATTTGACTCTCAAATCAAATGGATATCTTCTAAGTAGTCTGCGCTTTAACTATTAATGTTATTCTCATTTTATTTTTTTATTCATTGATCAAAAGTCAACACAACCAAAATGGCAATGACACGGACAACTTTAAGATATTGTTGATATAGATTATTGTTTTTCAAAAACACGCTTCCAAGAAAGTGAGGAAATAAATGTCAATTAACATAATCCTGTGTATAATTAAAAAAAAAACCTTAAAGCTCCTATGAAGAGTTTTTTTACAAGTTATAAAACAGACTGAATTAAACAGAAATGCATCTCTATGATGTACAAAGGCAAGTAAGCTCATCGACAACATGATTGACAATTTTAATTCTTTATTTTTCTTATAAGTTGAGCAGATTTTGTTGCCCCTAGTGGACAAAGTTGTAACCCTTATATTGTTGCTGATTTTTGTGAAAGCAGTGGCAATTGACGAAAAACTTGCTCTGATGTCTTTTTAATGATGAAATATATCACAACCTGTTAATAAATGCTTTTGGAAAAGTAATGAAAGTACCTACCCCCTTACAGCAGTTACAGGAGCTTGAAGGCTGATGTAAAGAATGTTTAGCTTGTGTATGCAACAGACCAAATAATAAATAATATAATATTATAATGTAATGTAAAATAAAATAAGATAATACATTATAATATAATATAAAACAAAATAATATAAGAACAGACAGACTTGTCTTACTTTGTCCACTTGGGGTACCAAAACAAACACAAATAGAAAGTTCCCCACGTGAGCTTTAAAAAGATACAGGACTTTTTTGTCAATTGGGTTTATTTGCAGAACTAATAAGCCTCTTTGTCTTACATAGTAGCAATATATTTTAAAGTTCATACACTTTAAAACTGTGTCAGTTATTCTCACAGTTCTCTATTTCTCTTGTTTGGTTTGGTTATGTGGTAACCATAAAGACATCAATAGGACAACTCTATCTTTTATTGATTTTTCATTTATTCGGTTATCTCACCCTTTTTCATCACATCTGATTCAATTAACGTTGTCCTGGTTTAATTCATTTCCGGAGTGGTGCTTTTATTCTGAAAGGGCGTTGCTTCGGAAGCTGTGTATGCACGTCATGACTGCAGGTCTGCACCATTAGGCTAGTTTTTCTATCTATTTCGTAAATATGGCGACTTTTTTCGGTGAAGTTCTGTCGGTGTATTCTCGGGCGGTGGAAGATGATGATGAGGATTCCGAAGAAAACGAGGAAGATGAACAAATACGGAGAGAACTTGAGGAAAAAAGGTAAACAAGTGTTAGCCACCTAGCATGAATACAGGAAGAGTCAGGTTAGAAAGCATGGAAAAAGAAAGTGATGTAAAGTTAAGCAACGTGGTTAGAATAAACCTATAAACATATAAGTTTCCTCCTGTTTTGTATCATATATTACTGCTGGAGCTTCAAATTGTTCACTTAATGTTAAAGTTTGCTTCATGTGTGGTTGTAAGAAGCTAACATGACTCATGAAATATGCTTAACATTAGCCTGAAAATGGTTTCAGATTACTAAAGAATTAATTATAATGTCTATAGATGTACAAGAAAGGCACATTTTATTGCCAAAAAAAGATAAATTGTGTCATGGGGATTTTTAACCACCCCCCTCTTAAGTATAATAAAATGTTTAGTAGAGATGTGTTCATGTAAGTTTGGCACTTTATGCAAGATTTTGACTTTTGGTCTCACTGTTCACAGAAAACTCTTGTTAGTATTTGGTTAAGCTGTAAAAAGTCGAGTTAGTACGTAGGTAAGCTTTAAAATAGTGACAGCAGCACTCCAACTAGTGTTGTGCCGTTCGCGAACGAATCGCGGATTGAACTAAACTCTCTGGAATCATTTTTGTCGGACAAAACGACCTTTTTTTCCCACTGCTAAATTGCCACCACAACAACTTGCAATAGGACACAGCATGTAACAAGTAGTGCATTAAACCCGCAGCATCCTATCATTGCAGCGGTTTGCGAGGGAACGGTGCATGTTCAGTGTGAATCCTTCTAAATGTTCAGTGAACGAATCACTCACTGACCCCAATTTACAGAGCAGACCTGGTAAATAGCATACCATAGGACAGTACACTTAAAACATCATGACTTATAAACAAGTTCTTTTCTACAAACCTGTTTGCCAAAGAAACACAGCCACAACACTCTCGTCTCCCAGTCTCAGAAACTGTAAATTGAACTGAATCCTGAACTGTTCAGCTGTGTATCAGTTCAGGACGCCAGAGTCGCAGGCTCCTCCGGCTAAATGATTCAGTGATTTGGTGAACAAATCTTTTGAACGAATCTTTTTAGTGAACTGATTCTAGTGATTCAGTACATCTAAAAGAACTGCCATGCCCATCACCAACTCTAACTAGTTTCAGTTTCAGCACAGGCACACACCCTCAAACTAATGTTGCTCCACAGTTACTGATTGTCAAAGTTGACATATACAGTGAATATGATTCAACTGAACAATTTTCAGGTTTTGTGTTTAATAGGAAGTACTTGTCATTTTGAACAGAAAAAAATGCTGCTTTGTCACCCTCTTCTTTTCTGACACTGTTTCTCATCCATGTCATAATCTGATTGTAACTTCATCAGGGAAGTTCACCTTCACTGGAGCCCTGAAGTCTCAGAGTCGATGAAGTCTGGGAACAAGCTGCAGTGTTCGGAGTTCATTCTCGCTGTTGGACACAATGCTGCCAGTAAGTGAAACCTCTAACAGTAATGGCTACCTTTTTGATGTTTTTGAACGCTTTTTCAACAAAGAATTTGATGTAAGAAAATTCCCCCTTAGTGATCCCTCTGTAGAGAATGATTCATCCACTTGCAAAAAAATTATGTTTTTGTTAATAGCAACTGTAAGCGAAATAAAGCAACAACAAGCAACTTTATTATTTTCAAATGTACAATTCTGCCTTTAAATATAGACTAAAGCAAGTATGATACGATTTAGAAAAGTAATCTCTGGGGTAGTTTATTAATATACATATAATAATGAAAATGACGATAATAATAATAAAAATAATGGAAAAAATGCATTTTATTTATAGGCCCCTGACAAAGCATTCAAGGTCGCTTTACAAGAAAAGATTAAAAGACAAAGAAGTAACTACACAAAATAAGTAAATATACATGACATTATTCCAAGTGTCACTGCAAAAAAATCTGTTGAGTGTTTATTTAGTTTCCCTGAAAACTGGCAAACAAAAACCGAAGCACAAAAGCAGATGGTTCGAACAACTGAGAGGCAAAAACCATTGAATATTAATATATTTATGCCAGAAAAGAATAATTTTTATCATAATAGCTGCTTATTACTTTTATGCCATTGAAGTAAATCACTCAGCTCTAATGAAAATGGTTGCACCTGTTTCAGTACCTTCTGTTAGAGAAATACTAACACGGGTCTGTTATTGTTCTTCCAGGTAGTTTGTAAGAGGTTTTAAAGGGCTGTTGATACTATAACCAGTATAAAGAAGTAAATATGTATGTTCTTTCCTGTCATGTCAGATAAGAAAAGTATGAAAAAACACTCTTGTCACATGTGAGCTGCTGCTGAATACAGAGAGGATCTGTCCTCACAGGGTTTCTGTCAGTGTACGTTCTCACCTCTCCAAACTGGGACCCAGTGGGACATGCATCCGTGTGGAACGAGAGGAGCCGGGCTGTTTCTGGGCAAACCAGCGAGGAGTCGGCGTGTGTTTTCTACAGACAGAAGGACAACCCATCAGTGAGTGACACACTGAGCAAAACACCATGTGGTAATATCTGAGTAATGCCTCCGAAAACACATATAGTGCACGAACACAATGATTATTCAGTTTAATGAGTTTTTTCCAGATTGTCTGTTTAAATTGTTTGGCATTAAGAGCACATTACAATGCTTTTGCCCAGTTCATTATCAAACTACAAACAAGTGACAAATTAAAGGAACAATCCAGAAAACCTGGAGAAGTATCAAAGAGCAGATGCTTTCCTTGACAGCAGGGATAAATCATTAAAACAATTAGAGTTTGTTGAAACTAATTATATTACCACATCAATCCAACGCTTGTTTAAATGCTCACATTATATCCTCATAGATGTGATAGAACAGAGTTTGGCCCACAGTTCATTTCAAGAGGACGTCATCAGGCTCCGCTTCAGCCGCAAAAGTTGTAAAGTAGGCCATGACGCACAGGATTGATGAACTCTGGGAATCTGGTGTCTCTAACAACAGTTGTCAGCTTACAGAGTTATAACCAACAAGTCTGATGTGTGTAGAAATGTGCGCGTGGTTTTTCCATCAGCCTGGTGTCATTTGCACGTGATTCAATCAAGATAAACATTGTGAACGACCCTGTGTGAAAGCACTGCCCTGCTGAGGAAGCCTCAGATTTATCACGCTGCCCTCAGATGGCTGCAGGGAGTTAATGAACTGAAGAGAAAGAATTTTATACACTATAAAGCCGCTGTGGACTAGAAATACTGTAGCCATAACACATTAATTTATACAGCGCAGATTTACTGAAATTCCTCTCCTGGCAACCTGCATTTTTAAAGCTGTTATATATGCTTCTGGAAGTTTTGTGTTTGTAAGCATTTTCTGGGTCATTTTTGCTGATCCAAGAAGTTAGAACCGACACTGATATTTAAGATAATATACGGCTTAATGAGTATTCTTCAACATTCATTTCTATTTGTCGTGTATTTGCTTCAGTAAGAGTATCTGTTCTCCAGTTTGTCATCAGTGCAGTTAGACCCAAAACAACACCTCCTTGTCTTTTTGAAAAACTCCTACCTGTTTGTGTTAAGCCCACTAAGGTATGACGTGCCAACCTGTGAAGCAAATTTAAAGGTCAGAAAAATCCAAATGGTTGGAGTCAAGTCTGTGTAGGCTCTGATTTGAAGCTGGCTGTGGTGCCATGATGAAAAGAGAGCTGTTTGTCGGCGGTTTCTTAAATGTGCTGTTCAGCCGTATAATCAGACTGTCCTGTGTTCATGTTATGCTTTTATGTTGTAGAGATGTATATTTTTATTCCACAAATGGTGCTTTAATGTTTCATTCTTTCCATTTTAGGTTTTGATTTGCCAAGTGACATGCTTCGTTGCAGAGGACCAGCTCTTTCAGTGGACAGAGAAGGTCTGTTTATACAAAATAAACAAATAGAGTAGCCCATTTTCTATAGATATGAAAGACTCACTCTTAAGTTTGCAAAAACAAAATGATTTACCTTCAAATGTTATGCTCTGTTTCTACCAAGTCTGTTTGGTGAAATACAGCCAAACACTACACGCCGTACCTTTAGAGAATTTTTTAGAAATAAATCAGCTCAACAGCAGTCAGTCATTGCATACACAGATTTTTGGTACCATGCGAACTTTATTTTGCACTCTGACAATACAACTGTGGACAACTCTATTTTTTCCCCTTAAAGGTACACTCAGTTAACACTCTTTTGCAGGCTGCTTGAGGTGCAAAGCAGGGGACCTACACAATATTTAAAAAAATCTCAATTCTAAAGCTGAAGCTATGATTTTTTTAATTTTCCTACTGACTCACTGAAAAGAATGTCCACCTGATGGTTAGATGGAAACACTAAATGTTGTGAAACTCTGTCTCTTGCAGGTTTTTGACTGTCTGCAGCACAGGGAGCTAAACGTGACGGTTCTATCCGACTGCTCTGTGGCTGAGTACAAGACAGCAGATTATCTGCACTGTAGCTCCGCCCCCTTCCTTCGCACACTCCACACTGGCGCTTACAGTGGGCAGCCGGTCTGTCGATCACTTGAACAACCAAATATAGTTACCGGGCTCCCTGCTGCAGGTATTACTGTTGCAGATTAGTATTGTCATTGAATTTTGTGTCATGTTGTCTCATCCCTAGGAATGTGCTGACAAGCAGCTTTCCCTCTGCTCTTTCAGATTCTCAGACAGAAAAAAGATGAACTTTGGGCTGTTCAAAGCTTCAGAAATGGGCTGACACAGAGTCTGACACATGCTTCTGCTAGTTTATGGAGTAATGCCTCTTGAATTATTAAAATGTGAGCTTATTCTTGTAAATAAGATGCTAAGTATTCACACTGAATCCTTTTTGAGGAACTGTCTGATTTCCAATCCAAACTTTCTTTTAATAAAACCCCTGCCAGAAACTTTTGGCATTGGTTCCCTACATCCACAAAGAGGTACTATTTATTGCTTTGCTGATCTTGACCTGTACACGTGTTGGTGTTTTTCTGACAAAAATATCTTATACTGTATGACTAATAATTACTGTCCTGGTATTCTGGAAAGGGTTTTTGGCAGCACAGTATAATTCATCGTCTGACACGGACCCCCATGGCAGTGTTTACAAGTATTAAAAACTGCATTTTAGAAAACGCCAACCTCGTTCCTTGCTGCTCTCTTTGTTGTTGTAGCTCATAACGAAGCATTAGTGTTAATTTCAGCCTGATTCATTGCCAGTTAAGATCGCGGTACAGTAGCTTTAAAGAAAAACATTTGTTGTAATTGAAAACAATGAGGGTCGTTTTCTCAGCTGTTACACGTACATCACACATTCAGCAAAGATGAGACCTTCTCGGTGTGATCACAATTTACAGTGAATTAATGAACCAAAACACTACAATTGTAAGGCAGTCCTTTACAGTAAAGAGAGAAATAGTCTAAGCTCAATGTTAATAAAAGTCTGGAAACATTTCAGCATTGAATAGGAGGCATTAACCCCTGTGTTGTCTTATAAATCGAGCGTTGTATCTATTTCCCTTCTTGAAATGTCCTGTGTAAGTGTCCTTGAGCGAGACACTGGAGCTGAAATTGTTCCTGGTGTGTGTATGCGGGGAGAAGCTATTAGTCTCTTTGTACAAAAGCGTCTGCCAACTGAATGAATTGTAGAGCCATTAGACTCCTTTCCACTCTCTGAGCACGCACACTCCTGCATCCTGATTTGGTCATTTTGGTGCTATTGTACAAAAAGACACTGAATTCCAAACAAACTGCTGATTTATCAGGGTGGAGAGAAAGAGCCTGTAGCACTCAGGACTGACACTTTATGCACCTGTCTAGTCTTCATTGACTCTCACTGTTTCATTGTGTGGTCTTCATTCCTCTGCTCTGTGTTGTTTCATCAGTGCTGAACCACTGTGAGGTCCACCGCATCACCGCTGTTGTTTACCAGTGTTACAGTGATGTCATTGGCCCTGACTCTGTCACCATGGAGACCTACAAGCCTGCACTAACTAAGCTTGGCAAGTCCATACAGGTGAGCTGCTGTTCTTTTTTATCTCTAAGAGAGCTTTTTGAAAGGTCAGGGTGCTCAGGAAGAAGATGAAAGAAGAAGCTCAGTTTAAAGTTTGGGGACTTTGGAAAAGAGGAAAGTTTTTTTCCACATCCTCTTCTCCTGTTTCATGGTTTTATCATACCCTCAGTATTAACATATACATGTGATAGTGTGACAATAATTGAGGTTCTGATGAAGGTTTTAAACACACTCACCTGCAACTTTATTTGATAAACCTGCACTATCTAATATGATAAAAACCCACAGTTCTGTTATCATTAAGGTCCTTTTACACCGGGACCGTTTTTGTCATGCGATTATTTCGGATGTCAATGTCTTTTTCGAACCCATATCCTGTCAATACAAGCGTTCACATCATAGTTTCCTGTGCTTATCATATCGCCTCTGATTGGCTATAAGTGTGATGACATTTCCAGCTTTTCCAGCCAATCAGAGGCGAAGGAGGCGGGATGCGTCTTTTTCCCCCCGGAAAGTCGCAAAGTTGCATCGGGTTTGATGTGTATTGTCAGGCCCATCAAAATTCGCCTTTGAATATTTTGTAATGTCCTTTATTGTCAAAACTGCAATTCTTTTAATGTGTTACTTTGGTTTTGTTACGACGTCTCTAAAAAGGCTCAAAGTGAAGAAAGGTATATTTTATTTTCTTCCACACCTTCGTTAGTTTGATAGGGCATTGGCTAAAGTAAGAAGAAGAGAAAAGGGGTAAGAGTTCCTCACAGGAGCTTTAAGTTGATGCCCTAAAAATACTTCTATGACAGTGTCAACATTTAATTATGTTTTTAAAGATTAACATTTTTAATATAGCTGTTGTCTCATATAGTCTCAACTGTTTGACATTCAATAATAGAAGCAACATTTCTTACCACAAGTGTCTGCAGTTTATCTTTCGATTTAAAGTTACACTCCTCTACTTTAGTTTTCGTGTGCAGAATCCTGTAGCTCTGACTTTTGATGACTTTTCTTCTGGGTTGTTAAACTTCAATAGCAATGATTTGACCAGGTGAATGTCAGTCTGATTCAAACTGCAAGAAGTGCTCGAACTATGAGTCACACAGCAGCGCACATAAGAAAAATGAACAAGTGTCTGAAAAAAAGCTCCTTTTGTTCCTGCCTCTACTTAACATTCCCTCAGCGCTTGACATTATGTAGCGTCACATAATTGGAGAGTTGCCACTTAGTGAGTGAAGGGTCAGGATTTAAGTGGAGTTGAAGATGTCAAGTTGACTGCGCTTGTTTTTATATGCGAAGACTCATCAAATACTCTTTGATGATAAATTGGGAAACAGTAATTTCCCTTATTATTGGTGCACTGCAGTAACTCATATGTCTCATATGTCAGTCATTTCCGTAGGGGGCAAAGTTTCAAGCAGTTAGTTCTAAAGGGTGGTCATTAGATAGGTTTATCAGCGTTTAAAAATACATTCCTCGATAAAAAAAAAAAATGTATGAGAGCTTTCAAAGAAAACACAGGAAGTTCCTTCATGTAAGCTGATGATTATTCTTTTATTCCACTCGGTGTTGGCAGGGTAATATGTCCTTCTCCTTTTTTAGTTTTTACTCAGTCTAACAGTAAGTTTTAGAGGTGTCATCGATAACAAAAAAGGTTGACAGAGAAGATTACAATAACCTGAAAATGATTACAAGAACCTTTGCCTCTCCCTGACAGTGAGTTAAGTCTAGACTTGCTCTTTTTGAAAGTGTCTTGGAATAATGATTGTTGTGATTTGTTGCTATATAAATAAAAAAAAACGATTAATTGATCTCTTCCCTTTGTTAGAAGTAAAGCTAAAATACAGCCTCAGAGTGTGTGAACATGTACAACATTAATGATCTTTGCAGTTGGTGCAACGGAAAAGATTCTTGTGAACATTTCTTGTTGTTGTTATTGTTGCTTACACCTTTCTCTGATGTTAATCGTCCTTAAACAGGTGGGATAACTCGCAGGAAACATGATCTTCGCAATGTGATACAATACAAGAACTTAATTGATCCCTAAAGGAAAATTAGTTTGGAATCTCATCCTCCTGATATTATTACAATACTGCGTTCGAGGCGGAAACAAGATGGCTGTATCTACGAAGTTATTTTAGCACTTGCCTTGTCTGAATATAAGGCAAGCGCTAAAATAACTTTCATAGGTGTAGCCATCTTGTTTCAGGCCTTCGATTTTGCTTTTTCTGACTTGGTAACTGAAACGCTGTGAACTCCGGTGTGACATCATTTTCAGCTCTGAGGTACACAAGTCCCTCAGGATGTTGAGTCTGTATCTTAGCAATTGCTTCATGGAGAACATCACACGGAACTTCAGCCGTTGCCTTGGGAAGGATGTATACAAGTATTGTTATGATATGACTGAACTTCCTTGGAACATAAAATGTCCAAAGAGCAATCGCCAACAGTTTAATATCTAGACAACCCAACTTCCCTTTGACAGTTACGTGTGAAGAGTTATACCATCTCTGTTTAACAAATAAAGGCTGACTCCCTCGTTTCTACTTGCCACGAGCTTTAGCATCTCTGTCTGACCTTATGAGAGTGAAGCCAGGTAGTTTCACCCAAGAGTCAAAGTTGTTTAGACTCAACAAGGTTTCAATAAAACACATGGGAACTTCACTCATGGTGTATTACATCAGTCAAAAATATTGATGTCTGTTTCTCTTTCTCCCCTCAGTTGGACCCCTCTCCAAGCAAAGACATCCTCAACAAGTTTGTAAGAACCACCAACATTCAAAGTAATCTCTATATCTGACAACAGCCATATTGCACACTTCGCAATGCAATATAATTCTATTTTCCTGTGGTAAAGTACTCTCATTTTTGGAAAAGAAAAAATGTAAAGAAAGCATTTGTTTGAATGCAAGTTAATAAATAATTTGGTCTTTTTAATTTGTGTGTTGTAATACTTGCCAGAGAGATAAGTTAGTGAAGGAAATGTATATTTGACTGCCTTTGTTAAAGCTGTAGATGTCAATGAATTGTTGGCCTGCATTTTACCTACTTTAACAAATCAGACTTTCTTTCCACTTCCTTAATTTTCTTCAAAAATGCCAGGGCTGCCACTTGCGAGTTCATAAACACGGAGACAGACATATATCCCCCTGAATCGTTATTTAAAGATGCCACCAGCAGGTGAAGATTTTGATCCTTATTTATGACCAAGTACCTGCAAAACTTATTACCTCCCCAGGCTCCTGGTCTTGTATAATAAAATATGAACTCGAGTTTCCTCAACACTGTTATCACACTAGCGCATTAAGCCTGGAATGACCCACATTCCCTCTTGCCTCTGGTGTTGAATTTAAATTGCCTTGCCTTTAAAGTGTCTGTGATATTCAAGAGGCAATTCAGCATAAGAATAGAGCACTTTTATCAGCATACATACAGCTCCCACTGATCTCCTGTCAGCTGTGCACGCATACAGGGATGATATTGTCAAAATAATGAGTACAGAGTAGGACGGCAAAGATGAAACAAAGGAAGAGGGTTTGGTAGAGTTTGCAGAAACAGGTCAGCACTTAAGAGGATTCAGCTTCACTCTTAACCCCTTCAGGTGAGGGGATTACCTAAGACCAAGAAAAATACAAATATCAATAAATTTGTATTTTTAGTTTTATCTTTTAATCTGTTTTGAGCTAATAACACCAACCTGCTTTACACCTGAGGAAGAGCTAGTACCTAGACAGTTAATCTCTTCATTTTAGAGTTTTTATTTATTTGAAAGTCTAGACAGTATCACTTCTTTGCAGCCAAAATAAGTGGTTCCAGCGTTTCAGTCAGATATCACTGTGCCTTAATGTTACACTGAGTGATAAAGTGGTCCTATGATCCTCTGTTCTATCACTGCAACATTAAAGTGGTGATACAGGTACTGTCAGTGCACATATGCACTCCTCTATGGTTTCTAATGTTGACCCCTCAAATGAACAAACAAACTAAATATTTAGATATTTTTATGTCTGATTTTGGACTTGACATGCAGAAAAATTTGTAAAACACAAGAGCAACATAAGATATCGTGATCCACAGCTACTGTTTTAACTGAAGAAACCCAGCCCCCTGATTATGATAACAATAAATTGAAAGTGCATCTAAATATGTACAATGATTAAGAAATCCTTGTTAAAACAGGTGTGTTTTGACAGATTTCAAAAGTATCCAGAGACTGCAGAGTCTGTCACCACACTGGGGATATAACCTTAAATCCATCAGTATGAGATTGTTTAATCTTGTTACTATCTGTCATGGTAAGTAAAAGTGAAACACAAAGAACGACTGTTAATATTTTATAAGGGGATGGAGAGGTAACTTTAATGCCTCTCCCAGTTTGGATTTTCTTAGCGTCTCCTCCTGTCCGGATGGGGGCAGTATTGCACCTCTCGGTTGTTTGACAAACAGTAGAAGAAACTAACAGAAGAGCGAAACTCAAACAAACCTGTCGGTGTCTATGGTCCTGTCAAAGAAATTAGGTTTGCTTTCTTGTACTTCTTCAAACTTATCGCAGTTTTTGTGTATAAAACATTCAACAAAAGCGGTACAACCTTGCGCCGATACCACCGTCTGATCTCATCCACACGGTACCGAGAAAGTTAGCATGACCTGTTAACGAGGCTAACGTTATCGATGAAGGGCAGCCGTTTAAAAACGACAAAAAGCGGCAAATGTAAAGTTACAATGAACCACGGCAGGGAGCAGCAAACTTCAAGAGCCAGCAAGGTTTTGGCCGAGAGGAACCGGGCGGTGGTGGCGGTGGGAGCCTGGGTGGAGGAGGGACAAGACTTCGTGGAGCATCCCTGTGTGAGTTTGATTCACTGTTGAAACAGCGACAGCCAGTCTGGTTATACTGTTGCTAGGTTACCGCAGAACCGTTAGTAATGACGGTCAATGACTTTTGAGATGTGCTAGTGCGTCTCAGTAAACCAGAGTTTCATTAAAAGTTGATTTATTTCAATAATTCAGTTAAAAAAAAGTGAAACACACATGTTTATAGATTCATTACACACAGACTGTTATATTTCAAGTGTTTATTTCCATTTTTAAGATCAGATACTAAACTTAAAACACCTGCAAAGATGTTCTGGGACTTAAAATGGTCTATGAGTCTGGATCAGTGGGCCACACTATTATGGAGAAGACTGCAGACTTGACAGTCGTCCAGAAGACCATCATTGGCACCCTGCACAAGGAGAGTAAGACACAGACCATTGCAGAAGTAGCTGTTCAGAGAGTGTTGAATTCAAGCATGTTAACAGAAAGCTGAATGGAAGAAGTTCTTGGGTGACTTAGGCCAGTCAGCTAAACCTAGCCTAAGAAACCTGGGTGTCATCTTTGACAAAGACATGTCCTTAGTGTAACACTGTAAATAGTTGATGAGAAACTGCTTCTTTCAACTGGGGAAAATCTCTAAGCTTAAGAAAATGGTGTCACAAAATGACTTGGAGCCCGTCATTCATGCCTTTGTGTTGTCACGTTTAGACTACTGTAACAGTTTGTTTTCATGTCTGAACAAAAAGAAGCTGTCTCGTCTTCAGTAAGTACAAAACTCTGAGAATTCTAACCCGTGCTAGTAGGAGGACTCACATGTCCCCAATTCTTAAAGCTCTACATTGGCTGCCTGTGTCCTCTGGTCCTAACTTTTAGAGCCTTGCATGGTCAGGCTCCATCTTATATTTGTCATCTGATCCAGCCTTACACCCCCTCTTGGGCTCTGAGGTCTGTGGATCAGAATCTGCTGATGGTTCCACGCACTCGTTTTCGGACCAGAGGAGATTGATCCTTCCAGGCTGTTGCCCCCAGGCTTTGGAATGATCTTCCTCTCTCTCTGTGCTTAATTGACTCTGTTGACTCCTTTAAAATCCAACTCAAAACTTATTTATTTGCTTAGGCATTTGTTTAATTGTTTTTTGGGGCTGCTATAACTGTTTAATGTTGTTGTCTAGGCCTTTAAATTTGTATGTACATTTTTATTTTTGTCTATGTGAAGCACTTTGCGACTCTTTTGTCTGTGAAAAGTGTTATACAAATAAAGTTTACTTACTTACTTGAGAAAAAAATGTGGCAGAAAAAGGTCAACAAGTAACAGAGATGACCGCAGTCTGGAGAGGATTGTGAAATGAAGCCCGTTCAAGTATTGGAGGAGATACACAATGACTGCTGGTGTTGGTCTACTGTGTTTTATCAGGTTAAAGGTCACTACATCCTTCTACCAGGGAGTTTTAGAGCATGCAATACTTCCCTTTGCTGACCAGCTTTATGGAGATGCCTATTTCATTTTCTAGCAGGACTTGGCACCTGCCCACACTGCCAAAAGTATTAATACCTGCTCAAAGGACCATGGTTTTTCTGTGACCGATTGGCCAGCAAGCTCACCTGACCTTAACTTTGTGGAGAATCTCTAGAGTATTGTGAAGAGGAAGATGCAAGACACAAGACCCAACAATGCAGAACAGCTGTTGTGTTTCAACACCTGAAATCTATCAGTCTGTGTGTGATGAATCTATGTAATGCATGAGTTTAGCTTTTTGAACAAAACTACTAAAATAGTCAAATAACTTCTGAAGGAAAATGTAGAGGTAACAAAAATGGAAATCTCATTCAAGTACAAGCTCCTTAAATTTGTCCTGTAGTGCAATATCTTCAACTTTACATATTTTGTTTGGTTACCTTACCTTTTATTTTAAGATCTGAATTTTCAATCTTGTCAAATCGTCTCTCTATTGCTAGAGTATTTCAAACAGTCTCCCCTGTCTTTGCCTTAGGCTCTTGCTTTGCTAACTGAGAAGATCCAGGCAGAAAAGAGGAGGCTGACCGAAGAGAGCCTCAGACGATTCCAGGATGAAGTACGCCATCGTGTGGCCCAGCGAGCACAAGTCAGCAAACTGCAAGAGCAGCCTCAGGCATACTCAAGAGTATGGATTACAATATATTGACAGACAGTGAACTGACTAATCCTTTTGGTTCCAAGCAATTGTTCTTGTTTGTCTCTTATTGATTTCTCTCCCCTCATTGTAAAACTGTGTGTTTATGTCTCGGTGAAACAGCTGCACTATGTCCAGACCCAGAATGTGTCTGCTAGTAAAAAGCTGATGTCTGCAGGAGGTGCTTCGCAGCAGAGGGGAAAGGGGGGTAGCTCTCAGGAGGTGAGTGGGTATTTAAGTATTAAATGATGCAGGCTTAGGATATGCTATCCAATGTTTTTTTCACAGTTTTCAGGCTCTGACTCAGACTCACTTCAAACATCTTAATGTCTCTGGCAACAGTACATGTAGAGCAACTTAAGAGATACAAGATATAAATAAAACAAACGGTATAACATTGAATAGATTGATAAATTAACTGAATAGAAATGACCAGATGTAAATGGTTTATACTTTTATTTTCTTCAAATCCTCTGTTTCGATTAATGCTTCAAGCAAGAGCAGCTTCATTATATTAGAAGAAAAGTTCAACCTTGGTGGTGACAGTCTGGAAAAGCCCTGTTCCTTAAAACAGCAGCTGCAGATCTGTACCCGTAGAGAACTTGGTGTTTCTTCGGTGTGGGCTGGGTAAGCCTGACAGGCTTGCATAAAACCCTGACCTCTACCCCGTCCTTTTCCTTTGGGATAAACTGGAGCACAGAGTGTGAAAAAGGCTTTATCACCAAACATTCCAATGTGACCTCTGCAATGCTCGCTGGGCTTATGAATTCAAGCAGATCTTTGCAGCTAGGTCAAAACATATTATAAAGAAAGTGGAAACAGAGGAGAGGAGGGTTTTAAAACAGCTAAATGTTGGTGTTTATAGAGACCTATTCGGCTTTCACATGTGGCTGGACGTTTGCCTGCTCAGCAAAGAGGCGAAGGGGTTCAAAAATGTGCAAAAAACAGTAAATGTGAGGCAATCTAGAGGCATTGTAGATCCACCAGATTGCTGTTGTGTATTTAAACAGGAACGTTTCTACCTTAGAATGTTGGAGAACATTTTTTCTACCCTAACAAAACTTGACCATCCTTTTTAGAATACTTGACACTTCATTCACGGAAACTCGAGTATTAAAAGCTGCAGAATTGTTATTTTTCTTCAGAGCGGGGTTATTTCACTCAAAACTCAGACATAGAAACAACAAGTGATTGTAAAAATACAGATTAGTTTGTACAACAAGCAATTGAAGTTGACAGAATAACAAAAAGTATCAAGAAAGAAAAAAATGTTCAAATGAATAAACTTGCAAGTTGTTTTCATAATTCCAATCTTTAACGATGGATATTATCAGCTTAAAAAAAAACAATCTGTATTTACTTGGTTTTCTCACTTTTGTGGAGGCTTTAAGTCTGTCCAAAGACCCAGCAGGTTTTCATAATCCCTTAATGTTTACTCAGCCCTGAGTAGTTTTATATCCCTCAGTATGTGGTCTGAAACTCTCAGTTGTGCAGTTTATCACAGTCAGACTGTTTGCAATGTTTCCGTGTGTGAGTGATAAAATAATGTGACAATGATTAATCTTCCACATTATTTATTTCTATTATTTTCCAGTCTTTTGAGAGCATGAAGCAGGTCAGACTCAGACTGGCAGCCTGTCGGATGGACCAACATGGGGAAATGACGTCAGACCTTCCTGGAGGCGAATGGAACATCTCTCCCTCCAGACATGTGAGCGCCTGTGTCTCACACTTGTTCCTCTTTTCCATTTAACACTGTTACCGGCGATCTTCAGGGTTCTCATCCAGAGTGCATTACACATCATTTTCTCCTGCACTCCACAGAGATCTAATGTGCTAAGAGAACTGGAAGTGGAACACAGGGAGGAGGTGGATGATGTGCCAGAAGAGGAGGAAGAGGGAGATGATCATGTCATCATCAGTCAGCACAAGTGTCCCCTTGTTCAGCAGAAGGTTAATCAATGCCGACAGCAGTATTGGCATCTTTAGTCTCGGTTTAGTCTTTGTATCATGTTCACAGCCTCTGAAATGCATGTGATGATTCATCATCACCTGGCAAATATGTTGCAAAATCATTGCAATTTTGTCATATCAAGATAATAACAGGAAGAGAAAGAGGGAATAATCTCTCAGAAATTTAACAGAAAGTTGAATCGAAACATGTCAAAACAACACCCTCAACTTTCTCAGCTTTCTCATTACTCCAGACATTTTTAGACACTCAGACATTCATTAATCTTCTAAAACTTCACAGGAAATGTGCTAAATAGTAAATGCTACCTAAAATCATCGGATTCCGACTTTTTTATCTGTGTAAAAATAAGTCTGTGACCCATAAACATCCCGATGTCAACTGCAAATGGATGTGGCTAAATAGATGTTGCCTCAAGCAGATAAATTCAGATGTTACTCTCAGAACTTTACTGAATTTGTGCCAAAACTACTTTTCTCTTTCAGGAAAGATCTCGACAGGGAGGGTTTTGCACAGCAGTTTCGATTTCGTTAAGACTAAATCTGCCAGGGAAAATCTGGTGAAACTGTTAGCTTTTTAGGAGGGATTTATTGTCAATATATAAAATGGACAGTCAGTGTAGCTTAATTTCCACACATTGAGAGATGTGGGGCCTGAAAAGGTCTTGATATGTACCTAAATAATACACTGGTGCGGCTGAAGCACTCACTGAAGCAACAGTGCGTCCGTTTTAATTTGCAGTCTCATTGTTTTTATGGAGTTTGTACCAAACAGCCTTCAGTTTGATCAATTACATTAGTTATATCCTGCCATAAAGAAGCATGGCTTATAGAGTTGGGGTGTAAAAATGATCTTCAACAGTGAAAAGAATCTGATAGCCTTGTAATATTTACCTTCTACTTGCTTTTGTGAACTCAAACACCCAAGGACTATAAACTTTATGATCATGGTGTCCTGAACTAGCCAACACATGTACAGTGTGAAACTGGGGCAAGTTCCTCTACACGACAATTCACAAAATCAGTTCTGTTATATTTTAACACATGACTGATATAATCTAAGGTAGAAAAAAAAGCACTCCAACTTCCATTTCCCTTCAGCTGCTTGTGATTCACAGCTGTTTATGCTCCTAACATGGAACAACAACATTCATAGAGTTCAGTGTTTCTTTGTTTTTCCATGCCCTGAAACTGATTTCTTTTAATAATATTTGAGTTAAATCTTCGGATGAATCCCAGTCAGTAAGCCAACTTGAAACACTGGTTGATTGCAGCATTGATGATCAAAGCATATGAAGGGGTCATAACAAAAAAAAAAACGAGTCTGTTGTGTGCCTGTTTATGTCACAGGTGAGTGGACATGTGTTGTGGGATTCTGAGGAGCCACAGCCTGATTCTGATTTTCAATGTGACCTCAGAGTCCCTCGTGCTTTGTGGCCTCTGCCTGATCAGGAGGAACTGAAAAGACAGGTAGACAATTATGCATGAAGCTTTCTTTAACATTCCCAGGCTGTGACCAGATGTTAAAAAATGGCACATCTTTCTCCTCAGCGTCAGTCTCAGTTCCTGATGAACCGACGTCTGTACATGAATATCGAGCGAGAGCAAGTGAAGGAGAACAAACTGCACAGGAAACACCTGAAGAGGACAGCAAGGTGACAAGGCAGTAATGCTTTCCTCTGCGTCACTTCTTCATTTTGTGAAAATGCAAACTTTGTCGCCATTTTTCTAAAACTTGTCCATAGCTTGTCAAATAACCAACTTCTGTTCATGAAAAGACTGTTCTTTTGATGAAGAGCAGCAGCCAAATCCAAGCCTATGATGTGAATAAGTATTGACAGTAGACAAAGTAACACAATATCCACATATGGTGTAGTTATTGCTCAATAATTTGCCTTTCTGAGTGGCATACAGACTAAATTATTGAAGCGAGCATTAAAGCAAGTGAGAATCTCTTCTGAGACATCTGTGTATTTACTGAAGGATCAAAGCTGAGAAAGAACAGATGCGTTTGGAGGAAGAAAGAAGGTTGGAGAGAGATCGGCAGCTTGCAGACGCCAGACAGAGGCTGGAGGAAAGAGAGCTGCTGATCCAGGAGAGGCTGAGGCTTGAGGAGGAGGAGAGAGCTGAGGAGCTGCAGAGGAGGAGAAGTAAAGAGAAAGAGAAAACAGAGTTAAGGTGATTAATAAATAATCCTTCATTTGTCTGAGTTTTAATGGTTTTATGTTAGAAGAAGAGATTGTGAACATGAACCCGGTGAAACAAATTTTTTAAGTGAAATATAAAAATCTATCGCTACCTTTACTGACAAACTGGTTGCAACTGTGCAGGTTTGTCGAGGCCCTGAGAGCTAGGATGAAAGAGAGACTTTCTCAAGAGAAGCTTGACCTCCCTCCTCTCTGCTGCTGTGCCTCCTCTTTCTGGGACTCCCACCCTGACACCTGCGCTAACAACTGCGTCTTCCACAACAATCCCAAAGGTACTCGCTGCCACCTGCTTCAGTCTGACCTCACATCACCAGTGAGCTTTCATGCAAACATACATGAAACGATATTGTTGACAGAAGCATTTTCTCTCCCACAGAGTATGCCAAGGCCTTACACTCCACAATGCTGAGCTTGGATTTATGATGAAGACAGCTGATGAACTACAGTAACATTTCCAGGTAGAAACAGACCCCGTTGAAGTCTGTTTAAAGGAACAGTCCAACCTTTTGAGAAATACAATAATACATGTCAAACCTTGAGCCTGATTAGTTGGTTGACTGTGGGCATCATCACTGCAAAGACTATCCATATAGGGTATTACATGGACATTTTGAACATGCAATCATATTTTTTTACACAAAATAGCTTACATATGTTTTGGATCTTTGACTTCCTGTACAATACTGCCAATAGGGCACACATTACGATGTCTTACTTCATTAAGATTATCCCTGTGAAGGCCTCCTACAGTTTAGAAAAGCCACAAACAGTCTGGGTAATTTATTTATTATGAAGAAATATGAAACTAAGCAAACAGTTTCCATGTGATTAGTAAAACCTGATAAAACTCTAATACTGAAAGTAAACATTGCATCAGAGAGGTCATTACAGATTTATACTTCAGGATGTACATTGTTTTGTGGGATTTTTAATTGTATCTGTTTATCTTTTAAAGAATGCGACATAAATTTGATTAAAAAATTAATTCTTTCATCCTTCCACTGAAAGCAAACATTTTTAAAACCAGAAATAACAGCCAGTGCTAGTATACAAAAAAATCTTGTGGTTGTGGTCATTTAATTTTCATATTTACTATTGAATTTCCCCCGGGGATTTGTAAGTTCTTATCTGAATTTGAGAGCAATCACTATTTAATTCATACAGAACAAGGGAGTTATGCACATAGTCATTTTTGCATGTTCACAGTCTGCTTCCTGTAGCATTATTAACAGTAACTTGTGAAAAATAATTGCCAGCTTGAAACCACAAGTTGCATGACCCCATTGGTTGTAAGAAGTATCATTTCTGTTTATTCCCTGTTTGGATTTTCTTTATTATAGGTCTGTTGTGAGAAAGATGATTTAGGTAGGAATTAAGAATCTGAATCTGAAAGGCTGATAGATGCGGATGTTTACTTTTTCTTTTAGCCTTATTGAAATCATTTTGCGACCCCTCCCAGCTGTCTGGAGCGGTTCAGGCCGATGTTTCGGTATCAGCCGTAGACTGTAGGGGAGTGTGGGGTAAGTTGAGCCACCCCCTGTTGCTTGGAAATAGTAAAAGAAATTGATTATGTGACCAAATATTTAGAAAATGGGCATCAATTCAGGGAGTCTGTGAAGGTTAGAAGCACATGGGTGAAGGGCATAGGGATGGGAATTGATAAGATTTATCGATATCGATGCCTTTATCGATTCTGCTTATCGATTCAATTCCTTAATGATTCCCTTATCAATGCCTTTCTTTGATTTAAAAAAAAAAAGTAGACTATAGGTTTTCACCGTTAACCCAAAGTTTTATCAGATCTCTGATAGCAGAGAGAGATGTATGCCACCTTCAGTTTTTCAAGGCACCCAGAATAAAGGAATCGTTAAGATAAAATGTAAATGATGTCAATGGATTGAACTATTTAGAACCGGTTCTCAACAAGAACCGGTTCTCGATTCCCATCCCTGAAAGGGCTATTTAGGCCTATTAAAAGGAAAGGAAAGAGAAGGTGAGGGAGGGATGGGTTGGGGGATACAGCTCAACTTACCCCGCTCCTATGGTCAGCTTACCCCATACATGGGATAAGTTGACCATAGGAGACCACTTTTTTTGGCATGCTATATTTTCAAGACAGTTACATTTACACTCATTCTGTTGGTTTGCAGGGATGCACAACATCTTGAAATATATGCAGATTCACGAGTTAGAGACAAAACTATGATTGCCTTGATGTAGTGATCCGAAATATGAAAAATGGCTCACCTTACCCCACTCTCCCCTATATACTACAGTCTATGGCAGCGGTTTTCAACTGGTCTCACTCTGGGACCCACATTTTCCCATGGTCCACTTTTATAGCATTCAAACCAAGCAAATCAATCTTTTTAATTAAAAAAAAAAATTAAAGACTCGAATCTTTAACATAAATCCACTTGTTTTATTGAGTAAAGTGCATTTCAGAGCACATGAAGGGGTCAACATGAGGATGACAACTACTGAAGTTCCGTATACAGAAAGTTTTTAACATCTAATAAATATCACATTAAATATTGAATTTTTTGACCAGCTGTTCGTGACCCACCCAGAACGTGTCCGCGACCCACCAGTTGAAAACCACTGCTCTATAGTATCAGCTGTTCCGACTGCGGATGCTTCCTGTTTGCCGTGACGTCAGATGAGAAGATCACGTGGCCTCCAGGCTGCGTCTGGAAAATCTTATGGAATAACAAATCTACGCTAATAATAATAATATTTACGGCTATTTTTATTACCAACGGACGCCTCTCTCGACACGGATGTGTAACACGGCGTTAGGAGGGAAGGCTGGCTCTCCTGACTGGTCCATATAAACTCATCCCGACACTATGGAGGAGAAGAACTGTGGGATGTTTACGGACTGTGTGGAAGCTACACGGCTGATACTTCACTTTAGCTAGCGTCTACTTTTCACCGGTGGCTGAAGTAAGAAAAGTGCGTTTTTACCGGCTACTTCCAAACAAACAAGCGTCAGTTTTCTCTTTTGTAGTATCAGCCTCCAAACTGCCGTTAAAAGCCGTTAATAACCGTTAATAACAAACCGCCGGTTATCGTCTGCTGTTATTCAACGGTTGTAAGTGAAGTACTAACAGTCAAGCGGCGTGTTAACCGACTAGTAGTTGAGGGAAATGAGTGGAATCGAGCTTTGAGTGTTTTTATTTTCAGTTTGGCAAAGTTTCACCGACAATGAAGTCGTCCCTGGCTCCTGGTATACGGCTTATTACGACCTTTTCTCGAGATGCTTGGTAAGTTTTCTTGACTGTTCATTCCCCCCCATTGTTTAGCCGGTAACAGCACGCTCACCACAGCCCAGACAACAGCTGCTCGAACGTGTGTGTTCACCTATCTCCCTGCTGTAAATGATTGGCTTAACCAAATCAATGAGCACATTCTGTGAATTCACAGTGAGGCCAGTTGACTCGGGTTCATTATGTTATAACCTAATTTCCCAAATCTGCCCTATCAGCTTCAAACTATTTACCAACGATCGGAATCACTTGTTAGACTGGTTTCCTGCACATTTGGGTGGTGTAGGAAGTACCCAGCGCCACTCTTAACCCCTCTTAGTCACTTTTGGACACATATTTGACCTTTATTGATTCTTCAGTCCACTAATCCAGCATTTAAGGAATTTGCCAACATAGGAGAAACTTGACTGTAATACATATCATACCCTGATCTCAATTTACTCGCTGTTAAGGGGTTTAAAGGATCAATCAAAACAGCTTTTGCAGAAAATAATCCAACATTTGAGGAGCTTGCCAACCATAAGACTCAACTGTAACAATACAGTATAGTTTAATCTTATTACACAGGTTACTTAAAGGTTTAGGAGAAAATTTTAAGGATTACTTTCAGCTCTTTTCTGGTGATCTGGCAAGTTTGGGAACTTGTTCAAATTGGGGAAAGGTACAATTTGTCGAAGAATTACAGGCTCTGAATGCTGAACAAAAGCTTTTAAAGGTTTTGTATTTTTCTTCTAGGACTCTATTTGCTAATAACAGTAACATTGTAAAGAAATTGATGTAAAATTTGGTCATTTATCAAAAATAATAGTATTTACTTCACTGAATCTCTCACATCAGAGAGCTATCCATAGCTATATCATTGTTTGTCATATCACTTTTGTACTTGAGCGAAGAGTTAGCATAGGAAAACTACTCCAGACAGTAATCAATAAAGTTTTGGTCAGCAGCAAATTCCCACAACATAGATCTGCTTGGACTGTTTAATGTTTATCTATAATATCAAATTATCAATTATCTATATGTTTATTACACTTTTGCACTGGTAGTATGTCTATCTGCACCATATTAATAGGCTTAAGCTTCCAAGAAAATATTTGCCCCTGAATGATGTTGGTGTGAAGTAAGAAGCATTTCCAGGAGTTCCAGCTCCACCGCAAATGCTGAAAAGCTTCAGAGGAATGAATGGATTGTGTTAATTGAAACAGAGTCTTGCAGGACCCTGCTATCTTTGTAGTGTATGTGATAGAAAAACATAATGAAGAGCTAAACAAGGTCAGAGTTTAACATCAGGCTTCAGTGTGCAGCAGACACTGTTGGTACACCTGCACTGTCTAATCTTAGTGAAAACAGCAGCCCTGCAATAAATTCTGACCATGGGGTTCAAAATGATATGTTGTTTGCTATCAGTGTCAGATAAGTGGAGAAGCAGTACCAAAAGTTCAAGTCTTCAACTAATAGTACTGATGTATTACCATTATCATGTTATTAAAGTAGAAGATGTGAAATAGGTCACTATTTTTGTTCCTGATATTCTTTCATTTCGTGTTTACAACCTTATAACTCGTTTATTCTCTTATTTGCAGGTACAGAAGTTTCATTCTCTTTCTCACTTTCCTCTTCTACACCGCTTACCATCTGTCACGGAAACCTATCAGCATTGTTAAGGTAGGTAGAACGGTTAAATTATTTTATTCCTGCAGATATTTTTTTGAGGGAAAAAGAAACAGGTTGTTTTACTATTAAGATGCATGTTAGATTTTAGCAAGTAGGACAAAAAGTATAAAGTATGCTTGGTACTATGGCTCTGTAAGCAGCAGAGACATGTTACTAGTAATGAAAGTGGGGTTGTGTTATTGTGAAAAATGAAAGGCACCTTAATATAAGTGTGACATATCTGTCTTCACTCACAGGTGTCTGCAATCTTTTGTATGCTAATTCTAGCATACAAACCTCAACTGACACTTCTACAAGTTTCAGATGCTGATATGCTTTAAGTTGACCTAGCTGTGTAATTTGCCTCCCCCTGTTTTTCTGCTTGATACAGAGTCAGCTGCACAGAAACTGCTCAAATGTCATCCGGCCAGCAGACCTCAACACGACCGACAATGATACCTGGTGTGACTGGGCACCCTTTGGTGCGTAGTTAAATTGTTGTGAAGCACGTTGTTATGGTGTTATTAGAGGCATGTCAGGGGTTTTGCATACTGTACTTAAAAAATGGGAAACAACAAAGATGCTCATAAGTCAAAGAAAGAAAATAAAAGTCCAGCATTTAATCCAGTTTCTGTTTTATCTGTTTTCCCTCCAGACCAGGACAACTATCAGACACTGTTTGGGGTCCTGGATAACTCCTTCCTGGTGGCCTATGCTGTTGGCATGTTTATCAGGTGTGTTTTTGTGTGTGTTCATGGCAGACCTCATCATGTGCTCGTCCTTATGTCTTCACTACATTTGCTTAACTTATTATCGTATTTGCAGTGGGATCTTTGGAGAGCGCCTGCCTCTGCGGTACTACCTTAGCGCTGGGATGCTGTTGAGTGGATTGTTTACGTGTCTGTTGGGACTCGGGTTCTACTTGAATATTCATTCATTGGGGTACTACGCCTTCATCCAGGTACAAACATCCCTGTCACACACTTTCTTGTGAGAGAGACATTTGCACTTACACCTTTCTTTGTATTGTCACCACCAGGAGCTTTAGTGCACATGTGAAAAACAAGGGGCCAAATTTAACGGCCACATCACTGGAAAACTATAATCGTCACACTTGGCTTGTTTTTTTTTTTTTAAAGAAATGTTTGATTTCACAAAACTGTTTCTGTTTTGGTCTTTTTTACCATCTTAGAGAATATTAAATATTTCCAAAATGTCATGCTGTTCTTTCAACAATGTAAGCAGAGTTGTCATTCAGCTCTATAGTTTATCAGACTTTTACATCCTTTATTTTTTGTGTCCTTTCCCTTTACATTTGAAATTAAATTGTTGTTTACCCAACCTTTTTAAAGAATTAGAATCAATGTAAACAACCTCTGAAAGATCCCATTAGACAAATATACTGTTTACAACAAAATCACATTCTGGGGTGAAAGAAGGAAGCACAGAGATCAGGATGGACATTTACTGCTGACACATGATGCTCAGTCAGCGATACCAAGAAACAAACTAGTCAGTTTGTGGAAAAATTATCCACTCTCACTGCCTCAAATACAGCAACACTTGGACATGTTGGTTTCACTCTAGTTAGTTCTGGACTTGTAGTATTAACACCCCTAAGCTGAAAAAGTAGCCACTCTGCTGCTGTGGCTTTCAGATTACAATCAGTTCCAGGCTGTTTCCCTGCTATCAACAATTGTTTTGTCAAAACAATCACATACAAACATAAATCAAAAAAATGGCTTGAAAACCAACCCGCATCTACACCAACCTTGACTAATAATAAAAATATAAAATTAAAACTAACAAATAAACAACAAAAAAAACTAACAAATAAAAACCAGCATTTGGACAGGTACGTCTTCAGAAAGGATTAGAGAAGGCTATGATCATGAATCATGAATTTAGTACAGTACTTTAGCCCTAAAATGTCAGCTGAGCTTCATATTGTCACGTGATCTGTACTCATGACATGATCCTTGTGGGTTGAAAAATTCCCCACCATGACACAAAGTATTGTAAAGAAGCATCTGCATGTATGTGTGGAGTAAAAACTGATTTATTGTGCTGATTAACCCTTTAAATCTATTCCAGGTGAGATCACTGTGAGCTCTCTGGGTCAGTACGGTCCCTGTGTATTTCCTCTAACTTTAAACTATAGAGATCTCATGGTGGCTTACTCAGGCTTTCCTTACACACATCACATGACTCACAGCTGCATCTTATGACTACAGGAGTGTGTCTGGGCTGATTGAAGTTTGGTGCAGGAATGTTAAGAATCACTTCTCACTGGTCTCCTTTTATTCTTTATCGTCAGTAGATGTTTACAGTCATGCACAAGCATTAATAGGCTTTCACTCAGTTCTTTAACACATGCTGGTTTCTCCGTCTCTTCTTCTTCATCCTGTAGGTCATGAACGGGCTCATGCAGACGACCGGCTGGCCTGCAGTGGTGGCTTGTGTCGGCAACTGGTTTGGAAAGGGGAAGTGAGTACTGTGCGATGTGCATTGAGTTCCTGCTGACTCTGCACTCCTAGATGTCTTTTTTTGTGGCTCGCTGACTCTCACACACACACGCACATTTGTCACATTTTATCAACACAGAAACACCAAGCTCTGATTTTCCCCAGACCACAGATGTCAAATCCAGAAATTAAATCCAAACTACCGCTTAAGTATGTGTTAAAGCTCACTGCTCAAATTACAACATCAAGAGAAACACTTAGACTTACAGGACGAGGACAGTTGATCTTGTCAACAACAATTACCCACGCCCTTTTGAACGAGTTCCACCCTTTTTACTGTCTCTCTCTAAAGCAGTAGTTTGTGGTTACATTCACAGTAGAAACTCACAGATCATCCAGAAAGTCATGTTAACATGCTCTGTAGTAACCTGGAAAATTTTGGAATCTGTGTTTACATGAAGGTGGTCAGAAGAAAAGGAAAAACCAGGAGACATTCAAATTTTGACTTCATTATTTTCTATCATTTCTTTAATTTATTGACTAAGATCGACAGTCAAAATGAATTTTGAGGTTTTTATGTTTGGTTGTGCTCTCCAGTAGCCCATTCTTTTAACATTTAAACCCCTGCAGAGCAAGGTAACTATGTTCTTCTGGCCCAGCTCAGCTTGAACTACCATTCATCTCAATGTCAGAAAATAAAGTGAATAAGCACAAGTCATGAATTGTTGAATTGTCCCTTAAATAGCTGAAAACTCTACTTTTAAAAGATTCTTTTCTTAACCATGTGTTTTTCCCCTCTGTGTTATCATCAGGCGTGGATTCATTATGGGAGTGTGGAACTCCCACACTTCAGTTGGAAACATCTTGGGCTCCCTCATCGCAGGAGCCTTTGTCTCCACAGCGTGGGGGATGTCCTTCATTGTCCCTGGACTTATCATCGCCTCCACCGGGATCCTGTGCTTCTTTTTCCTGGTCGAGAGTGAGTTTCTGTCCAAAGAAACCCAGAATTAAATCCACAGCTCACAGGAAGTAACAGTTAAAGCTTGGATCATATAGAATTTGGATGATACTCTAAACAAAGAGTTGTGACCATAGCTACAAGATTTAATATCAAGCTACAAACATGGGGCACTTTGCTTTAAAAGCAGTGTATAATATGCGTAAAAACACAGCTGTGGGTTACCTATGTTATTTGCCTCATTTATCACAAACTCATATATAAAGACCAATGTTAGTATGAAAATTAATCATATTTACATGTCGTGACATTTCTGGTCAAACCTGTGTACTACTTAAGTTCTCAGCTGGTGTAAATCATTATTTTTGTTTACTTTATTTTCCTCTCTCCTATTTAGAACCTGAAGATGTCAACTGCACGCCCCCTCAGCATCATGTGAGTTTAAAGCAGAACCAACCAGCACTCTTATTCATTTAGAAAAGATACTTAAACTCACACGTCTGTGTTCATATCAGACTGAACAGGAGAGCGGTGAGACCGAGCCACTCTTGCACTCTGCGTCCCACACCGACAGAACCAGCAATGGTAACGGTGCCATCACCACAGAGCATGTGGAGGTTGTGGAGGAGCCGACCGAGGCCATCAGCTTCTGTGGAGCTCTGAGTATACCTGTGAGTGAGTGCATGGGATTTCTGCGCAATTTGAATTCGATGTTTTACAGTTGCTTTTGGTGACATTTCCATTATTCCTTATTTTCTATTTATTCAATTTTAAGATATAATTGATCAAAGAAATAATGATGATGATAATTATGACAATTATGATGCACTGTATATAGATGACTGAGTGACAGATGTACTGTAAGCCCAATATGTTAGGGATTGCTGACTTTTACGCCCTCTGGTGGTGGTATCGAGAATAATGCAGGCATTTGGTTGTATGTTTTCATACATAAAAGCAAGGAAAATCACAGAAATGACTAAAATTGATTTTAAAAAAGTCTGTTTTTTTTAATTAGTAGTGTTTTTCCAAATTCATTTTTCTGATGACACCCTTCTTTCCTTTAAATTAAGATGCGGCTGTGACACTGTTCTTAGCAGAGAAGTGGCAATGTCTTTTTTTTTTATCTCTTGCTGTGACTCTCAAACCGTTCCCTGATAATTATGCTAATGAAACCCTTTGGCACAGATGGGTTCTTCATGATTTTTCCCTGGTGGTTTTTGTCTTTCACAGGGTGTGGTGGAGTTCTCTCTCTGCCTGCTTTTTGCCAAACTCGTCAGCTACACCTTCCTGTACTGGCTTCCTCTGTACATCTCAAATGTTGGTGAGTATTTAACCTCAGTCTTTATGTGGAGAGAATCTTTCACATACTCTTAAGTAATTCACTTCATTCAAAAACCTTTTCATTGGCGTTCTGTTTCATTTTAGCACATTTTGATGCGAAGGAAGCAGGTGACATGTCGACACTATTTGACGCAGGAGGGATTGTGGGTAAGCATCTCTTTCTGATGTGGTTATGACATGAAACTTAAGTAAATCTGACACACTCTGAGTGCTGTTAAATTGAAGCATAATATTGAAGCTGGAAATGCCTAAATCACTCAGGTGTCAGAACACGACTGAATCACTTTTCCAAATATAAAACTAATGACAGAAAAGCTTCAATATTTGAGTATAAACCAGCGATCTACCTTTATATCTTTGAAAGTCTCTGGTCTGTAATATCAGGGTGGGCAATTTCAGATTGTGGATTCAATGTTCTGGAAGTAGAAATAATCCGGTCAGTTCTGTCCAAGCCCGATTAAGAGTGTTACGTTTAATCTGAAATGCTGGTTTCTGAATGTAAAAGAATATTATCTCTTTCATCTGCAGGAGGCATCATGGCCGGCCTTGTGTCTGACTACACTGGGGGGAGAGCGACAACTTGTGCTGTCATGTTGCTCACTGCTGCCCCTATGGTGAGTATCTGACACACAGTGAGTTAGGGTTCAGTCTGGTTTGGCTGAAGTCATTGTTCCGATATTTTTAAGAATAAGTATACGAAGAACTTTATTGATCCCTGAAGGTAAATTCAATTGTCTGTTGTCTCATGTAATATGTCTATAAAAGTTATCCATTATTTACATAAGAGTTATAAAGCCTGATGGCTGTTGGTACAGAAGATAAGATAAGATAAGATAGATGAAGTTTAAAGAAATTCGCCTCCTGTAACAGTGTGCAGAGAATGAAGAAATGGGCTGAAGAAACCAAAGCGGTTTTTCTATCAGTAAACATGTATCTGTCCTGTAAAATGGGCATTTTGAATTTTCCTGCTTTTAACCAGTGGTATCTTAAACGTCTCCTTTTCAGCTCTATGAATATGACTTTCTATTGACTGCTCTGTTTGTTTTACAGCTTTTTCTCTATAATCACATTGGACAAAGAAGTCTTGGTACTACAGTAGGTAAGACTTATTTACTGTACTTCATGTTTGAGTATTTTTGTGTTTTTAACAGTTAATGGTTTTAAGCACTTACTCAGACTTTGGTCACCCTGGCAATTTACTTCTAAGAGATAGTAAAAACTAAATTTTATTCACTAAAAGGTTGGATTATGTCCCTTTAATATGGGATAATCTGTCATATTTCTTATCTTGTTGTGTCCCTGAACAGCTCTTGACTCATTCCAGTTGTGGTTGAACACATGAGGCTGCATCAAGCTTTAGAGATAAATGAGGAAGCTGCTTTAGTGATATTTTTTTATGAAAAACAAAGAGACTCAGTTTTCATCAACAGTCAATTTTGCCATTCACAGGTATGCTGTTGCTGTGTGGAGGCCTGGTGAATGGACCGTATGCCCTCATCACTACTGCTGTATCTGCTGACCTGGTAAGACCCAAAACATTGTGGAAAGCCCACCATTTTATGTCAGTGCCAGTGGACATTGGTTTATAATGGGAATTTCTGCTCCTAAATTTCTTTTTGTAACAGGGAACACATGAGAGCCTGAGAGGAAACTCCAGGGCTTTGTCAACAGTGACAGCAATTATTGACGGCACTGGATCAGTCGGTAAGTTGGGGTGTGAAAACCTGAGACTCAGCACAGCTTTTTTCTGGGTCTTTTATGAACGCCAAATCCCCTGAAGCTCACCTGATCACTCCTGCACCCACTCAGTGCCACATAAATCACAGTTTTTAGACCGTAGAGTTTTTGTATGAAAGTGTGAAGTAGATACGACATATAACCCCGAGGTTGTGAAGTAGAAATGTCAAATATAAATGTGCTTTTCAAAACACCTGTTGATGATGACGTGTTTTCTGTAGGAGCTGCTTTGGGTCCTCTGTTAGCTGGTGTGATCTCTCCCACTGGCTGGAACAATGTCTTCTACATGCTCATCTCTGCTGACGTCTTAGCCTGTGTGGTGAGAACCTCCTTGTTCTTACACTGATCCCCCTCTTCAATGTTTACAACCAGAGCAATGCAATGTGTCATTACTGCATACTGTGATCACTTTTCACTCTATTTGCATGTCTTGACACACTTTTTTTTTGATAGTGACACTCAGACTGACACTCTGTTTTTCTTTAGTTTTTGTCCAGGCTTGTTTACAAGGAAGCTCAGGGCTGGTGTGGACGTGCCCCCCGAGCCAGAGGGTGAGTCTCCCCATTGGCTGTGGTGGGTTTATGCCACAGTGTTGTCTGTATACTTGTTAACAGTACTAGTTTAATTTGTTCTTATATATAAATTGGTGTTTTACATTTATTTATTATATGAATTACCTCATCAAAGTATGCTGTTTCTTAAAGTCGATTTACTTGACCTGAAAAACAGTTCATGTTTGACACCATCCGAAAAAATATGTTTGATTGTGCATATCCAATAGTCATTTTCAAACCAGCTAACTTCTCATTTTCCCTCTTTCTACTCCAGTTTCAAAGAAATCTAAAACTCACACAACCAAACCAAGAACCAATCACGTTCAAGAGGGAAACAAAGCCAGATGACCTCATTGTACAGATGATCACCTCTTTCTGTTCAGTCTGAATGGAAACAAAGCCATCAATGGAAGATTTAAGGCACTAAGCTGATGTCAAAGCCTTCGTCTTATTGTAAAACAGAGAGAATTATGCCTTTATAAAGAAAAAGCTTTTTTAATGATTCTAACGTTACATTTTAAACTGTTTTAATATTCTTTTACCATTAAAGTGTACATACTTTAAAACTGTCTTGATTTTGTCCTCTGTCGGCTAAGTTACCTCATGTTAACTGCTCTGCGTGAAAGTTGTGGATATTGTGTGAAGAAGGTGATCTGAGAAGAAACAGTCCGAAACTCAGCAAAGTTTGCAAGCTTAGAAAATCCACCTCTGTTAATGACAGCTGTCTGTGTTTGTTCCTCTATTCTGCATGTTGAGAGTCACATGAGCACAAATCAAACAGCTGGGAGCTGTTAATACTTGTGTCTGAACTTTGCTGTTAACAGCGTGGTGCTGCACTCATTTGCCTGTACTGCTGTTTTGAGATAGTGATTATTTTCATTTTGGTCAGGAGGTAGATTGGCGTATCATGAGCACTGTCACCTGTGAGAAGTTAGTAACCGCATTAGATAGAAGACAGTTGCATGTAACCTATAACATCACTCTGTCTTCATTTCACTTTAAATATAAAGTAAATGCTGTTAAATAGTGAACCACATATAAGTTAGTGGGCTTTTGCCATGGATGGAGCTGGGATTAGGCCTTTTTTTTTCAACTTAGATACTCCTCTAAACTTACCTGCTTGGTAACCTGTAAATATGTAAATATGATGTGGCTGATGGATCTGTCAACAACAGACTAACAGATCAGCCTCTCCTCCTTGTTACACATTACCAACATGTCATGTCAAGTGTTTCTACTGCGGACCAAAATGCTTAACATTAGACACAAGTGCATTTATTTACATTAATATCTATACGTTATTATCCTTTCTATTTATCTTTTTTAACTATAATTTGGACTTAAGTGTCAAAAGCAATAGGTTTACTGTAAATCTTCATGCTACAGCCTTGTTTAAGCTTCAGGTGCAAATACAGCAGACCGTATGTTGACTGACAAATACTCCAGGAAATGTCTTGAACCAGAAGCGATGAGAGATTCTACCAATGTGAAGTTTTTTCGACAATGAAGCCGTCCTTGGCTCCGGGTGTACGGCTTTTTACATCCATCTCTCGAGATGCATGGTAAGTTTTTATTGTTTATCATTGTTTATGCCGCTAATATCACCGCTAACAGCTGGAGAAAAGACGCGCACCACAGGCGAGAGAGCCGAAGGATTACCAGACATGTTTACTTGGCCTTCCTCCATGCTGAACAGGACTGCTCTTAGAAATAAAAATACCTATTTAGTCAATCTGTCTAGAAGTTTCCCCATACAGACATTTTTCTATATAAGTGTCACTTTGCACACTGGCAAAGGACATTCATCATTTGACTTTTTGCATGACATCCAACATAAATGACATTTGCCAACACATAAGGGTTTAATTGTAATACACTGATCCTGCAATAAACAGCTAATGCAGCATTTGAGGGATTTGCTAATTAAGATGGCTGAATGGTAATGATAACATGAACCCAAATCCTACTTCACGGTCTGAGGAGTTTAGCAGAAAAATACAGAGATTAGCCACGGCCATTTTTTTTTACTGGTGAGCAACCATTTTAGCAGTAAATTAACAGTAAAGTAATGTAAAACAGCAACTGGCCAAACTAAGACAGCTCACAGACAGCAAAATCTTTTATGAGAATTGAATGTTAGATTATTAGGACATGCATACTTGTACATCTACAGCTAAGGCGCTTTGCTTTGAAGTAGAGTCTTTAATTCAAAGATAAATAAACAGTATTTTGTGATTACGTGTTTACCTTATAAATTTGATCTCTCTAATCATTGCAGGTACCGGAGTTTCATTTTCTTCCACACCTACCTCATCTACACAGCGTACCATCTGTCACGGAAACCTGTCAGCATTGTTAAGGTGACTTCTGTGGACACTTGACAAGTAGAGGCCAAAAGCTGCCTACAAATTATCTTCGAAATTTAATAAGAAATCATGAAAAAGTCTCAAGTTCAAGTTTTGAGCATAAGTAGAAGACAACAGTGTGTAATCCACAATCTCTTGGTGAGGAAGTTAGCTGGTTTTAAGGCCCCTCTCATGATTGTTGGGTCTCCTAGAAAGACACTATGAGGGGCCACACACTGTATGTCTTAAGTAGTCCTTGTACATGTGGAGTATAGAACTGGGCGGGGATATTCCAAACAGGATCAAGAATGTTTGGTTATGGTTGTAGTCTTCTGTTTTCATTAACTACAATGCAACATTTAACATCAGAGGACTCCTGCATGTTTGTCATGCCCCTGCAAAATAACACGAGTATCTAGATATGCAACAATCCATTCAAACACTTTCCTTTACATGTTTGTAGCTGATCTGTCTGTAATCTGCTTCCCTCTCCGATAGAGTCAGCTTCACAGAAACTGCTCGAACGTCATTCCTCCAGCAGACCTCAACATCACCAACAATGCTACCTGGTGTAACTGGGCGCCCTTTGGTAAGTAGTTCAGTCGTTGTGAAACATATTGTTATGACTTGGCATCTCAGGGGTTTGGAATACCACAAGTTGACAATATGAGTCTTTGATTAATGATGAACTATTCTTAGAAACCTTGTTTTTCAGAGTCAGGGTCTGACCGAAAGTATCAAATCAATTGTGGTTGTAGAAGATTTTTTGGTATTTTAATTAAAGGGATATTACAGCGTAAAATTAATTTAGGGTCAAACATGATCATTTCTTCGTGGAAATGCAATCAGACCGAGATGCTAAGGCAGAAGAACTACTGTGTCTGCAGTGCAAAATTATTAATATGATGGTTATTACTTCAAGGAAATGATAAAGTAATGATCATTAATGTTCTTCCTTGAGCTGCGTCACCCCGCAGCAGTCTGTAATGGACTGGCCTGAGGTCTCGCTACAAACAAGTGGCTGCTGGAAGAGAGTAGGTGAGTTGTGTTTAGTCTCTTTGCTAAAGAAATAAGGCAAAGTTAAAAAGATGTTTGGGGGCTGTGACTAGGACCCTATATGTACTGTTGATGAAGTTAGGTGCTGTTCTGAGCATCATTTGTGGATATAGAGTGGCGTTTTGGTTGAGGTTTGTTTATGGCTCCTCAGACCGCTGTGTATTGCTATCCTGCGGTCGTTACTAAAGTTGGTTTAACTAGAAAAGCAAGCGGTCGGCAACATTCATCTCTCGAGGGGGTGTCTTACTTTGTGTTACTGTGTGTTTGACCTTAAATTAATTTTACGCCGGAATATCCCTCAAATGTAAGATTCATTCATTGTTTAAATTAGATGCAGTTGGTTTGTTGTGAGAAAATCTTTAGTTATTTGTTGAATTGACACCTCACAAAAGAAACCCTGGCTTCAGTACAGGCACAGGTTTCTCATTCATGCCGTCTTTTCCTTTGCTAAGTTATCTCATACAGCAAAAAAATGTTTATTTATAAAGAAAAAACACCAAATATTTCCTGTTTTTTCCCCCTCTAGACCAGGAGGACTATCGGACCTTGTATGGGGTCTTGGATAACTCCTTCCTGGTTGCCTATGCTGTTGGCATGTATCTCAGGTCTGACTGTCGGGGTGCTGCTTGTGAACTTTGTCTTTTTTGGAGCTGGTTATTTTTACTGCAGTGATTCATAATCATGTGTCATACACACAGTGGGATCTTGGCAGAGCGCCTGCCGCTGCGGTACTACCTGAGTGTGGGGATGCTGATGAGTGGATTCTTCACAAGCATGTTTGGACTCGGTTTCTACTTGGATATCCACTCGTTAGGGTACTACGCCTCTGTGGAGGTAAAGACCAATAAATCACAGACAGACACATTCAGTCAAATGTCATTGTTAGCATTATGTTTTGAAAACAAGTAGAGATTTAATATGATTTGACAATTCCTGCACAGCTAAATTTCTCTTTATTACAGGCTAATTTTCTTTGAATAGAAGACAAGAAAACAGAAGAGAAACAGCTGTCCTGTCCTCAGTGAAATCCAGTCTTCTTTCAGCTCTACAAAAATCACTTAATTTGCTGAAATGTCCCTCTGTTTGCTTCACCCTGCAGGTCATGAACGGGCTCATGCAGACAACCGGCTGGCCAGCTGTGGTCGCTTGCTTCGGCAACTGGTTTGGAAAGGGCAAGTATGTACCACATGATGGGCCTTTAATGTCGCTATGAGACAAAAAGTAAATAATGTTGCCATAAAAGGTTGAAGTAGGTTGTTAATATCCGAAATGATTCTTATGTCTTTTCTCTCTTTAAGCCGTGGGTTTATCATGGGTGTGTGGAACTCCCACACCTCCGTGGGAAACATCTTGGGCTCCCTCATCGCAGGAGCCTTCGTTTTGTCATCATGGGGGATGTCTTTCATTGTCCCTGGTCTCATCATCGCCTCGGTTGGGATCATCAGCTTCTTTTTCCTGATTGAGAGTGAGTTTCTGCTCATAGAAACCTAAACACAGATCCACTTTGTAGAGGGGAACAATTGTTGTTTCACCTCTGACGATCGTCATAGTTCAAGCTCAGTACAACAAAGGTACCCGATCACACTTTCACTCAAAGTTTTGACTTAACCACTCTTTCCCTCTGTTCAATCCAGGACCTGAAGATGTGAACTGCACACCTCCTCAGCACCATGTGAGTTATAAACAAAAAACAATGCAACCTTCTTGCTCATTCTTGACAAACTACTTCAACGTATGCATGTCTGTGTTTATATCAGATTGACCATGAGAGCAGTGAGGTCGGGCCTTACCTGCAGACTGCGTCACACACTGACAGGACCAGTAATAGTAACAGTATCATCATCAGTGAGTCTGCAGAGCTTGTGGAGGAGCAGACTGAGGCCATCAGCTTCTGTGGAGCTCTGAGAATACCTGTGAGTGAAGACTATGTGCCTGATATTTATGTCTGATTTGGTTTGTATGTATTTTTTCATTTTAGAGAACTGTTTATTAAGAGAATGATGATGTTGGTAATGTGAATTTATAAAGTGGCACTGTAGTCTCACTATGAGAAGGATTTCACATGTTTTACCCCCTTTAGTGGTGGAATCATGAATAACAAAAGCAACTGGATGGTGTCATTGTGAAAGTATCAGTTATTAGGTTATTTAGGTTACAAATAACACCTGTTTTTATCTCAATCCTGCGCTGTTTTGTCCCTATCGGTACACCGTAGTTAAACTGCTGCATCTTCCTGCTGCCAGCACGATGGAAAATAACAACACCACTGTGCTTTTGAATGTCAGAATGGCAAAAATAATGGTTTTAAGACCATTACCTGTGAATTGTTATAATTAAACACTTGGCACAGACGGGTTCCTTCAGTGTTTTCTCTGGTGGATTTCCAGGGTGTGGTGGAGTTCTCTCTCTGCCTGCTTTTTGCCAAACTTGTCAGCTACACCTTCCTGTACTGGCTGCCTTTCTACATCTCACGTGTTGGTGAGTATTTCACCACAGGCTTTATTTTTATTTTCTGTGGAGGGAATCAGTCATGTAATCCAGAGTAATCCCCTCATGATTCAAATAATTTTTTTCAGATTTATGGATTTGTTTTTCATTTCAGCACATTTAAATGCAGAAGACGCAGGAGTCATGTCCACATTATTTGATGTTGGAGGAATTGTGGGTAAGCTTTGGACCTTCCAACCAGCAGGATATCTTTTGCTGATTGATTCAATCCAAACTTTATCATGGATCATTAAGATGTGAAAGTGTGACAGCTCATCTTTTATGTTGAAAAAGTTGAATCATATGATGTGTGACTACAGGAGGCATCACGGCCGGCCTAGTGTCTGACTACATCAATGGAAGAGCGACAACCTGCTTTGTCATGTTGCTCACTGCTGCCCCCATGGTGAATTTCAACGCACTCACACTGATGCTTCGTGGTTTCTTTCCAGCCTTACAGATTTTAATTTGTGACGTCTACTAATTATCATTATCTTTTTTTTTTTAGCTTTTCCTTTACAATCACATCAGACAAAGGAGCCATGCTGCAACAATAGGTAAGGCTACTTGGCTGCAATGTTTTAGTATTTTGTTGTTGTTTTTTTTGGTTGTTGTTGTTGTTAAAAAGAGACACCTAACATTTAGGAAAAGTACTAGCTCAGGTTTAGAGTTTATCACAGTGTTCAACTGACTTGTAAGAAAAAATAAATGTAAATCTTGACTGTCTCGGGGTAGTGTCATCCTACTATGTCACTATTGCACTCTCTGAATTTCAGAGAAAGCTCTGTGCCATGGTCAGGCTCCACCTTTGCACCACCCTTGTTGGCGATAACATGAGCACAAGTTGTGCTGTTTGCACGGGTGCTGGATGTCAAAATGACAAAACAATGACACTTGTGTTACACACAGCACTTAGCACTGGGTGTCCCAAAGTCTTAATGAACAGTATTATGTTTTTGTTTGTAGGTATGCTGCTGGTGTGTGGAGGCCTGGTGAACGGACCATTCGCTCTGATCACAACTGCTGTATCTGCTGACCTGGTGACCCTGCAGCCTCGTTTGAAACCTGTCGTTTTTCTGACCTTTTCATCCCTGATAAATCATTCACACAGTGTCTTTTATCTTCATTACATGAAGTATTTAGTGACTGAAAACATTAATTTTTTTGTACTTCATTTTTTGTCACTACAGGGAACGCATGAGTGTCTGAGAGGAAACGCCAAGGCTTTGTCAACTGTGGCCGCGATTATTGACGGAACTGGATCAGTGGGTACATAATTAGTTCAAGATCCAGGGTCATCTTGCTGCTTAATTTAATCTGATGATAATTAATGAAATCAGCATCTTAGCAGCCATATTACTCAGTCATGTCCCAGACAAGTTGCTACCACAGCAAGGAGGAGATTTGCCAGGACTGTGGCATCTTTTGCTACAGCTTAAAAGATTTTGTCTTTTTCAATTGCAGAGTTTAAGAGTAATTTTACAACTACCACTGACATGCAGATAAAGAGGAATAAAGCGTGACTTTAAGAAATTCTCACAATCTTTAGAGCAACTAAAAGTGAAGTCGGTTTTAGCCGATGAAAGGTAAAAAGGTGGTGAAATATAAAATAGACTTTTTATATTCCCACACTCATGAAAAGGCCACAGTGAAGTGAAATCTAAATGACAGATTTTGGCTGAAGGACAGTTCAAGATGCAAAATGAACCTAAAAAGATTTTTAAAAAAGAAAAAAAAGCATGAATTACTTGCCACGAGTGTTTTGGAGGTGTCAGCTATCTTGAAGGTTGTAGCCGTTGTTATTATTTTTGAACTGATGAGTGTACTTTCACCAGGAGCTGCTCTGGGTCCTCTGTTGGCTGGTGTGATCGCTCGAACAGGCTGGAACAATGTCTTCTACATGCTCATCTCTGCTGACATCTTGGCCAGCCTGGTCCGTCACTTTACTTTCACACTGATATCGCTCTTTTTAATCTTTACTATCAGAGCATCTTCATATGTCATTACTGGATTTTATGGTCATTTTCTCAACACTGTGATGTTTCTGCTGTGTCTGACACACACACTGTTTTTCTGTAGTTTTTGTCCAGGCTTGTTTATAAGGAAGCTCAGGGCTGGTGTGGACGAGTCTGCAGATCCAAAGGGTGAGTCTCACCCTCGGCTGCGCTCAAAAGATTCAGAGACTATCACTGCATTTTGTTTATTTAACATCTTTTAACATTTAAAGACCTTCACATTTCCTTTGTATTGATTACTTCATCAATATATAAGTAAGAAGTGTTAATTTCACTCAGCTGCTACCTCGTCTGATTAGCTCAAGGGTATTAACTGACACTATCTACAGAGACATTAGTGTAGCCGTTGTATTTGATTTCACTGCTAACTGCATGTCTTATAGTTATTCCCAAAGAAACTAACCTTTAATTTATTCATCTTTTATTCCAGGCTCAAAGAAATCTGAAACTTTCACACAATTATCTTGCCAAATAAACACATATGAGAAAGAAACAGAGCTGAATGGCTTTATTGTGTGTTTGATAAATGTTGGGTATGATTGTAACCTTGGTTCTCTGAGTAAAAAGACCGTCCCTTTACCTAGTTATAGATTTGGTATGGACTAACACTGTTGCCCCATCGTTGATATGGATATTTCTTTACAACACACCAATTACATGGCTTGTGCATGGGTATTTAATGCCCAGATGTGAAATACATCAACTGCCCTGTAGAGGTCAGTCCCCTTTAAAGTCTGTATGTCAATGACTATAGCTCGCCCTGTAGGTCTCAACCATTTGTGGAAGCTGTTTTACTTCAACAGTAAACCAATGACACACACTATTCTCTGTTTAGAGACTGCAAACAGGGTCATAACTGAAGGTCCCTAGACATAGAAAAAAAGGCAAAGGTTTCAGTGAAAAGGACAAATAGCACTGATTTAACCTCTAACCTTTGAAAACTATGGCTTTCATGACATCAGTGAGATGTTGATTTTCATGAGAAAAGATATACTGTCACATCTTATATGATAAAGGCTTGTGTTGTTGCTGAAAATCTTAAAATTAAATGACATGCACTGTGGGTACGCATCCCAGACTTAAAAGTAAAGGTCAGGAACAAACTAAAATACTCGTGACATCTAACTTTTATTCAGAAACATGAGGGGAAAGTTAAAGCAGAAGCAAGCATTTTCTCATCCATACTGAGAACAGGAAACTTTTTCGATTATACAATGTTATTATCATGACTGTCAATGTCAATTCTCCAGTGATCGTACGTTTGAACAGGACATAACACGTATCACTGGCTCGCATTTTCAACCATCTATTTCTGTTACTTTTTATTCATGGTGCAGCCATCCGCATCTTTACAGTTCACTGAATCAGTTTCCACTGTCATATAAAAACCCAGATGCCCTTGGAGATAATGTAAAAGGCGTCATTAAGCAGCGGGCTTGTAAATGAAATTTCATAATCATTTAATTTATGATAACCTAAAAAAGTCTTTCATATCATAGAAGCAGTAGGTCCCTGCTCCACAGGCTGTCATGTTACACCGCCCTGTTTTTCTACAGTGGCTCAGAATGGACAAACTAGCAGGAACCCCAACAAATTTTATTAATTCTGGGGTGGCTGCGTGATACAGAGGACACGAGCGTGAGATCGGTACGCAAATGAAGTTGTAGTCATAGAAATTTTTGATTGCTAAAACCTGACAAATACAGGTGCATACTTACCATACATCACTGGAGCCTAAATCTGAGAAAGGCAGAGGTTTTTTTCTTCACAGCATTTCCGGAGTCCTGGCTCAAAACAATGAAGTGAAAGTATTTTAACAAGACTCTCTACAGTCCTCATTTTGGCACAGACAGCAGGCTGCTCACAAAGAATCAAAACTACAACTTTATCACCACATAATTCCCACAACGTGATGACTTTATTTTCACTATGGCTACAGCTTTATTCTTGCAGGAAAATGAATGAACTATGACTTTTTTTTTCAGAAAATGACTCAGTTTTGTTTGTTTGTCTCTTATATACTCTGTTGTACATAAGAAACATCACCCTTGTTTAGCATTATTTCTCTTCTGTCAGCTCGTGTCACAAAAATTTTTGAAAACTCACTCTTAATTTCTCAAAACTGATAAAATAAACTTCATTTGTTTTTATTAAGTAACTAAAAACATCACCTTGTCACTTGAAACAGCTGGATTACTAGTGTCTCACACATAAATGCCTTTTGGTCCTCCACGGCAACCGTTGCCTTAGTTACAAGAGAAGTTGAGAGAAAGTGTTCCGTTCTCGAATCTTACCTCTAGATGTCACTAAGGCAACCGTTGCCTCGGTTACAGGAGAGGTTTGATGAGGAAGCATTGCATTCTAGGATCTTACCTCTAGATGTCACCAAATATCCTCATTCTACGCACTGCACCTTTTGTAAATGACTCACTCATTTACAAGACCCCACTGCCAAAGACAGAAGAGGTACTTCTTGCCAGATGTAACACAAACCTAAACACCCACACAGGAGCTTTAAGAACTTGATAAAAAAGAGACTCTAAATGTGCTGCAAGTAAAGCATCTGAAAACTAGACTGAAAATCTTATTTTTATTTAGTAATGGCTGAGCTGAAAGGTTTAATTCTGAGGGAAAACATACTTCATTCTTATTTTCAAGACTCTTATCACTCATAAAAACAAAACTTACTTCATCACGGCTGTTGTCATGAGGTTTAATGTCAGACTTGTGTCAAATAACCAAAAGAAAACACACAAATACACTTTTGAACAACCTTGTTAGAGCCTGATATGTAACTAGGATCTGAAATGTAATAGCTGGTCAATAATAACAATAACAAATTTTTACAGTTTGGGCAAAAAGTTATTGCGTTTTAGGCTCAGCATCTTGTTACATATTGAGTTTTATTATATTTTTTAAATTACATTTCAAATCATTGTTACATATAGAGCTCTAACAAGTCTGTTTTTATTGTGCTCATATCTCCATGGTCCCAGGAGTCAATATTATATTACTTTGGTAGGTACAGATATATCTAAATAGATCAAATAAAGGAAAAAAAAACTGCAATAGCGAAAACCCAAGTTCTAATAAAACAGACCTACCATTAGAAAAATAAATAACCAAATTAAAACCTGTTCTGTCGATTCACAAACGGTTTCTGTAAAAGGTACAATTTGCACCAGTAGATCTAGTAAGTTTCTCTCTTTTAACTGCTCATTTATTTATACAGGCTAGCAGTACAGGATCGCATCAAATTCACTACACAAGTTATTCACTACACCGAGAACATCAAAACATATTTTAACCGTGACGTACAAGAATATTATAGTGCAGCATAAACATGGCATAAAGAACAGCTTGGCACACAAATGAGTGAATCTGAACCTGAATCCTTCAATGTTAAAACCGAGACATGTCAAATCCCCAGTGTTTACAACAGCTGTAGCGTGTGCGTGTGTGTGTTTCTTTCTATTCTGCATCTTTAGTGTAAAGAGTCACATGAGCACAGATCAAACAGCTCAGGGCTGTTGGGACTCATGCACGAGTTTGGCTGTTTTCAGCAGTCGTGTGCTTGTACTGCTCTGTGGTGTGATGTTTCCTTTTAAGGTTGTTGTAACCCTGTTTTTAACAGTGTTACCCTGTCGTATCTTGAGTGGGTGTACATCTTTCTAATGTACAAACAAAATCCTTATATTATACAGTTCATATTCTCAGTGATGATAGGTGGTGTGATTCCATGTGCGGTACCAGGACCTTAAAAAAACAGGAGAAAGACAGACAATATGAGTCACAGGAAACTTGTGTATGTCAGTGAAGTTAAAAATAAGTCAGCTGTTGGAAACTGTGGGAAAGGATAAAAAGGTCTCTTGTGTAGGGTTGAATGAGCTTGATATCAATATCACTGTCAAACCTGTGTGGGGTAATATGAAACTTTGCACACAACCTCTCCACAAACTGTGTTTTATACACATGTGTTTTTGTTTGACATATGAAACCCATTATTCCAGTAATATTCCAGAATTTTGGTGGGCCTGCTTTGTTACAATAGAGAGAGCTAGGATACCCTATATCTAAGTAGCGTATGTATGTATGTATGTATGTATGTATGTATGTATGGATTTATAAATACATACAAGAGATGAAAACTTCAAAGACAGAAAGCATGTTTTTACTGGAAAACTGTCTCTTGATCGTATTGATTTCTTTAACAAAATTTACAGCAGCATGAGTTAAATAAAGTCCCCCACAAACATGGACAAATTTAACAATTAGATCAATAATTCCTGTTGATTTGGCTCTTACTGTTGTGCAATAAATTGCACATCGAACTTACGCAGTCCAGCTTCACAAAACACTTAAAATTCAAAAACCAAGTAAAACCTACTCCTTTATTGACCAGTTTACAAAATTGAATAAATATTGAAATCTGCAGTTAGTGGCTGAAAAATGTGAACCATGTCCAAAATGTCTGTTAGAAAAAGGTCGATTTTTTTTAGTGTGATTCTTAATTTTCTTACCCTGATGTGCTGTATGAAGCCGGGTTGACCTGAGACGTTAAAGGAACGGAGACTGTGGACAGACTGTTAGGGGAAGCCTCACGACTTACACTGTTTGGAGAGGAATTTGATGAAACTGCAAGAAAGGAGGCAAAACATTATTAAATACACACAAACATGAAAAAAATAACATAAAGTAAGGAAACAGACATCTTAACAGACAAATACCCGCAATGAGACAACAAAGGTGTATCATAGTGTAATGCAGCATAACGTGTTGTATCATTACCACTTTATCAGAGACCCTCAAAGCATTTTATATTGGGATACATCATTCATCCGCTCACAGTCACACCCTAGTGGTGGTGGTGGTGGTGGTAAACTACCTTATTGCATCTCTTATTGAGTGTAATTCAGTGTAAGTGAATTTGAATATTTATTGTTTTAATTATGGGCTCATTCTGAAAGGATAAATTTGTAAAACTCTACTTGCCTCCACCTGAAGCCAGAGGGCTGTAGGATCCGGGTGCTGGAGCCTGGAAAGGTTTGAATTGGACAAAATAGCTTAAAACCAGAACTATAAGACATATTTGCTTCATGACCAACAATCTCCATCCCCAAAGTTACCAGTAAAAGCTCCCTCATACAAAGTTAATTTAAGCTCTCATCAGTTATTTAGTTCACTGCCTTGGTGATTACTGAAGATCTGCTTTTCTTCTTCGATGATGTGAATATTTGAGTGATCATTTAGGACTTTTCTATTGACATGAAACTTTTGCTTAACTTTAATTACTTTTTAAAAGGCACATTCAGACTAAAGAAATGGGTCAACACTTCAGATATTTCCCACAGAGCTACAGCCAGGAAACCTAGGTGGGCTTCGAATCAAAGATGCTGAAACGATTTATCCAAAAGCTTCACTCATTTTGTATGTCAGATTTCTTTTACCACACCTGGGTTGCCAGGTTTGGTACATGAAAATATATAAGCTTTTTACAGACCATTTCAAGCGTACTACACACACTTTAAACAAGAACTTTGTGTAGAAATCAAACAAGAAAGACATTATGAGTTTGGTGATATGTAAGTGAACCTATTTGTAAAAAATCAGGCCGACTGTCTTCCTCTGCTATCTGTCTTAATGCTGAGCTAGGCCAATCACTCCGAAACCCAGCCTGGAGTATTCCCCAGTACTTTTAATACACCTCCCTCCAGTCAAACAAACCAACTATCCTACAAGTTTCTACATGAAAGAGATTTTTTGAACAGCTAACCATTCTGGAGTTAAAGCTGTGTGACTTCACCGATAAACTCGACACTGGGCAGTAGATCCTCTTCTCCTTCTGACGCCGGTTACAGAACCAAACTCGGACCACCTCCTTTTCCATGGACAGCTGCTCTGAGATCAGAGTTATCTCCTCAGAGTTTGGCTTAGGGTTCTGAAAAAAAAAAGGAAAATATTCATGTTTTTAAACATTGTGTGGGATGTTGGTAATGTATCTGATATTCAAAGTATCTTCCCAAAAATATTAATAGAGTTCTAAAGATCTAATCCAATCTAAGAATGAGACATACAGATAGACTGACCATTTTTAAAAAGGGTTGGGGAAAAAAATAAATGACAAGTTTTCAGCCAAGTTAGCTCGTAGTTTAGCAGCTAATACTTAAATTTGCAGATCAAATATTCTAAAGTTACTTTTGAATAGTTGAAGCGTTCTTATCAATGATGGCATGATAACCGTATTTGAGGTTCGTCAGCAGGATGAGATTTATTTTTTTTAATCACAAGACACAACTCCAGCATGTAGAGGCTGTGATAAGCAAATACAGCTTTGTTCACAGAGGGCGCCAGAATTCACACAACCTGAAAGTTGCTCACAGGAGCTTTAATTAAGAAAAAACTTGGAAATTGTCATTAAGTCCTTGTGTTTTTATGACAATTGTGGCTTAAATTTACAGAAAAAATAAAGCAGATTTCATCATATATTCATGTATGCTAATTTTCCCTTCAACACTAAAAGTTGAAATGAACAAACATTATGGACTCACGTCAAGGAAACGTTTCTCCAAAGTCATCTTGATGTTTGTTTCAATGCTTGTTCTCTTTTTCCGTTTGCGTCCATAGCCCTCTATTAGAGGAGGCAGAGCGCTGGTGTTGCTCATGGAGTCAGAGGGTGAATTTTCTGTCGTAGAAACAAACATTACAAGAACATGAATTTTGATTTTAGGCTGCAAAAAGTTTCATCAAGTCAAAGCATGTAAAAATCCTGATTCTTAGAGCAAAACTGAGCAAACCCCTGGAGGATGGAGGGACAACTGTAGTAATCAAGCAGTAGTAATCTGTGGTACTGTTTAAAATAAATGCATGAATTACCTGCATCACTCAGCCATTTCTCCAGCAGTGGTTTGAGCTTACACATGTTTTTGAAGCTGAGGTTTAGAGCCTCAAAGCGAGAGATGGTGGTCTGGCTGAAGTCATTTCCATACAGTTTTCCCATTGCTAGGCCCACATCTCCCTGTAATAACACATGTAAACAAACACTCTAACATGTAAAAGTATCGTACATTATTTTTGACCATGTTCATGGAAGACTCCATGTCCACAGTGAGAACCTGCTTGATTTTCGAAGACAGTGCAGTACCTGAGTGAAGCCCAGTTTGATGCGTCTTTGTTTGAACGCTTTGGCAAACTTCTCCAGCTCCTCCAGATCACTGGGCTCCTCCAGTGGTGGGACGGACATGTGTTTGGGCATCTGCAGGTGAGACATATCCATGTGGTTTTCCATAGATGGTCCTGCTAGACCAGAGCGACTCATGACCTGGTGAGAAAAACAGAAGTGTTTCCGGTAGATTTAAAAGAGGTATGCACACAAAACAACAAATAAATCAGAGTCATATATCAGGTTTTAAGAGTGTAAATGCACAGCTGTAACTTGAAAAGGAAATATAAAGTTCTTGGTTTATTAAACTGTCTGCGATTGTGTCTGTGGGTTTACCTGGGGAGTCAGAGCCAGTCCAGGTTGATGCTGAAAGAGACTAGTTTGGCTTTGACTAGGAAGAGACAGCAGGTTCTGCTGCAGGAGGGCTGCAAAGACCAACACAAAGTTTAATGTCTCACATTTCTGTTCATGTACCAACTGAATAACATTTACTGAAGTGTCTGGATAAAGTCATTTTGATTCATTAAAGGGAAAGCTCCAACATGAACATCCTAAAGATCTCTTAATCTTGAAACTTGTGTGAACTGATTCAGATAAAAGGTTCAGTATACTTGTGAGATTTAAATATTCTTCAGACTATGCAAAACTAACTTTACCCCCTTACATGGCTGCTATTAAGTTATTATACAGTTTTGTCAAACTGTAAAAACAATGTCGAACCAAGATGTCAACTTGTCCCCCTATTAGAAAAGTGTCTTCATCAGATCACTGCTATGAGGTGTTGTTAATACTCTGGAGCTTTTTTATCCTAAATATGTTTTTTAAGGACCTTGGTGGCTGGTGGGACTCTGGGACAGCAAGAAGGGTGAGGGAGACGACAGTTGAGACGATGGCATCAGAACCAGCTGCTGCATGGCGTGGAGAGTGGTGAGCTCCTGCTGAAAACACAACACAACACAACATATAAGCTGAGTGTATAGACAAAGAGGAATGTGCATTTACATGAGCACCACTTATATGAAGTACTTTTCTATAAGTGCAAAAATATTTAAACTATTCAATATTATTCTTAGATTTTTTTGACATGACAGCTTGAGACAGGGACAGGAAAACTTTGTCTGCATCAGGAATCAGATTCTCCAACTAGTGCACTGAGGAGTATCACCTCGACCTAATGGGGTTCCTGCTCTTTGAAATCAGCAAAACCTATGTGTCCATTATTTACGTAGACCTGTCTCTGTGTTTTTTGTGTTTGCTTTGTTTTGTTTTCTGTGTGTGTGTATGCTATGCTGATCCGGGTCAGACAGGAGGATGCTGTCCAAGCTCCACTCCATACTGGACAACGTCTCTCACCCTCTCCACAGTGAACTGGTCCTGCAGAGGAGCACCTTCAGCAGAAAGCTCCTTGCCCCACGATGCACTTTGGAGCACCACAGGAAATCTTTCCTGCCGGTGGTCGTCAGACTTTTTAACTCCTCCCTCAGAGACTCTGACACCCTCAGTCAGAAGTCTTTACCTGGACTCTGCTCACTGTTTATATGCGTACTATTTTACTATTTCGTGTTGTATATGGTATACATACTTGTATATTATCTCTTTATTTTCACTTATTTTACATTTTTTTAATCTATTTATCTCTTTATTTTTACTTATTTTATTTTGTATCTGCTCTTTCTACTTTATTTGCACTGGAGTTACTGTAATGGGATTATTCAAGTATTTCTGATTCTGATGTTTTTAACTGTGATATTTGTTTTCTGTTTTAGGACTATGGATGAGTTTTTTGTGCATTTTTACATTAATGCATGCTGCTAATACCCTGATTAATTTGCATTGCTCTGATTAAATAAATGCATTAAAACAGAAACAACCACTTCTAAGTGGTGCACACCAGTACAATACCTGAGTAAAGGATGTTTTCTATTTAACAGATTTAAACTCTGAAACCAAGTCCCTGTTTAAAGTTTTGTGTGACATGTTTTGATGTGATCAGTTAGAGAGATTGAGTAGACTCTTGTCTTTTCTGTGTCTCACCCCGGTCAGCGGACCTCCCGGCATGGAAGTGCTCTGTGTGAGAGGACATGTCTTTAGTGTGGAGACTGTATGAGGTGAGTCGTTGAGATCTTCTGTCTTTATCTGAGAAGACAAAAGCAGACAGCACAAACACATGTTTTTGTTAACATCTAAAGAACACAAAAGTTCTAAAGAGCGGTGAGAAAGTGCGTTTTTGTGTCCTAATTTCAGCAGTAAACAGGGTTTTATGTCTGGTGCATGTGTGTTGTGTATTGAAGCAGCACGTACACATATATAGACTTGTACAGGACTCTCGCTCCAGGACCAGTTAGGTCACTAAACATGATACAAAGAGTGATAGACTCTCTCTGCCTTTGGGCTAGCCAGTATGCAAATATCCCTCCCCCTCACACGCCAACCCCTCACCCCTGAAAGCCGTGACACTTCCTGAAAACACGAGCTCTGAAAGAGATGAGCTTCCCTGCCAAAAAGAGTGTTTGGAGAAGTATTCAAATAGCTTCAAACTATTTGAGGTGCTTGTATAGAGATGGCAGGCATTATTGACATCTGCGGGAAGAGCAGGTAGTTTATCCTGAGGATGTTAGCCGTCTCAGAGTCGGTTGAACCTTTTGTCCTGGGAAAAAGTTCAGTACCATTCACTGGGCTCTGGGCTATTTATATTCCAACTGAGCTTCTCTATTAGGACTGTCAAGGGGTACATGAAGTCTTGTGATAACTTGTTTTTTTCTTGTTATCGGCTAATCCACAAAACAAACATTAGATTAATCTTAAAGACAGGGATTATCTGTGAATCCAAAGCCAGGACTAACTCATCCCTCTGGAAAACAGAGCTCATTGGAAGCCATTAAAAACACTGCTATGCTGTCATATGTTGCCTTTTTTCCCTGTAAATTCCCTATAATTTCAAAAATTACTGTATATCTATGTCCTAGCTGTCCAGTGCTGCCATTTCTGACTTTTTTAAACTTTATTTATTTGAATAAATCTGAGAAAATAAATAACTCCTCCATCTTCTTTAAATTCAGTCTTTTATAAATTCAGTTTACATTCCTGTGAGAGAAAATACTGCAACCAAACACTTAAAGCAACAACTTGGAGGCACCTGGTTTTAGACTGAGAGACAGAGAGATCACAGAAGTCTGTGTTTAAGCTGAGACTGAAACTTCATTATTGCGTTTTTTTCTGAAAGTTGTTGAAAAATCAAAAATAAAGATTTATCATTAGGAAAGTAAGTGCATCTGTTGTTATCATAGACTGCATAAGAGAAACAGGTGAAGCTGTAAGATCATTTGAATAGTGAGGACGGTGCTGCAGCACAAGTAAAAGAAACTCATGTTTATGCCGCAGTTTGCAGAAGTGAATTTCATCCATGTTTTACTCTTGAAAAAGAAAAATTATCATCGTTGCGCTGAATAAAAATATGACTGAGTCTATACAATAGAACAACCCAAACTCTTCCTTTTATTGATAACTCATTGAATTATCATTCGCTGGAATTTTAAGACAAGAGAGGAAGTTGTTCAGAATTATAGTATAATAGAAACTCACCTGACGATTGAAGTCAATTCCATTTTGGCCTGTAAAGTCAAAGAGAAAAAAAAAACATTTGTCATATCAAAAAACTTACAAAAAAACACAGAGAACAAATACGATCATGTACATGTCATCGAGTCTGTGTATTGAGTGTTGACTTTTGAAACTTTGTATTTATGTTATGACAAAATCTTCCAGCTGCAATCACTTCATTTCCAAACAGGGAAATAAAACCTCTATTCAAGATGAATTTTCAGCTGAAGGAACCCAAACTACAGGAGATTAAAACCAGGATGACCTTTAGGAGCAGTCTCATAAATAATGTTGCTTTTGATTAAATGAAATTTTCAGCATTTCAGGATCAGAATTAGAGTCTTACCAAATAGGTTCATATACAAAAGTAAATCATTATTCTCCTACAGTGTGTATTAAAATGTTAGAGTGTGAAGATACACACTGTGAGAGGGTGAAGATGTATGGAGCCAGTAAACAGCTGGTCTTCTACAATGAAAATCAGCCCATAAAATAACTGATTTACAGCAGTTTGATTTTAATTATAAGATAAATGTGATTGATTTTTAAAAAAATCATATCATATCATATCATGTTTTTATATGATTGATGGGAAATAAGTAAAGAAAGAGAGAAATTATTTTCTTAACGGACACCACTTTGTTTCACTTGAGTTAAATATTTAAAGATGAATATAAATCATTTGCTTATGGGCCCCAAGTTAACGGTTGGAAATAAGAGGTAAAAATGAAGTTTTATTTTTAATAAAGTTCAATACCTGAATGGACTGTTTGTGACTGTTATCTGTTTATTTACTCTTTCTTTAAAAAAAAAATGGTGCTGGCTAAACTGATGCAGAAATTCAAGGAAGGCTTCCTTTTCAGTCCTGCAAAGTTGGAACTCAAAAACTGGATTTAAATTCGTGAGTAGGATTAGAATAAATATTTACACAAGTAGAGACTTGTAAACACAATCTAGAGTAGCAACACAAACAGATTCCTATACATAGAAATGTACAGAATGTTCCACTGTACGTTATAGGCCAGGATGAGCGCTGATAGAGCAGCAGAGTCCAAAGGTTTGCTGGATAAGCTCTCATCATTTGAATGTCAAATTGGACTTTTCAGTCTGTGTGGAAGTTCAGCAGACAGAGCAGGGATGGGGGGCAGTGTGCTGCTGTGGACACATCATGCAAATACATCCATACACCCTCCCTCCCCAACACACACACACACGCGCACACACACACACACACACACACACACACACACACACACACACACACAGTCCCAAACTCTGTGCCTTTCCCTCGGCACCACCCTACTGTGTCACTGCCCCTAGCACAGGCAGCTTTACCAGTATGGAAATGACCAAGACATGCAAATTAGCAGTGGAGCACAGGAGGCCTCTAAACTGTGTCCACACACGCACTGACCTACAGTCCATCACAACACTACGAAATGTCTTAAACTCAAATGTCTGTCTTTAAAAGTGTATTTAAGAATAAAAACAAGCAGTTTGGAAATTTAGGGGAGGTATAACCACATTTTAGATTTCTGAGGACTTGTGTATCCACTTTCAATGTCCTGTTATAACAGAATCTTCATGTACTATTGTCTTTAAAGTTGCTTTTGTGTTTCATACTAAAGAAATAATTTAATACATATAGAAATATCCTCTACTTGCTTCAATGTCTGGAGTACATCTGTATCATCTTTATCTTCCCCTAACAAGACCAAAACATCAATGATTCAGACGGACACTTTTTGACTTTTTTTACTCTCTCTGCAGCTCTCAGAAACCCCAAATAATAGTTCATATAGCAGAGAAATCTTCAGTCCTGAGAAGTTGGATCTGCTATTAGCAACATTTACAGACAAATACAAATGTTTATGCAGTGATGAAGGTTGCACAGAGTAAGCTGGTGTGCACAAACCCTTCTGATGTTGACATCAAACACTAAAAATGTTTCTTGGGAAATGTCTCAGCCTCCAGATACAGGACTAAATCTGAAATTTCAAATTCCAGCTCCTGTGATTTACCTCAACTTCATTACAAACGCTATCACTGCCATGTTTCTACTGTAAACCTGTTGACTTTAATTTTCCATAATTCAAACTAAGATCAGTCGATTATGTTTCTGTAAATGGTGCACATACTGGCTCCATTATGTCTGTCTTTGTAATCAAACAGCTGAATGTGTATTTGTTGTTGTTTGTTCATCTCTCTCTTTCTCCATCTTCCTCTATCCCTACTTAAATGCCAACACAGTCTCAGTAGACGACTGTCTAACATGAGTCAGGGTTTTCACCTGTTAAAGTTTTAATCTCCATTGTAACTTGTTAAATGCTGTAAAGTGTTGGGTCTTTGTAATACAGCTGAGAAGTATGGTCTTCTCTTCTTGTAAAGTTTCTTGAGATAACATTTGTTGTGTATTGGTGCTGTATGAATAAAGATTGACTGGAACCTGTAGCTTTTTAAAATTTACATGTAAAGATGAACATGCATTATCTCCCTTTGGTAGATGCAGGTAGTTTTGATTTCATTTATTTAGATTTATCTCGGACAATTCTGCTTGGAAATTTAAAGAAAGCACAAACTATGAGCATGAACAGGAGCGAAAAGCTGCATGTGAGAAAATATCTATCTGTCATTGTGGGAAAATGATATCAAGCAGGCTGGACCTCCTCATGAAAACAAATCAGAGCTGCAACTAATTTAAGAAAAATTTGCCCATCTGCCAACAAGTAATAACATATTCAATAAAACACATGCAGCACTTCCATAAAGCAGAGTCTTTCACTTTTTTTCTTCTTCGCTCACAGAGCTATTGTTTGAGAAAAGTTCCACTTTTTCTGGTTTCTGCTTTTTTGTTTTGTGGCTGTTGTCGTTCTCAGCCCCCCGGACAGACACCATTTCTCTGCAAATAGCCTCAGGTGCATCCTGGTCTGGCAACCAACTGCCACAACACACACACACACACACACACACACACACACACACATCCCCCCTCCCCACCTCGTTCAAAAACAAGAGCTGGTCAGGAGGACTACCTGTTAAGCTTCAAATAAACCGAAGTGGGACCATGAAGAAAAAGTTTTTGGCGGGAAGTAAATCCTGAATCTTAAAACTACAAAAATAAAATTAAGAAGAACAAGGATCATTTTATGGAACAAGAGTCAATAAATATATATATTAAATGTGTTTATGTAAACATGCACATCCCACATTCCTGTGTCTACAACACTTCCTTAAAGTTTTAATATTTTTAAGTTTTTTCTTGTGTCAATCTTCGTCAATATCAGCTTTTTTAAACATTATTTTGTTACTATTTTTGTTTGTTTGCTGCCCTTAAGGCTGTACATTTTTTACTTTAATTGACATGACTCCTAAATTTAGTTAAGAAAAGGCAAAAATACAATTTTTTTTAAAATAGCTTTTTAGGTTTAAGGCATCAAGCTTGTATCCCCTTAGGTTATCTGGAGAAAGTAACAACAGCGTGTTATTTAATGATATTATCTGCACAGTAAAGTACAGGTAAATCTGCTTTGATGCACACTCAATATTGAAACTGAGACCCAACGACTCTTACATCAAATCAAATCAAATAATCTTTGAACCTGCAGTAGAAAAAGAGGGAATAAGCAGCATACTTTCCTGAGTTATGTCCATGTTGAACCCATCTGTGTGAGATGATGTTTACACGCCATGAGGAAGGTGAAATTGTCTTACCTGCCTGATCAGCTGGAGCGTCCGACTGCTCCACCGCGTCTGTGCTCATCTTAATATCTGTAATGATAAATATAGCTGATTTTCCTACAGGATTGTAACTATACCAGGACAATGAAGCTCTCAGGTCACCCAGGAAAATGAACTTGACTTTATTCTAATGTGCCCTCCCCTCCACAGCACCACGCAGATTGTGCTCACTCCTGTGTGATTCCTAGTTATAATATTCATAAGCAAAGCAGATATTCCCAGGAATGACTAGCATCTCCATGTGATGCTTGTAAACTCCAAGTTAGACTCATCTTACATGAATTAAAAACAAAGATATGAGAGAGTAATTGATAGTCCAGTATAAAGGGAGTGACTCACCTCAGGTAAATAAACAGGTGGTGTTTCTCCAGCTGCTGTTTTTGTCTCCTGGATTATTCAAAATGAAGTCAGCATTGGGGTAAGAAGTCTCAGAAATCCTCAGCTGCTCATCAGCATTTTCCTAAGTGGAGAAACACTCACCTCTGTAGATCAGCCAGCACTCTCCGATGGGCTGATTTGCATGTGCCTCGGTGCGTCCTATCCAGCCTCAGACTGTTTGCATGAAACAACAATGGGGTTACTGCCAATTACAGCCTGTGTCTGTGCGTGTGTGTGTCCATACAGAAAGGCTGAGGAGATGACATGATAGTGTGTCATTTTCACCATCTGAGATAAGGCTGTTTGGGTGTTATTATGGGGGAAGTGGGGCATCTTGTAAAACTTGTTCTTGGTAATTCTGAGGAAAAACCCTTAAAAAAACAAACCCAAAATTCAATGGCAGTCGGTTAATTTTCTATCTCCCCTCAGAGATTGAACTTTTACACCACTTTGGTTATTAAGTTGCTTTTGTACTTCATCACATCACTCTATGAATATTGTGTTTTTAAAGTTTGGCCACAAAGTTCATAGCTTAAAAAATAATGCACTTAAAACTCTGTTTATAAAGGATCAACTTGTGTGATCTTCATACACAAACTTGTAATACCAATATGGAACAAATTGATACTTGAGAGATACAAAGGAAGAAAGAAACTGTTTTTAGGGACGAAGGCAGTGAAGCAGACATTTCCATCATTGGTTTGTTTTCAATTTTATATCTAAAGTTATATATTCAGAAGTTCAAAGTTTTTATTTTAAAATTGTGTTATGCGTATGTTTATCTGCCCATCCCATATGGGCCTACATGACTCTTGGAGTTCATACAATTCAGGGTCAGAGTGCATAACAAGTTAATATCATGCAATAAAAGAAAATGAGACAAAAATACTGATACACAAACATCTGTATATTGTCTTCTTTTCTGGCTTTTGAGACAAAATTAGAAAACTTGAGCACATCAAACTTAAACAGCCAGTAGAGTTTTTGTTTTTTTGTGTTTCAGGCTTTCTCAGGTCATTGTATTTTTTACACTACAAAAGGAAATGAGACTAGGTGTCCATTTTATCCAAATCTCAAAACTTAAAAAGTCCTATTTCTTCAGGAACAACAGCCAGAGAAGAAAGTGGGTATTGTTGTGCAAAACATGAACAAAAAAAGGCCAAGAACAAAAGGATATCGTTGCTATTGATAAATTTAAACTAACATAAAATCTGTGTTTTAGGGTATTGCTTTTCCTGCCTCACAGCCTAAAGTACGGTGGCCGAGAACGGCCACTGCTGCAAATAAAAAAGAATGCAAAAAAAAAAAAAAAAGAAGCCACAACGGAGGTAACTAAAGAAGGAAACTAAGCCTGCTGCAAATAAAAAAAAGAAACGGCACAGAAAAAAAACAGAAAGTTACTGTGAAAATAGAAGGATGCAAATAGAAAACGCCACAATAGAAGTGAGGTGTCGGGGGACATTAATGATGATGCACCATTTTTGTCACGATCTAGGCACAGAGGAAGGAAGTAAGTGGAAAGGTTATTGTTTAATTTCGCTTCATGTGCTTTTCAATGTGTCATTTGGTTAGGCCACGTTGCGCCTGAGTCGATATGAAGTTGAACTGGAGGATGCCAGTGTAGTGTTAGCTTTAGTTTAACTTCATATTGACTCAGGCACCATTTTTTTCAGTTTCTTATCTTTTTTTCTTTTTTCTTGCATTGGTAACTTCCATTGGGGCTTCTTTTTTTGTATTCTTTTTTATTTGCAGCAGTGGCGGCTCTCGGCCACCGTACTAAAGCCCTTAAAGCCTCCTGTCAACTTCCATAAGCACTGAAATAAAGCGCCTGATAGAATTTTTGTTGCACTCTTTCACACTTCAGACCCATAGGTGGCGGTAATACATCCTTGAGCTGACAGACAACCCTCAATGACATAAAGAAGTAGAAGAAGAAAACGGAGCTATTTGATTGGTTATTGCTAGGGGACGAACAGCTTTATCGTGAAGCAACCGCTACCGCTGCATCTTGTAATTTAGGGCAAAAAGGGGCCGTTTTTCATCCTTTTTGGACCAAAGTGTAACCTGTACCTTAAAACAGATGAGATACTTTCGTTTTTAACGGTAGCTCATCCGCCTGCTGTGTGATAAAATCAATAAATAAAGGGGGTTCAGCCGTTTTCTTCCAGCCGTTTGTTTGTCAGGTGTGACAGGAGGCGAAGCTTGGAAGGTAAGAAGAGCCACCCTGCTAACGCCATCAAGCTAACCAACCTCACAAATTATTTATCCCTCCGTATAAACTCATCAAACTACATCATTTATGTTTTAAGATATAGTAACAGTGCTTTGTTGGTGGATAGTTGAAGCTGTCAGTCGCTGTCATGATGTAAGGCCTCTCATGTTTGGACTGAAGGCTAACGGTGATGGTGTTTGTTTGCTTTCATTACACATCCACTTATCTGAGATTTACCTGAAAGAAAACACAAAACCTGCTGCTTTTTTACAGAAAATCACATAGAGATGATGTCTGTCAGTAATGGAATGAAAGACACAGAATATTTGACTATATTTTTACACTCATTTTGGCTGATACTGTTAATTATACGAATACACGCCTATTTCTCTTGGTCCACCTGCGGTCTAATTAACCTTCTACTCCTAATTAGACAGAGTAGGGGAGAGTGGGGTAAGTTGAGCCACCCCCTGTTGCTTGGAAATGGTCAAAGAAAATATGTGACCAAATATTCAGGAGATGGGCATCAATTCATGGAGTCTGTGAAGGTTAGAAGCACATGGGTGAAGGGGTTAGACCAGTGGTTCTGACCCACATTTTCCCATGGTCCTTAAGCCACGACCCACTTTTATCAAATTCAAACCAAGCAAATTTATTTATTTTTATAAACAAAAACCTTCAAAGACTCAAATCTTTAACATAAATACACCCATTTTAAAGTGTGTTTCAGAACACATGAACCGATGACGACAACTACTGAAGTTGCATATACAGAAAATATCAAATAAATTGCACAAAATGGAGACCAGCAACATGAAACTTTTTTACTTGTATGCATCTCTGCATGGATAAAAGTGAATAAATATCAAATTGCACAACATAAAGACCATAGACTGTATATACTATGGATAACTTGGTTCCGCCTATATTATCAATCGGTTCCAAATATCAGTCACCAGTCTTGTGTTTACCTATATTCTATATTATATCAGCCCTGAAAAACTAATGTCAGTTGACAACCTGATTTCATTGGTGTTGCAAGAGTTGTTATTGTTGTTGTCTTTTTTTGCATCCTCTTCTATCCCACCTCCGAAACCCAACTTAGTCACAGCAGACGGCTGTTTATCCTGAGCCTGGTCCCTAATCATATTTTTACCTGTAAAAGAAAGTTTTGCCTTTGATATTGTTGCTAAATGTGGTCAACAACTTGGTTGTGCTGGATTTATGTTGAGTCTTTATTAATAATGAATCAGAGAGTATGTTCCAAACCTGTTTTTTTCTTTTAAGACCACAGGCTGCAACTTCTTGGATTTTCTCCTGAGATCAAGAGCGACAAACTGGCTGAAATGGATGAACAAAGTGTTGAGGTTTGTGACACACCTGTCAGGTCATACAACTGAAGATCTTCACCCCATATAGAAATGTTTACCGCTAAAACTTCCAGCTGAGCTTTAGACAGCTTGTAGACTCGAGTTTATCATATGTCCAGAACAGTCTGTTAGACAGTTCATTTCAGCAGGTAAATAGTCTTTATGATTGAGATCTGTGCAGGCTATTCAGGCTGGGGCAAAGATTTGCTTGATAATTGCACTGCACTTGTAGGTGTAGCCTACTTAAACTCAAAACCCTTTAAGAAGACATCTCTTTTGTCTCTGTACAGAGCATAGCGGAGGTGTTTCGCTGCTTCATCTGCATGGAAAAACTGAGGGATGCTCGTCTCTGCCCGCACTGCTCCAAACTCTGCTGCTTCAGCTGCATAAGAGTAAGTCTAAATCCACTAAGCAGAGACCAGAAAATGCTTTGTATCGACACTCTGTTCGGAAAATTTTAGTATCAGACATGATCAAAAACATAGATATTCGATAAATATTATTGATGAGTTTTTGGGAAAGAGTAAAGGCACGGGCTCAATTTTATACCCTATACATGATACAAAAGTCCAAACAAAAGGTTAACTTTTCAGGGCTAGAGAACTCTTATAACATCAATGGCTGTATCCTAAAAAGAACTGTTTATGAACACTTGTGACACTTTTTGTCTTTAGTTGCTATCATCACTAAACTCTAATCTCCTGTATAACAGCGATGGTTGACAGAGCAGAGAGCTCAGTGTCCACACTGTCGGTAAGTACTGCTCACATACTGCAACATCTACAGCCCACTGTGGTATCTGTCTGTGTTCAAAGTGTTGAGCTGAAAAAAAAAGACTGATGACTGTTATTTTTAGAAATGTATTTATAATTTTTTTAATCGCTCAAAGGTTTGAGGCTTAAAAAAGGTATCACTGTAAGTCTGGGTGTCCTTACCAACCTTTTATAACTCAGGGCCCCACTCCAGCTGAGGGAGCTGGTCAACTGTCGCTGGGCAGAGGAGGTCACCCAGCAGCTGGACACCCTGCAGCTCTGCAGCCTCACCAAACAAGAGGACAACGACAAGGATAAGTAAGCCCTGCTTACCACTCTCTCTGACGCTCTCTTCACTGATGCGTCTTTTGGTATTAAAGGGAGTTTGACGCCTTCATCACATATCACACTCTTCTTTTCAATATTTTAAGAAGCCTTTATTTAGCGGTTGGTTTTTGTGGTTGTAAAAAACTAATAGTTTTCAACCAAACTATCTCTGAGATAAAACATCATATTGATAACAGTCTCTTCATCCTGAAGTAAAGACAGCTCTGATAGAGTTTAAGACTCCGGCTGAGTTTAGTCAACACAATTAAAAAAGTACTTTGATGGATTTTTGTCAAAATAGTTCACTTGTCTGGTCCCAAAGAAGCACAGAAAGTGATTATTAAACGTCTGAAGATGTAAGTGACTAACACTTTTGGGCCATCTATCTCTAAAATGTTTCAATTTGAAAAAGCTCTTTAGTTACATGTAAATGCTTTTCAAACCACATTAGATGGAACAATGTACAACAAAATAAAACTCAACCCAGAATTTGTGAAGAGGGAGGAAACGATGAAAAGAAACCCTACAGTGTTGAGTTACCCTTAGTCTTAACTCTTTATGGGATTGTTTGTTTGCAGATGTGAGAACCATCATGAGAAGCTGAGTGTGTTCTGTTGGACCTGTAAGAAGTGCATCTGTCACCAGTGTGCTCTGTGGGGAGGAATGGTAATTTTTCACCTTTTTCATTTGTTAGGTAACCAACACTCCTCCTCCTCCGCAAAACGTCTTAAATGATCCAAATCTTCATTGAAAGGGAAACCGAACTTGTTTGAGGTTCTTGAAGTTGCCCCTCTAACAAAGAATTGGATAACCATGACCTGGATGAATGAGAACCTCCACGCACCATCTAAATGATTAATTTCAGTCGTGTATTCACACTATAAAGCATTTGTTTGTGGTTTTGTTGTGTCCAGCACGGCGGCCACACCTTCAAACCTTTGGTGGAGATCTACGAGCAGCATGTGACCAAAGTGAAGGAGGAGGTTGCGAAGCTCCGCCGCCGTCTCATGGAGCTAATCAGTCTGGTGCAGGAAGTGGTGAGGACTGCTTGTAATCATATTCTGGTCAAGTCATTTTGCCTCAACTTTCTAGAACACTGAGAAACTCAATGAACACATTTTACAAATCACTAGATTTAAGCATGAGAATATATAACTGGTAAATTGGTAAAACTTAAGAGATGGTACTGACATATTCCTGACTTCCACTAGATGGCACTAACACACTGATATTTTCCTCTTGGCCATGGCCGTGTAATTTAAAGATTTTAGCGTGGGAAAAGGAGCTCGGTGGTCAGCTTGTTTGTGCTTTTTTTGTGTGTTGTGTCTCTGGTCAGGAGAGAAATGTGGAGGCTGTCAGGGGAGCGAAGGACGAGAGGGTCAGAGAGATCCGTAACGCCGTGGAAATGATGATCGCTCGTCTAGACAACCAGCTGAAGAACAAACTCATCACTCTCATGGGTAAAGACTTCACTGTCACATTGTAGCTCTGCTGCTTCTGAGTTTATGAGATACTTTAAAAAGCTGGAAATGCTTCACATGAGAGGATGAATCACCTTTGAGCAAGTTGTTTGTTGATGGTTAAAATCCCGAATTTATAGACAGCATGGCTACTGTTGATTTCAAATCCAGTCTTATCATTTAGGGACAAACAAATATAAAATAATCAAATTAGTTTACAACAAATAATTAACCCATACTTTTATCAGGAAACCCTTAAGTCCTTTGAGAAATATCTGTCTTTGCATTTAAGTGATTGCAATCTGTGTTTTTCTCATCAGTAATATAACTGAGTGTCAAAGTCTTGGATGTAAACTGATAATGTCAGGTCTACTTACACTTCGTGACACTTTTGACACAGCAGTCTTAAAACTCTAGATAGGGGCAGCGTAATAAATAGAGAGATGTTTGATATAAATCTGTTTAACACATAATAACCACCTCACTATTTTCTCTTGGTTCAGTATCATCTCCTGTGCCTGGAAAAAAATACAAACTCGGTTTACTTGACCTGAAAATACAGCAGAGGAGACATTTGCAAAGTTATAAGTATTTGAGCCAATAAAGGTCCTTAAATCATGAATCTATACTGAGACTAACTTCATGGATGATTGACTTCATATAAGTAAGCAGGAGCTAAATTTAAATAGTACTAATTTGATGAGGGCTGTAATGGCATAGATGCATCATGAAAGTGGTGCAGAGCAGATTAAACTGTATGGAGCCAGTCTAATCCTGTACAAAATCTCCAACAGTATGTCTAATTAATAAAAAAAAAATCTCATTCCTCTAACAGCTTGACAAAGCCAGCTGTGTTATGTAACTCGTGTCTGAAAAGAGCTCTCGTCGGTGCACCTCGAAATGCTCTATAACGTGTCCAGAGGTTGAGACCTCAGTCTAACAAAATATGCATCGCCTCTGAGCGTCGTCAGATAAACCTTTTATAGCTGCTGGTAATACACACATGAAATATTTATCAGGGCTGAGTGGATGCACTCACACACTGCCCACATACACAACCTGCACACCCCGACCACTCACACTCTCCAGCCTCCATCAGCGCCGACATTCAGCGCAGGTGCACTGAAAATAGAAATGCTCTCTTCTCCACCAGGCCAGAAGACGTCCTTGACCCAGGAGACAGAGCTGCTGGAGTCTCTACTGCAGGAGGTGGAGCATCAGGTTGGTCCTCCACAGCCGCTCAGAGCCTCTATCCATTTAGCTGTGAACTGCCGTCCTGTTGGTGCTGTAAATGGTGGCAGCTGATGCTTCTATGTAACACATTTTGAGGCTTTTAAGTATTTGAGTGTATTTTTAACCAAGTGTTGCGTTTTGGTATAACAGGAACAGATTCAAGTAAACTTAAAGGGGCATTTTCACCACCAAATGAGTATTAGTCACATGTCTGTGGACTGTTATTGTGAGGTGCTAATAGAATATATCAGAGTGGATGAGTTTCACACCTTTTTCCGCTCAAGAATGTCACCATTATTTAGATTTTAACCACGTTTTCACCACATTTTGATGTCTATTTGTTTGTGTATCGAACAGCTTCACTCCTGCAGCAAAAGTGAACTGATCTCCAAGAGTCCAGAGATCCTGCTCATGTTTCAGCAAGTCCACAGAAAACCCATGCAGTCCTTCGTTACCACACCAGTCCCTCCAGATTTCACCAGGTACTCTTTCCAGCCACAGGGGAAGTTAATCTAGTTCTCTTGAGTATCACAAAATGTCCTTGCTTGGCCTTCCTTTAATTTGTATTATCACAAATAACTAGTCTTTCAGTATAACCGTCTTTTTGGATGACAGAAAAGGTCCAAACATGGTCAAAAGTTTAGCAAACCTGACGCTGTCAAAGTTCAGAAGAGAGAGAGAGGCATTTAAAAAGCTGAAAAACAGAGAACTTGTGGAATATTTTCCCAACAGCTGGAAAAAACTGATACCAAAATGTGTTAAGTCAGTTTATCAAATGAATCTGTCAACACATAATTTGTGCCCAAACTTTCAAGTTTCAGAGTCTTTCTATCATATTTGCTTGGTTTCTGAACAGTGAATAGTAGTTTCAGGTAGTAAGTGAAGGAATTAGAGAGGCTGTTTTTATAATCTGTATCAAAGGCAACCTGCATGAAGATTTTAAGATGATATAAACAAACAAAACTCTTGACATGACTCTTTTCTTTGTCCTTTCAGTGAGCTTGTTCCAGCCTACGACTCCAGCACTTTTGCTCTGGTCAACTTCAGGTAATCATACTTTGGTTTCATTCAGCCACAGTCTCTGCAGCCAGCTTTAAAAAGGTTCCAAGTGACAGTTTTATAAGCTGTGTGCAAGAAGATAAAGATTTTTTTCTTTTTGTTAGTTCCCCTTGGACCTCAAATCAAGAGTATTTTTGTCTTTAGCTATTGTAATCGAGCCAGACCAAAGAAAGCCATTAGAATCCCACTAAACTGAGCCCAGGATGCTGCAGTAAGACAATAACTGGCACGGATATAATGTTCTCATAAAATGTTGCTCAGTTTGATGAAATTCTGCTACATTTATCTCTCATCATTTGCCACACGGAGAAGCCAGAAAGAGCTGTAATCAATTTAGCTCTTACAACACAAAAAATCCCAGTTTGAACACTTGTTAGTGTGTATTTAAGATGATGAAAGTCCATCATTGTAAGTGAAAATAAATGAGAGAAGGGAAACTGTGGGGTTTGAGTGCTTTAGAAGCACATCTGCCCTCCTGTATATGTGTTTCAAGGATTTCTTTTCACTCCTGAAAGTTGAGCCTTGATCCTTAAGTGTCCTCATGATGCCCTGAAAGTTAATGCAGTGAACCAGTTAAGTGAAGGATGTTCACAGCTGCTGCTGCTGCTGCTTTGTTGAAAATAACTGATAATCAGAGGTGTAACTGTGTTTTTGTGTGTGTGTGTTTGTAGCACCCTGAGGCAGCGGGCCGACCCAGTTTACAGCCCTCCTCTACAGATATCTGGGCTCTGCTGGAGACTGAAAGTTTACCCAGTGAGTTTCATTCTTACCTGTGTTTTCTGTCAAAACTTACCTAAAGTATTTGTCGTACAGTACATTTCTATTGGTTTTTATGCAGTTTTTACAGTGACGTTCGTTTGGTGATATAATTTAGAAAAGATTAGAAACACTGCCTCTCTCTTCAGTTGAAGTAGAAAACTTGACAAACCAGTCCTCATGTCACGATGTTGATAACGTGATGTTTCCTCCTCAGGATGGGAATGGCGTGGTCCGTGGAAACTACCTGTCTGTCTTCTTGGAGCTGTCTGCAGGACTCCCTGAAACCTCCAAGTATGTTTTTTCATGGACATCCTTTCTTCTTCCTCTGGAGCTTCTGTAGTAATATGAAACGATGGCTTTGTTATAACCTTTAGATGTATAAAGTCAGAGAGATAATATCATAAATTCTTATTGAATGAACTGTGACAAGTGATCTTGACAGTAATCATCATTGCTGAAAATTCTAGAATAAAATACATTTTTGATATCCTAATAAATGTGGGATGACAAGAAGCTGATTGGTTGAATCTGTTGAACATTATAGCTGAGTTTTTCATAGCTTGTATTTTTTCTATCCCTGGATACTGACTGCTCTCCACACTTCCTGTGATCTTTTGTCTTAGATATGAGTACCGTGTGGAGATGGTCCATCAGGTCTCCAGTGACCCGACCAAGAACATCATTCGGGAGTTTGCCTCTGACTTTGAGGTCGGTGAATGTTGGGGCTACAACCGTTTCTTCCGACTGGACCTTCTGGCCAGTGAGGGATACCTGAACATGCAGACGGACACACTGGTCCTCCGGTGGGCTTACACACAGACACACAGACAAGCACCATCATCCCTCAAAAGAACAAACACCATTGTTACACCTACATCCCTCTGATATTATAGAAACAAGCAGCAGAACGACGACGTTGCCTGAGGCTAACAGACTTTATTTTGATTTTTATGTGTGTTCTGCACAGCTACCAGGTTCGCTCCCCGACCTTCTTCCAGAAATGCAGAGATCAGTACTGGTACATCAGCCAGCTGGAGTCGGCCCAGAGCGGCTACATCCAGCAGATCAACAACCTCAAAGAGGTACAGGCTGCATTTTTGATTCTTGTTTCAGCTCATTTAAGTTTATGTGATGTAAAGTATGAAGTTTTGTATTGACATTTTGGCGCTATTCAACACCAAGTTGATACAAAGCCCTATTTTTTGTCTATTATAGTAGCTTTCTTTATAAAAATACATAAGAAGATGTAAAAACAATAAAAATGTAATTTCTTTGAACTGGTGAAATTTTCTGACTTCAGAGGTTGGCGATCGAGCTATTTCGCCGTCAGACGTCACGCAGCTCTTCACCTCCTGACATGAGACTCAATGCCAGCACTACGACCTCTGAGAGAGACCCTCGATCTGTGAAGAGTGACGATGACATCCAGACGACTCTGAGCAACACTAAAAAAGGAGGAGGAGGAGAAGAAGAAGAGAGGACTCAGCACGATGACTCTAATGTAAGAAGGAAACTGAGATAGCAGAATTATGCGTCATATCAGTCATACAGTTAAGGTGTTCATGAATAACCGACTCAGTAAGTTAGAAACGTAAAATCTCCTTTCACTAGTTTCATGTTCTGGCTCAGCCACCTCAAGGCTATTCTAATAACCAGCTGTGATTTTTGATGCGTTAAAGCTGCACAGATTGTGGTAAAAGTATGTTTTCACCACTAACTGGGAGATAAACACAGATTTGTTTTACTTAAATCAGAAGAATGAGGATATTTGCGCCTCAGTCCTGACTTTCATGTCATCTTGCAGGAGCTTTCTGATGGTGACCTGGAGGTGGACTGCCTGACTGAAGAGGAGGTGAACCCGCTGGACGGCAGCAGCACCTCAGGGAGCTCCACAGCTACCAGCAACACCGAGGAGAATGACATCGATGAGGAGACCATGTGAGTAGAAATGATCTCTCTGTTTTGATTTAACTCACTCTTGAAGTGACTGTTTTTTTGTGAAGATGTATTATACCGATGACTCAGAGTGACAGTAACACAAAGAGGGACACTCGAGGCTGTTTTTGTTAAAATATCAAACTCAATAAAAGGAGCTTCTCTCCTGAATACATTCTTGATTGCTCATGTTTGTGTGTGTCTGCGCAGGTCTGGAGAAAATGATGTAGACTTTATCGGGAACCTGGAGACAGAGGAAGGGGAGCTTCCTGATGACTTGGCTGGAGCCGCAGGTATGATTCACACGCTCCATCTGAAGGTTTTTCAATAGTTAATTACAATTTTAGATTCTGCAGTTTTCATCTCTGGTGTGTAGGCAGTAGGTCAGAAGAGATCCGACTTCCTGTTAGTTAGCAGATGCTGTATCTCAAAAACTTTTCAGCAGAGCTCAGTAAATGTGGTCGAGTATTTGTCTGCTCAAATTACATAAAGCCTGCTTCATGTACATTTTATTAACAATGCAAGTCCCCAGGAGTCCGTGCAGGTCGTGACATGTCTTTATAATCTGTGCGTTTCTACTGCAGCGTCATCTGCTGGTTTCTTTACTGCTCATGAGAAGCCTCCGCTTTGGTAATAGCCTGCTGCCATCCTGGTTTTCTGCAGCCAGAAGGTGCTGTATTGGCTGTATTCATGTCTAGCAGACAGCCGGCAGCATCTTTCAAGATGGAAGGCTGTTGATTAGTCACAACTACACATGGGCCAAGGTGTCCTTCTATGCGTAAGACTGGTCTGTGCTTTGTGTATGGTATCATTTTCAGTGTTTTTGTCCTCCATAATGTAGAGGTAATTTCATGTGATACCTCTGACACCACCATATAAACCCATCTTAGCTGAGTCGCATTTGTAAAAGAGGTTTACATTTCTGATTTGCAGTCAACACTGAAGTAAAAATAGACAAATCTTCTAAAATTAACTTAAACATCAAAAGTTTTTTTCCTCATGTGACCATTTTTTTTCTTTTGTCTCTCATTTTCATTTTGTATTTTATCGCATCGGTCCTCATTTGAAACCTGCATTTCTCTGTCATTCTTGGCTTTTATTTTGTGGGTATGGGGGGTTAGACTGTTTATTCTTTGCTGCCAGACTACACAGAGTTCACACCATACTGTCCATATGCCAATCTTTTTGGTGGAGAAACTTGACATTTATGTGTATTTTTCTTTCAACTGTTTAAAGAGATTATGCCCCAAAACTGTAAGAAGGACTTGAACTGAAGGTTGTGTTCACAACCAGATTAATGTATTTCATTTAATGATAGTTTTCTTGTTTAATCTGGTCTACAAAACCAGCCAGTAGAAATTAGTTTTCAGATTCCCGGATCTTTAAAGGATGTCTTTGGGGTCGGCAGCACATTCTAAAGATTCCCAACATTTGTGTTTCAGTAACCATCAAATATTTTGTCCTTCCTCAGATCAAGTTCACTCTCTTTTCAGTCCAGGCAAACAAAAGCCTTATCCACTATTTGAGAATTTTACAGAATCAGATCTGCTTTTGTTGTTTGGCAGCAGCACAAGCAGAACATAGTGATACAATGGTGGGCCTCAAAGCGGCTCCTTCTGTGTATTTGACTGTGTTGGTGTTGAAAGGTATGAAGAGGCTGAGTCATTGTTGGTGCCAGTGCTGATATAGAAACACTCAGTGTCTGTGTGTGTACACGTGTGGGGGATGTGTGTGTTCTCTCTTAGATGTCAGAGTCGAGCAGAGTCAGAGTTGCTGCACTTTCTGTAGGTCCCACAGTGTCCTGATTTTTTTCATGATGACCTTTTCCTTTGATGCTGTTAAAACAATGAAGTTTAGCCTTGCAGTGCTAGCTGAAACTTTCCGACTCAAATCAGTTTTACAGTCTGAAAAATGGCAGAATGGCAGAAATAAAAAATATGGGTGCACACAATGAATTTTGTTTAATAACCTTTAATGGGATCAGAAAATGTGCATCCATGTACAGTGTAACAATAACATTTAAAAACCCACAGAATGAAATAAATCTGGACCTGTATTCAATAGTTTTTTTACAATGTTTGATTCCTAAAAAGAAATCAGGTCATTGAGTCTAAAGAGTTACCATGAATTTGCTAAAAATGAACCACTGAATAAAAATGGGGAGTTTTAGTTTCTTTACTTTAAACCCCCAGTATTTGCAAGTGGAACCTAAGTCTATTCATTTGCATTCATTTAAGTCAAATAATTACCCACTGAGCAAATTTTGGTCTAAAAGAGGTTTAATAGACGTCTAAATGTAGCCTAGAAAACTGGTCTAAAATCAGGCTACCACAGGTCTAAAAATGAAAGTTTTTTAGACATCTAAATTTAGACCAAGTTTAGTCTAACCAGCAAACAGAGCTATATCTATACTACAGTGTATATCATAATTATTTTGGTTAAGTACTTGGAGATCAGTAATGCAACTCACAGTTGCTTTTTGAAATAAATAGTTATCGAATAATGGGTTAAAGTGCAACGTCTAAATTTAATCTAAAAATGTACAGAATCCCGACGTTTGAAATTAGGTCTAAAAAAGAAACTAGGCCTCTAATAGCCGTCTTTTGCTCAGTGGGTAGTAGAAGTCGGTTTAAGAGGATCAGGAGCAAAAACAGTGAAGGTTTGACTAACAGAAGTTACAGAAAAATAAATTTCATTAAAAATGTCAACACCGTTTTGATCTTCGTCCTTTTAAAGACATAACCCACTGAGCATTTTTTGGTCTAAAAGAGGTCTAATAGACATCTAAATGTAGTCTAGACGACTGGTCTAACATCAGGCTACCACAGGTCTAATAATGAAAGTTTTTTAGACGTATAAATTTAGACCAAGTTTAGACTAAATCTAAATCTGGGCTATTTCTATACTACACTGTCTATTGCTCAACGGCTATCATAATTAAATTAGGTCTAAAAAAGAAACTAGGCCTCTAATAGCCGTTTATTGCTTGGTGGGCAGTTAGCTAACTTTTGGGTCAAAGCCATAATTACCTGTTGTTAAGAGAAGGAGAACTCATGTTTTGTCCTGACCTGCAGGTGGATCCAGCTCCAGCATGCGTTCCTTACATCGCGGTTCATCCGCCGGTCGCAGTGGCAGCAGTAGCGGAGCTGCTGGCGGTGCTGGTGGTCCAGGCAATAACAGCCTTCTGGAAATAGACCCCGTCATCCTGATCCAGCTGCTGGATCTGAAGGAGCGCAGCAGCGTGGAGTCTCTGTGGGGCCTTCAGCCTCGGCCTCCTGTATCTCTGCTGCACAGCCAAGGTCTGTAAACAGACTCTGCCAACTGACAACAAATCATTGAGGCTAAGCTGAGGATCAATATTTAATTCACACCCAGGGTCCCTCGACACATAAATAAACTTTTAGAGGGAAACTTTGACATGAGCTCTCTGCCTCTTACTCTTGAGAGAAAATTCTGTCCTTACAATTTTTGTTTTGGTGACAGAGAGCGCATTAAATATTAGAGTTTTCTATGAAATAAGACATCTTTTATGTAAAAATGTGGCAGAAGCCTAATTTGAGTTGGATAATCCTGTTATCACAAGTCTTTTTTTAGCTGTTTGTTAGGAAAGGCTATATTGAAGACATGAAAAATCATCCAAATTTACTTCTATAAAGGCATCTCCATCAGAAATATTTATTTTCTGCATCGTTTACTTTTAGTCCTTAAATTCTTGTCCATGTTTTCTTTTACAGCTCATCCTCACTCCAGGAAAGATCGGGAGCGCCGGCCTCAGGTCGTGCGGCGATCAGCTCCAGACTCTGGGGTCCTGATCCGTCTCAAGGCCCAGATGGCTGAGGTCCGCAGTAAGATGTCCGATGTCAAAAGTCAAGTACTGGAGGCTCGAGGGTCCGGAGAGCCCAGGCCTGGCCCGTCAGGAGGGTTCAGCGTGGAGGATGTTCCCTCCCACCACACTGACCCAGAGTTGTCAGTTTGTCGTAAACCAGGGGAGCTGGATCTGCTGGGGAGAGGAGCTGCAGCTCGATCAAGGCCCTGCCGCCCTGGTGAGGACTGCTGCTGATATTGTCAAATTCCTTTACAGACAGAGTGCCAAGAGTGTGCGAGTGTGACTCAGAGAAGTTAACGAAAACACAGAAAGTGTGAATTAAGAATCTTGTCTTGGTCCTCAACTTTTCACTTCTACTGCTCTAACCATCAGGACATAATTCACTGCAGCAGATCAAAGTTCAAACCTCTCTGTAATCATTTCTACCGATAGATCATGTCCTTGTCTGCTGCCACTCTGAAGTGTCAGTGGGTGTTTTCCAGCCTCCATTAACAAAGTGCAAAATGATTGGCCTTGCATTATTCTGGATGCCAGGATAGAGGAGTTATTTATTTTTCTGAACCTTCTCTAAGAATGAATTGAATTTGGCATGGCCTCGACTGGAGTAACATGTTCATCTGTTTTTTGTTTACATGCAGCCAGGAAATCTCTGTCCCCCGTTCTGGACAGTAGCGGCTCTGTGGTGATGAAGAGGAGGAGTCCTGAGGAGATGGAGAAGGACCTGCGAGGTGCAGACTTGGCTACAGAGCTCAACCTGCATCTGAAGGATGGGCTTGGAGGTGTTGAAGGTTGGTAGTTTTCTTATTTAAATCCCTGGTAAACATGGACATAATATCATCATGCAGATTTCTGAGGGTGGGCTGCAGAAACATCAATGTTTGTTTTCGATTCAGTCGCATATTTTACAACAGTCATTTTTTCGATGCATGATGATTCACTTCACTGCAGTGATTTCCTTATTTACTGGATATTTCCAAACAAAGAATTCTACAATAAGCTGAAAAATAAAGAAAACGACAAAATAAAGTCAAAATTAAAACATATTAACAACAGAGATAAAAAGCTAACTGTTTATTTTACTGGCATGTCAGATCACCCATTAACATCTCTAAACTTTCAAAGATCAACGCTGCATAGTGGGAAAAAAATCTTTTTTTAAGCTGTGAAAATGACTGAGTGTTCTGAACATGATCATCGACACGAAGAATCTTTCAGTATCTCATGTTGGAGTCCAAATGGTCTTTACTTCTCTTCGCTCTACTTTCCTTTGTGCTCTTCCTCTGTGACTCAAAATAGTTCCTGGAGCTCTAGTGGCTGAACTGTTAATCTGTGGGCTGTTTGAGCACTACATCCTCCTACACACCACAAAGTGTGTCAATATTTCAACCAGTGTTTACATCCCAGTTCCAGACATCAACTGTCCCAGTAAATAAACTCTAAATATTGAGATTTTACAGCAGGGTGTGTTTCAGTCTGGCAGTTCACGTCACTTTATGCTCCATTTTACACCTGTTTTTAAGTTGTTTAAAGTCTTTTCTTACCCTGTCATTGCTTACAGCTATTTTCCTTGAATAAAGTATTTTCACTTCTTTTATTTCTTGGAATATTGCAACAGAAATTCAGATTTTTGTCAGTGATTTTTGTTTCCGATTCACTCTAACTCCTCTAATTTTCACAAACTGTTTGCAGCCAAAAGAAAAATCAACACTGTGCAGAAAAACCTCTGAAACATTTATGAAATCAAATGGTAATTTTATTCAACTCTTTGCCTCGGATGCCACATGGAAATGGCATTCCGCCTACTCAAGTGGGAAGTTTTATCTATTGAGGCTCTGTGTCAAAATCCAGGCAATTTTTAATCTTTTGATTTAGGATTGAGTTAACAGTATCTGACATGTCTCCAACAGTGGATTATACTAGTGTGGATATTCGTGGTTTTTAGACGATGAATCTTTTTGGAAATACAAGCTTTTGAATTATCCAGAAACATCCTCCAAAACTGAACAGTAAAGCGATGCCTGAAGCACTCCAATAGGTCTGCTGACATGAAACTTATGGACACCTCTGTGCAGAATGAACCTGCGTGTTCTGATATTCTCACTTTTAGTTTTATAAACAATGTTACAATTCCAAATCTATCCAGTTTGCAGATTTCCATCAAATTTTGTGACTTAGCCATCATCATCATCACCGCTAACAGCCATTACTGATATCTCTAAAGTGGGAAACTTGTTCAGGTTAGTTTGCAGAGTGTGTCTGACATTAGCAGAGCTAGCATCACCAGTCTTTGGTCCTTCGTTTAGGTTCGAGATGCCATCTGTGTTTGTTGACATCCCAGTAGAGCATGATAACGTTGCAGCGGCAACTGGCAGCTTCTGTTAGTGGAGCTGCTGCCACAACACAACATTTTCTAATGCACTGTAGTTTTCTTACTTTTCTTTGGCTGGATCCAAATCAAAACAAATGAAGACCCAGGATTTTCCACTGTATGACTTTGCACCTGTCTCACCTTCAGGCATGCCAAAGGCTGACGGTACCCAGAGCCCCCTTGTGTCTTTGGGCGGCTCCTCCTCAGAGCAGGCCTCCACCTCCAAGCAGCAGTACTCAGTGGAGCAGCAGCATTACAGGGCCTCGGGGTCCAGGGATGACATCTTCTCCTTGGGAGGACAGAGCTATGTGACTGCCAGCAAGAGCTGTGGCAGCAGGACCCTCGGGTGCGTCGCAGGGACTCGCTTCTTTTCACACACGGCAGATGGCTGTGTTACTCAGACTGCTACAGAGAACTCTTCATCTCCTCTCTCTCTGCCCTGCTGTTCACAGAGACTCTTTGTTTCTTTCTACTGCAGGGCGGCCATGTTGGACTGTGAACCTGAAAGCTCAGGAAACTCGCATCAGTCAGTGCTGGAAGGACTTTCTGCGCAGCCACAGTCAAACGAAGGTGAGCTTCTCCTCGAGCTGCCTGTGTCAGGAGTTTAAAGACTGGCCAACTCTATCAAGTATAAGAACTCAAACACTTTCAAATCTAACTCATGACTACATTATATCTTGTTACTTTTATTTATTTATAAAATTAGTTATTTGTACAAGAGGTGCAAAAATGACAGGGTCCCATTTTACAGGGTGTTGTGTAATGGATTATTTTTTGGCCTGTAGCTGTTTACATTTGGAGACTCCACCGGTTCTTTAAAGCCAAGAAAGAGTCTGGCATATATAACCAACGACTGACTGTCAACTTCAGTTTTTATAAAAGAAGAAAAAACTACAGAAAGTTAGAGTGGGATTAAATGAGCTTGAGGAATGTCAGAATGCTACACTTGGATTTGCTGTTAGCTTAAGCATGTTTGCTAATTTCTCCATATTTAGATCTTCTGTTGATTAGTGTATCTGAGTGTACTAAACGAGTCGGACAAACTACCAAGGACCCCAGTGGAGGAAGGGGCCTGTGATGGGCCTGAAATGAGAATATTTATACTCTTGTTATGCTTTTTATTTCTGTGTTACCTAACGTAACCCAAACACTTGGAAATATGTTTACATCTTTCCTAATATTTTTTTTGTGCCCATCGACTCCAAATGGTCTGAAACATGCTCCTAAATAGGTCCTGGACAGTGATTTTAACCGTAACCCCTAACCCTAACCCTAAACATAAAAAAAAACTGTGTCCGATCTTACTATGGAGGGTAGTGGTCCCAGACAATCCCATTCACTTAATTGGAGATTTTTGATTTAAAATTGCCCATAACTTTTGAACACCACATCGTAGAGACTTCATTCCGGTACCAGTGAAGTCGGAGTACATGAAATAGGGTGGTTTGGTCTTGGTCACGGATCTCTATCTCGTTCCCTTGAGGATCACTTGTTGGTGAATGTGGTTAAAACCCATAGACTGTATATAGAATGGACAGCGTCTGCCTCCTTGCTGGGTGAAGCCACTCCGAAAACAGCACCCTCTATTGACAGGCTGCAGTATAGGTCATAAATCCCACCTCCACCAGCAAAGCTTATGGAGCTGTGGACAAACTTGGGAAAATAATTACGCAGAATTTAAATTTTTCTCCCCCCTGCTTGCAATGTCGACATCTAGTTACAGTAAGACTGGTTTGTGCTCAAGTCTTATTTTTTTCTGTGAAGCTCCGTTTTTAAAAGTTGTTAGGAGGTTCATGTTTTCTATGATTGACACCTGATCCAGCCTATTGGCGTTCAGGGATCGTGTAGCTCACCCAGGGGATACGCTGTTTGAGCCGAGCGTCATCACAGCGACTCTCGGTGACTCCCCCGCCAAATGCGCACAACGCTACTGCGCAATGTTGATTTCAGGAAATGAAGGAAAATCGTTGAATTACTGAGAGCTTTTTGGCTTCAAATCTGTATACTGTCGTGAGGCGGAACCAAGTTGTCCATAGTATCTACAGTCTATGTTAAAACCCCTATACTAAACGTAACTCGAACACAAATTATTTTTTGTTCCTATCGACTCCAAATGGTCTCCTAAATAGGTTCTGGACAGTGATTTTAACCCAATAAGTCTTATGGTCTCATCCTGTCTTTAGATCCATCACCGTCTGTCCTTGTGGAAGCAACCAGCAGCGACAGCGACACTGAGGACGAGGCCCTGCAGAGCAACAACTCACGCTACGACAACCAGACTCCTCCCTGCACAGGTATCCAGCATGTACTATGTCCATGTACTATGTCCATCAGACCACATTTATCGCAGAGCGTCTTTTTACGCCGAGGTCGTCAGAATTAAAGACTCAAATCTTTGTCACTGCTGCTTTTACAGATTTCACAAGCAATCAGAATGAGGTTTTAAAATGAAACAAAATAAAATGGTAAGCTGGTGTAATGCAGCCATAAAAAACATTTCCCAGAATTTGTCCTCTTATTTCCCTCAGTGTGGTCCACACCTGACCCCTTTTCCTCCTCTCTGAGAATATTTACTGTACAAAAGGACCGCTGAAGATTTTTAAGTACCTAGCTTGATGAAAGAGTGCAGCAGAAAGGCGGAGCTGATGACATTTCTGTCATCCTGATGAATACGAAAACATGCAGCCATAGACACACCAAATTTGTTCTTGATTATACTTGTCCCATCACCACCGTGTGGGTGTGGAGGAGTGAGAGAAAGCAAGGTACGAAGATGGATATTTTTGGTCTTTTTTTCTTGTCAGCTCTGTAGACTAAAATCCAGTCAGAACAAATTCCAAAACAACCATTTCTCAAGAACAGAGACATTTCAAGGTCAGACTGTCTGATTTGTATGACTAGACAGTCTGAGGCTTCACTCACATCAAGATTGCCGTGCCCTTTCTGAGTAATTTCACAGCAGATTTTGTGAAACTGTGATTTAGCAAGGTACACAGGATGTAATCGCTTTCTATCACGGCACCTTATTTTCTTTTTTGTTCCACCACGTTAATCTGACATGCCTTAAAACCATCCAGTTTGTCACAAATGCTTTTTGCCGTGACACAAACATGTGTCCTCCTACACTGTTACTTTACGATGAAAGCATATATCAGAGTCAGCTTTCAAAAAGATGCAGAGTATTTTCACCTAGCAGAGTCAGATCATCTTTATTAGGGCCTGACCGATATGGATTTTTGGGGGCCGATGCAATACCAATTATTAGGGAGGAAAAAAATACGATTACGATTAATCGGCCGATTGTTTAAAATTTTTTATGAAGTTTTAAAATGTTAATTTAAGTAATATATCAACATAGTAAGAGAAGTAGCTCGATCACGTCATGTGTACTGTTGTTTATTCTAGTGTTACTGGCACGGCTAACAGTGTAGCAAGGCTAATAGCAGATGGCTAACTCTAACTTTAGCTTGCATATTACATGGTTCTTCACCGTTAACTCGGCGTGACCGAGACCAGCACAGCGGGGAACATGGTGAAGTGGGTTGAACTGAAACTTGTTGACTTATTGTGTATTTCACAAACTGGTTTATTTACCGTTGAGGCGGACCACTCTCCTCCGTGCGTCCCTGAGCTGCCTGCTTCAGATCCGTCACTCTGCTGTGCTGTGAGGTAGTTAGTGGATGAAGATTGTCATGAGGTCGCTGCGCCATCTACAGGATAAGTCGGGGAACCTTTTAAAATGGCAGAACATTTTCAAAGTGAAACTGGATCTTATTCTCTGCATTTTATTTCTGGAAATATCGTCGAGTTTTGGCCGATTACTGATTAGTCTCAAACGGACTAAAATTGGCTGATTTAATCGTCTCGCCGATAAATCAGTCGGGCCCTAATCTTTATTGATCCTATGTTGGTGTGTCTTCCCATCCAATGATGTGTCTTTGTTTTTTTCTTTGGTCACCTACCCCTAAGGCAAATTTCTGCCCTGCGCCTTTATTTATACGCTCGCCAAAAATAACGTGCTATGAGTCATTTTTTTTGGCTGCCCACTGAGTCCAAACATAAAAGTGAAAGAGCTCTAGGTTGGGATCACAGGTTAACCAAATATCGAGGAAACTCGCAGAGGAAAATGCTAAAGCCTGCATCAGCTGGAGTTAATGAGTTTGACATGTAGGAGTTTATTCATCCAGGCAAACCCAAATGACCAAAAATCTATTTTTCTGTCGACAACTGCGAGCCAGCATGTATGTCATACTCTGTGTTGGCATATGCAGAGATATTGTGTTGCATGATTGAGAATTAAGTGTTTAATAGTGTTCAAAGGTTATGTTTACCTTTGGGTGATTTGGTAACATTTAGAAGCATTCAGGCGTTCACGTATTTTGCTCAAATACTTCGTTTTTTCTCCTTTTTCCATTGTGAGCTGTGTTGTTGCTGATGACTGATTTCTCCTCCTCTCTCTTCAGGAGAGCAGCTTCTGTCTGATGATTTGAGCCTGCCAGCTGACAGGTGATTCTCCCTGAACCTGTTGAAAACGTCAGGAGACGACACACATGCTAGTAAACACACGCCTGTAGAGTAGAAACTGCTTGTTATGCATGAGGTCGTAACGAAGATGATGCAACAGCTCACCTGCTAGTCCAGAAACAGAAACGTTTTCTCTTGTTTCTCTGAGTGTTTTAGTATCAAGCAAGGACAGAAGTTGTTTTGCTGTGGTTATAGAAACACTAACAGATCTGATTGGCCCGTTATATTATTGATATCAAAAGTGTTCCTTTGAGAGGACAGCGAAACTCTTTCAATTCCACTGCCGGTTATATCTTTTAATATTCAGGACGTTCATTTTGAAGACTCTAGCCATTACCTAAACTGCAGGGCATTTCGTCACTTTAACTACAGATTTGTTATCAATGTTTTTGTATATCTGACATGTGAACAACATACTAACAGGAGTCTTAGCTAAACTGTTAATAATCTGCAGTGTCTCTATAAGAGCTAAGTGTTTTATAACAGCTTGTTGTGGATGTTTAACTCAGTCTGTCTGGGCTTCAGTCTCCACTCCTACTCCACTTCCTTCACTCTTGTCCCTGCACCTCCCAGCAATGGTGCTTTAAAAGGTCTTTACTCATTCCTCAAACACTCAGTTTCAGCGACACCGCGGCCTGTTGTCTGCTTAATTCCGTCCTTTTTATTCCTTAAGGTGAGCCTGCAGCACTCCATTAGCTTTCCCGGTAACTTATGTAATTGTCCTGTCTTAACAGTGGCAGCGGCAACCACAGCGTCTGTCTTTATGTGACATTTGAAAAGGGTAAACGCTGACTGAATCACATGGATTATAAAACAGCTGCTGCACTGATGTATGTGGGCTGAAACTTTGAAGCATGCCGCGGATCAGACTCTTCATATCGTCCGAGCAGGTGTTTTTGCTCCAACGTCTGCCTGGACATCACTGGCTGGACCCACAGGTGCAACATGCTTGATGAAATCCTCCCACACAGAGCTGCTTCAGCACAGTTTGACAGGAAACTCAAACTCAGACTCGTTCATTTTTAAGAAAGGGAAGAAGAGAGGTAGTTTGGTTTCTCATATCTTGATGGTAAATATGAAGCTTCAGCCAGCAGCTTAAGCTCGACTTGAAGACTGTAAACAAGCGGAAAGAGGTAGCCTGGCTCGAGCAGCTGTGTTGTCGTGAATTTAGATCCTCTACTTCAGACTGGAAGTCAACAAAGTCAAACAGTGCTGCTCTCTGATGGTGAGAAACTTGGAAATGAGTTGCACCGCTGGTTTCAGTCAGTGACGTCCAAGCAGCAAACACAAAAATGGACGAAAAAATTCTCCAACAGGCTTTAGTCGCTGCAAATAAAACAGAGAAGAAAATGTTCCAATTATTGCAGAAAATCCACAAAAACAAACTCAACGGTTTTGCTTGCTTCTCTTTCTTCAGTATTAAGTATTAAAAACTGTCGACATTGTGCTCTGCAGATTACTCAGAGCAACAGCGGTGTTTTCTTTGGAAAGAAATGTTACTGATAAATTTTTCAAATGTCATTTTTCTGTGCTGTGAGCATGACAGATGGCACCACAGACAGGCATCTTCAAACCAGCACTAATACAACAAAAATCTGCACAGTTCTGCACCGCTCAAGTAAAGAGAGAAACTGCTTTCTGTAACTAGAGTACAGACATTTTGTGACGCATTGAAGGTCCTTTTCTAATTCTCAGAAATCCTCTAAGCAAAGTTTCAAAATCTTTTTAATTACTTGACATGTTCTCTGTGTTTGCTTCACTGGTTGTTTTCCCTAGAAATATTATTCATCACCTGATTGTTCCCAGCTGACAAAGGCTGCTGCAAAAACGTGTACATTATTGGGAGAACACATTGTTATGTTGATTTTCTTTGTATGTTACAGACTGCACTTTGATGGACTGTTGATAAAGTCTGATGTAATCCCATGAGCCATAACTTGTATTTGAGGTCATTTAGACTTGGGGTGAAAGAAATCACATTATCAGACTCTTCTACAGTCTTTAGTTTACACTGTAAATATGTTAGTCGTGGTGCTCGCTCTAAGTGTGCCTCTGTGTGCATGGCTTTATTGGCTGAGTGAAAGGGCATTGTGTTTACACTGTTACATAATCAGATAACAGATATTAAAGAAACGTTAGGAGTGTGTTCCCCTGCAACCCCAGTCCATGTTTTCAGGTTGTCCATGTCTATTCTTTTGTCACTTTTGCTTAAAATGTTCATAAATATGACTGAGATATCAAGCTTTGATCATTTGCTAACCCCATTTCCTTTTGTGCCTGTCAAATGCTGCTTTTATTTTGAAAGTTCCCAGAATGCACTGTGCATCTTTCAATGTATAAATTTCCTTGTTGTACATGAAATAAATTGTTTTAAGCTCACAAAAGCTCAACATTTAATGTCATTTTTGGATCGTTGGAGATGCATCCTCACAATGAGGTTATTAGAGATATGTAGGAGTGTTAAAACTGAAAATTATCATTGTATGTAATGTGTTAGGGGCATAAGAATGTTAAAAATGCGTAAACAGTGTACAAACACAAGTAGCCTTTCTAAGTAACTAAGTAATTATTTGAGCCCCGCTCAAAAAACGCTAAAAATTAAAATTTTGGTATTAAACAAAACAAAATATGGTTTGATAAAAATGTCATAGTATACTAGGATAAAAAATTAAAATAACGGTAGAAAAAAATGTCAGTATATTAAGTCGAAAATGTCATAGATACTATGATAAAAAAATTTACATTTTGGTATGATAAAAATGTCATGGTTTAGTATGATTAAAAATGTCATAGTATAATATGATAGAAATGTCCTAGTATGCTATGATAAAAATTTCTAATTATTATCTGAAAAAATGCCATAGTATAGTATGTTAAAAAAAAATTAAATTTCGGTATGAAAAAAATATCATAGTATATAATTTTAAAAAATATCATAGTATAGTATGATAAAAATGTCATAGACCACTACGTTTAACAAAAAAAAAAAGTTTTGGTACAAAAAAAATCATCGTAGTTTAGCATGTTAAAAAAATGTAATAGTGTACTATGATGAAAAATTCAAGTTTTGGTATGAAAAAAGTATCATAGTTTAGTAAGTTAAAAATTGTTGTTGCATATTATGAAAAAAAATTCAATGAGATTTCCTTTTGAAAGAAAAGTCAAAGTATAGGAAGTCAAATTATGTCAAAGTATACTTTGATAAAAAAATTTAAATTTTGGTATGATAAAAATGTCATAGCATTGTATGATGGAAGAAGTCATATAGTATGATAAAAAAAATTCAAATTTTGGTATGAAAAATATGTCATCGTAAAGTATATTAAAAATTTCATAGTATAGTATAATAAAAATGTCATAGAACACTTTGATGAAAAAAAAATTTGGTACAAAAAAAAGTCCTAGTTTAGTATGTTAAAAAATGTAATGGTGTACTATGATGAAAAATTCATGTTTTGGTATGAAAAAAAAGTTATAGTATAGTAAGTAAAAAATGTTAAATCATGGCAAATTTTTTTCAAAATTTAGTATAAAAAATGTCAAAGAATAGTATGATAAAAATATCATAGTATAGTATGAAAAAAATGTCAGTGAAGTATGATACAAAATTTCATAGTATAGTATGATAAAAATGTCATGGTATACTATGATTGAAATTTCAAATTTTCGTCCGAAAAAAAAGTCATAGTATAGAATGTTAAAAAATTACACAGTATAGTATGATAAAAAAAAAATAATAATTTTGTAATGAAAAAATTGTCATGGTATAGTTTGTTTAAGATTGTCATAGTACAGTATGACAAAAATGTCATAGAACACATTGATAAAAAACAAACTAATTTTGGTACAAAAAAAGTCATTGTATAGTATGTTAAAAAATGTCATAGTGTACTATGATGAAAAATTCAAGTTTTGGTATAAAAAAAGTCATAGTATAATTTGAAAAGAAAAAACATAGCATAGTAAAAAAAAAATTCAAATTTTGGAATGAAAAAAATGTCATAGTAGAGTAAGTTGAAAAAATCTTAGTATAGTATGATGAAAAATGCCAAAGTATATTATAGTACAATAAAAATGTCCTAGTATATTTTGATGAAAAATTAAAATTTTGGCATAAGAAAAATTCTTAGCATAGCATGATAACAACCATCAAAGTAAAATATGTCAAAAATTCAAAATTTTGGTATTTAAAAAATGTCATTGTGTTGAATGATAAAAAAAAAATGCATGAAAAATATCATATTATCATATATATATCATATAAAAAATGTCATAGTATAGTTTGTTTCTCAAAGTACACTATGATAAAAACTCAAAAAATCTTTTTGTGAAAAAAGTCATAGTATAGTATGATAAAAAAAAAGTTATAGTATGGTACCATAAAAAAATTCAAATTTTGGAATAAAAAAAATCATAGTATAGTATAATAAAGAAATTAAATTTTTTGTTGGAAAAAATATGTCGTAGTTAAGTTCCAATTTTTGTATGAAAAAAATGTCATGATATATTGTGCTCAAAATGTTATAGTATAGTATGATAAAAACTTTATAGTGAAGTATAATAAAAATGTCTTAGTATAGTTAGTACAATTCAAATTTTGGTATGATAAAAAATCATGGTATAGTATGATAAAATATAATAGTATAATATAATAGAAAATTAAAAATGTTTGTATGAAAAAATGTCATAGTATTGTAAGTTAAAAGGTATTATGGTACAGTATTATAAAACAATATCATCGTATAGTATGATTAAAAAATGTCATAGTATAGTATGATGAAAAAAAAAAGAGCTTTTTGGCCTTAAATCCTAACCCTAACCCTACTGGTGGAAGGCGGAACCAAGTTGTTCGTAGTATATACAGTCTATGGTTGGCCACCGTATCAAACCGGTAAAAGTAGAGAATAAAAACAGATTATGAGAGGGGCAAAATGATGAGTGTTTTTTAGTAGAATGTGGAGGACTGCTCACTTTTGAAAAGCTGTTTATGTAACAGCAGACAGCTCTGTTCTACATGAAAGCCCTGTTACAGCATCGCAGCACTCCTCCCGCAGCTCTCTCTGCTTGTCCACGTTTTCTATTTTTTAGTGCAGTGACTAAACTAAACCTTTTGTTCCCTTGTGCCCTCTTGTACTGTTTAATTTTCATAACCCTATAGCCTGATTATCCAAGATGGATTATTGGGTCAGTAAGGTAATCTGCTTTATGTTTTAGTATTGCACAGATGGTCCTTTTTTATTATGACACTGCAAGAAAGGCAAAGATGAGACACAGGAGCATCCATTTATAGATGCAGTGTCCTTGAATTTCCTATGAATGTTACATTACTCCAAGTACAAGTTATTAAAGAACAAGGGTTCAGGTGCTTAAAACACACCATAAACTTTGTAGCTGCAACTGCAACACTGGTTCTTATGAAAATACAGATTTATCTTTAATTATTAGGTTAAAATGGAACAAAAAGTGCATATAAATAAAGCTCCACTGAGGAGTTTTTTGAGGTAAATAAAACAGATTGAAGTATTGATGCTTTTTCTTGAAATCCAAAAGCAATCAAGACCATTAAGTTGTTCTTAATGGCTGAAAATTTTTGTACACTAATTTTCAATGCCTGAGACCAGAATGAGGGGGTAGGTGTCAGCCAAGCAGCTGTAGGAAATATCCCTCCTTTTTTACTTTCAGCAGGATCAAATCTTTTGGTTTAAGAAACAACTCAAGCAACTCAACAACAACAAAAAAGCAACAGCCGAAGACTTGTTCTAATCTTTATATACATGATAATTAGTCACCAGTTACAATACACAGATTTATATACTACAGGAACACAGATAATACAGGTACTCAACGTGTTTTACTGTTTTTTTATATATTTTTTTAACCTAACCCGCATGTTGAAGAATATCCGGTCTCAGGGTTTGTCTTTGGTTCTGTCCACAACCTGCTGAGGAATGCAGAGATAACTCAAACTGCTCTGCCTCCGATCACAGCCCCTTTATTAAAAAGAGAAAGCTACTTATTCATTTTTCCCAATGTGACCTCTAAGAACTATCTCTGAATGGTTATAGGAGTTGAACGAGTGTCATTAAGCAACCCTTACCACAGGCAGCATATTATGACTCACAATCACTCCCTTAGCGGGGACAAAGAATAAGAAACTGACTTCCAGATCTCATCATTTATGCTCTGTGACCTTTCAAGTATGGCTGCATCCTTCAGCAGTAGACAAACCCTGAGAGAGCCTTTTAATGCGACGTCATTATTGCTTACAGAGAAAAAGAAAAAGCTTTTTTGTGTACATAGACACAGTGCAGATTCATGGAGGGCCTTATAGTTCAACAGTGATTATGGGAGAGCAGAACTGAACTTCTGCTTCGCTTTCGTCATCAGGGGAGGAAAACATCCGACTCACAGGAACCTTAAGTGCAAGCAGAGCGTGAGTGAGGGGGACACGTGGGTTTTTCTTGAGCTTAGGTAGACAATTTACCACAAAGAATGATGGTAAATGTTTTTTTTTTTTATTGCTCATACAGTGACAACTTCTGGCAATAAGATGAATAACACTGATTTAACTATTTCACAGGGATTTGGTGCAAGCAACCCATGTCACACTCGTCACCGAGCACTGCTGTGATACAACTCTCCCTCCGGAGCCTCACATCCACACTGACGACCTGCTGTGGCACTACATCAGTGAATCGACAAAATCAACGGTGAATCACAGAGGACAGAGAGTGACTGCTGTACTGCACAGCTGCTCTCAGGTGTGGCCACAAGTTCAACATACTTCAGTCCGTACAGAGCACATTTCTACAGCCTGGAGGCCACAATTTAAAAAAAAAAAAAGATCTTGTTTTAATGACAAATCATCTGACTGCAAGAAGAAATTAAATGTTTTAGTGGGAGTCATTTTGGTTGAGCTCCTCAGAGTTACATTAGCAGTATAAAATGAAGTTGGTCTGGCCACAGCATTCTTCCTTACTGAACTATTTCAACATTTGGGTGGATCGCCACCAAATTAAAATTAGTTCCAGTCAAGGAATTTGGCCGATCTGCTCACTAATTTTCATACCACCAACCTAATGTGTCCGCCACCCTTCTGGTTCGAGCTGTTTCGAAATTGTTCTGGTGTAAATCAAGCTAATCGTATCAAGTTTTGGCATTTTAAAAACTACTAAGATGGCTGCGATTTAAGTTATGTGTCAGTGATAAGCATTAATATCTAATCATGTCAAGCCAAATGTCAGTATGTTTTGTTTGAGTACAGGTCACACTTTTGGAGCTGGATGCCAAAAGAAGCAACCAAGCTTACTACAAGTTTCCTTGCTGTGAAAGTTAAAGCATCAAGAGGCATTTGGTGTTCACCCTTTAGAAACACAGATGACCCAAGAGTTTGCAGACTAAGTGTGTGCCTTTACATCACTTTCTGGTTGGAAATAGGTTAGCAACAACCCTGCCATGCAGTGTCACAGAGTTAGCTGTTTTTTACATTACCAGAACAGATTTCAAAAACAGTTTTGAGTGGACCACAGTATTGGGTATGGGCATGAGAGCATGGCCCATCTTTGGCTTTTTTTCCATACAAAAAACAACTTGTAAATCATAATAACTTTGTCTTAGACCTGAAGGTTATTTCGTCATTATAACAAGATACTGACATCAATTCTTCCTGCATCTTTGTGGCATCACTGCTGAAGATTATTGCTCTGTAGGACTGCTTACAAAATCAAATCTTTCATCTAAAGCTGTTTAGCTCTCTTGTGTTCCTTGTCTCTATGCTAATCTATAAGCTACTGATATAATTTGATTGGCAAATATTTCATTTTAAGGCTGGTACTGTTACAAAAAAATAAATAAATAAATAAAACGGAAGCTGCAAATTGGAGATACAATATTTGAAGCCGATATTTATGATCTTTATGTTTATTTCCCCAGATTTTATTCACTTCAGGGTAAGAAAGCAGGGTTCAACAGCAGCTAGACCACAATAGGACACTACAACTCTCCAGTGAAAGCCAGACTGGTTCAACACCTTTTATATACTTTAGCAGCTCTTAAAGGCAGAGGCAGGGTATACGGATTAATGCCCCCCTCCCCAAGCAGTTCAGTAACATCACATCCTCCACCCCCCACTGGCGGGAGATTTGGGACAGTCTAACTTCTGATTCTTTAAAGTCATTATCCTCCAACAGTCAGGCCTTGTTGAGCATGGAATAGAACCACTGATTTACAAGACAGAAATATTATTTGTACACTCCTCCAGCACTCACTCAACTCACAATAAGTACTCATAAAATACATACGCATCCGTGCCTAAGTGAATATATGAAATGACTGTGATCACACTGTTTCTTTATGCTTCATCCATCTTCTTCAGGGTGTCAACAATGTCAACAAGGGCTTTTGGAGACAGTGAGGTGTGTTACTGCCACAGCTGGATCCATCGGCTTTAGTTTGTTGAGTGTCTTATGGTACATTCCTCATAAATAGAAGCCTCCGAAAAGTAAAATCTCCCAATGAAACTCCTCCTCATGTTGACCCACTTCACTGAGTCTCTGAGGACGTTCTGGGGCACGGGGTACATTCTGCTCCACTGGCAGTCTGATGCTCTTCACTAGTTAGTCCACAGGATGGTTAACAGGGAGTGAAATGAAAAAATGGCAGTGAGTCTATATCTACTAGTAAAACCAAAACAAGGGGGAAAGGAGAGGGGATTTTTCAAAGTTAACGGGACTAAAAGGACAAAGTTAGTATTTTGAAAATAGCTGATGTTTAATTTTTTTATTTATTTGGGGGCATGATGGTCAGGTTTGTGGGATATAATAAAGTATGGTTCAGTACAGTAATAATTTTAAGTTACACATTTAAAGGCGGTGACTGAAATCAGCCTCACAAAGTTAACTGGGATATTATTACATTTTATCATATTAATTAGTAGGAGGATTAATATTTGTGATGATTATACAGCTGTTTTTTTAAATTTTGATTATTAATAGGCATCAAAGAGACATGTCAACAAAATGAGAGTATCATAGTTGATGGTAGATTTATGAGACTGTATGTGAAATGATTATTTCCGGACAGGGGGGGTTGTGAGGTCAGTTTTCAAAGGAGGTATAAAGATCATTTTGAATATTCCTAAAGCATGCTTACATAATAACTGAAGAATCCAGATCATGTCAGGGAGAGACCAATCAGAGCCTGCCTCAGTGGATAACTCTGATACAGTGCTATCTTGCGGTTCAGGATGACTGGAACTTTAAAGTAGGCGTCTGGTGCACCACAATTCTATTTACATGCAACCCTGCTCTCTTACCTCAGTATTCATAAGTTAGATTCTTAACAATGATTTAAAGGCTCATTTCAAGAGTTAGGCTTATTCACTTTCTTGATGAGAAGTTTGACACCCCTTTCAATCTATGACTACAGCGCAGTCAGCAGCTTGTTAGCTTAGCTTAGCATAAAGATCGGAAACAACTGGTGGTTAATTTCTTCAAAATGAAGCAACAACGACAGAATCATGTCGTTTAAATCATCGATTAACCTGAAAATTAATAACCACAAACAGAATCTCAAGTTAAATTTTCTATCATCTTTGGATAGCTATAAACTAGCTGCTTCTAATCTTTTACAGGAAACTAAGATAAACAGCTGCTGATTGTAGTTTAATATTCATGAGGTCTTGATTCCCTCTACGGCTCTGCATTATGCACAAATCTCAACTACTGGAATCAATTCCCCGTAAAAGTGGCACAGAGTCAGAATAATTTGGCCCAGCTGAGAGCTCAAGTCAGGCTTGTCCTTAATGGTGGCGTTAACAAATAAATTTAGTAATTAATAAATATGTATGTATGGGAAATAGGCTTTAGTGACGCACTTATGGAAGGCACGTGTTCTTTCAGCTGTCCTGGCCTGACATTTAATGTTTTCACTCTTTAAGCCTGCTGGAAATTTCTTCTGTTTAATGAGTTTTATGTAAGTCCGGTGGATGTGGAATACTTGCAAGTTACTACAGTATTTGGCCCGAGAACAACTTTAACAAAAATAGACTTTTATATACCCCTCCCCCCTCCAACAAACATTATCCAAGGAGTATATCTCCATCTGGAGGGCCGGACTACATGAAGCATTTATTCAGGTAAGTGACTGCTAATCTTTTATAATCCCATGCTAAGTGCTTTTATCTGAAGACAAATTGTGGCTGGATAATGGCTGGGTCATTGACTGTATGTGAGGGGGAAGAACAGCGTGTGCCTTCAGTCAGAGAAGCCAGAAGCTGACTATTGTTCAGGCTTCCACCACGAACGGTATTCATCTGCTACCAAAGGATTTCTCAGGGGGGCAAAGAAGTGAGCTAGTGCATTAGTGTTTTTCCAATGCCCGGTTGTTCCATGTTCTGGACAGCAAGAGGAAAGATGGTAGGGTAGTAGGAACCTCGACCTGCTCCTGAAACAGAGCAAAAGTAATCCTCTTTAATTTTTGCTGTCTCCTCTCTTAGAAGAACAGTGAAAATTCAGAGAGTGACAGAATATAACGCTTGTTTTGTACAGCGTCGATTTAGAGCTGTTTTCAGTACACTGTCTTGGCTCTTTGAAGTCCAATATTGATCAGCACCAGATCAACCCATCGTTTAACCTCACTGATACTTTTGTGGTTGAATGGAGATGAATCTGTGGAGCCAGCCAAGCTCTAGAAATCTTTAGAAAATACCGTTAAAAACAGCAAAGGCTGCTATGATTTTTTTCTCCTTTTTCCCTTTTCAGCTGAACCATAGAGAGACACGATTTTTTCCCCATATGTACCTGAGAGCAACAAACATGACCCATATTTTCTTTCTGTCTAAAATGCGCATTTGCTCCTCCCAGGATGTCAGCAACATGGACCCACCAGACAAAAGAATAGAAGTGAAAATGTACGCAGACTGGACCAAAAACAACTTTGGCATCTCTCTGCACTGCTGACCTTTGATCGATTTAAAATGACCTCAGCTTGGATAACTCTTCTTTCATGAAAGATCACATCCTATTACCTGCATTTACAACTCTAGATTTCAACGGTCACAGTAGGGAGGATGCAGTTTTGCACTTTGCCTAAAGCACTAAGGAGCAGGGCTTGTGTTTAGTGGGCCGGTTTACATTTTGAAACACTTCAGCTTAGGACAGAGAGCATCACTCCTCCGACAGAGAGAATCAGTGATCACAGAACAACTGCAGGAGCCACAATGACCTACTGTCAAAGAAAGATGTGATGTTGAAGGCAGTGGTGGGTAGGATGAAGGGCGGGAGCAGGACTGAAATAATGAAGGAAATGGTTTGGTTTGGGTGACCACTTCACATGGTGGCATCATGAGGCAGGTGAGGCATGGCCACCCCAGGATCCCTGTTGGAGTAGCGCTGCATTTGCAGCTCATAGTGACCGGATGGTAACAGGCCGAGCAGCTCCTTGGATGTGCCTGGCCACCTCCGGCTCCACCGGCGGCTACCATAGCTAAGCCTGCGGCTTTGCCTCAGAGCCGGGCCGAACAATGTGGCGGTCTGAGGCCACAGTGGGTCCGTGAAGCTAGAGATGCTGGACTCCTTAAAGGGGATACAGGCCCTGCGCCTCAGTGGGTGTTTCCCTTGGTAGATGTTGTAGGTTGTAAAGATGTTGGAGCTAAAGAAGGGGCTGAAGTGCCGTGAGCTGCGGGTCACGGAGATGCGGCCCTCCAGTGATGGCCCCAGCAGGCTGAGGCTCGTTCTGTCCGTGAACGAGTCCGTTCGATCTTCATAGGCAAGGTCAGCAGGGGCTGAGCACTGCTGCAGGGGCCAGCCTCCGCGATTTTTACCCCCGAAGTCCGCAGCCTCACCACCATCACGCTCTACCCTGACCGTCTCGTCTTCTTCCTCTTCTTCCTCTTCCTGTTCTTCCTCTTCCACCTCAGCTGCCTCCTCCTCCTCTGCCTCCCCCTCCACGACGCCTTCCTCCTCCTCCTCTGTGCTGGAGGGGAGTGGGCAACGGGGGTCTCGCAAGAAGACTACTATGACGGTGATGTTATCACTTGAGCCCGCGTCTCGGGCAGAAGCCACCAGCTTGTGGGCAACCATGGTGGTGTCTCCGCTGTTCTCCTGGAGGTGATCACTGACCACCCGCACCGCCTCGTCTGGACTCACTGTGTCCCAGAAGCCATCACAAGCTAGAACCAGGTAGTCCTCTGTACCGTCTAATGGGAAGATACTATGGTCTGCATCACCGCAGATGTAGGGCTTATGCTCTGAGTCACCTGTAAACACAGAAAAAAGGTTATTCTGCTGTCTGCTCAAGACTGCATTCATGGCAGTGTTCAGTGAAAGGATGTTCAGTAAAACAGATGTGAGTGTCTGACTGATAGTTCACCTATTGCTCTGGATACAGACAGACTGCCATTAACCCTCCATGTCCCAAACCAGATCACACAGCCTCCCAGCGCCTCGATCCTCTGCTTCTCATCCTGCAGACACACAAGCACAGTTTGCTTCAGCAATGGTCATTTCTTTGTTTATTGCTACATGGTGAGTAACATCTGATCAGCCGGTCCAGAACCTGCTTCTTGTACTTAAAATGCTGCAGTGTTACCTCTCTGTCTGGTTTGTGAGGTTTCATGAGCTCCACAACCTGTCCTTTCCTGACGAGAATGACCTGCGAGTCTCCCAGCCAGGCCACATACAACGTCCCACCGCGCAGGAAAGTCACCACACCTGTCGTACCGCAACGAAGGTGCTGCCAAACACAGATTTGTTACATTAGCTAATGAACTGTAAACGTTTATTACAGTATCAGCATCATTGTACTAAAAGACATGCAAAAGTCTGGTCTATATAGCATCAAGACAACCCTGTGTGTGCAAGGAAAGGTTCCTGATCTGATCCCAGGACACAGGATCATATAATTCTTTCCAGACTTGTTTGGACTTTCAGATTACACATTGGACCCAGCTGGAGATAGATACAACTTTGGCTTTTCTCAATTGGTCAATTCCAAGAACTTGTTTATCACCTTTCAAACTGACTCCATCACTGACCATCTAAATAATCATTCACCTCTCTTCCCAGGTCTCCCAAAGGAGCATCCAAAGAATCCTACAGAAGCTGGTTTTTGCATTTTAGCCTGTGTGCTGTGACTCCTTGATCATCTTTTGACTGACTTTGGTCTTCTGCTGAGGCGAACCTCTCTAACCACAGTTGTCCATCCTCTCCAAGGACCCGCCTCACTTAAGTATGCAAACCTCCAGAGCTCCAAACAGGGCTGATGCTGTCTTATGCATTCATGATTCAAACAACCGCTTATTGGAGTAATCATAAATTCATCCATAAATCTCATATTTTAATATTATTATCAATTAATAATCTGAATTTACTTATTATAAATTTAAATTGCTGCTTATAGTTATTAAGTTACCAAGCAAAATGTGAAAATAAACTGATCTCTCGCATTGCCAGCAAAAAACAAAACAAAAACAAATGCTGTACATCAATATTGAACAATGTAAATGAAAATAACCTTTGCTGTGTTGGTTCTCTGCAGGTGAGCTTACCTCCCGAGAGGCCTTCTTCACAAAACGTTCGTCTGTGACTTTGAAGGCTCTGCAGAGCGCCTCACTCGGGTCCTGGTTGAAGGATTCCTGTTGGACTAAGTTGACGTGGAGGTGGTTTGCAGCATAAATGGCGGCGTCAACACCACCGTGACCATCAAACACTGCGAAGTAAGCTTGTTCCTCTTGATCCTGAGATACAAAACAAGCCAGTCATACATTCATGGAATTTAATTTAGGGTTAATAAACCTAACCCTGAACCTAACCATAGCTCTAACCCTAACTTTAACCCTAACCCTAGCTCTAAATCTAACCCTAACCCTAACTCTAAATCTAACCCTAACCCTAGCTCTAAATCTAACTCTAACCCTAACTCTAACCCTCACCCTAGCTCTAAATCTAACCCTAAACCTAACCCTAGCTCTAAATCTAACTCTAACCCTAACCATAGCTCTAAATCTAACCCGAACCCTAACCATAGCTCTAACTCTAACCCTAACCCTAACTCTAAACCTAACCCTAACCCTAACCCTAACTCTAACCCTAACCCTAGCTCTAAATCTAAACCTAAACCTAACCATAGCTCTAACTCTAACCCTCACCCTAGCTCTAAATCTAACCCTAAACCTAACCCTAGCTCTAAATCTAACTCTAACCCTAACCATAGCTCTAAATCTAACCCGAACCCTAACCATAGCTCTAACTCTAACCCTAACCATAGCTCTAAATCTAACCCGAACCCTAACCATAGCTCTAACTCTAACCCTAACCCTAGCTCTAAATCTAACTCTAACTTTAGCTCTAGCTCTAACTCTACCCCTAACCCTAAACAGTTAAAGAACCAGTCCTGCTTTTACTTTTTTTAGCATCCCTACATGATAAATTGACTGTCGAAAGTCAGACAGAGGAGATTTTTTTTTTTTTGCCAGAAGTTACTACTAAAGCATGAACAGGATGAGTAGTGCAAAGTCAACAAATTCACACAAACTTAAAGTTTCTCACAAGAACTTTGAATAAAATTGTAGAAAAAGGAAAAACAGGAATGTTAAAAAGGAAAGGGTTAGGGATGACATGTAGTAATAGGCCTGGGTCAGATATGAATTCCTGCCTGCTGCAACTAGGACTTAACCAGCCTCCAGATAAGGGGCACATGCTTTGACCCCTGAGTTCAACAGGTGCTTCCAAATATTCTAATTCTCAATAACAACAGAAGCATTTCTCCAAACTGAGACAATTAACGATTAACAATAACCGACCATAGATGCTGTAACAGCCCATTTTTTATAGTTTACAGTAGATGTATCTACCTGAATGTTAAAGAGTGTGTTGAAGTCAGGGATGATAACGTGCTTGTCCTCCATCTTGCGCCTCATGTTTTTGATGGCGTGTATTGATGTTTCGTAGTATGGCTGTGGACGACGGCGGAAAGGCAGCTCTTTCAGCCAGAGGCAGCACATTTCGAAGAGTCTGTTGAAAACCAGGCGGGCCAACTTCACGGACTCCATCTCTGAAAGAAATATACATCCAAACAAACAGGCACAGAATCGATCAAACACCGAAAAGTTTTCCGTCGCTACAGCGGATTTCCATCATTAGGAAAAATGAGAGGGTAAAAATTACCTTTTTTTTGTTGTAGTCCCGTAAAGTCCCATTATTTTCTTGTCACATCTGTTACTCATAATCCTAGAATTTTATTCGAATCTGTAAAATCTGTTTCAAACAGGTGATATTTTATCTGTTAAATGTTTAATGTCATCTGGGTTTTCCCTTTCATTTTGAGCACACCAAAGTTCACTCTCCTCTAAAGAAACCGTCTTAAGATCCCTCTGTTCTCTGTAGTTATACAGAGCCCATCTCTTTGCTGCAGTTTATATCCAATATCTTAGAAAATGTGTGCCCACACAGCTGATTTCCTTTGTGAGTAACAATCAGATCTTTGAAAAATGTCAATCTGGTTTCCGCCCCCATCACAGCACTGAAAATGAACTGGTCAAGGTCTCTAATGACTTGTTGCCTGGAGCTGATTTTGGTGTGTATTCCTGACCTCAGTTCAGCCTCTGATACAGTTGACCACAACGTCTCAATCAGCCATCTGAAATACTCTGTAATGTAGCACTAAACTGGTTCTTTCAAAAACAGGTCTTTTTCTGTAATGCTTTAGGAATGCCTCTTCCTCTTGTACTCCTCTCATATGGGGTTCTCCAAGGGTCTATCCTGGGTCCTCTTTTAGTTACACTGTACATGCTTCCCTTGGGGCAAACCTTGTCTAGACATGGTATGTAATTTTTATCAACCTTATTTATTAGTATACCACTTTCTTTTAATCTTATTAATTAACTATGATTAATTGTGATTTGTATATAAATAAAATGATTATTTATTGAGTTGAAAAAATATTCAGATTTATTCCAGTGCAGTCCAGACCTCCATACATTTAGGGTGTCTAAGCATACCTGTGCAAATTCTCTGAGTTTCAAATAACACCTTCATATTATTTAGTGACCAACTAATTTTTTCCTTACATGACAGATGAACTGTTGGTGGACCACATGTCACAAAGCGGATCAACAGCATTGGCAGTAACGTAAAACACGGAGCAACAGCTGAAGTATACAGATCGCTGGAAAAATCATGTTTTCTCCTCTGCTGACTGATCAGATTTATTTGATTACTGCTGCAGTTTTACATCTTTGTGTTATCTATATTAACTGCCCAGTGCTGTTTGAAGAGATTTTATGGAGTAAATTTGAGTTATTTCTGCTGCGTCAAAAATCCGAAATGTGAAAAAGCCCCTTCTCTGATGATGATTTCGTCCCCGTAGACCGTTAACCAGCAGGGAGCTGTTATACTTTTCCAGAAAGAGAAAGGCAGATGTCATTGAGAGTAAGTGGGACAGAGGCAAGCCCAGAAGTGGCTTCCACTCTTTGTTATAACAGAGATAGATGTGTGTGTGTGTGTGAGAGAGTGTGTGTGCGCTCGGGCCTGACCCACTAATGTTAGCTGCAGGTATAATAGTATATCCAGCCTTTATCTAAACCAACTCTCCCCCTCTGTTGTCCTGAATATTTCTCTGTGAGTTTGAGTCAGACCAGACAACACTCTGCCCTTCATCCTTCCCTCACTTTAAAGCGAACTAAAATCAAACCCTTTATATTCACTGTGTGCATAAACTGCTCTGCCCTTCCCCCTCCAGCTCCAGATGAAGACTCTTTAGCACTGCATCTGTGATCAAGGACTACCCATAACACCTTGCAAACAGCAGGAGGAATAAAATGAACAGCAGAGTGCAGTGAGGCAACATCAAACAGGATGTGATCAGCTGTTACACAACACAAGAAGCTTTTTACTTTTACTCTTACTTTGAGAGAGCAAACAAGGCGAGGTGCGGAGCAGTTTAAACCTCAACGCTAGTCCATCAAAATTAAAACACGTTGCACAACGGCAATGATTTATTAACCAAGTGGGTTTTATTTCTCAACGCACTGATAAATGTAAGATTCAAATGATTGGACAGAGATGGCGTCAGATCATGATGATGAAGATGACGAGTATAGGTCAAGTCAAGCAGATTAATAATTTATTAATCTCTGTGTGGGGATTTGTCTCTTGTATTTGATTCACAATAAAGGATAAGGCTGACATTATTTGCTGCTCTGTTGTTGAAGAAAAATCTGATGAAGACTAAACCAACAATGGCGATCTTTTTCAGCTCCAAGTCCAGTCTCATCCCAACTAAAGCCAACTGATTCGTCGTTCAGAATAGTCTCTGAAAGGTTATCTTCCAAATATAATGAGTATAAAATCGGTATTCTGACTTTAATACAAGCTTAACATTCAACATAATAAGTCATAGACATTTGCTTCTTAAATCTAGTGTTTGTATCAAATAATTAAAAAAAAAACAGATGCCACAAGTGTTCACAGACTGTGGGGTTAAATTGTTTAGACCTCCCCCAACCAGCTGAATTTAGTAAATGCGTCAAAGGTATGTTGTGTAGAAATGTGAATTTTTAGGGATTCCTAGCTTATCAGTGAAATGATGGTAGCAAATTCTGTCACATCAAACAACTTCTCACTTCTCCTTTGTAAAAAGTTTCTAAATTTAGGTTAGGAAACACTCGTTTAATCGTACCAGGAGAGCTGTAAACTACTTCTACCTCGTCTGCTTCCATCCTATCTGTTATGTAGAAATTTAAGCAGAACAAAGAAGACATGATCAGTTCGAAAACTAAGACATTAAAACAAAATAAAATAAATAACGTAGTTCAGTTCGTCCAATAACTGGAAGGTTGGCGGTTCGATTCCCCCCTATCCCTAGTCTGTCCGTTGTGTCCTTGGTCAAGAAACTTAACCCACCTTGCTCCCACCAGGGCGTGACTGTGTGAGCGAATGAATGATGTATCCTATGTAAAGCGCTTTGAGGGTCTCTGATAAAGCGCTATATGAAATCTGATGCATTAATTAATTAATTCACTTTAAAAACACACGCCTTCCAGACTTTTTGCATTCAGCCTGACACAACTTTTCATATTTTTGTTGTCACCTTCTTCCCCTCCAACATTTAAAATGTATGCGATTCTGTTTTTGCTCAAACTGTTTTTATTATTGTGCACAATAAACATAATTCCTTGTTGTAATATCTACTAGAAGTAAAACTAAATCTGATTGTAGTTAAATTCTCAAAGATACAATATGAAGGTATCACTATAGACAATCTTACAATATGGTTAAACAGAGCTTTTGTACTGTTAACTGAATATATTCTGGATCATTGGAGCTGAAGTATCTCTATTTCCTGGCTTTTAGCTGTAAGCGTGTGAGAGTCTACTTCCTGCCCTCTAGCGGTCAAACACCACTTAATGCAGCTTTGCGGGGGAGAACTGGGACAAAGCCCTGGTGGTTTGATGGCTGTGAGTGCGTGTGTGTGTGCGCATGTGTGTGTGAGGAGTGTGTGGGATGAAGTGAGTGAGAGCGAGACCTAATTTGTCTGAGCCTCTATATATACATATAGTATAAACTGCATACATAGGTGTGTGTGTGTGTGTGTGTGAGTGTGTGTGAGTGTGTGGGAGAAGGAGAGCAGTCTCATTGTCTCCCCCGGGGACTCACGTGGTAATGGGTCAGCTCCATCTTCTACCGTCTTGTTGAGGTGGTGGATGGAGAGGTCAGTCTGCAGGAGGCTGTCTGCTGTGGCTCTGGCGAGGGCTGCAGCCAGGGAGCATGGACAGTTACTGTGGAGAGGAGACAGCAGGCTGTTATGAATGGCTCAGAGAGAAAAAAAAAAATCACGACAGCTCTCCTCTACAAGGCCTCAGTTTAACCAGTTTATATTTAATATTTTCCAGGTCTGACAAAGGATCGAAAAGATTTAGGGTGGAAGAGACAGCAAACTTGTGCTCTGGTGTCTTACAGATCGACTCTGATAGCTTTTTATTTTTATTTTTTTTCAATTATTTAAGTTTTCACAGTGTGATTAGGAAGTTTTCAGCCAAAATCACAAAACCTGTGTCATTTTCAAGGGTTTTCCTTCTGCCGAGCTTCAGTAGCTCATTAGCAATTCGCCTCTGAATTGTTGGCGGAGACAGCTCTGTTCTGCACCCTCCCCCTTCGCACCGTCGATTCACAGGAGGAGGAAACTGCATCAAACATATTTGTCAGTAAAAATGCAATCTCTCTGACGTAGAGCAGGTTGCTGTTTTGTATGTAGTCACCTTTAGGCCTGCTTGATGTGAGAAAAATGTGCAGTTACACTTCTGCAATAATGATATGAAATAGGTAAGTTTGATGCTTATCTGCTGTTCTTGTCTTTTATAACACTTCCCTTCTGAATCAAAACAAATCCATGATACAGTTTGCTTAACCTTTAATTTTCACCTGATAATCTGAGGGTGGTTGACAGCTATCTTGGGCTTCATCTGACAGCAACAAAATGGTGTGAAAGCCTGAACATTATACAAAGGTCTTCACTGGATATGCATACTGACTGATCAAACATTGCTTTCGTTTGATAAATAACTCACTTACTGCATTAAATTCAGAGTTTTGCAATGTGTTAAGTTGCAAGGCGATCAGTTTATCACTTTTACACAAAATCAAAGGATCAACCTGATGGGGGCGCTGGATGAAAATATCAGAGGATCATCAATTTTTTGATGCTTTATCTTCTTTTTCTACATTAGATTGAAGGGAAAACACAACAGCTTATAACTGAACCTGTTAAAATTAATGACAAACTCAAGAGTAGGTCTGGTTAATCTTCTGGGGAACACAAAAACCTGGACCAAATTCATTACAATCCATACGATTCTCAATAAAACTGCAGACCAACCCACAGAACAATAGTTTCCCTACATCAGAAGATATAGTGTACAAATAAAAGGTCACGGTTCTATAAAACATCACACTAACATGTCCATACTCAGACTGTCTGCAAAAGGAATTGTCACAAAGCTAAAACCGGGCATGAGAGGACTTCCTCTGCACCAGCTGATCTCCTGTCAGCCCATGTGAGCTGTTGCCAGTGTTCACTTGAAGAATGTTCAAATGATATAACAGCTCTGTTTGAGCGCAGCAGTACATCACTGCATCTGGACAGAACTGCGTGTGCTGGAGGAGGAGGAGGAGAAGGAGGAGGAGGAGGAAGAGGAGGAGGAGCGTCTCTTCTTGAGGTTAACAACAGTGCTGAAGGAGGAGGAGGAGGAGGAGGAGGAGGAAGAAGAAAAAGAGGAAGAAGGGGTCATTTGAAGGACTGAAAGCTTGCAAGTACGTGAGTCACCAGTGTAACTAGGTCACCTCCAGATGCGAGTAACCATGGTAACCCAACTTCTGGATGTTCTCCCTCACATTCAAATTAAGTTAAAAAATAAACCAGGACTGAACTGATGTTGGCTTCTTCATCAGAGAGTGACGACCGAGACCCACCTCGCTGCTGTGACTTCATTCATTAAAAAAAAAAAATCAAATTATTTATTCATGTCTGACCAGGACGAGTATGAAAATATTCAGCCAGTCAAACTTTGGAGTATTTTTGGTTCAGCGCTATGGGTGCAAACCTTTGGACAGGCTCCCCTGGGTGAGCTACTCAATCCTTGTATGCCCATAGGCTGTATCAGGTGTCAATCATAGAAAACATGAACCCCCTAATAACTTTTAAAAACGGAGCTGTACAGAAAAAAAGAGGACTTGAGCACAAACCAGTCTTACAGTAACTACATGTCCACATCGCAAGCAGGGGGGAGAAAAATTTATATTCTGTGTAATAAATTTCTTAAGTTTGTCCACAGCTCCATAAGGATTGCTGGAGGAGGCGGGATTTATGACCTATACTGCAGCCCGTCACCAGAGGGTGCTGTTCTCAGAGTGGCTTCACTCAGCATGGAGGCAGACAGCATCCATTCTATATACAGTCTACGTTGTCATCCCAAAAACTTGCAAACATGAAGCTCCTTCCAGTGGGCATTGAGTTTGTGTTGATTTTGGCGCCACCTTTGGACAGTTGATTCTTGTCTGGAGAATTTTCAGACACACTGTGAAGCATTCGACTGTCCCAAACTTAGCACTCAGTATGAACCTCAGCCAGAAAAAAAATGCAAAAAGAGAAATAAAAACCTGTTTACAGTTAAACGCCATTTCTGTCATCTTCCTCCAGCATTGTTGAAAGGTATTAAAAATTACAGCATATGCACAGTGTCAATCTTTATTTTGATTATTGCCTTTCATTTTGGAGGTCACATCAGGGCAAAGATAGTCAGTTTGATTTCATAACCAGCTAAAAAAAAGTCTTCACATGAGCATGAAAAGTACACCATCATTTGTAATCCACTAAAAAGGCAGGAGACCATCCGAGCCAAAACGATTCATCCTCAGGGCGGAACATGTCTGTGCTAAAGTGGACTGTGCGGTATTAAATTGTATGAGAAATCGATGCAATAGCGGATTCTCTGAAGAGTGCAATGTTGCAAATGACAACCAGATGGATGCACAAAGAGAAAATCAAGGAAACACTAAAGCCTTTGGGATTTTCATGGAAACAATTACGTCTACCCAGAAGTTTATGGAAATGATTTAGCTGTTGATATCACAGGAACTATCACTATCACCATCCATAAAGCTACAGTTGGTGGTTTGCAATAAAAAAAGAGAACAAAAATGTGTTGAAGTTAATGCATTAAAACAGCATTTGTCAAGAGGGGTCTAAATAAAGAATACCAACTTTTATCCCAACAGAAAAACCCTGAATTTGTCAGGGTCACAACTGCCTTTAATGAGGGTTACTACCCCTTTACAAAACATGAGACCAGATTTAATAACTTGCCATTTCAGGTAGAGAAACACAGATTTACTCATGAGAAAGGTATTGTAGGCAACAGTAGGGGAGGTTCCTAGAGAGGTGAGTTATAAAGAATTAAGGAGGCTTGAAGGAGAGTCACTGTCACCAATCTGAGATAAGTAAGGAATTAATTTGAGCTGTTAAGGTCCTTTCACACCGGGAGTGTTTTTTGCGTGCGATTTATTATTATTATTTTAATACAAGCGTTCACATCAGCGACGTTTTCCCATCCTGCGATATTGCTGCATTTATTTTTCGCATCACGGTCGATTTTTCTAAAGTTTCGTATACTGTGTGTCCACTTCTGACCAATCAGATTGCGTGTTGTTGCGACGTCTGATTCACCAGTATATCCAACATGGCCGACCGGCTGATTGTTTGTTTAGTGCTTTTTGATAAAAAACATGAACATTACAAAGATAACGAACTGAAGGATAACATAGCATCGGATTTCTGATATGACGATGGTTTGTGTGCTTTAACAGTTTGCGAAACGTCTTTGTGTTAACTTTCATCTGTGCTAGCCTAAGCTAATGGTTGTTATCATAGTGTTTATCTCATCGCCTCTGATTGGCTTTAAGTGCTGACCGTTTGGCTTGAGCGTCTGATGACATTTCCAGCTTTTCTAGCCAATCAGAGGCAAAGGAGGCGGGACTTTCCCAGGGAAAAGTCTTCCCCGGGATGTGTCTTTTTCCCCAAAAAATTGCATTGGGCTTGATATGTGTAGTCAGGCTTGTCAAAATTAACCTCAGAATATTTCGTAATTTCGCGTTCTATATTCGCGTCGGCCCCGGTGTGTAATATAAAGTCCAACATAATGAGCATAACCCTCTCTTTAAATGTTTGACATGAGGTGAATCCACAGATTTTCCCCCTGATTACAGCACATGCTGGTTCTTATTACTTCAAATGCAGTGATGCTGCAGCATAATCCTAGAGGATAAACTCAATAATGAAGCGGTTAGCGTGGTGTTTCACAGTAATAGTCTCTGTCCTGCATTTAATTTAACCAAACAAATGAACAGGGATTGGCTGAGTGGATCACAGGGACATATTGAACACTTAAATACTGAGCATTGAGTGGAAAAGGCCTCTGCGGCTCTTATGTGAAATGAGATGAGTTAAATCAATTAAAACCCAAACCAACAACAGCCGGCTTCACCATCTTTAATGAAAACAGCTCTCCTCTTGCTCAGACGCCTACACAGGGTCATTTTCTTGGATGATATAAATCCCAGATCATTTCTAAAAATAAGGACAGACGCTGACACATTTCTGACAAATATGAGAGGAGATGTTTGCGTTAACATTCATGACTATTCCACAAAACAGATTTTGTTTTTTAATTAGTTTATGGAGAGACAGATCATTCATTCATTCATATGTTAAATTATTTCAGACAAAATCTTCTCTGTGCTTTTCCATAGAGAGTTAAGTATATAAAGAAAAATAAAATGATTCTTTCTGTTGTAAGTGCGTGATAGAAAAGGCAGCAGCACTTAAGAAGTACAAGAAAAAACGAGATATAATCAGTGCCCTTTAAAATGAAATTACAAAATCAGCAGGATCTGTCCATTCTTCACAGGTTTTCTTTTCCTTTCTTCTTTTTTTTTGCGTGTTTTAGCAGGGAAGACCATCTGCAAGAATACAGTATAAGGAATTTTTATACCACTGAGGGGGGTCACTCCAAAGTCCTAAACTATTATTGGCTTTTTTGCTTCTTATTATCCTAATTTTATAAAGTAGATATAAAGCAGAGGTGTTTTTAGACGTAGAGGATAGGATAGCCATCATCTCTGCCTGCTTCATGAATGAACATAAATGTATATCCATGTGAGAGCGGCTTATAATAAACAGAGAGAAAAAGAGAGATAGAGATTAAGAGATGCAGGGTGGGGAGGGTCCAGCATTCGGGTTTATTCATCTCAAGAGTCTTCTCCTCCATGTTTCCATTCATAGAAACATTTTTCCTCCCTCTATCTCCCTCTCTCCTTTCACCACTGGCTACCCTGTGGGGGTGAAGCTGAGCCGAGCCGCTCTGATTGGCTGCAGGTCACGGAGGAGAACGCGCAGTGCACCAATGACGGCTCCTCCCGGTTTGTGCATCACAGTGAGGTCATGTAGAGCGGAGGAGGATTAAAAGGGAGCTTAATCTTAGTTCACACCATCACACTGCAACAACACAAACGACAACCAAAATACACAACTACTACTGGTTTAACTGGTCATCAGAGTCACGTTTTTTACAGTCTTATTTTATTCTAAGCTATTCTTCTCTTCTTATTTTAAATCATACCGTGCAAGGACGACTGCTTGACCTGGCAAACATGGGGCTGGATTATCAGGCCCTCATATGCAGTGATGATAAACTGAAGGGCCCAAAGCTTGGCACAATAAAGAGGAAAATTCACTGACTGAGTGTGCAGTTACCCTCTTTTTCATGTCTTTCATTTTATGTAACATAAGCCATTTTAAAATGTTTAAAACCATATAAATATAATTAAAAAAAAAACTAATTACAATAAAAAAAAGAAACATAAGACTCAGATTTATATCAAAGAGATCCCTAAATGTCAGAGAATCAGCTGAAAATCTGAGTCATAATATAAATCAAAGCCAGATACCCCACCCCTTCACTGGGTTGTCTGTACATGATATTTCTATGGACAGATTTAATTTCATTTTATTTTATTTTATTCTATTTTATATGCATGCTGTGTTCGTTCAATAATATATTTGAAGCATTAAAATACATGACTTTTATAAAAAATAATTGTTGCACCAAGAATTGACAGTTAAGAGTATTTTACTGTGTCTGGTGTCTTTGCTGAGAATAGAAATGGCCTGACTGTAGTTTAAGGAAAAAACATGATCATTATGATATCACCTTACAATCTTTCCTTGAGGTAAATGACTTGCATTAATTAGTCACTATGGTAACCGGCTGCAGTGCAATTACACACATCAACATGCAAAAAGAGTGTTTGGTACACAGAGATACAAGAAGCAGCCTTGTATCTCAAAAAAGTTTACGTTTGAAATGTAGTCATGAAGCCTTTTATTGTCTTTTGTACTCCTCAGAAATGTTAGCAGTGAGATGGACCCGGATGCCCCTGGGAGGCAAAGCCAACTGCAGCACAGCATGTGACGCAGCTCCAGTCTGCTTGGTAGCCACATTATTTCCAACATCTATACTTTTCAGCTCTTATATCAACACAATTCACTGACGTTTGGCATCACGTGGTTTAGTAGCCAACACTGACATTACAACTGCATCTATTGTCATGTTTGCTCAATGCTGACATAAGCAGATCCAGAACACAACTGGTCAGCACAAGCTGTTTCTGCTCCTACAGTTGTATCTGACCTGAATAAGGGGTATATGAGTGACCTGCACAGTGGTCACCCTCAAAAGAATCTCAATCTGCAGCAAAAGGAGGAAAATCCTGTAATTATATACAGTAACATTAGATGAAACTCAACTATATAAGATGATGATCAGAATCGTTTTTGATTCATCGAGTATGATGTATGAGCTCTTAGTGGAATATTTTCCCTCTAATTATGACAACATTTCTCTCATCTCCTGCTCCATCTTCATCAGTGGCGTAGCATTTTGTAGTTGAAAATAGCAGCGTGCTTTAGTCAGAGGCGATTACTGCCTTCCCCCTTGGTCTTTAGCACAGTCTGGTGTTGCTTTTGTTCTCTCCTGTGGTCTTTGCTGCACCTGTGTTTAGCTACAATCGTGCGGGGAGCTTTGACAGGCTGCTTGCTGTGATAAAACTGGAGAGCTCTGAGTGTATGTGTTAGCAGATGACTCATGCATGCAACCATGTTTTTTCCTTTTTTTTTTTTTGGTTTCTTTGTGTACCATTGCTTTCTACAAGCTTGTTCTTTCTACAGAATTAGCCCCGGAGTAGAGCAACAAGGTTGTTTCCATGGCAACACTGAAGTGAGTGACTGACAGTCAATGGTGTCAGTTGTCTTGCTGCCAAACCCACATAGTTAAATCCCACTTCATTATTCCAAATATTGAATATTTCCCTTGCCAAGTGTACTTGAGAGTGTGGATCCACTGGAACTTGTACAGCTCTATTGATGCGCTCCGCTTATGCAGCCCTTCCTATTAGGATGGGCATTCCTCGTATTAACCAGGAAGGCTGGGAGAGAGAAGATCCTCCAGCTATTTCCATTTCACAAATGTGGTCAAAAACAATTCTTTGTGTATCTCTACCAACGGCTGTTATGTGAACAGAGAACTCTCAAGAGAGCCTTAGCTACAAGATTACATAACAGAGAGAGAGAGAGAGAGACGCAGTCGCCCTTAAATCATAGCATTTTGCTGCTGCTTCTCCCCCAAGACAGATTTCACATGACTTTGATGAATTAATTTGTCTCTTCAGTCCACACACACCATGTGGTGCGTTAGGTCTATTGCTCGGTGTTCTGGCAATGAGTGGCAGGAATCCACAGACGCTGCTACAAATCAAAAAATAAGCCTTCATACATCGTAGAGGAAAAGCCCTTCTTTTCCGTTTAGGATTTTAATGGAATAAAATAAAAGCCTGTGGATTAAAATGCATGTTGCTATGTATCTATGATTCAAAATCACTAAGAAATGTTGAATGCTTCATTTGAGGAGGGGGTATTATACCCATACAGGCTTTACACTGTCCTCTTGAACAGCTCAAAGAGTTCTTTACTTATCTCGGATTAAAAGTTATCTAAAACCCTCATTTCATCTCCTTCTGAAACACTTCATTTCAGCTATTGTCTGTCATTTCAAAGTCAACCCGATCCAACAGTCGGTGCTGGATCAGGAGTGTCAGGGCCCTAATTTGTCCTGTCGCATCAGCAACCCGGTGAGTAGCATCTGTTAGCTTTCATATAGCTCAGTCCCTTCTCTCGCCGATATCATTCATAATGATCAGTTGGGTATCTTTGTGTGGTCCGTCATATCATATCATAGTAGTTGCCTCATTTGACACTAAGACAGACAAAAAGTTGTGTAGACTAACCTTGGCGTTAGACACTTTAAAGCACTCTGGAACCCTCTTCCACTGTTGCCATGCCATGAGATTAAATGCTGTTTCTCTGTAATTTTTATACATTTTCTCTTTGCCAACCAACAGAAAAGGAGCAACAGACTGGAAGTGAACCCACCAACTGCTTGAGGCATAACAAATGTATGTGGGGCTCATGTAGACCACTAGGCAAGCAGCACCCCTTTGCTTCTCTATTTTGATTTAAAAAAACTATGGGCATGTGTTTTGACCCCACTCTGACCCAGTTTAACAAATAAGCATTTTGTTTATTAGGCCCTTTTAAGAAGATTCACCAATTAGTGATGTCATAAATTGAGCAAATGTTGTGCGGATTGCGTTAAGTCCTCATGTGTTCAGAGCAAGCTGACCCGGGATAATACCAACAAAACCGGTCTACAACTAATACAAGCTTTGGTGTAGTTTATATGCTCTTCTCAACTGCATACAAAACACCACAAAGTACTCTTCGTAAATTCTAAAGTCAGTCGTACAGCATGAACAACAAACTACACACTGTGGGGCTTAAATTGGTGACAAAGTGATACAAACATTGTTCATTCACCTGCCTTAAAATCCTCATCCTAAAAGTTTAATTTTTGTTTTTGACCTTAAAATTGTTCTAAATCTACAATATCCAAACCTGTTACTGTCATTTTCCACTAGTTGTAAGTGAGAGCAGAGCAGAATCCTTTGTGTTTATTTTTTAAAGATGCTTCATTATTTATAAAACAGCTGAGTTTCTAGATTACTAGACCAGGTTTTTAGCAGATAATATTCATGGTAAGAAATTATGTTTGGGACTATTTTCAGTTATGGATTTGGGATTATTCAAAGCTCTACACACATGATGTATACATGAATAAAAAAAAGTATCAATTTTTTTTTAAATGAGGGAGTGAGTGTGTGCTGAGACTGTCAGCAACTAACCTCACACATGGTGTTTGGAGTGAATCAAGGGTCGTATGAGGATGTCATTTGATCTAATGCCACTATGAATAATACAGAGTACTTAGTGTGTGTCCTTGAATCATTGTTATAAAATGTCTTTATTTTATAAAACCTAGATTAGAGTTTGGAAGGGTAAGGCTGTGGGTTAAAATGACTATGCTGTTAAGATTAGTGGAGCTTTTCTGCAGTGGCCACAATAAATAGCAGGAGGTTAGGTTAGGAATGACTGCAGATACAAGAGAAACTAATGCTAACCATCAATCACTGGTCTGCTGCATTAAAGTTCAGCATTTTGTTGACTTACATCTGACCGGGTCTCCTTCTGCTTACTTCGTCTTTGCTTTCTATAAACAAGGTAATAATGGACATGTCAACATTTACTGTGGCAGTGTAAATCAGGCTTGTGCGTGTACACCAATTGTTGCAGTCGAGATTTATAAAACAGACGGCTTATAAATGATAAGAGAAGATGACAAGAAAGGTTAGAGAAAGGAGAGGTTTTAGGGTCTGACAGCAGCTGAACACATTATGTAGGAATGATTTAGAATTTGCTTGAGCGTGGGGACAAAATAACGTCCCCAAGTGCTACAGTGTGGCTCACTGATGTGCTTTTGGACAACAGTAGATCTCTGTGGCACAGAGGAGTCAGACTTGGCTGCACAGATTATCAAATCACAGTTTATTTTTGTTCTTTTCTTTGGATTTGTTGACAGCAGAAAAATAAAGATTACCAAGAGGCTGTTCCAGTAATAATAAGAGCTACCAACATGTTTTTATTGTGCTATCTGGTAGAGCTGTAGCTGTTGACGCTGACAAAATAAAAGCATTTGGAAAAAGGCTGCACTGAGGCATTAAAAAGACATGAGTTTGGAGGAAGTGTGTGCCTGCACGGATGCGTTTTCTCACCGGTTGTCTGACAGCTGAAGATAACAGCAGATGTCAACATCAAGTAAGTGGTGTTGTTTTCGCCCTCTCAGCACTTTTACCTTATAACCTGGGCTAACTCCTAAATTTCTTTCAAAGCTCTGCTGATGTAACACCCTCTGCTGCAAACAGCGTGGAAATGATGGAGCAACTGTGGCTGTAGACGTCACAGAGTGCTGCCGTATGCATTTGCAGTGCCGTGTTCTACTTGCAATGAAGTGCACAATGTTGGCTGCAGAGAGGCGTGTCTAATCTGTCATAAAATTAGAAGGAAAAAAAAAAACCTCCACAGCCACAGAGACTGAAACTACAGTACATCCAGGACTGTTGTGTGGGCAGTCGATCTACTATTTCAGCAAGACACGACAGTGAGTGGGGATTTAAAGGTGACACACTGCGAGGAAAATGAGGCGAAAAGCTCTGCATGTATCCAAAATGGTTGTGTTTCTGTTGTAGCTAAGTGTAGACAGTTTCCAGATAAGCCTCCAGCCTCGGCTCTGTCTCCACAGATAGACAGGGAAACTTGCATGTAATTCCTTCTGAGGTTTTTGAGCAGGCCTAGTGCTGCTCTGCACAGAGCCTTAAGGCAGTGTTATGTAATCTACCAGCTGGATCATTGGTGGAGTGGTGAGAGCCTATAGGGGAGCAACATCATGTCCATCATGTCATGAACTAGCTCTGGAAGCTACTTGATAATTGAACCAATTTCTAATAAACAAATGTTGGTGTCTGTGTGAATGATGTGGGAAACGAGAGCAATGTTGTTGACACATGGTGGGAAGTGCAACTGTCATGACTGGCTCACCAACACTGTAGATTAGACTAGGGATACACCGATACGATATTTGGATTGGATATCAGCTCCGATATTGAAAAATTAACTGGATCGGATATCTGATGAATGACACCGATCCAGTGTTCTGATCTAGTCTTTTTTTCTTTTAATCAATATCACACACAGTGACAGCAACACAGCAATTCTGACGAAAATATTTCATCAACGTCATCGTCAACGAAAACAACACTGCAGAATATATGTTTAGCGTTTGACTGACGAAATGCTCATGAATTTTCCAACGATGTTCATCGTCCACCACTAACGTTTTTGTCTAATCTCGTCTTGTCAACGTAAACGCACATTCGTCTCGTCACATTTTAGTCATCGAAGACTTATCTTTAGCTCGTCAACGCCATGTCTTTGTCGTGGAAAAAAAGAGGCATTGACGAGAAAACAACACTGATGTCAAGCCTAATGCCTTCACTCACAGGGCAAGGTATACAGTTCATTCATTCACCAGTAGTATTGGATCGGTATCGGATATCAGCCGATACACTCAGTCCAGGTATCAGAATCAGATTCGATCGGAAAAAAATCGGATCGGTGGATCGGTGCATCTCTAGATAAGACTCTTCTTTTTAACATCTAATACATGTAGAAGGTAAATGTAAAGATACTCGTCTGCAGATACTTAGCTTGCATTTCTTAGTTGATGTGTTTTGAAGTGACAGTTGGATATTTCGGTAATGATTCTTTCATTGTCTCGTGTGATGCACTTTGAGTTGCCTTGCTGCTGAAATGTGCTGCATAAATAAACTCGCCTTTCCAAGTGAAGTGAGAGGAGGATGAGAGATGGACTCCACTTTTTATATGCCTGCAAGCCTTGAAAACAGTTTACTTCAGCATCGCTTAAAGGCTGAAAGAAATGGCGAACAGCTAGCCTACTTCTACTACTCCAAAATACACTCACCAACCCTCTAAATCACAAAGTTGACCTTAAGCTACAGGTTATTACAACCACTATCTCTCCTGTGAACCACTTAAGCTGCATGACATCATATCTTACACAACACTGTAAACATGTCTGCACCACAAGTGTCATTCACAGAGTAGACTCACTTGCAAACACTTTCAGGACTGAACAAAAATAATAACCATATGTTGTTCTAAGTCTCTGACGCCATCATCTTGGCAGATATTGGAAAATGGCGAGGGTCCTCAGTGACAAAAGAGTTAACCATTCTGCTTGGAGAGAACACTCAACAGAGGAGGGAGTGGAGTGCTTCTGTATCTGTGTCCTTCTCTGCTACTGCCACTTCAGACCTGAGATGCTGTTGCTCAATCCCCACTTTAGGTGCGCATTGTGTGCATAACTTCCCAACAATAAATCTTCAGCTTTCTTACAATTCTTGCTGAAATGCTTTCTTAGATGTCAAAGTTAACCATACCTCCTGATGTCTCCTGTAGAGAGGGTTTGAGTTTCTTAACTTGGATCTTTTTTAATTCAGCTCTCATTCTTTTGTGCTGATGATTCAATCAGGACAATGGCAGTTTAATTCAAGCCTTAAAGAAGCTCAATGAGAAAAGTAACAATAATTAACCGCCTTTTTGTGTACAGAGCCAAAAAAGTCTAAAAAACAAAGACACTAAAATCCTATAAAAGTAACGCAAACTGTGATATTCATATCGCTTTAATCAGCACCATTCTGAGTACAGTACTTGATCATCGCTGATGTGAAAATATTGAAAAGTGTTCAAAGTTTACTGAAGGTTTTAAAGTAATGTTACTTAACAAGAGGGAAATGTGTTTTGAACTACATCCAGAAAAATACATACTTAGAAAAATGGAACAGTGGAAGTATTTCTAAAACCGTTTTCGCTGAAGGATCCGTGTTACTTGAATCAATTTATCCTTGGTTATTGAGACTCTCCTGACAATAAAGAAATGCAGATATTCAGTACACTGTCAAGATTTATTTAAATTTGCAATCACTCTCATAACCTGCCCTTACTTTGTCCTTTGCTCATCCCCTTTGCTGCCTGCCGCCATGTTGGAAAAACACTCAGGATTCACCCTCCTCTCTCTGTCATTGACTTATTCATCATTCATTATACCTTGATACTCTACAACAGGACTAAGCACACAAAATTTCCTCCCTGGCTGTCAAAAGGGAAATGTGTAGTGGAAAAAAAATTGTCACTTCAAGCCTCGACGTGCTGACTTGATCCTCTCCTCACCATCTGTTAGAGCCGAGTATTAAATTGCTCAGCGGATGAAACGCTGGTGATTGTGAAACACGCCCCATTTGCTGACTAGCTCACAGAAGACAGCTGTTGTGAGACCGCACTTAAATAAATGCAACCTCCAAGCCACAGTACTTAACAAAGTTTAATTACATTTAAAATCCTTGTTTTATAATGTCACTCATAGAAAGCAGCTCATTTCCTCTGTCATATTTTTAGTAGTGTGGAGATAAGGGTAGAGGGATTTGAAGTCTTTTATATAAGCTGTATTAAATATAGTGGTGCTCGAGCGTTGAAGTGTAAGTCTTAAATGTTGTTGTAGTTTCATTTGTTTTGGTGTAAGACCATTAAGCTGATACTGTTCGTCGTGTTTCTCCACCATCTGTTTTGTACTGATTAAATGGATGTTTTGATCAGAGCCACTACAGAGGTATACCACAGGTCTGTTAAGTCAGTAAAGGCTAACAGCTTGGTTTACCGCCATAAGCCATTTCCATAGGCTGTGAGTGTCCAATGTGAGCCACATATTCATGTTTTTGGTCAAAAAAGTCTAAAACATCCCCTCCTGCTACATGTCAATTCAAAGATGAACCTTTCCCTCTGATGCCACAGTAGTTAATTTAATCTTTTTAAAAAGTTTAATATTAGCATTAAATGGCAGGTTCACTTGCCAAAATATCCTCATAAACTCAGGTTGTAGGCTCTAAAATGTTAGCTTTTTTCCTCTGCTTTAAAGGCACTATAGGGGGTTTTCGACTCAGAAACAAATGGATAACAAATGGATACCGCAGGTCAATCCTCCCTTCTGCGATCAGACTTTACAACGAACTGTAATAAAACTGGACTTACACCACCACTTTTTTCTGGTACTTAAATTGTGTATATTGTATATAGTTTTGTTTTTATTTTTATTCTCCCTTTTTCCTTTTCTAATTTTTTTTCTTAATTATAACATTTAAGTTCTTAATATTACGATCTTTATTTTTATAACTGCATTTTTGCACTCTTTGTCTGTGTTGCTGCTGTGGCAAAAAAATTTCCCCCATGGGGGATCAATAAAGGAATATTCTATTCTATTTTACTCTATTCTATAATAATGCAAATTTGTGACCTTCCAAAGCAAAGCAGACCATCAGCAGCAAGGCTGACTGTTTCCCTGTTGTAAAGGGGGAGGTGTCAGACCAGATGATTGACAGAATATTGGGGAAAAAACGCCTTTTTTCAAATCTTCTCAACAACAATTACTCACAGTAGGTGAAATATTTCTTTTACATACAGAACAAGAGATAACATATCATTATCAACAGTGAGCATCAAAACTGATACGAACCAATAGATCCTCACAAGAGCTTTAAAAGGTTTTTAATGAAATGTTTTTAGCTTTGGCCTTCTGAGCTTTATTCCTACAATACATAATATTTGGTTTACCAATGACTTACATAACAACATATGACTGTTTGAGCCTCGTAAAAGTCCCAGTGGATGTTCAAATGGAGTACGTGATCTGAAACAGTCTCATTAAATTGGGTTCAGGAAAACATGGTCGAAAATGAGATTCTTTGTCTTTAAACTTAATTTTGTGTTTATTTTGGTCAAAGCAGTAAATCTCTTTGCCGATCCCCTCTTGTAAAATTCACATGTGGTACTCTTGTGAAAAATAATATGATAAAAGTCCTGCTGCTGCTTCTAAAATGTCAACCACACCTGTCAGTGTGAATTTTCCTGTATGAAAATGCAAACAAAGGCAGGGTCAGACTTCATGCTTAAAAAAAAAAAAAAAGAAAGAGTGCTGAGAGTCAAGCACCAACCCAGCCGCAGCAGAGCCAGACATACGATAATAACTGTGTGGAATAAACAGTAATTATTTATAATTATAACAGCCACTAAAGGAAGTTTCTGCTGCCCTGTGTGACGCATTTGTGGACAGTAGCCCATCATACGGACATAACATTTTGAAATTCCTCCTGTAAATGTATTAAATTCCAGGCTGTTCCTGTATGAAATCTGAGGGCGTAATAAAACTCTGCCCTTGATTTGTCTGCATTGCTTCTCATTTTGACATTCTTTCATTTTTCTTTGCATAAGTCCTTTAATTTCGATCCACCCTCTCTTTCTTTCATTCAGCAGCTTTCAAATACACCTCTCAAGGTCGGACAGGTAAGGATTGTGGGCCATAACGTGAGCCTAGCTGCTTTGCATTCAGTTCATACACCACAAACACATGACTCATCATTTGAATTATGGGCACTCGGTGTGAAGAGAAAGCCCGGCGCTGTGGAGCAGCAGTAGACCGTAAAAGCTGCTGCTAAAGTGTCGATCCATAAAGCTGTAAGAGGGAAAGGAGGACACTACACACTTTTGAAGGTCATTGCACTTCCAAAAATGGGGCCTCTCCAGAGCTGGAATTAATGAAGGCGCCTCTTTTAGAGACAGCAGAGTGAGGTGCTGCTGGATAGACTGGTGGCTTTTGATGCTTTGCAGACCAGATTCACAGAAACAAAACCCCTAAACCAATAACAGACAAATACGAGAGTAAGTCTCTACTGCTGTGATCTGCGAGAGAAGACAGAGATTTAAATGCAATAACTGATAGTGATCCTCTCACCATGAAAAACTCACTTAAGACTTCAACCCTTCCTAAATGCACTGCTAAAGTCAGTATACCCAGGGTAGATAAAAGAGTATTCATATTCTCTAAAAACACTTAAATGTTGCTCAGAATTTCACTGATTGAACTTTTCTTGTGTAAAAATGTAAAATGTAAAACAACTGAGGTTTTAATTATTCAGGACAACTTCAGCAGCTGGCGCCAAAAATAGTAAATCAGAGCATAAACTTAAAAATGAAAGATGACTTTAGCTCTCCATACCGAGACAACCCTAATGACACTTCACTCTATACTATTAACCTTTCAGGCTGGACTTCAAGAGAAAGTTGCAGCATGTGTGGCACATGGCCAAAGGGCTGCAGTCTTCACTGCTGTCTGCGAGCCGTTTGCATGTTGTCTCATTTGCATGGTTTGCCTCCGCATGCTCTATATTCTGTCCCACAGCTGCGGTGAATAGGAGACCTTAAAATACTCATGACTGTGAGTGTGTCAGCCCCTGTGATGGACTGTCAGGAGTGTTTCCTCCTATGACAAGTGATTGAGCTCTGAAGGTGGCTGCACATCCGTACAGTTGAACTGGATTGAAATGCTCCTAAAGTGATTCATTTCCAGGTAGAGCTGATTCAAGCAGTCGTGACAGACCAGTTAGATATTGTACCACATCACATATAGTCATAGTAACTGCTTTGTTTGGCTATTTGGCAAAACGCCATTAATTTAAGTAAGTTTGTAAGCATGCAGACACTATTTTCTTCGGCCAGTATCAGTCCTAGAGCTTACAGTATGTTGACAGTACACTAATAAGATAACATCCCCCTGAAGATTAGTCATATCAATGAGAACTTCACTGACTAATTTCGCTTAATATGACATTATTAGTGCCATAATAAGCTCATGTGAAAGGGTTGATTAAACACTAGTAATGCTTTGAGGCTTTGAGCCTCAGATTTCTCACCGTTGCGAGTGTCTAATTTAAAATCAATCTGACTTAAAGTTGGGGTAGGCAGGAATCCGTTAAAGACGCATCTTTTTTGCGGTGTATATACAAAAGCTTTTAATATCAGTCAATAGCTATAAGTCATTGATGACATTTGGTAAAATAACGATACCGCTGTGTTTTGTTATGTTGCTTCGCTCTTTCTGACTGTAAACACAGTCATTCTCCACCTCCCCCAACCTGATTGGTTGTGAGGCGGACGCTGCTCCCCCGTGTTGTTCAGGAGCCCAAACAAAGTTAGCGTGCTACAATATCCGACAGTGGAAACCAACCAGAACGTACGGAAAATTGTCCAATTCCTCCTTTGACCACGACTGCCAACACAAGCAAGAAAACGAAGTAAATACTGGAGACTCTGGCGGAATAACTCAATAACTCTGGGATCTTACAGACCCTGTAACCTTTCTGATGGACAGGTAAACCGCATCAACAAAGGAAGCCAAGTGTTCGTAACAGAATTGTTGCTTGTCAAACGGGACCTGCTGCGTGTTGTAGCGCCGCTAAACTGTTGACCTCAGGTCCTGGACTATGTCACTTTATCCTAGTTGTAGAAGTCCTGCAAACATTGAGTTTGCTGGTAGTCTGTTGGCATCTACAGTAGCACCAATGCTTTTTACTTTCATGTTGACTGGGCCCCATTTGTAATTATCTAAAGTATTTATCTGCATTATATCTGAATTTATCTGAAACGATACGAGCAAGCAGGAGCATCTGTTTGTGGGCGGGGCTTGCTGGAGCAGAGAGGGAGGGGAGGAGCTGAGGGGAAATCTGGGAGGGGTAGTGTTTACATTCAAGATTTCTCCCCAAAATCTGCCACTTCCTCAGATCTGGCACTGCCTACCCCACCTTTAATCATGAAACTTTGGTTTTATAACAGCTCTATTCTGTTCGTACATTAACCTAATGCCTAAAAACAGTTTGTTCAGAGATCCAGTGTTTTGCTCGGGGCAGCTACTGTAGCTGCATCTCTCTACTTCATCACACCTGAAGTCTGGACTAAAGCAGAACCAGCACTTGGCGAGGTACCAGAGAAATACAATGTAATTAGCTTAATTAATAATTGATTCCAAGCAGAGAATAATGAGCTGAGCAGCGTTTCAGTCATAGTGAAGCGAAAGCTAATTTGGCACAGTTACAGTGACTGTTTATTTTATTTCGGCCTAATTACAGTAACATGAATCCTGTCATTGGTAAATAAAATCAACAGAACAATTTAATAGAGGAAATTGTATTCTGTTCACCCATGGCACATAACTCAATGTTTATTACACTGACCTTTGAGTAAGCGAGGTCACATTAATTCATACCGCTCACTGCGATTGTTTCGTGTCTGCACTTGTTGGCGGATGCTGTGCGAATCAAAGGCTGTAGGATCAACAATTGCCAGTGGTAGTGGAAGCCAGTAACTGAGGCTGGCCTCTGTGGTAATCCCAGTGAGACGCTCTGATTAAAGGATTACTGCTGCAACTAATTTCAAAGGCTGGGATAGCCCAGGCCGGAGCTAGAAGGCAAAAGAGGAGAGGAAATTGGACGGATGACTTCACTGAGGAAAACCTGCCAAAACAAAGATGGCTGAAGTTAAAACGCTGACAGCATATTGACGATAAGCACTGGTCACTCTTGCAATGCCTCAGGCGCTGACCTTATTTTGAGTACATTCCCAGGTCTGCGCTTCTCTTAAAAATGATGCTTCAAAGTCAAAGAAAACCCCCTTCAAGAAGAAGAAAAAGGGCCTGACGGAGAATCATACCGCTTTAATTTTCAGAGAGCTGCTCTAGAAAGTCATACAGTTACTTCCCAGAAGCCTCGGAGGATATACATCTCCAGGGGGATCAACTCTCCTGGCTTCATATTGCTCTGATTAAACAGTGAAAAGCCAGTGGACAGACAGATGGTAGCGTGAAAAGTAGGACTTTCAAAAATACCATGCAAACACGCTTTTCTGTGCTGCAGTGTATGTTGACTTTAAATGAAAGCTCCGGCTGCTCACAGAGTCGTGCTTTGTTCATGGTTTGAGGCAGCTATCACAAGAGTAGTGGTGGATATGTCTGATGTTGTTTCAAATACAATGACTGTGATGAGAGCTGTAACCCATTGTCTTTGAAACTAGTTCAGCTTAAAAAAGGAGGCCACTTCATTCTGAGACAGTACATGTGGGACTTAAACGGATGGTCTGATTTGTCTGCTGTGGAGTGACAAAACCGTCCAACATTTCCTCTCTGCAGATCCATTTTGAGGTCTGGTCTGCAGATTTACTCAGGATCATAGACACAGAGTTTTTTTTTTGTATCTAAAGCTGAGAAACCTTTCCTCTGCTGGGTCTGGTCTGGCCTGTGACTTTATATGTTCTAATTAAAGCAGAAAGGGGAACTTATTTTCAGATATGCTCCGGGGTCTAATCCATGACTACAGCTTCATCCTGCTGGTGGACGGCCAACAGACATCTTTTATGAGATGAAAAGCCCAGATTGCCCTACTACTGACCACCATGTCAGAAAACCTTGTTTTATGTAAATCTCCTTGTCTTGTCCCTATTTTCCTGTCTTGTTTTCTGACCAACAAATCCCTGGCAGAGGCATAAAATGTACCCAAACCCACTTTAAAAAAAAAACTTCTTACCCTCTTTGTGCAAATAAACAGGTAAACCTGCTTCAAACTAACAGTTCTCAAACAGTAATTTAAAAAATGTTAAAACATCTCTTGAAAAGTGTTCAAGTATGTATGTAAAGTAGGGGTGGGAGAAAAAATTGATTCACATAAGTACCGCAATTTTTTGTTTTACAATTTTTAAATCAGTTTTTATGTTCAAAAAGCGTATTTTTTAAAATATTTTTTTCAAATGTAAGAATAAATCTTAAAAACTGATATACATGTACATGTATTAAACATTAAGCTTTGAATGATATTAAGATTAGCTCAGCTAAAAGTCTGTACATTTGGGAAACAACCACCCTGAATGTTTTGAAGACTTTTCTTTTGTAAGTGAAGTGAAAGTTCAGTTTTTTTTCTGACTACAGTTAAATATTCATTGTTGCCACACCAGGATAGATCTGGTACTCTCTCTTTTTGTGCCAATCGAGGTCCACTTTTTTCTTTAAAATCATCTGTCTTTCTATTGTAATCATATTTTTGGTACTTCAATATTTATTTTTGCATGTGAGGCCCACTGAGGTTGGACAGGAGGAAAAAAATCACAGTGAACTTCCCTGCCTGGGGCTCAAGAACATAATTTGAAGGATACGAGCGACTTTTTTACAGTGCAGCCATTTTACCCTCAGCTAATAAAACTTCATAAATGTCTCTCCTCTGCAGCCTGCGCAGTCTTCCTATTAGCAACTGTCCTGAGGGAGCAGATGATTTGTGAATATCTTCATTCTTTTCTACAGTGTTACCCTACACTGAACCAACTGTGATCATAACAGAATCATAAGTTATGACAAAGTGGTCTACTGGTGGGACATCATCAGACATGATTAATACTCCAGGAGGGATGCAAGTGATAAAACGTGCTCTTCTGTGACTACGGCATGTTAGCCAGTTTGAAATGACAAAGGATGGTTCATAGGAACAAAACAGTCCCCAGCCTGCAATTACAACAACCAAAAACTGGGACTGGAGTCTTGCATCACACTCCAGCTTCACGAGAACAAACGTTGTGTACATGCAAGAACCTCTTTGAAAAAACAAAAAAGCCTCCTGACAGGACATGAACCGTTTCATTGGAAAACAAAAACAACTGAAGCAAGTACGCTAAAATAAAAAAAAGTTGGTATTTTGGGCTGATAGAGGGACAAGAGGATTAAAATCCCTACATAGAAAATGTAACAATAGCACCACTCTATCTAGAGGACAACAAATCTCTTATTCCCATTAAATTCATTTTTTATTCATTAGCAAGTATTCCATCATTGATCGTTATCCGCTTTATCCGCAGATTAAATGCCGTTTTGAAGCCCAAAGTGCATCCATGGCTCATTAATTAGGATGTCTATTCCACACAGATTACTCTGCAGTACTACAGCTGAATTGGTCACTTAGATTTTTAAGCTTCGTGCGAGTACAGACCCAGGAGTGTGGGAGTGATAAGAGTGTGTGGGCAGGTGGACATTAATGCTGCTACATGCTCCTGTATTGGCAGTATTTCCTCTCTCCTGTGCAGCATCCTACTTCTGCAGGACGGCCTGAGGGAAGCCCTCATTAGTGAAGCCCTTTGGGGGTTTGCTTGTTCTAAACAAAGCATGCACGACCTTGAACTAGAGGACAAGACTTAAGTGGTTCGATCATCACTGAGTGTCAATGTGGTTGATCATCTTTATGCAACAAGGTGTAGCGGTAACATTAGGGTAACATCAGAGATAGAATAGTAAAGCCAGATATAAACAATGACCCCTTCTAGCAGTAAAATATCTGAGCCAAAGTCTGATAACTGTCACTTTCAGGCCAAAGGACAGTTAGTCGTCATAATCGTCATGTGAGAAATCCAACGCTATGACTCTCCACAAGTTGTCCTTCAGGTCGTTATCTTTGTAGTATTTGTGTTTTTTATCAAAAAGTACTCTGTTCTCCGACACGTAAACAATCAGCCGGTCAGCGATGTTGGATATACTGGTGAATCAGACGTCGCAACAACATGCAATCTGATTGGTCAGAAGTGGACACACAGTATGCGAAACTTTACAAAATTTGACCATGATATGAAAAAATAAATGCCGCAGTATCGCAGGACAGGAAAACATTGCTTGTATTGACAGGATACGGGTTCGGAAAAATTAATTGACATCCAAAATAACTGTACGAAAAAAACGCTACCGGTGTGAAAGGACGTTTAGAGTTATTTATCTCCTACTTAAAACTGTTTGTTGCTTCAGAGGCATCCGTTTTGATTTCAGTTCATAACCATAAAAAGCTTTAATTTTCTGTATTTGTGGACTATAACAAATGAATTTCCCTTCAAACTGACCTTGTTAAAAAACTGAAATGCTTCAGCTCTACAGTCATCATCATTTAATTGTAAAACATGTTATTATCCGTTTGGTCCATGGTGCCTATAATCAGCAGATGTTAGTCATAGGCAAACTACTTGTCATAAAACAGCGGGTTTGAAGATGGCTGTCATGATGAACCAGTTCATATCCCCCTCCAATTACACTATCATTGATGTCTTATTTTTACAGTTCATGCTTTATCCTCCAATAAATCCACCACAGGCAGCTCGACTAACACCACCTACTCATCTGATTGTGTGTGTGTGTGTGTGTGTGTGTGTAGGTGTTCAGTGTGTTGTGTGTGCCACAGGAAGCCGGATCTACCCCCTAGTTCTTCACAGCTGTGGAGACATTTCTGTTTAATGAGGTCTAGAAAGGCTCTCCCCTCAATTATTGTCTATCAGCTTTAAGTGTGTGTGTGTGTGTGTGTGTGTGTGTGTGTGTGTGTGTGTGTGTGTGTGTGTGTGTGTGTGTGTGTGTGTGTGTGTGTGTGTGTGTGTGTAAAGGGTCATTAAACTCCCCCACTCTCTCCTCTTCGAGTCATCATCAATTCATCAGCCGACCGGGCAAACACTCAATGAAGTCCGACAACAGCTCAGAGCATCTAACTTATTGCATATTACTCTCCGGTGTGACTGTGTGAATAATAATGTGAGCTGATCCTGATACCAAACTAAATTTCAATCTACATTTATTTTAAAAAATCAACAGACTTTCCCCACGGTTCAGCATAAACCTCTAACACCACCAACACACCTTCTACACTTTCTGCCTACAAAAAACAAAAAGACACAGAGCTCCAAACAGACTTACAAATGCAGTTCTGTCGATATGTGAAAAGCACACAACCAATTCAAAAACCCACACTCTACTTTTCCTTCTCTTTGTTAGCTTGATAGCTTACATGCTATCGGGGTTAGGGTCAGGTCAGGAGTAGTCCCAGCAGGCACTTGCAGCGCAGAGATACTGTCTGCCTGCCAAATCATCTCAGGCTGTCACCTCAGGGGATTCTGAATAACTTAAATATGTTTGCCCCTTTTTACCCTCAGTCATTGTACACAGAGGAGTAAGACAGCATGGCATGGCTAAAAGCTCCTAGAAACTGACTTGTCACAATCTGTTATGTAATAACAATAACTTCACGTTAAGGACGGAAGATCAGCCCGATACCAACGTCGAGTTCAGGCTGTAGTAAAACTGCCTGAACACAAAACTCTCCTTTACACCAAAGTAGCAGTTAAAGACCATCTGTCTACACCAATCCAAATTTGCCGTGTTAATATCACGTAAAAAGGCTGACAACAAAGGGAAAAAAATCAACCATTTCAAATTTGCTGGGCTTTTTCCCCACACAAAAGGTTTGTCAATTAAAAAAGAAACAATCAGTTCTAATGGCTGCCAAAGCCACTCCGAGCTTTTACAGCACATTTTCAGTGAAGGCGGTTTTACCCTTGAGTCGGTTCGAAGACAAAGGGGGATATTTCAATAAAAAATCTTCAGCCTAGTTTATGTTCATTGATGGGAGTCTGAATGGAGGTCCTATTCATGTCAACCTATTCATGATTGTCTAATGAAAAAGGCACGAATAAGGGCCTGTGTTCACTAATGGAGTGTTTTTGCAAACCTTTTATCGTTCATTGAATCGAAGAGAGACAGGAAATATGGAGAGCAGAAAGTGGGGAAAGCAAATGGTCAGGGAGTTGATTGAACCAGCGCTCCAAGGAGAGGTGGGTCGTCTGATATCTGGAAAGCATTTCATTTAAAGAGAAGTGCTGCAAGGCAGACAGTTAACTTCATGTCCTTGTAGTATCAGTGATCAGTACTGCTGGTGGACTCTTTGCTCCCTCCCTTGCTATCATAAATCAAGGAGTTATTGGTTTGAATCTATTGTTGTGTCGTTCTTGGACGATTTGTTCAAAAGAACCGAATCTTTTCAGTGAATGTACCAAATGACTTCCTCAAGTGATTCGTTCGTTTCTCACTTCAGTTGAGCTGTCAGAAGCGAAGTTGCTATAACACGCAGCACTGCCAGTCGAGCAGCCGGTGAACAAGGGACCGCATGCACCGACGCCTGAATCACTTGGTAAACGAATCACGCATTGAACTACACTCTCTGGAATCATTTTTGTCGCACAAGACTCTGTTTCTTTTTTTCACTGCTAAATTGCCAACACAACAACTTGCATACAACAGGACACAGCATGTAACAAGTTAGTGCATAAAACCTGCAGCATCCTATCATTGCAGCGGTTTGCGAGGGAACGGTGCATGTTCAGTGTGAATTCTTTTAAACATTCAGTGAATTAATCACTCACTGAGCCCAATTTACTGAGCAGACCTGATAAATAACATACCATAGGACAGTACACTTAAAACATCATGACTTATAAACAAGTTCATTTTTACAAACCTGTTTGCCAAAGTAACACAACCAAACACTCTTGTTTCCTGGTCCCTGAAGCTATGAATTGAACTGAATCCTGAACTGTTCAGCCGTGTATCAGTGAATGAATCTTTTGAACGAATCATTTTAGGGAACTGATTCTAGTGATTCAGTACATCTAAAAGAACTGCCGTGCCCATCACTATTTGAACCACTGGTTCATGAGATGAAAAAGAGCCGGACTTTAGTTTAATGTCAAAAATTTAACTCATTTCATTTGTAGTTTAAATTTTGTTGCTGATAAACTGTGTTCAAACTGTTAGTTTTTCGGAGGTCTCATATTTCATTATAAAACAGGATCTACATGATTTAAAGTGGTACTTCAGTGACTCCATCTCAGAAATGGTGGTTCATTCACTTCAGCCAACATCCTGGTTTTCTATACACGTCTTTACTTGTTTTATTTATACAGCAGCATAATTTAAGTCATACATGGGAGTAAACCATCCACATACCCTCTCTCACTCTCTCTCTGTCTCTCTCATGCTTTGTTCACTCTGCATCCTCTTCTTTTCAGATGTGACTCCCAGATGCCTGGAGGAAAATGGATTAAAACTTAACTGGCATCATTTCCCACATGCACGCACACAGACACACACACAGACACACAAGCTCTGTCCACACCCCCAAACTCGTTCTAAGCACAAGTGCCTCGCCCGCCCCTTATTAACACTCCCTCTCACACAGAGGGGATCTCTCTTCTTGCAGAAGTCTATTATTAGCTGTTCAACCCAGAGACAAACTAATGACACGTTGGGATGAATCACCAGAGCTGCTGCCTCCAACTATCATTACACTCATCGTACAGCTCCTGTAGACATCCACGGAGGATGCCGGCCACCGCACAAACACACAAACACACACACGCGCGCAGAGCATCAGTTAGGCTCACAAACTGTGCTGGGAAAGTTCTGAACTGCAGAGGCACATGTCTGGAGGTTTCCCTCAGACACGAGCAAAAATGTGATTCATCACACACCCCCTTTCTGACGTCCGATGACCTTAGTATTTTTATGGTGGCAGCTGAGACGTGTCCGTGACGAGAAGTTTTTGTTTTTTCATTCTCACATCTCTCATATTTAACAATCCTATCATGTTCCTCTTCTCACGTTTTGGTGCCAGGTGAGATAGTACTTTTTTTACTGCTTGGTTTCACCGTGTCTCATTTTACTTTTTCTTAATTTGGTTGTTTAGTGTCACTTTCCTTTACTTCTTTGAATTAAAGAGCACCTTTGACTTCTCTCCCTGTGTGACAGGCTCTTAATATATAAATCTTATCATTATTTTTTGACTAAGATGCCATCAAGTCTAAGATGTTTAGTGAGCTTTCCATCTTAAGTTCTCAAGAAGGCTGATTTCAAGTCTGGATTATGGAAACACTTTAGAGGTTTACTTAACTGTTTAGTAGTTGTTTGCAGGGTATTCAAAGATCATTAACATCATGACAAATCGGTATGTTTACAGTTACAGCTCCATTAAGTAGTTTAACTGGACCACTGACCTTGCCCCAGTTTACAAGCACAGGCAAAAATGGAATTATTGACAGAAGCATGTCCTCCTCTGTCATGGTAGGTGGCAACATACCCCCCTTTTAGCTCGCTACTATCAGGTCATCTCCCGCTTGACCTGTTATGTATCAAAACATGTCAGCAGGAGGCTAAAGGGATGTACGTCAAACAATGAAAACACTATTACAGCTCTGTACCATTCTATTGTACAATATGACAGCTTCATCTTTTTAGGCTCAAGCCCCGCGTGTAAAGTGGTTTCAGTCCACTGTTGTTTCATTTTGCTCTCTCTAATTCAACAGTTTAATAAATCAAAATGAGGTCTGGATGTCTTGAAATAACTGGTTTGAACTGGTTGGTTAGCACACACTTTATATTTTTGGTAGAACGTGTGATTGCAGATCAGCAGATCAGGGACCATCATGAGTCCAAACTCAATATCAAGTGGGTGAATTGTTTATATCAACCTCTTGGTTTCTCTTTGCAGCCACGTTCATTTCTGTCACAGCAGGCTCTTGAATCAGTTTATATTGCTACGGCGGCGCACGGCCTCATATTACCATAAAAATATCCCAGTGAGCTCCAAGCAGTGTGGAAGACAAAGGAGAGCTTCAGTGCTGAATCAATACTATCTGTTTAACTGAGGGACATATTAGGGCTTAAAAGGGTGAAACAAATTCAATTTGAATTCATCAATAAAACACTGACAAAGTTAAAGCTACAATACTCAGGGAGTTCGGTTAATGAATGTGATTCCTTCAAATTACAACATTTTCTTGTAGCTTTAGTAACAATACAAAAATTCTGTCATATCTAACAGACCAAACAAGGAGTTAATCATGAAAATAATGGACAGATCCACTAACCAAAGTGTAATCACTGGTGTAACTCGTTTACTCCATGTTCACAGGCAAGGCTCTTTAAGTAGACAACCAGGGTCATGTTCTGTTTCATGTCATTCCCCACTCTCTGGTCCTAGTTTCTTTCTTGATCTTTTAATTAAAGGCATAAAAGCACAAAAACAAACTAAAAAAAAATATATATTTCTCACCTGTACTTGAATATCTGGTCAAAAGGGTGACCTAAAATCCCGCAGAGCTGCTTTGCAACTGACTTTTGCTGAATTATGATCCAGGGTGTTAGAGGGCGAAACCAAATTCTTTTGGCCTCTTTCAGCAGGTTGTTTTGTCCGGCCCATAACTTTGCTGTTTTGATCATTTTCACCACTTTTCCACCACAATTCCAATTTTTTAACACATATCTTGTGACACATATCTGATTTTTTCATCTAAGTGTGAACAGTGCAATTCTGATTTTTTCAAATCCGACCCAGGCCTCTTTTGTATGTGGATATAAATCGGATATGTATCCGATGTGACAGCAGTGTGGACGCTCGGGTCGCATTCATCCGACCTATACGTCATCAATATGCGACAAACCTCACCATTGTTTAACAACACAAACAGGCACGGAAAGCAATTTGTGCTTTGTGTGCATGCAGGTCACTTCACGGACGCATTCCGTTCACATTCAATGCCGCATTCGTTGTTGTAATGTGAACAACCGCACAAAAAGATCGAATTTAACAAAAAATCCGAATTGTGCATCATAACCTGCAGTGTGAACGTAGCCTAAGTGACCTTCACAGACAACTCAAGAAGCTGCTTTTACCCCAAAGTCTTTCAAATCTTGTGAATTAAACATGGACTTGTGTTGTATGCCTATAACCACTATACTGTGTCTTTCTAAAAGAGATGAAAAAGATCATATGGTACAAGGAGGGTTTATGGACAAGATGTGCACCAACAAGCGGTGACTTAATAAGCAGTGACTGAATTCAGGACATCCAAGGAACTTGGTGTCCTGCTGCTGTCTGGAGCCCATTTATTAACCTGCCAGAGTGAAGAAATCTGGTCATCTAGCTGCCTGCTGAATACAGGCTATACAACGAAATACCATTATTACTACTCTGTGCAAGGACGCCAGGGCTGTTGTTACTATGACAACTGGTATTATATAAAGAAATGTCAAAGAAACACACGCATCAGACTTTGTCACAAGTACATTTTCATTGTACTCTGAGGGCACAAAGAGCACAGCTTTAACTGGCAGCAGACCACACTAATGGGCACATAAGTGATGCATTAGATCAAGTATCAGCTTTGAATACAAATGGACACATGATCCCTGTTGCTCCTGTATCAGAGGAAGGAGACTGCAGGTTTGACTCCAGCCAAACACCGAGGGCTCATTTTACTCGTGTCAAAACACTCTGTGCCTGGATGTGCTGACGTGTTTGAGAAAGGCAGCTAAAGCGAGAAAATCAAATCCAACTGCTTTTTATTGGTGAAACAGAGAAGTCGTGACAGTACATATGACGCCACCTACAGGACAACATCACTTGTTCAAAATTTAAGTTATTTACCTACAATTTTCTCGGCCCTGCACAATATGAGGATGATGATTACACTATTATTTAGTTAAAAGTATAGTATTTACGTCATCCACTGGTTGGTGGACTAGCTTATGAGACTGTAAATGTGGCATTCAAGTCATTGCAGTCTTTTTTGTGCATATCTGTAAATTATTTTAAACTTATCTTGATTATTTTAACAGATGTATTGAAGATCAGATGATAGCATGACGGGGTTAGGAGGATTTTGTTGTTAAGGCTAAGGGCCACTGTCCTCTAAGTCCTCAATCTACACCTTTATTAACAAATCTTGCTACGGTTAAAAGCACTCAATATTGTTGGAAAGCTACTTAGAAGACCCATCTGCCCTTACTTCTTAACACGCACACTCAATCACATAACCTCCTCCTTTTCTTCTAACAGAAGGAAGTCATAATTTCTATGGCTATGACATTTTTTTGGCCACTTTGTTAAATGGGTGATGCCCTTGTGTTTCAGAGGATGACAATATAGGACAACCATAATCAAAGAAGATGACTCCCTCTGATTTGGGTACATTTCTACCCTTTCCTCTGGTCCTAGATAGAAAAATTACCAGCTTTAAAAATTTGTGTGCATTAAAGAGCCAGAAATGAGTGTCCCTTTTGACCTTGTGAGCCGCAGCAGCTCCTGGTTGGGTCTCTTAAGATAAACGGTTTTGTGGACAGAGGCCAAAGAGTGAATCATAGACTCCAAAGAGCCAAATGCACTGTATAAAATGCTCGCCAGCAAAGAGAGGGAGAGGGGCAGTTTACAGAGAATGCTTAAGAGGTATGCTGCAGTTATTTTGTATGTTTGGCGAATAACCATTACACCGAGCCAGACTGGATGGATTCCACTGAAATGATTGAAGCATCTACAACTTCCAGCCTAACCTGATCAGGAACAGGAGCAACACCGACATTAGGAAACACACATTCATGCAGATTTTGAGAGCTGTCCGTGGAAAAAATTACAACACCCGGTCATCGTGCAATCACACATTTTTTTCTTGTCTCAGCTTTGTTCAGCATCAAGAGCGCTGTTGTTGTAAGGGAGCCCAGGGAGTTGGTTATAAAATGAGCTTTTCTTTTGTATTTCTCCGGGGGAATAAAAGAAGTACTCAGGTCCTTTATTTAGACACACTAAAGAGAGAAGTGCCACTATGTGCAACAGACTCCATCACAGAGTCCTGAATGAACATTTGGCATCGGTTTTCTTGGCAAAATCAATCGAAGTGTGTTTAAAGTATCAGTAATGCTGATTATGCTGATGACACTACACAGCGAAATGCACACGTCCCTTTTCCAGCCTGTGTAAAAAGCATTTTGTTATCACACTTGGACGTCAATTACAACAGAGATAGGTGGATGTGGTCATGAAAAGAAGTGGAGAAAAAAAACACAAGTAGCTACAAATGTACCTAAAATGATCCAATTGTTAATTTCTTAAATTACTATACTTGTTAGACCCCACACATGGTACTTCCCTTCGAACATCTGTGAGTGAAGCTACGCAAATACTATATTGAGATCTTTAAACACAGTGAGTAATATTACTTCACAACAGTGCGGTAGACGACAGATAACATGTCAGACTGGACTAGAGGGCCACTTAGAGAGTGCAGACATCCTCCAAGGCCTGCCTGTGTGTGACGGACTGGCTAATATGATTGCTGCTCTGTGAGTTGGACCTGTTCCTAAACTCAATGGCTTCACTGTTGGCCCATGCTTTACCCTTTCAGTGTATGATGAAGATTGAGCCTGAAGGGTTTTTTTTGTTGTCATTATCTGCCTGATAAATAGACTCAGCTAGTTTTTAAGTCCTGTCTGCTATTACTGATATTGGATCTGGATTGGCTCCAATATTCTCTGAGTTCTTTTGTCATTTCAAGGCTTCAAAATGGACCATTGTTGTGAGCCTTGAGTTTTGCGTTTCCGACAGCATCTTCTCATTTGAAGACAGGAGTAACCATATTTAATTCCAGGTTGGTAGGTTGTATGGTAGCAATTCAAAATCATGTCGCCATGCCTTAAAGACTAACCTGCCTCTATCATAATATTTACTTCAGATGAAACAAGTGATTGCAAAGTAAACATTTTAATAGCATAAAGAAGCCTTGAAGCTAGTGATAGTAAACAGATATAGGATAATCTTTGAATCTCTTTTTTAACTAGACTTATCAAACCAATAGAGTCCCCGTGTTAGAACAAGTGCAGGTTGAAGGGGCCACTTCTTCACTCACCTCACTTTTGAGACAGAGCTCCTATGAACACATTTGATATTCTGTGGATGTTTAACCTTGTCCCATAAAAACTGTTTCGGTTTTTTTGTTCTAATGCTGCAGACAAACATAAGACACATAAAACAGAACCTCCTCAGGGAAGGTAACCAAATAGCCCCAAGTGGGTGTCTGTTTTGGCTTTGGCTATTATATTATAAATCAAATACCTGATAGATAGACACAATATTTAAACATCATGGGAGATGTGGTTACAAAATGAATCTCTAACAGCGCAAAACCTATAAAAATCTCCTTTCATTTTTTTTTCCATCAGCAGGCATATGTGTGTGTGTTTGTGTGTTTGTGTGCAGGCTGTCGGTGTATAATTGGGGGAAGGGAAGGTGAGCTGTGCAGGATGTTGAGTGTTAGATGCTCAATGACCTTATATTCACCAGTCAATCAAGCCTGGGCATCGTGACAAAGGCAATACGAAGGTGTTGATCTGATCTGCTCCAACAGGTCGGATGTGCGAACGCATCCTTGCTCTTCAGCTCAGTGAAAACACCTGACAGCACTACTGGCTGCATGAGATCCACCCTGCCACCAACATATGCTCACAATCACTGCTGGAGTGCATCTGACCTTCTGTGAGGCAGAGTACATACAGTATAATGAGCCTATATGGGGGTCTACGTGCAAACTGGGTGGTAGCGTCACTTCATATTTCTTGGGACATACGTACATGCATGCAGCAGTCCCCTAGCCACTGGTTGCCCTAGATGAAATCCTTCCACCCTGTTCTTCCCAGCACAGTTTCTGCACCTATTTTAGATTCAAAACCAGGCCAGGCATCAGAGCTCAGGGCAACTCTCTCAGCCAGACTCCTCTCAGTATCACTGCTTCTGCACAAGTTTGTCCACATCTATGTATTAAAAACACTGAAAATCATGTGTGCCATCTATCCATCCATTTCCTACCACTTATTCTTGTTAGAGCCTATCCTAGCATCTTCGGGCAAAGACCGGGGACACCCTGGACAAGTCGCCAGTTCATTGCAGGGCTGACATACAGAGACGAACAACCATCCACACTCACATTCACACCTACGGGCAATTAACCTAACCCCACTTCTGCATGTTTTTGGGATGTGGGAGGAAACCGGAGTACCCGGAGTAAACCATGTGTGCCATTTGTATTCTAAATGCATTATGAGGTGTTTCCTTGGTTAACCCTCTGGAGTCGATTGATGCTCCTGGGCGTCAAAATCATGTGACATATTTAAGAGGATGTAGCTGCAAGACTGAGCCTCGCTGAGTCTCCGTTTCAACTTCAAATGGACACAACTTGAATTTTGTTGATAGACCAAACGAAACCAGAGTTATGATAAATTATGTACGTCGTACTTATCCTGATTATTTTCGTCATGTTCGGTGCATAAATAATGGTAAATTACTGTGATATTTGCTAAAATTGTACATATGTTTTGGAGTTCACAATTTATATTTGCAGTGTAAAAAGTTTGTTAAACATATTTATGGTTTTCGCAGTAAAAAATGTTACTTTTTTCACTCGGATTTTGTGTTTTGTGTGCGAATTTAGGTTAATACAGTATGTGAAAATGATAAAATAACTGTAAATTCACACAGGTGAGGTTGTGCTGTAAAAATGAAACCAAGTAAGGCAAGTTTAACAGTTTTTAAGAGGAAATATAAAGGTAAAATCAAAAGTAGTTCAAAACGGCCAATTATACCCTAGACACAAGAGGGTTGAAGTAGTGCAACAATAGTGCAATAAGAGTTTGGTTGCTCTCAAATTCAAAATGTGCACATCACCTTTTTTGTCAACAGCATGCACATGAAAATCCCCTTTTTTCAATGCATACATCTTCTGCATTCATAAGTTCATCCACAACCTAAACTACCCCATAGTGCAGTAACATAAATATCTGATCTTGATGAATAACACATCTTGAGAGGTGTTTTTTCCTTCTTAGCCCCCCTTTTTTAATTATACCAATCTCATTAAAGTGCAAAATATCATCAGCAATAACGTCCAGAAAGCAGCATCTTAGTCCGTGACATGTTAGTCTTGCGTCTCGCGTTTTTAAAGCGTAACGATCAGTCTAACGATCGAGGCTAATAACGTAAGCGGTGGTGCTATTTTTAGCCTGCATGAAGATGCGCTCAGCAGTGATGGCGATGGCTTCCTCCCTCCTACACAATCATGACGTCGTACTGTTACGCAAATCCAGGGGTTCACCTTTTTTGAGACCTCCAGCAGCAGCAGCAGCAGCACTGTCTGTCTGTCACCACTGGCGCAAAATGTGAGGCACGACATCTCTGGAATTGTCGAGATATTCAAAACACTGTATGAAAACGACGCTGACCTGGACTCAGCGCTTTACTTCTGCTTTTTTTTATGTGATTCTTCTAAACATTTCAGAGGTGACACTTGTCCAAACTTGGATCTGGACACACCCAGAGAGGTTTGAGTGAAGGTGGAGCGGTTTATATTAAAAAGTAGACCCAGCAGCACAGGGTCGGAGCCCCTTAACCTCCACTGTTCTCACTAACGGTCAAAACAAACAAACAAACGGTCGTTCAGCCTCAACCATAGTGAGTTCATTTCACTCACAGGCGTCAAAAACACACGGAAATAGAAACATGCCATGACAGAAAGTGGTCACTTAACTATTTGTAGAGGTGTTGGAGACACAAGTCCAAGCATTCCCCCTCCACTTCGTCCTCGGTCACCAGGTCTGATAAGGGGCGCATCGGCACCGGGTCGCTCTCCTGCAGAGGCATTCTCATCTCCCGGATAAAGAGCTCCAGGAACCGTCGGAAGGTTTTCTCCTCTGCTGTAGAGCCGGCCATCATTTCTCATTCCTGGACAGACAGAGACAGCTCCGCCCGTCAGTTGCTACTCTAACTTGCCGGGCGAAGAAGAGAAGAAGAGTCTGACCGAACTAGTTGGACTGTCAGCGCGGTACTAGACTACCTGGATGTATGCCTACTACTGGAGGAGCAGAGCCGTTATCAACCGGTGTGACTGTAAAAAGAGCGGACCTGACAGGATGGAGGGGACCGTGGCGTCTACGGTTACACTACCGGACTCGACTCGTTGTCAGAAGCCGGACTGAGCCCCCATTCAGAGCCGAGCGGGAGCGCGCGTCGCGTTATCAGGGATTTCGGATGATCAGAGGGCGGTGACGTCAGAGAAGACGCAAAGGTTTTAATGTAGGTCGTGAACGCGCACGCAGCGTTGTCTGACGTCTGACCTTTCAGAAGACACGCAATTAATGAAGGTGGCCTGTTTTTAGGGCAACATACTCTCTGGTACCAAAGTTTTCTAGTGCCACAAGAGTGGAATAGAGCTTTAAATAGACTTTAGACCAGTCCAACTGGATAAATAAGTTGGACTGGTCTAAGAATATAGACTTGATCTACAGAAAGGGGCAGAGCCGCCTCTTTTGCCTGAGAAGACTCCGATCAATTGACATCATCTACTAGACATCTAAATGTAGCCTATACGACTGGTCAAAAATCAGGCTACCACAGGTCTAAAATGAAAGTTTTTCAGACGTCTAAATTTAGACCAAGTTTAGACTCAATCTAAATCTATACTACACTGTATATGGCTCATCATAATTATTTTGGTTAAGTACTTGGAAATCAGTTATGCAACTCACAGTTGCTTATTGAAATAAATAGTTATTGAATAATGGGTTAAAGTGCAACATCTAAATTCTAAAAATATACAGAATCTAGACGGTTGAAATTAGGTCTAAAGAGAACTAGACGTCTAATAGCCGTCCATTGCTCAGTGGGATGCTGCAGATGTTTTATCAGTCTGTGGTGTCAAGTGTTCTGTTCTACGCTGCAGTCTGCTGGGGAGGAAGCATCTAACACAAAGATGTAAGATGTCTTAAACAAACAAATGACTGCCTCTCCAGGCTCAAGCTGGACTCAGTGGAGGATGTGGTGGAGAGATCTAGACTGAGGAAGGTGGAGACTATTCTAAAGAACATGGATCACCCACTTCACAACACCTTGATGGACCAAAGGGCAAATGGTGGTGGACGGCTCCTCTCTCTCTGCTGCAAGACAGAAAGATTCAGAAGATCTTTACAAACAGCCGTTAGGCTTTATAACTCTTGTGTAAATAGTAGATAACTTTTTGAGACATATTATGTGAGACAACAGACAGTTGAATTTCCCCTCAGGGATGAATAAAGTTCTTCTTATTCTTAAATACCTATGGTCCCCGGTTGTGGAACAGCCTGCCGGAGAGCCTCAGGGCCGCAGAGACTGTTGATGTTTTTAAGAAGAGGCTCAAGACTCACCTTGTTAACCAGGCTTTTCATTAATAGCTTTTTTATATTTCTCTTAATGCAAATGTTCATTTTAATCAAAGTTATTAATGTTTCTTTTATGTCATTTTATTAGTTATTGTTCATAGTCTTTTTCAATAACAATAACTACACTGCCAAATTTTCACTATTGTGTCCACATCAGGACTGCCATACTGCCATACTGTTTACATTCACTCTCTTACACTCATCTTCCTCCTTATATTTATACTATACACTGTTCATACTGTCATACTGTTTATATTGTTATCTTTATTTTGTAAATTGATGTGAGTATTTAAGGTAGTCTTTTGTTTAGCTTAGTTGTTTATTCTATATTTATACTTTTATAGTTTTATTCTTATGGTTTATTGTTGTGCACCGTGGGTCTGAGAGGACTGAAATTTCATCTGTGCTGTATGTTTAACATGTATAGCATATCTGACAATAAAGTTGACTTTGACTTTGACTTGACTTAATTCCCATCATAGAGGTTTTTACTTCTTTTACACCTTTCACATGGTATAGAGCTCTTACTTATCTGTTCATTTAATATTATTTTCTTGTTTTAGTCCATCAGGTTTTACTCTTTCTTTTTACCATTTTTATCTTTTATCTCCAGTGTTTCCCAAAGATAGCTCTTTCCTCACGTAATGTCTCGGTGTCAGGCCATGTCTCCTTAACAATATATCTTGAATTCTCACTTTGTGTGCGCTTGTGTATGTGTATGTGTGGGTGGGTATGTGGTCCATGGGTGGGTGTGTGGGTCTGGTTTTATTGTTGTTTAATTGTTGTTTTTGTTTTGTCTGAAAAGTGCCAAACAAACAAAGTTAAATTTCAGGACTTTGATGACAGATATAGTACCAGACAGTGAAAGCTCAACAAATATAACCTCTAGTAATATTTGCTTTTGGTTTATGTGCCATTAATGCACCAAGTATTTCGTGTCTAGAGTTTTACAGGGTTAGAATAAAGAAGTTGGCCAGTCAGTCAATCATACAGTATAGACAACCTCACAATAGAAATCCAAAGTGCATATAAAAGAACTGGCTCTTACATAATAGGTTTGCCAGTTGTAAAAAGCATAATTTTTTCATAGGATACATACATTTCTGTAACTATATCAATGATACACTCTGCCCACTAGTATCCCTTTGACTGTTGACAACATCTCAATTGTTTTTGTTAATGAACAGCTTCCATTTTAGGGGGGAGGGGCATTCTTCTTGTATATACAAATGTTTTCTACAAATGTCTGACTTACTATTGCTGACTCCTGAAGCTCAGTTATACAAGTCAAAATTAAGATGGTTAAAGTATGTGAACGACTGGTCAGTGTGCAGCTTTGAGTTCTAATCTGAATTTTTACGGATGAGCAGCCTTCATTATTTCAGGGCGATATATATAGCAAGTGATCATGTGACCTATCTCAAAGGCTTTTAGCTGCAGCATTGAAAGTCTTGAATAACTGATGAGTGAGAATGATTGCTTGAATGGTCTCATTAAATGAATGCACAAGAAGACATGGTGAGGTGTTCCGCTGCATTTTGCCCACTTTTCTCTGTACATATCTGTAAAATCCTGGGTGTGTCTGTTCCCTTTTAAGACACACATTTAATTTAGTTGCTTTGCATATTGAAAGACTTCATCACTGTGAAAAAAAGTGTTGTGATTGGAGTTATATCATCGTGAATGATGACAACAATGCACATCCATAGGAAATCAACTATCAGCAACCTTGAAATAAAGAGCAACTCGCAGTATCCACTTTTCAGTGAAAATGAACCTTAACTTTTAGATAACATTCTGTCAGTTTGGACATGGAGCAGTCTTAATATTGGCTGTTCTCTCTTCAGGGAAGGACAAAATCCAAGTTTTTGAGGTCACCCAGTTTCTCTGTTTTTCTAACATTTTCTTCTTACATCACAAAATCCAATCCTTATAACACTTAAAAGACTGTTGAAGAAGGCTCCTTTATATGGTGACTGAAAATGTTTAAAAAATTTAAATTAACTTTTTATGGTAGGTTATGCAAAAGTAAATAATACACACTGTATGCACATACATGACAGAAGTCAAAGCATAAATATCATGGTGTCTGGATAGACCAAAAATGTTCATTAAGTCAACTGATCCTCAAAAATTAATCATTCTTATATTTATGTTTTGTTTCATTTGGAAAGCCCAAAATGAAAATCAATATTCCAACTGCAGTTTCAGTCACAATTAAACTAAATGGAAATTATGAAAATAAACCCTCTATTCTCGCCACATTAGATAGATGATTTATTTTTACTGGAATGATAATAATTTGTTGTCACGATTTAGCATGTGTTACTAAATTAGTATATTTATTTGTCTTTATTTCTAAACAGAATTATTACTTTGATCTTCTTTTTTTTTCATTTTATTTAGTTTGTAGCTAAATTTTCAATGGATCATTTTTAAAAAATTTAATTCATTCCTTTGTTTAATTCATATTATTACTACAGTGGCCGAGAACTGCCACTGCTGCAAATAAAAAAGAATGCAAAAAAAAAAAGAAGTCACAATGAAAGTTACTGATGCAAAAAAAAAAGAAATGGTGCAGATAAAAAAAAAAGCCACAACGAAAGTGAACGACGCATAAAAAAAAAGTGGCGATAGAAATAAAAAAGCTGCCTACTTCGAAAATAAAAGGATACAAATTTAAAAAAACACAACAGAACTGAAGCTAACACTACACCAGCATCCTCCAGTTCAACTTCATATCGACTCATGCGCTACATGGCCTGACCAAATGACATACTGAAAAGCGCACAAAGCAAAATTAAAAAACTTTCCATTTACTTCTTTGCTCGTCTTCTCACCGCTGTCTTTTGCGCTTAGATCATAAAACACTGGTGCATCATTAATATTGGTCCCCGGCAGCTTACTTCTGCTGTCGTTTTTTTTATTTGCATCCTTTTTTTTTTGCATCAGTAACTTTCGTTGTGACTTTTTTTCTGTTGCATTCTTTTTTATTTGCAGCAGTGGCAGGTCTCGGCCACCGTATAATACATTTTTCACACACACACACAAAAAATATAGGAACAGCTGAGCGGTTGTTGTATCTACTCGGATTTTTTATCCTAGGAACCCTTCCCACCCGGAAATGGTTGCATCGTTATTTTCTTCCCCTCACTTTCAACATGAAGGAAGCAAACATGGCAGCCCCTGTTAGTATCGGGGCTCTACTCCAGGCAGACTTCCCGGATGATGCTGCTCACCGGGAGGACGGCCTGTGTGTCGTCGGTATTTTTGGAAAAAGCGCCATGCAGGCTGGACCTCTGAAAGAGTCTCTCATCAACAATTTAGCGGATAAACCCATCTTCTCTCTGTTCAACGGAGCCGAGGACGACGGCCCCGCGGACAGTCTCATCCAGGCTTTCTACCACCAGGAGAGCCGGGTCCTGTACCTGCTGCTCTCCTCCGTGTGTGACAGCCAGCAGCTGCTGCGGGCCTGCCGGGCTCTGAGCGCCGGGGCCGGACACTCGGACGCCCACGACTTCTGGAAAGGTCTGGAGAGGCAGCACTGCCTCCACCTGCTCTACATGTTCTCTGTGTGCCACGTCCTCCTGCTTGTCAACCCAAACCAGACCTTCGATGTGACCTACGACCGGCTCTTCAGAGCTCTGGACGCTCTCCGACAGAAGGTCCTGCCTCTGATCCGGGCAGCCATCAAAGACTGTCCGGTGTCCAAAGAGTGGAAGGTGAACTGTCGGCCCTGTCCTCCACGCCTCCTCTTCGTCTTCCAGATGAACGGTTCCCTGAAGGTTCGTGTTCATAAACTCGTCTTTTCAAAATATATGTTGTAACTAAAAAAAATATATAGTTGTATGAAAAATATATGCTGATTTTAAATTGACTGTGAGCAACATATTTGAAAATAGTGGGGACAGGGACAAGAAACACCGATAAAGTCATGATACAAAAATTGAAAAGGCTGGAAAAGCATCACTGAAATAACTGAGTTAGTTTGGAAAGGCTTCCAGATTCGAGACTGATGTTTTTTTATGGTAAGCTGCAAAAATAAAATCAACATAATATCATTAAACTATTGAGAGAATCTGGAGGAATCCCTGTATCAACAAAGATGAGGGCTAATATGTCGAGCTACATACAACATTTGCAGTATTTTGTCATAGAAGAGGTGAAGCAACAACATCTATTCACAGCGCAACACAGAAACCCTGTAGTTACACAACCATGCCAAGAAATAAATGTTAGAGTCCAATCTTCAGATGATTGTCAGATATAAAATTGAGATGTTTTGTATTTGAGTGTAACAATTTGTCTCATAAATGGTGTTGAAAGGGCCTCATAAGCAATAATCTCACAGAACTGTAACTGATCTCTCTTTAGGTTTCTTCAAACGGCTCAGATTCTGGAGGAAACCCTGACAAACCTAAGAAACACTCCCCCAGGAGGCGGCTGCAACACGCTCTGGAGGATCAAATATATCGCATTTTTCGTAAAAGCAGAGTCCTGACCAATCAGAGCAGCAACTGCTTATTCACTGTGCCCGCCAACCAGGCATTCGTTTATGTGATACCTGCACTAGAGGAGGATCCAGTAGGGACTTTACTCGGTCTGCTGCGGTCAAACTGCATCCTTGGTGAGCAGGAGTCTTCCATGACGGTGTCAGGGCCGAGGCGCTACCAGCAGATGCGACGATCAGCCCGGCAACTTAGCTTTGGTGGGGAATCAGGCTGTGGTCCGATGGGTGGTCAGCCAGTGGACTGCAGCTTGAAGGAATTCCTGTGGCAGCATGTGGAACTGGTTCTGACCAAAAAAGGGTTCGACGACAGTGTCGGACGGAACCCACAGCCCTCACACTTTGAGCTGCCGTCCTACTCGAAATGGATTGAGGTTGCTGCTAGCCTCCACCAAGTCCTGATCAGCAACACAGATGAAGAAACAGCAGAGCTAGCTACAAAAGTGCAGAGCCAGCTTAAGGTGTTGGAGGGTTTTCTGGATGCTGACACAAAGTTCTCTGAGAACAGATGTCAGAAAGCTCTGCCTCTGGCCCACAGTGCCTACCAGTCTAACCTTCCACACAACTACACCACAACAGTCCACAAAAACCAGCTTGCTCAGGCTTTGAGGGTGTACAGCCAGCATGCTCGAGGTGTGGCCTTCCAGAGATACGCACTGCAGCTTCACGAGGACTGTTACAAGTTCTGGAGTAATGGACACCAGCTGTGTGAGGAGCGAAGTCTGACTGACCAACACTGCGTTCATAAGTTTCACCTTCTGCCTCAGCCAGGTCTACACTTACATTCACTAAAGGGTGTTAAGAGTAAAACTTGAGAGTTGAGCATTTACAAACATTAACATAAACTCAAAAATGTCTAAAAGTTTGAGCTTGTAGAAACATCGTAACATTGGCAAGGAGAATGACGTCTGTAACACACACATGAAATCTGGTATTTCTGTCTGCAGGAGAGAAGCCTGACATGGATCGCAACCCACCCATCCTCAACCACAACAGCAGGGGGCGCTCCACCAGCTCCTGTAACTGTGGCAGGAAACAGGCTCCACGTGAGGATCCATTTGATATCCAGGCTGCAAACTATGACTTCTATCAGGTCAGGATTCACACTGCGCTCTATTACTGATCACCAGTGTCCCAAAAGACTAGAACAGACTGATAAATAGAAAAATGAAGGCTCTAAAAATTAAAAGCTTCAAATCTTCTAGCTTTTACTTTGAAAAGCTAAAATACATCAACAAGAGTGAGCCAGGTCAGTTAAAGGGATATTCTGGTGTAAAATTAATTTAGGGTCAAACACACCGTAACAACGAGTTAGACAACCCCTCAAGAGATGAATGTTTGCCGACCGCTTCCTTCTCTAGTTATACCAACTTTAGTAACGACTACATGATAGCAATACACGGTCTGAGGAACCACACACACAACCAAAACACCACTCTATAGCCACAAATAATACTCAGAACAGCACCTAACTTCATCAACAGGACATATAGAGTCCCAGCCATAGTACTAGCCACCAAGCATCTTTCTAACTTTGCCTGATTTCTTTAGCAAAAAGACTAAACACAACTCACCTACTCTCTTCCAGCAGCCACTTGTTTGTACGGAGACCTCGGGCCAGTCCATTACGGACTACAGCGGGGTGACGCAGCTCAAGGAAGAACATTTATGATCATTTTTTCATCATTGCCTTGTAGTAATAATCATCATATTTATCATTTTGCACTGCAGACGCTGTAGTTCTTCTGCCTTAGCGTCTCGGTCTAATTACATTTCCACAAAGAAATAATCATAAATGTTCTTCCTTGAGCTGCGGCACCCCGCTGCAGTCGATGATGGACTGCTTGAGGTTTCCATACGAACAAGCGGCTGCTGGAAGAGAGTAGGTGAGTTGTGTTTAGTCTCTTTGCTAGAGAAATTAGGCAAAGTTAAAAAGATGTTTGGTGGCTAGTGCTGTGGCTGGGACCCTACATATACTGCTGATGAAGTTAGGTGCTGTTCTGAGCATTATTTGAGGCTATAGAGTGGCTTTTCGGTTGAGGTTTGTTTATGGCTCCTCAGACCGTTGTGTATTGCTATCGTGTGGTCGTTGCTAAAGTTGGTATAACTGGAGAAGCAAGCGGTCGGCAACATTCATCTCTTGAGGGGTTGTCTAACTCGGTGTTACGGTGTGTTTGACCCTAAATTAATTTTACACCAGAATATCCCTTTAAGCTGAACCCAGTGAGCTGTGCACTCATCCTCCAACCCTGATATGGTTTAGTGGAGCTGTAGTTTGAGCTGTTAATTTTCTGATGATTAGGTTGTGACACTTGGTAATAGCTTTTGTATTGTTACTGTGTTTTCAAAAACAAACTTTCATGTTCATTAATTTGGTTTTCCTGGTTAGATACTGGAGGAGAAATGCTGCGGGAAGCTGGAAAGGATCGAGTTTCCCGTGTTCCAGCCGAGCACTCCAGACCCAGCTCCAGCCTCCAACCAGACTCAGAGAGTCCCGTGTGAAGGCTCAGGTTCTGGTGAGGCAGAGAGGCTGAAGGAGCCGAGCACCGCTCAGAGCCACACACCCGGAGACCCCAGCCTTAGCCTGGCTCTTAGTCTGGGTCAGTCCACCGACAGCCTGGGGCCGTACGGGGATGGAGATGGAAATGAAACCCAAGTTCAGCAGAAGAGGCCGAGCCTTGTGGACCGCCAGCCCTCCACTGTGGAGTACCTTCCGGGTATGATGCATTCTGGCTGCCCCAAAGGCCTGCTGCCCAAGTTCTCCAGCTGGTCTCTGGTCAAACTGGGACCAGCCAAGTCTTACAACTGCCACACGGGTCTGGAGCAGCCGGGCTTCCTTCCAGGCTCTTCCTTCCTCCTTCCCTGGGACTTGGTCATCCGTTCTCGGTCCGAGGAGAACACAGGACTAACAGAGCCATTGGATGGAGGCACCTCATCTTGGCCTGCTCCAAATAAGACCCTGGTGGGAAAGCGAGGGAGCACTGGAGGGCTGGGGAGGAGTCGTAGGAGGGACGACATGGCTCGTGTCTTTGTAGGGTTCGAGTATGAAGACAACAGGGGGAGACGCTTCATCAGCTGCGGGCCTGATAAGATAGTGAAGGTTCTCGGGCCGGGAGGCACCAAAGACCCCGCCACCAGGGTACTCAACACGGACATGCCGCTGTACATCCCCTCCCCCACTCAGGGCCGCAGCCTGAAGCCTCACTTTGCACAGCTCACTCGCCTGTATATTGTGGTGCCTGACACCCCGCTGGAGGTTACCCTCAACCCACAGGTAACTTACATCCAAGGAAACAGTCAAATAAGATGTTCTGACACTCTATTAGACAAACTAGCAACAAATTTGTTTTTGCATTAAAGAGCAGCTGCTCAAAATACGCCAGTTAGGAGACAAAGAAGAAGAAAATAAAAGAAAATATATTACTGGATTTTTTTAACTTGACAAGAGCTTCTTGTCCTCCAGGGCCACCGTCACTTCACTGAGAGGAGGGGTGAGCAGGGGAGCATTACAATTAAGAAACTGCCCACTCATAGATATGGCTTAATATCCCAAATTCTACACACTGTACCTTTCAAACCATTCAAACATAAACTTTAAAACCGTGTATCAAACTTGGATTGTAGGATACCTGCAAGTCTTGTGGGGCATAAAAGAGTGTTGAACCATTAGATATAATTCATTTAAAAGTGCTGAATGAGGTATTAACAACTGTCAAACCACTTAAATAACTGCTTAATCCTCTTTTTCTGTCATAGACCGCGGTGACAATGTGTTTATGGCCAGGACAGGAAAAATGTAAACGGAAAAAAAAAAAAAAAATTTTTGTTTTAAAACTGTTTTTTGCTTTCTACAGCTATAAGGATGCTCAAAAATCTAAGTGGAAAAGTGTAGATTTCACTCAAAGCTCGGAGGAACGTATGGTCTGCGTTGATGTTTGCTCTCCCTGTAAGCCGAGATTGACATTTTAAAGCTTTGCCAGTTTTCTCCCCGTACATACCACAGCAGGATTACTTAACAAAAATCACATCCTACCTTCTTTTAACAGCCGAATGTGTCACTCACTGTGAATGTAGCTGTGAAAAGGCTTTGGTCTGACACCTTCCTCCCCCCATAGATGTGCAAAACCCTCCTCACAGGAAAAAGACAGACAATTTAAAAGAAAACCCCAGTTTCCATGTTAGTACATCCATCTATTTGCAGCTGTGTGTCTGGGTCCAGCTGGTGTTAATCTTATTAAACACAACACTCAACCATCTCCTGGCTACATCCACAGTTTGGCACTGATCTGGAAATTTGAACACACTTGTTTGTTAGAGGAAGAGACTGATTGTGCTGAAAGTTTCACACATTTCCTGGAAGCTGAAAACAGTTTAGACACACGGACGGTTCCCCACACCAAAAAAGAAGAAGATACAAGTGAAACAAAACCGAACGTGTTGTACTTCAACAAAGCACAACATGTTCAGTTTTGTTTTTGTCTCCTGGACAATCCTGGACTTGTCCTGGAGACATGGTTGTTTCAAGTTATCAGAAGATGACAGGTGTGTGAAAGAAAGCTAAAAAAGCAAAATAAATCAAAACCAGAATCAGAAATGGTGATTCATCTCAAGAGGAAATCAGTACAGTTGCTCTTATACTCGATAAAACAGTAAGAATGTAAGAATAATAAGAGAAGTAGGAGTAAAAGTGACAATTAGGATTGAAAACAAGAATTGAAGAAATAATTAAAGAAAAAAGGTTGAAAGACATGAAAGATGATGTTTTTACAGCCAGATATCGGTGTTGCACAGGTTGATTATTTATGACTTATTATTTTTATTCCAAAACATAAATTTGACCCCCCAAAACGGCCTCGAAAACTCACGAAAATTTGCAGCTAGGTTGGGCCTGGTGAAAATCACAATGTGTTAAAGTGACCCAAAAGAAGCGATAAAAAAAATGCTCGCTAGCGCCCCCTACAGAGTGCCACGAACATCAACTTTGTCTGATCTGCCCAAAATTTTACAGGCGCGTTTATCTTAACGAGATCTTAGATTTTTCATTCTTGGACCTTTTTCTCAGACACATGGTTAGAAGTTATTCCGCTGTTTTCGGCCCATTTCCGCCATTTGCGTTCGTCACGCCAAATGTATCTAGTTTGTTTTAGTTTCAGAGATTTACAGATGACTGTAGTTTTGGTTAAAATGTTGTATTTATCATAACAGTAATGTGTCCTTATGTGTTTTTTTAGGTGCAGCCTGGTCCTCCACCCTGCCCAGTTTTCCACCCTGAGCAGACTGATCTAGTTTTACCGCCTGATGGCCTCTGGGTGCTACGATTTCCTTACTCCTACACAACAGATCGCGGCCCCTGTTACCCCCCCAAAGAGAACCAGCCACTCAGCAACTACAAGGTGCTGCGGGGCATCCTGAAGGCCAGCACTGCCAACCCTCAACCACAGTGAAACTTCAACCTCTCACAGCAAGAGGGACTTGACCTTATTTATTTCCACCTCTTCATGGAGGCTTAGGTCAGTCAGACCTCAGCGGGACAAAATCAGGCCTGTGGTCAATGTTAGCGGTGTGAGAAAGTAGCTAATGGCTGAGAACTGACAGCACTTATACCACACCATCCTAATCCAACACTACCATGATCCAAAATAGGGGAACGTTCTGTGGTGCCATGTGAGGAGAGCAAACTACAGCCAGGCCTTAAGCTGCCAGAAGGCGTCAAGTGTCAGAAATCTTGTGTGTCTGACAGTTTCTGCGGGTTTTAGAACAAACTATTGGACATTGAAAATCACTTCACACCATCATCAGCCAGCTGTGTGGAGGCGACTGATCAGGCATGTGAGCTTCTCCGCTCCTTCCCTGATACATTTCTGTCCATCACTCTCCAAGTGTGCAACCGAGTGCAACGCCGGGAACGCCTTCCAGAAGAGACTGTCAGGAAATGTCTGCTCTTTCTTTTCACTTCAGCTCCGAGTAAAAGCTAAAAATACTTTTTTTTCTCATCACGGTCCAACAACAAGACATGTACGCTGCTGTCAGCTGCCATTAAACACTCGTTGCTGACCCTTACCCACCTTCTCGTCAGTTGAGAACATAACCCTAACCGTGTCGTTATCAGGGTCAGGCTGCAATTTTAGGGAGAAGTACAAACAAGTCAAATGATTTTTTTTTCTTTCTCATCAAAAATAGACGTCATTTTGTTCAAACTTTTAAATAATGGCTTTCTGATGTAGTGCCTTTGGGGTTTAACAGAACATTTGGACCCATCAGCGTGACGACAGTAATTTTTCTAACATGAAGAAATGACTGTTGAGTCATTCTCAGTGATAATTCCTGTTTAATGCCCCTTCAACAGGAAACAAAACAGCCATTAAGTCTGGACAGAGCTGGAAAGTTGAATTTACAAATTAAATTTGCTTAATGTGAACAACAACAATGACAAATAGGCTGAGATCAAGGCTCAGCTTTGTTTATTAAGCACCGGCTCATTCTTATTCAACTGTTTTGCATTTTCAAGCGGCAAATAAACACTTAATATATTAATTGTTACACAATATAACACAGCAGCCAACAGGTTTGAGTAAGTATATACTTTGTAATTACCCCAAACTCTTAAGGGGATCTAACTGCTGACAAATGCAAATAAAAGAAAGGAAAACCTCAAAAAGGCGGCCAAGTCTGTTGAGAAGATAAATGCGAAATACAAGAATTTACAGGGAAGTGTTTACTGTATTTTGATATATGTGCTGTATGGTATCAATGTTCGACTGCAAAACTTGATTTCCTTGATTCATCACTTTCAGAGAGTCACATGATCATGATTTCTGTAAATAAAAATATCTGTCAGTGATGTCGTGTCTGGACTGATTTTTCAGGAGCTACGTGCCTTTAGATGAACTGTACCTCACCTTTTTACTTCATGCTGTAGTTTGTTGGAATGCAGAAGGAAATGTTCTGATAGCAATGAAATATACTGTATATATCATCTAACAGACTTTAAAGACTTTACAGTTAAACTCTCCAGAGTAAGTTTTATGTTTGCTGAGGAAATGCCAGAAAACTTCTCACACTTGTCAAGACATTTTTACAGCTTTTTTTTCTTCAATCTCAACACAAACTGTACAGTTTTCTGCGTTTTTGTCAAGTCGTATCTTCAACCACTAGATGGAGTCAGACTCCTGAGGTTACATTAACCCTCTCATAGTCCACCTCTAGAAATGGCTCCATTGGTGTCAAGTTAAACGGCTAAAACAGTTTGTACTTTTATTTCTTCATAATAACGGTCCTTCAGAGACCATACGGACATTAGACCTGGAAATGTTTACAATTTGTTTAAATCCTGCTATTTATTCACAGAGATTTATTAATGTTCTTCCAAAAACTCATTTTTATTTTGTAATGAAAGACAAATTCAAGTAATTAATTGAAGAAAATGTGCTGATACCCCACTAATGTAAAAAAAAAAAACTTGATTAAAGGCCAGACTTATGTCACTTCTTATCAATGTTCATTGTACAGCACGTTCAGTATCTTTTTATTACTGAAGGACAAGGAAATCAATTAGCTATGTCTCAGCTCAGTCACACACACACGCACACACACTTACGATAAGCCTTCAGGAATGTGGGTAATAACAATGAAGGTAATGACAAAGCCCAGGAGTGTGATTCAAGGTCGTTAACCGAGAGACAGTGAACACACGCTGTACTTAAGAGACACTTAAACGTCATCCTAAAGGACTCCTGTCGTCTACAAGTCAGCTGGTGTAAATTACAAGCATTATGTGTGAAAGTATGGTGTGATTAATAGGATATTAATTATTTTACACTTTCTTTCAAACATCAGCTGATTTCACTGGATAAACTTGCTGTAAATTCTTCTTTTACGGTAGGAAATTTTAAAAGTGTGTGTAAATAGATACACCTCTACAAAACACTTCAACACCTATGAAGAAGGCGTTGCTCTCAGTGTTTAGCTCTTGAACTTCACCTGCCTACTGCTTTCTGTTTTATCCTACAGTTGAACTTTTTCATGCTAAATATTAAAAGTAATACATGTCAATATACAATATATATTTTATCTAAATACTGGTACTGATAATTTAAAGCTCCCGTAAGGAGTTTTTTGGCTGTCATAAAATTGACTGAAATTCATATGGAAGCCTTTTTATGATATACAAAAGCAAAAAAGACAACCAGTGATAAAACTGACAGTTTTTAAAATAGGAGTTTCAATGCTTGAAACCTGATTACAGGGGGGTAGGTGTCCACGGAGTAGCTGAAACAACAACTCTGTTTTCTGTATTTTCAACATACAATATCCACAAAAATTAAACATCTGATTGTAAAAATCAGAAGGATATGTTTTTTTTTTTGTTTTTGTTTTTTTGCTGCACATGTAGAGGGCAACATAAGCAGCAACTGCTTTGTCCACAGGGGGTAAAGTTTCTCAGAGGAGCTTTTAAACTCAGAAATGGTTCAATTTTCTGATTTTTCTTTGTTTAAATCTTGAATTATGTTTTGCATATATACGACTTTATGCCACTGAATCAGATTTGTAATTCCCTCTTTTTTAGAGTCATCAGCTGATTCCTTTCAGAACATAAAACAACCATTTTAGCTTTATTTTTAAGTTGACCTGCCATTACACAATTATTAACTCTACCTAGATGTTCCTTTTGTTTGTCGCTGTTTTAACTTCCTCCCCAACCCTCTCAGCTCTTACTCATTAAAAACTAACAGAAATATCATTCAGCTCTTGTACCTCTATTACTAGTCTTTGACTCTTGCCAAAATTGTCACAGAAGATGTATGAAAAGTTTAGAAGATTCACAGAGAAGAGAAACTTTTACTGACTCAACAGCAAATTTTAGATTTATAATTGGACACACAACATTTCATTTGTGCGGACACCAAAGGTTTCCCTGAAGTGTCATAACGCCCTTTACAGAACAATCATAGAGGCTGTAAATGTGGGTGTGTGTGTGTTCAGCAACAACAACCATTGACACAGCACAACAAACTTCAGGTGTTCAGGGTTGTTGTTCCTACCTGTGGACAGGCGGGGGGGAAGGCGGAGGGATAAAAGCCGACCCACATGCAGATCAGGGTTTACAGCCCGGCTTTGTCTCTCATTTATGCTCGACTGTGCCAAAGTTCAGTGTCCAGAACCTGCGACAAAAGGAGAAAGAAGACACTGAACTAGATGTTTCCCGGCAGCTTCATCTTACAGATTTTTTTTGTAGAAAACACCTGAGACTGCTCAGTGAGGCTGCACAGAGAGATGTGAGTATGATAGACTTTCTCAGATTTATCAAGGAATTAATAATCATTACACTTTTCAGCAAGTGCTCACAGGCTCATGTAATGGGTTACTTCAAGGTTAACTTTCAACTTAGTCACTGTTTTAACCTGGATGAGGAACACTATGAGCAGTGTGGTATGTAGACTGTATGACCAGCTGTTCATGAATTTTGTGTCATATTTAAATCAGCATATCTTTATTTTTTAAATCTTATCTTCGCTCACTTTTTTCACCTTGAGATAACAGATCTTGATTAGTTTTAAAGGAGCATACCAAAGTTTTTTTTCCCCTTGTGTTCCAGCCTTACAATAATAACTTAGCTCAGGCACTGGTGCTTTGGTATTTCCATTCATGAAAATTTATATATGATATTCTAATTGTTACTCCTGTGTATTTTAGAGACAGCTGATTTTAAGTTTAGAGTTTCAAACTAGATTATGACGTACTTTTGAAATGCCAAACATAACGTGTGATTTCAGAGGGCTGTCCTCTGCCTGTATGATAGTGTGATACCCTCCAACACTGGGTTTATTAATGTTTAACATTACAATAATTTTATTCTTTTGATACCGAGTGTAAAAAGAAATGTGTTAATATCAGGCAGTCCAGTTACATCTGTTACAAAGCTTAGCTAACTAGCCTCTGACTTTTTATTGTGTTGTTTCATACAAAAAACAACATCACATTTTTTTCTTATTTTGCATGAATTAAATTCACCCAAATAATGTCCATAGTTTGGTCTGTGGGTATTTGAATCCAAGTTGAGTATCAGATATTGAATTTTCTGAGGTGGAGGCAGATCTCACTGACAGATAAGTCAATGACTGAATGAGTGAAATCTGATCTGTATTGTTACTGCAGATAACACACAAAAGAGTTTGGAAATTTTTTTTTCCCCCCGTCATTATTTCAGTCAAAACTAGAGACAAAGAGAATGTGTCAATTGATATAATTTGAACACTGATGGTTTGAGTGACCTTAGAGGATGTTAACCACATTTGGGTTGTTCTTTCATCAGTTTCGTCCTTCCATTGGTGATGCCAAACTAAAAGACTGGAAGCCCCTCTTGGTGATAATTGACACACATCAAAATGGCCACCAGTAAGAAAGAAGTCCAGCGAAGGATCGTGTCCAAAGATGGCCACAACAACGTGCGTATTGACAACGTGGAGGGTATGGTGAAGCTGTACCTCCATGACATCTGGACCACTGTGGTGGACATGAAATGGCGCTACAAGCTCACTCTATTTGCTTCCACTTTTGTCATGACCTGGTTCATCTTTGGGGTCATCTTCTACTTCATCGGCATGGGTAATGGAGACTTTGAGGCCGGTTTGAGTTCCAACCACACACCCTGTGTGCAGAACGTGGGGACCCTCACAGGAGCCTTCCTGTTCTCTCTGGAATCACAGACCACCATCGGTTATGGTTTTCGGTATATCTCAGAGGAATGTCCACTGGCTATTTTCACTCTGGTGGCTCAGCTCGTCATCACTGGCTTGGCTGAGATCTTCGTCACCGGCGCCTTCCTCGCCAAGCTGGCCCGACCCAAGAAAAGGGCAGAGACCATCAAGTTCAGCCAGTTGGCGGTGATTTGCCGGCGCCAGGGCAAGATGTGTCTGATGGTAAGAGTGGCAAATATGAGGAAGAGTCTTCTGATCCAGTGTCAGCTGACAGGAAAGCTCCTCCACTCTAATGTGACAGAGGAGGGCGAGAAGACCCAAGTCCACCAGAGCTCCGTGGACTTCCTCATGGACTCCAGCATTGAGTGCCCCTTCCTCATCCTCCCTCTCACCTTCTACCACGTCCTGGATGAGCAAAGCCCTCTGGCAGGCCTGACTGCAGAAAACCTTCAAACTCGAGACTTTGAGCTGCTCGTCACCCTCAACGCCACCATGGAGTCCACAGCTGCCACATGTCAGAGCCGAACCTCCTACGTCCCACAGGAGATCCTCTGGGGTTACGAGTTCAAGCCGGTCCTCTTCAGCACCACAGGGGGGCGCTACGTGGCGGATTTCAACTTTTTCGACAAGGTTCAACAGAGCAACGATCCAGCTTTCCTCACTAACAACACGGAGAAGCTAAAACTGGAGGAAGACTACAAGAAAGACTAAAGGAAACATGTCTTCTGCTGGACAAACTTCAAGGCCTGGACTTGTGTTAGCATTTTATCCATCAGATAATTTTCTCAGCTATGTCCTTGTAATTTAAATAGTCTTATTCACTTTGGTAAAGCATACTCCACTACATTAAAGCCAATCTAGTTTTCTTTGAGAAATACTGAAACTCTTTTATGTGACTATTTCAAGTGTTCACCTCACATTTAAGTCTTTTTAATGACACATTTTATAAAAATATGTATAAACTTTATCACTTTAAACCTTTGGTGTTTAATATTCATTTCAGATTTGGTCATTGAGTTTTTCTAACTGCAAATAAGCCTATGGTTAAGTTATCTCATGGTAAGTCTTTATGTCTAGATCCTTTGGTTTAACACAGCAAAGAAAAGGACAATTTTAAAGTTAATAATAGATACTGATCTACTTAGCTTTCTCATAATCACCTTCATTCATTGTCACATTTGTTTACTTTTATTTTCTTATCATTGTCTTTACATAATAATCCAAAAATAATAAATTACAATCATAAATTTAAATTTATTAATTATATAGTCCTATCTAAATGCAAAAGTTTGGTTAACATTTTTAATATATAAATAGACATATATCCATAGACTGTAAATCCATACATATAACTACTTCCAAACTTATACACATACCTTCAAATTTACATATAATTTTACAAATATATATTCATACATTGTTTGTATGCCTGTCACCATACATATAAAGAGACTTATCATTCTTTGTATATTAAGTACACTTGCAACATTTACAAACCTGTACAAACTGAATTGCCAATAAATGAAATTGACTAAATTATTGGTAAATTAGTTAGTTTAATAACTATTTGTCTTCATTTGCCTTTTTAGACTTTCTTCATTCATAGTGTGGCTACCAGGACAGATTTGTCAAAAACAGCTTGAACAAATTTTTTCTTGTTATATTATTTAGACAAATATAGTGGGGCAGGCAAAAGTATTCCAGGTTTAAAGATTTTTTTCTGAGAAAATTTTGTGTTTTTTTTCTTCTCAGTAAACATTGAAACAGAATATGTTCAAAATAGCCAGAGCAGAAAAATGTCTCCCAGGAGGTAAATGCTGATTGAACCGAAGTCACCAACAGGTCTTTGTAGATGAAATTAGAAATAAAAATGGGTAAAAAAATAAATAAATGGGTTGAGCCATGTGAAGGACAAAACTGGTTCAACCAGCAGTAGTTGTCTCAGTTGTCTATAACTTCTTTCAGCTTTTGTTGTGGCAACATTGAGGAGCAGCCAGCAGCTCCAAACTGTTGTTGACTATACTCAGAGAAAAACAGTCCAAAACACAGCTGATCTTTATACTTTCAGAGGAGACAAACAGATCTCAACAATTATATCACTGAATTTTTTAAGCTGCTGCACTTTTGTCAACAGAGAGTAAATCCATCTACTTTCAAAAATCATCAAGATGAAATTTAATTGAAGGTTTTTACAGAGACCCTAAGTATATCTTTGAATCTTAAGTAATTTTCTGTAATTTTCAACCAATCTCTACTATATTTTCTTATCTTAAATATATATATGTGGTTTCTCCATTATAACAGATAAATTAACCTCATTATATCAGGATAAAGAAGCTTGTTTGTCAGACTGACAGGATCATTTTCTTCCAGTATAGAGTACAAAACAATTAACAGGTTACTATGTGAGGCTGAACCACATCATTGTTCTACTGCTGTGTACACCATTGAGGTAAGTGACGCCTATGTGTGTGTGTGTGTGTGTGTGTGTGTGTGTGTGTGTGTGTGTGTGTGTGTGTGTGTGTGTGTGTGTGTGTGTGTGTGTCTGTCACAAGAAAACAGGAAAAATTAAATGTATGAATAAATGTCTACGGTTAATTCTGTCTTTCCTCCCGTTGGTTGAGGAGGGGGCAGAAATCTAAAGGGGCATAAGACGAAAACTTTTAGGAAAAATCAAGTATTTTACTTTGAAGGATTCAAGCCGAAGTCCTCTAGGAATACGCTAAACTGTCGCTTTTAATCTGAAGGACTCAAACCGGAAATTGCATCGTTGTTAATGGCAGGAGGAAGTAGCAACCTGGAAAGCTAGTTACAGATGAAAACCACTTAGTTTGCTGTTAATTTCAATAGTAAATCCACAAAACACGTACTTCAGATGTCTGTTTAACGTTTCGTTGTTAGAGATGAGCGTGACTTTGGATATCAGACTGAAAAGAGCGAACAAAGTTTACCATGAAGGGGTAAGTGCATCAACTACAACAAACTGCTAATCAGCGGCTGATTTTACCCTTTCTTTTTTATAGATTTTAATGTAGGTGTGAGTCACTTTATACCAAGAGACATGTAACTCATGAATAGTCTGATTTTTACCAAAAGATTTCATGAAGGCGTTGTCCTGTCCACACATGACCAGCAGCTGACCGTTGGTGGTGTTCTGCCAAAATCTGTTACCCTTCAGAATCTGAACCCAACAAGACCATCCACAGAAATATCTTTACACCTAATGAGGTCGGCAGGAGCAAATAGACAGGTGGACGTATTTAAGTGCTCCGAGTGAGGCCACCGTTTGTTAGCTACGGTGGCCTAGAACCGCCATTGCTGCAAATAAAAAAGAATGCAAAAAATTAAAAAATAGAAACCACAACGCAAGTTACTGATGCAAAAAAAAAGACAAAAGAAACTGAAGCCTGCTGCAAAAAAAGAAAAAAAAGAAAGTGCAGATGAAAAACAAACAAACAATGGAAATCAAAAACACAAGAGTGGTGATACAAAAAAAGAAAATAATGAAAACGAAGCCAGTGCAGTGCATCCAACAGTGCAGATAAAAAAGAAAAAAACAACAACAGAAGTTAATAACACAAAAAAGTTGTGATGCAAAAAAAGAAAGAAAGAAACCATTTGCCCACTGCAAATAAATAAAAAAAGATTGCAGATTAAAAAAACCCACAACGGAAGTTAATAGCACAAAAAAGTGGTGATGCAAAAAAAAGAAAAAAATGAAACTGAAGATGCTGCAGATAAAAAAAACAAAAAACAAAACAGATGTTAATAACACAAAAAAAGTGGTGATGCAAAAAAAAAAAGTTACTTCCAGGGAAAATAAAAGTATGGGCATGTGGGGATGCAAAAACATAAAAGAATGAAAAAAAGAAATCAAAGCCCGCTGCAAAAAGAAACACAACGCAAGTTAATAACTCAAAAAAAGGCTTCTTTTTTTTGCGTTCCTCTTTTGTTTGCAGCAGTGGCAGTTCTCAGCCACCGTAGTTACCCTATTTCATCAGTGCTTTATTTACACCGATGTAGCAAATATAGTATCACTTATATTTTATAGCTATAGCTCCTGTGAGGACCTCGTTTTAGTGACCCCTGTAGATGAAGCAGCCCATGCAATCTCCTTTAAAATGTCATATTGTACATGTTTGACTATCAGAACAAAAACTCTAACCTTCTGTCTCTAACAGCCAAATGTATCCCTTTCTCATAATGTTTTCAATGATCTCATTTACATTGAATTATGCACTTTGAATCGATCTATGTATGGATTCTGCTTTATAAATGGAGTCGCCTTGCCTCCCCCTAAAAGTGGATCCATTAGTTATTTGTGTTGAATAATGCATTAGCTCAGACGTCAGATTTAATGCTATAAAACTAGATGTGTTGCTTTCACTTCAGGAAGTGGTGGCTGGGGTCATCTTGCTGGTGTGTAAAGAGGCTCTGCAACACCACGGCATCTCTCTGAGCATGGAGGGACTGGTCAACCTGCAGCTCAGCTCCAAGAGTGTTGGCGTCTTTGAGGCTTTCTACAACTCTGTCAAGGTGTGCTATGAAAATGGTTTTGTTTTAAATCAGATGGTCTGCAGATGAGTTAGCTCTAAATTTACAGACCCAGAGGAGACAGAATCATGAGTTGAAGTTAGAGGAGCCATAAACAAACCTCAACCAAAACGCCACTCAATAGCCACAAATAATACTTAGAACAGCACCTAACTTCATCAACAGTACATATAGGGTCCCAGTCATTGCACGAGCCACCAAACATCTTTTTAACTTTAGCAAAGAGACTAAACACCAACTCTCCATTACGGACTGAAGCGGGGTGCCGCAGCTCAAGGAAGATCATTTATGATCGCATGGAAATGCAATCAGACTTAGACGCTAAGGCAGAAGAATTACCGCGTCTGCAGTGCAAAATGATTAATATGGTGATTATGACTTCAAGGAAATGATAAAGAAATTATCAGAATATATCTTTAATTTATTACAGATATGTTTGTATAATTCGTAGAGAAGTAGATGGTCTACAGTGCAAAGAATCTTTGACAAATTTACAGCAGCACATCAGTCACAAACAGATTTCTGTTGAGCGGAGTTGAGATGAATCCAGCTAACAGCATCAATCAGGTGAGAAAATCTCTCAACTCTACCCTGCAGCATTCTTCTCTGACCATTTCTGCCTTATGTTACAGCCCATCCAGCTGATCAGCAGTAACATCGAGGTGGCCAAAGCAGGAAAAGTCCCAGGAGGCAAAACTGAGATCCCCTTTGAGTTCCCTTTGAGCACAAAAGGCAACAAAGTTCTGTATGAGACCTATCACGGGGTCTTTGTCAACATCCAGGTGAGAGAGGGTAACGGCAAACAAAAAGATTAAAAGATAGATTACCTCGAAATTATGTGATCAGGTTTTACCCACCCTTTGTCAGAGGATTATAATTTAACTGATCCTTTTACATACGTTTGCCTTGGAAACTTTATGTAGGGAAAAATTTCTGCAATGTCCCCCACTTGAGTATTTCGATATAAGGTAGTAGTGGCAGAATGGGTTGCAAATCTGATTTCTGTAAACCGTCCTTGTTCGTCGTCTCCTCAGTACACCCTTCGCTGTGACATGAAGCGCTCTCTGCTGGCCAAAGACCTGACCAGGAACTGTGAGTTCATCGTACACTGTCAGGTAAGTTAAGCTGATTTTATTAAGACTGACGATCATTTAAAAAAGTCAAACTGTTCAGATGAATCAGCTGCTTTGCTTCATTTTCAGCCGCAGAAAGCCAAAGTCGTCCCCACGCCTGTGAACTTCACCATCACTCCAGACACCCTGCAGAACATCCGCGAGGTGAGAAACTCTCCGTTTGTGTCGCTACATTCAGTCATTTTTGCGGCTGTTCTGACCGGAGGGGCTCTCTTTCTGTGCCCCCAGAGGAGCGCGCTGCCAAAGTTCCTGATCAGAGGAAATCTAGACGCAACAAACTGCGTGATCAGCCAACCGCTGACTGGAGAGGTGGTGGTGGAGCACTCAGACGTTCCCATCAAGAGTATTGAGCTGCAGCTTGTTCGGGTGGAGACCTGTGGTGAGCTCTCACTGTTGGATCATCAGATGAATGTTTCTCTTATCGAAGAGGAAGTTTTTAAAATACCGTCTGTGTTCAGGTTGTGCTGAAGGTTACGCCAGAGACGCCACAGAGATCCAGAACATCCAGATAGCCGAGGGTGACGTCTGCCACAGCCTCGCTATTCCCATCTATATGGTGTTTCCTCGGCTCTTCACGTGCCCCACGCTGGAGACCACCAACTTCAAAGTCGGTCAGTGAATCCCACGAATCTGCTTGCAGTCCTCTTAAATTATTGCAGATTTTTTAAAACTCAAGAGTTTACTGGTAAATGTAAAACTGTTTTCTTTTACTGTCGGGTACTTTTCCACGAGCTTTGGACAAATGTGTAAAAAACCTACAACGTTAAATCCCATCAGAGAAGCCGTTTATCTAAAGTGAGTTTTTTTTAAATGTTCATCTTTTCTAGAGTTTGAAGTCAACATCGTCATCGTGCTTCATGACGATCATCTAATCACAGAAAACTTCCCTCTGAAGCTGTGCAGAGTCTGAGCCTGGATGAACGCCCTCCTGCCTTTGGTGCTTTAGTGTGTTTTAGTCCAGACGACACAACACTGGAGTGAAACGCCTGACTGTGCCTCTGTGCTCTTCACTGGAGGAGATCTGAACTCTAGAAAATGTAAATATTCATCCTCAACTTTAGAACAAATAACTCGATCAAGAAAACAACTTTTTCATCAAGATGGACAAGACCATTTAAGTGTTTTACCTCATCATTCCTTTGTGATTTTTATCAGTTAATAAAATTTGATTAATGTCTAAATGTGTTTTAATTCTTCAACTTTGAAGACCAGGAATTATTTGCTGTCAACTGTTTTATTAAAACTCCTGTAGGAAACTTTCATCACTTTGGTCTTCCACATGCAGTGACTTGTATTAGTTATGGTCATGTGTACAGTGAGAGTAGAAAGGCAGGTGTTCGAAGTTCATCAGCTGATTGGAGCTCTTGAAATATTTACAGAATGTATGGAAGTTTCACTTTTTTAATTAATTGTGTGAGAAGAACTGGGCATGTTCATTTTTTGAGCTGCATATAAAACATTAATATTTATACCAGTCTAGTAGAGGTAAAAAGTCCTTATATGAGTTTTATACATCTGAGTAGTTTCTCATGTTTTACTTAAAAGCTGAAGTTCTATAATTTGTGTAATTTGTACGAAAACAAGTGTAAAACTAACTTTTAGTGTAAACTGTGACAATAGACCTCATTATATCTGGTCGTCTTTTGGTTACAGCAGAGATTTAAACTAACTAACTGTACACAAGTGTATTTTACAAAATATTAAACATTTATTCTAAAGCTCCTTGTTTGAAAAGCCAGTAAATTTTTCTTTTTAAGCTTTTTTCTTCAAAATCAAATCAAATCAAATCAAATTTTATTTATATAGCGCCAATTCACAACAGTCGTCATCTCAAGACGCTTTTCAAGGAACAAGAGCAGGTCTGGACCACGCTCATTGTTAAAAAAAAAAAAAAAAACATTGCTTACCTTGGAATGTGGAGAAGTGACAAACACAAGTTAAAGCACAAACCATTTGTTTTATTAAAATTATACATGGATGCCTTAAGAGTACTTAAAAACTCAAGTTTGGACTTTTTAAGGGTTTAATCAAATATTTGGTTAGTAAAAAATAAAATAAAAGCAGACTTAAGAATAATCAAGAACAGGGGGAGGAATTTAATCAGATTCTTGGTTAAGGGTATTAGAAATAAAAACATGCATGTGACGTGATGAGGAACGGTGTTTGAAGCCTCATGGAGCCGGGCGTCTCCTGCCAGGCAACATGGGGAAATCCTCCGGCAGCAGAGCGTGGTCTCTGCAGGTGGGACAGGTGCTCTGCTCCCTCAGCCAGGACCGGATACACTAAAAAACAAACAGCAGACAGAGCTGTCACAAACACAAAGACTCCAAGGATTCTCATGATTCAACTCTGAACAATCAAACTGCATGAGAAACTCTGCTCCTGTTGGCCTAACTGATGACAGCCAGCTACTTATGGACTTAAATATATTGATTTAAAAAATGGATAAAGCGTTTTTACTCACGTCCTTGTGGAAACTGTGGCGGCACTCCAGCACACACATGTTCTCAGAACTCATGTCATCATGGCAGATGATACAAGGATCCTCAACATTCAACTACAACCAAGAAAATACAGTCAAGACCAGGGAGTCCAACTACACCACTGAAACAAGAACACTTAGTCCAACAAACGCTGTGCTACAATCCACAGCACTGACCCCGGGTGAAAAGATAAAGTTGGACACTTACTGCTTTGGACTGTGAGGGTTTTGGGTGTCCGATCTGGAGTGGCTGCCAGACTGGGGTTGGATTCACCAAAGGAGGAGTGACGGACTGAGCAGGACTCCCTCGTCCCATGAGGCTTGATCTGGCAGCTAAACTTAGCCGCTCCTGAGAGGAACCAACAAAACACACATCAGTGATTCAGTTTCAGATGCAGAGGAACTAGAATATTTTGATCTTACAACAGACCGATAAAGGAACCCACCTGATGGTCCAGGATGAGTTGACTCACTCCCCCGACCACATCCTGTAAGGCCATGCTGCTCAGGCTGCCACCGACAGACGAGCGAAACTCTTGAACGAACCGCATCAGCTCTGATCTGAACACACACAAACACACGGCTCTGTCAGGACGAGCTAATCGGCTGATTTTTATGTGTATAACTCTTAAAAAAAAAAGGTTTATGTCATGAGACTGATGAGGACACCTTGTATTGTCAGGGAACATGGAGGCTAGCTGCTCTAAGGCCTTTTCAAACACTGTGCTGCTGTGCGGAGGCGCTGCTGTTCTGGTCGGAGGCTTGTGCTGTGTCTGAGGTGGAGCAGCCGGAGCTTCAGCTGCAGCCTGCTGGGCGAGCGGAGGAGAGCTGCTGGAGGCTGAAGGTGGAGGGACCCCATTTTTGGCTGCCCCTGACATCTGCAATATCAACAAAAGAAAGAATTATTTTTGAGTTCTGATAAAGGAGCGAGAGCTTGTTTCAGCTGATGAATCTTGGAGCGAGATATGAACTGGTCTGAGTTTCGTCATACCGGTGCAGCTGGAGGCTTGTGCTGGTTGCCGACATTGACAGGAAGAAGCTCGTTGACTCTCCTGCCGATCTTCACCTGGTCCAGCCGCTCCTTGTACTGAGTCTGAAACACGCAGAGACCAGTCATCACAAAAAAATAATAAAAATACGTCCAGAAGATTCTTTATTTTAACCCTCATCTCTTCCTGAACATGCTGCTGTATTCGTCTCGCTGCAGTCTCTTCATTTACCTCAATGGTGGATATTTTCTTCTCGATTTCCTGCACGTTGGCTCTCCAGGTGCTTCTGCTCATCTCCAGTTCTTGGTGCGGGAATCTTGCGGTGATAAAATAAAAACATCACAACATAGATCAACATGGATCTAAACAGCAGTGATGACAGCAGAGATAGGACTCCTCTTACCTGTGTGCCGCCTCGTCCAGTTTGGTCAGTAAAGCCTTGCTGTTGGCCAGTTCTCTGTAGAGGCCGTACAAATCCTGATCCCGACTGCTCTCCACGACGGACAGCTGTAGGACCAGAACAAGGGTTAGGGCCTAGACTGGACTTTAGCGAATCAACAACCCGTATATATATGAGAACCCACAGAAGGGGGATTCTTCTTTATCTACTCATGTTTCGCCTGATTTCTTCCTTCACAATTAAAATGCTAATCAAACTAGAAAAAATATCTAAGCACTGGTGGTCTATCTTTTCATATCTAGCTTTAAAATATTAAAGCTCCAAAGAGGAACTTTCTGTGTGTTGACTTTGGCGCCCCCCTGTGGACAAAATTGGAATCACTATTTACATTATATTGCTGCTGATTTTGCCCCGTTCATGTGAAAGTGGTGTTAAATGACAAAAAAAAAAAAAACAACAATCTTATGAGTCTCTCTAGAGTCTGATTCGAGACAAACCTGAGCATTATTGGACCTTCTGGTAGCCGAGGTGATTGAGACCTTGCAGCGTTTGATCTCATCCTCCAGACTCATTTTCTCAGCGGCCGACTGATTACTGAGGGAACAAGAAGAGAGGAGTCAGACCGAAAGTCTGGATAAAATTTAGTTTATTTATTGTACCTTCACTTACCTCAGCTCTAAGAAATCCCTCAACTTTGTGTCGTAGCTGCTTTTCTTCTCCCGGATACTTCGGGAAAGACTATACACATCGAAAAAAAACAAACAAAATTAACATTTTTATTCTGTTAATTGGTCCTATTTCAAGACAAATGTCATTACAGACAGAGCGATCATGCTTGGATGCTTCAGTAAACAGATGCGAGACAACAAGCAGCTAATCATACCTCTTGTGCTCCTCCTGCAGGTCCTCGATCTCCACTTTGAGGGACCTCAGGGCCTCATGGTTGGCCTTCTTCTCATTTTGATCCTTCTTGATCTCCTCTTCAAGCTTCTGCTGGAACAGTGCCAGCTCTTTGTTGGTCACCTTGACGGGATAAAACAACCGATGACAGACTGTTTAGTCTCTCAGATTCAACCTTCAAATTCACGATTTCTTGATTTTCATACATACTTGGACATTGGCAGTGATCTTCTGTATGTCATCTTCAAGGACGGCCATGTCTTCTTTGTGCTTCAGGTCCACTTTGTCACAGGTCGATGTTTCCTCGATTTTCCTCTTCAACATTTGGTTTTTCTTGGACTTTTTGTTGAGGTCACCCTGGAGTGATAAACAACATCCAAAACAAGGAAAACAAGTTTAAGAATAAAAACCTAAAACCTACAAATTAGCCAGAACAAGATCTTTTATGGGGTAAACGACTCAACAATGGACTAAATCGACAAAATCAAACTTCAGATAATGACTCAAGTGTTCAGGAACTCACCTGGCAGCTCTCATAACCCTCATGAAGCTCTGTATTCACTGCCACACTCCTCATGGTCTCCTGACTCGTCTGGGAACCAAACAGAACAGATGTTAACCTTCAAACTCCCACACGATTCTCAGTTTGTTTCTCTTTGTGCGAGTATTTACCTGAGCTGCAGCATCTTTCTTTAAAAGGCTCTCCAGGTTTGATGTTAAGGGGACTCCGTCTGGAGACGTACCAGTTTCCCCGTGTCCATTTTCGCCATCGCTACAATATAGATCCGCCTCCTCACAGCCATTAGGTACAAAATACGGAGCATGCTCTTGACCGTCACCGTTAGTCCAATGAGAAAAGTAAGCATCGCCCGCCTGAGCAACTCCAGGAGCTGGCCGGACATGCGGTAGAGGCTCAGAACCAAATACATATGGAGATGGGAGGATGGGGTACACTTGAGTCTGTGCGGCTGAATCAGGTGTCAGACTGTTTGTTTCAAGATCCACTATTTCATCTAGATCGTCCAGGTCATCGAGGTCGTCCAGTCTTGGTCTCTGTCCAGCCTGCTGCAGAGAGACGGCGTGCTTCATCAGGCCAATACACGTCCCTATCTTAGTAAAACGAAGGGACTCGAGGAGGAAGGGCTCGAAGCCGCCCGCTACTTTGATCTTCTGCTGAGCCACAGAAGGGAAGTTTTCCAGTTCACCCACCAACAGAGGGTCATCAGCCACCAGGGGACCGTGCTCCTCCAAGATCTGAGCAAAGTAGCTGCAGTGGGACACACAGGAGTAAATAAACCAGGATCTCATTAATGCTGTAGTTATAATCATCGGATAAAGAAACAGCTGCATAACTCTGCTGAAAAGTCACCAAAAGGACTTTTTAACAGCAAGGCCCGAGTCATTTTTTGACGAAAATACGTTTTTGGCCTAAATCATCTCTTGTAAATGCTGGCCATCTCTGGTAAAATCGCCTGAATCCTTAGTTGAAAGGATCACAGCATGACCCTTTAAAGAAATGACGAATAGAGTGACGACTTGATGTTGACAGGGTTTCGGTTTTTCGAGGTTTGTTCCCACAGAAAATGAAATCATCAAATATTTGTAAATCTCACACATATTTTTTAGTTTTGAGTGACTGTAAAGATCTTTAATAGTTTAGATTCAGAATGCTGAGAATCTAGATTTGACAAACGTTTTAAGTCTGTATCTGGGTGATATTGATCAAGTCCAGTTTTGACAGAAAAGAAATGGGTAAATGGATTATCCAATCAGGTAGCAGGAAAAAAAGGGTTTCCAAATCTGGATCAGTCTTATTGGAATTAAATCCTTGAATTGACTTTTTAAATTGGCCCAGAACGAAGTATCTTCACACTTTGTATGTGAGGATCTAGTTCAAATCTCTAGATAAGATAATATTGAGGAAAAAAGTCAATATCTATTGCCATATTTAAAAAAAGAGACAAATAATGACTCTAAGTAGGTAGCTCTGAGTACCTTGTAAAGCCCACTCATCAGTGATAAGTGGAGGCACTCTGCAGGCTTGAGGCTCAGTGTAACTCGAGTCTTTGTCTCCTTATAGAAACATCCTAATAGTGTTTGAGTAATGGGAATCGATCACTTGACTCCAGCATGTTTACTGTCCGTCTGAGCGTTTTGTTTTCAACCACAGAAAACCTCTGTAGGTCTTTGGCTGTATATTCAACAATACATCTCACTATTGTGGTGAAACTGAGCTCTAAACGCCGCCCCTTCTTCAATGGTCTGAGGAGTTCCTCATGTTACTGATGTATAGGACTCAGAGCCTGCATCTTGTTTTCTGTTTGTCCCTCTGATTTCATCATTTTAGATCTATTTGCATGACTAACACCGATTAAGATTTAAGAGCCATTAAAATTTCTACTATTTCAAAATAGTCTCTCTGTTCTCCTTCCGATTCTGATACAAGCCCAAAAGGATGATGGGTACAAATGCAATGACGCTCTCTGTAGTTTCCACTTCTTTCCAATGCCGCTCAAACGAAACTACATTTTCTGACTGATGACTTGTGTCACGTTGTCATGAGTCCAAAACAGATCAAGACGCTTGTATGTCTGGAGCTGCAGGTCAGTCCGCAGTTCTTCTGCTTCCGGATCTGACAAAGTGAACCATCAAACCTTAGCTTGGCATCTGTATCAGTATCTGACCTCCAGATATGTGTGTGTCCTACCTCACAGGGAGATCTTAAAGAGTGTCAAGGAAAGGAGACGAATCAAAATCAATTTGCTCATTGATTGGGGTTCCTCAAGGTTCAGTGCTTGGTCCCCTCTTTTTCCCAATAAACACCATCTCACTCAGTGTAGTTATTCCGTATCGCTGTTATGCAGATGATACTCTGCTCTTCCTGTCCTTCCCTCCAGCTGCATTCGATCATGTTGTTGAGGACGATCGTTTGTGCTCTCATTAAATCAAATCAAATCAAATCAAGTTCAATCAAATCACCCTCGTCTTACTTTGGTTGAATTATTTCTACATGCAGTCAAACGCTCGTACTTACTCAAACAAACTCTCTTTCGTTGAGTCGGGGTTGTTGTCCAAAATGTTGTTATAGTGACCTCCTCTGTGTCCGTTGCTGCTGTACTGCTCCTCAAAAGCTGCCACCCGCTCTCGAAGATGATTGGGTACACTAAAGGGTTCGCTGGGGTGGAGGAATGATCTGTTGGCGTGAAAATGTAACGTTACTCATTGATAGTTACGAGACAACTCTGTGTCCCCATGAGGCCGGCGCGACTTACAAAGAGTCATCTTCAAAATAGTCTTGGTCATAGTCGTCTCTCAGCGTTACACTTCTCATCTCAGGGAAAGCATAAACACCCTGAAAGAAGGATGACAGGAAAAATGTCAGAGTAATGCTTTTCGGACGTGTTCTCACAACACTAAATTATACGTCTCCCCTCCTCTGACCTTTGGCTCTCTTCTTTTTTTCTTTCGACCTCGACTCTTCATAGGAAAATTCTGAAATGGGAAAAATGAGGCAGAGTTAACCTATCGTCCATGGCATTTTCACAGTGACTCATTTGATACGAAGGAGGGGAAGGGCCGTCGAAAGAAACACTGACATTTTGGATGATAAATTGCCAACTGCGAAAAACACAGAGTCATGGCGTGTACATCTGTGATAAAGGAACTAAAGTGCAGATGGGAGACGAGAAAGGCAACAGTAATTTCAATTACAAGCTTGAGGCAGCTGGGCTTTATAAGAACAGGACAAAGGTCGCTCCCTATCAATCTTTGAACTAATTAAGTTAGTTCCAACTTGCCAACTTTTTGGAGAGTTTGATGAGTTTTAAAAAGCCTCCTTTTTACATGAGTTATTGTTTACAATCAGGCTAACAGCTGTGAAGAGGTGAGACTGTAAAAGAGACAATATTTAAGAGCAGGATGCTGACTACACCAACAAATTCTGCACATAGATTTTAGCTCATTTTGTACTTCACAGTCCGCCCTGGTGTTCATGTTTTTTGCCGACATATTTAACACAATGTTGAGAAGTTCTTCAGGCTACTTTGTGAGGAAACTTCTATTTCAAAAGCAAAATGTGTCTAAAGACTTACATTTTCATTTTCATCAGGCTTTTTTAAGACTGAACAATGTCCATCTGAAAAACAAAGAAGTTCAAATCAAATCCTGACTGGGAACAAGAAGAGAGCTCAAATCAGATGTTTCAACAGATACATACCCATCATATCAAAATATTCATCCAGTAATGCATGGCAGGAGTCATACTGATCTCTATGCTCCTCCAGAGTCCAGATAAAAAGCCTCGTGTCATGAGGTGGAGCTTGTTTTAGATATTCAGTCACAGTCAAGCCAACGCTTGAAAATAACTCTGGCCTAGTCCCAACTTTCTCTATAATGACGTCCTGCAACGGGCTAAACTTCAGCAAAAAAGCCAAGTCCAGCTGCTCCAGGTGTCCTGCGAAGCGCTCAATGAAGGTTTCAGCAGCGTTCAGGCCTGCAGAGAGCCGAGAGAGAAGGTGATCAGACATCGATGTTATAACTTACAAACACTTTGAAGTATCGTGACAAATGCTGACCTGCATTGTTGAGCCGACGCGCCCAGTTGTTGAGTTTAGGATTTATATCTGGGGTATCACTGAGCATCTCGACAAACACCCGAGCCCACACGCGGTTCTTCCTCTCCAGTAGAAGCTCGGCTGCCTGACCGAGAGTTTCCAGCTGCTCCTGCTGCGAGTTCAGCAAACGTCCTGCTATTTGGTTCCCTCTTGACAAGTCCAGCTCCAGCCAGGGCTTCAGACTGCTGGTCAGAGTCGACACCTGGAGTGCTTTCTCCTCTCTCAGCAGCTCCATGTTCTGACTGATCTGCAGAAGAACTCGGTCCCTGTACACCAACCAGGCTGAGGACACAGTAGACGGCAGGGTTATGAATGCAGATGGATATACATAGAGACAACACTGTTTTATAAACTGGTGCAACTTAGAAGTTTTTAAAAGTTCAGGAAATATATGAAATGTCAAAATTTCAAACATAAAACAAGAACATTAGCATCAAGACTGACACTTTTTGGAAACCGGTGCAGAGGGGGTGAGTGTCGACCAAGCAGCCTTTGACCCTGTTTTTTCAATTTCCTGACATTTAACAGTAAATGATACTCAAGCCAGCAGGATGAGCTTCTCCATCAGAAGTTACCACTTGTGTCTGTAGCGGACAAGATAAGCAAACACTGTCTCCATCCTCTCACAGGGAGGTGATGAAAACATCCTCCCAGGAGCTCGAACATCTTTTGTCTTTTACATCAGTTCACCAGAGAGCTGTGACAAAATTATATTTTTTAAGAGCAAAATGACTCGGTAATTAGCCAATCTTAAGACTTAAGGTGGATAAAAATAAATCTTAGGAACCTTCAGCCCGCGGCAACATAATCATTACCTTATGTTAAAAATATTCATCTCAGCGAGTAGGGCTGGGCGATAAACCGAAAATTTACCGATACCGAAATTTACGACAATAACTGACGTCATTTTGCATATCAATATATTCGGTGTCAAAAAGTAAATAAATAAATGAAAGTTGGTTTTGGATGTGTGTAGGTAGGCTATGGTCTAATGTCCCTTTAAGAAGCTGTCCTACAGGAAAGACAGGTGAGGAGATGGAGAATGGTCCATTTATCGTCATCGAGGTGAACTGCTCAATATATCGTGATATTGATTTGAGGCCATATTGCCCAGCCCTATAAGAGAGCAATTATCTCGTTGGAAATGACTCTTTAGCTTCTCCCCACCGATAAGAATAAGCACTACCTTCCAAAAGTGACCCGTCGAGGTTGGATCCAGTCTAAAGGAATATTTTCTGTGTGACTGTGAGGACGTAAGAAGCCGTACCTTTTGGCTGAGCCTGCGGTGCTGAATCTTCTTTCTTCTGCACAATCTCATCATCCTTCTCCTGCTTCTCCTGGAATGACTTCCTGTGTTGTTTCCTCTTCAGTTTGCGCTCCTCTTTATTTTTTACATTTTTCAGACTGAAATTTAAAAAAAGAAAACCTATTAAATGAGACCCTGAAAGCTCATCTTACTGATGTGCTCCTCATGACATTAAAGTACTGTTGGCATCACTGGCTCTTCGTTTTACACCCAGCTTAAGCATAGGGTTTAGAAATCATATTTGCAGATGAGAATAAAAATCTCTTTGTTCCTTGAGACAGTTTTTCCCAACATGAACAACATCGTCAGACTTCTAATGGTTGGTGGAGTCTATGAGGGACCTGAAAGGCGACGTTCAGAGTAAAAACATCGAGAGTGGAGAACCCTCTTTCAATGGCCTCTTTGTTTATGATCAATAAAGACAAAAACAAACATCCTAGGGGTGATGAACAGTCCAACCGTTATGAAACAATGCTGAAGTTTTTGTTCAAACTCTATTTTTTCTTCATCTTATCTCTCAACTTCTGTTTTGTCTGTTTGTAGAAGATAAAAGATAAACTGTAACCACTGTGGTGAGCTACATTACACATTTTCTCTTCTAGACTGTTTCATTTATTTTCAAATCCAAAGTTTTTCCTCTTTTGTTGCTGCTCTATGATGTACTTAATCATATTCCAGTATATCTGAGACACCCTACCCTTTGAAACTACCTGGTTTTTATTTTCTTTAGTGTTCCCTATATGCCCTCAGTCCCTGCTTACCTTGTACATTTCTGATTCACTTTTGGTTTCTTCTGAGTCTCCGGTTTGGGGATGGCCGCTTCAAACTGGAGACAGAAAGGATAAGAGTTTAAAATTACTGTCCTGTGGATCACCAGCAAAATGACAGAGAGGTCTCACTTCACCTGGAGGAGGACCATCTTACCTTACATTTCACCAGGCCAGTCGGACCATAGATCTTGATGCAGCAGATTCTACCCACACAGTCTGGCGTGAAACAGGACTCTTGCAGGAAATCCTGAAACACAAAATAACAAATCCGTTAAATCCGTTAAAGCTGCTCTCTTTTCAGTCACGATGAACTAGATTTACCTTTTCACTCTTTTCAAACACAGGGGACGTCTTCAGGGTCTTCCAACAGGCCATGTGGTATTCAACAATGCAGCTCTGACAGCAGTTCATTTGAATGAAGCCCTGCGCAAAAAGAGGAACACAGGTTCAGATTTAAACTAATGACATTTCTATGACGACTTCCCTAAAAGTGGTTTGGACTGGCTGCGCCGTAACTGTTGCTTATTACCTTAAAATCTGGATCCGTTAAGTAGATTTCAGTCTTCGGAGAGCCGAGGCATTTCTCAAGCCGACAAATGGCATCAGGAGTAGGTGGAAATTTACACAACTCTAAATTAGATTCCAGAAGTTCCTGAAAGGAAAAAAAGTGACCAACCTGAAGATGAGCTTAAGAAAATTGAACACCAAAAAAATCAGACACAAAAATCTGTGAACATCCAAAACACAAAACCTTTATTCTCAAAAAAGGTCCTCTTTAAATCGTCACACATGCCTGTAGAGTTGAGTCCTTTTACCTGCTATCACTAAAATACCGTACATCTTCTTCTTGTGCTCTAACTAGGTCAACGTGCCCTAATGTCCTCCCTTCAGATGAGTTGTTTAATTTCACACCCACATTACTGGTAGGACTTTCTGTTGATGTGTTTTTTGTCTTTTTTGTTTGACTTTCTGGTGTTCGGGTGTTTCATTTAGCTTTTTTTGTACTTTGTAAACCAATACTTTAAAGGTCCTATGTAAGTATTGTTATTATTTTAGCTGCAGCTATGAGATACAGGTCTCTAATTGTGCACAAAATGACTTTCTCTTGTCTGGAATCCAAGTCTGGTCTGTTAGATAGAACAACAAAATCAGGTCACATTTGTTAGGATAAGAAGAAAGGGTTCAAGTCATTTCTCACCTTGAAGTAGTCCGTCTGTGTTTCTTTGACTATCTCTTTAGTTAAAGGCCAGGTAAGTTTCCCAGGAGTTATTTGATTCTTCACCATCTGCAGAGAGTCGGAAAACTGCTCCAGAGCAACTGCAAACCTGCACCCAAGAAGATAAATGTGTATATTGTGGTTTAAGAGAGCTGGTGTGAAGTTGTGAAGTTAACTGAAGAGGAAAAAAAAACAGGTCAGATCTGAGGCTACTGCACCTATTCTCTTTGAGAAACACCCTGCCGACAGCGTAGAAAACCAGGCACTGGAACGTCCTTTCCTCAGAGGATTTGATCTTCTCCAGGAGTCTGCGAGCCTCTCCGAGTTCCTGGGGTGAACAAAGAAACGACATCTTTAGCCTTCTGAACAGGAAACTCACATCTGTCATTTAATTCACCTTAATAGAAAGAGAACAAGGTGTTCTAGCTGAGAATAAAAACATTACTCGAATAAAAAAATGATGAGGAGTCAGATCTGACCCCTCAGACTAGAGACCACCAATCATCACATCCAATAAGATCGAAGTTACCTCCAGCTGTCCGATTTCAGTCAGGGCTAAAGCACGGCCGTACAGCAACAGCAGCACATCCAGAGTGGAGAGACCAAGTTCCTGAGACGGAGGAAGAAAAATATTGTTTTTGTTTTTACAGCTGAAATCTAAGTTTATAACAAACTTAAATTATTTATAGTTTAAAGGAAAAATCTTTTTTTAAATCCTTTTATTTGTTAACTAAGAGTGAACACAGGAGATAAGAGGGGATGACTTTTGTTTGCAACTTGACAAATCTCCGGCCAAAGAAACATTTGATGGCAAAGATTAATCGTGCTCCGCTGATGCGTGCACAGTAACTTTACCTACAAACATGCTTCAAATATCTCTTCAGAAAATACAGGAGCTTTAAAACTGGTGTGTGAATCAGTGGGATGATTACCTTTGGCTTGTTGGTCTCCACTAAAGCCAGAGCCTGGCTGAAGGCCTGCTCTGCGTTGTGGCTGCGGGAGTCAGACAGAGCAGCGTGGGCGTCCTGGACCATGGATTTTAACTCTTTGCACACGGCTGCTTTGAGATTCACGGTTTTTGTTTTCTGGAGTGAAAAAAAAGACAGTCAGTCTTTTAATCTAATTATAATGTTCCAACAACAAAACTGATTTGGACATTATTTAAGAGTTGAGGAGTAAGACAGTATCCACACTTATACTGTTTCATTTGCTCTTGTATTTTTATTGCTCTACACATTCTTATGATTGCTCTTGTATTGTATTTTATTATTTTGGTTTGGAAATGGTCCTCAGTATTAATTTTGTACCACAGACTGTCAAACTTCCCACCACACCCCACCTTTTCCTTCTTTCTTTGTAAACCTTCACCCTACCCTTTCTCCTGCCAGACCTCTTTGTCTTTCAAATCCTTTTGCTTCCCAATCGTCCTCTAAAACTTCCCACCACACCTCACCTCACACCTAATCTCCTGCCAGACCTCTTCACACCTTTGCGATAAACTTCCCACCACGCCTCACCTTTGTTTGCCTGCTTCAGCCAACAGAGAGGTCTGACATATACCTTAAGGGACGTTTCCATAAGAGTTTAAATGTTCAAGTCTCCCTGTGTTCAGGGTCTTTCTTCACTCTTGACTTGCTCGTGTGTTGTTGATTGACTTTCTTTCCAAAAATATTCGAATAAAACCTCGTCGGCCGGCAGAAGTCTCTATTTCATTCTTCACCAGAAACGGGGAAAAACTGCCACAACACTCTACAGGTAGTTTGAACACAAAGACTTTTTCTCAAGTTAATTTCTTTGCATATATTACCAAAAGATAAACATGCAAACCCAACTATTCTGATGTTTCTTTACATATAAGAATTGTTAAGTGTTGTTTATCCCAGGATTGTTCTTTTACAGTACATCTGAAATATTGCAATGATTGAAATTGCTCACACTGCTTAAATATTTATATTGAGATATTAAATCAAAACCCCAGAAAAACAGAAACAATGTGAAAGTATGTGACAAGGTCTTAGGCAGCATGATCTCTTTAGTCAGTACTTGAACTGGCTTCAGCAGGCCACTGAAACATGCAAAAAAGCCATCCTGGAGCTACTACAGCCAATAACAGAGTACAACACAAGAAAGAAATCAATCGGTGAAAACCAACATCTGTGGGCAACTGTTTGCCAAAGCTGAACCAAAACATGACATCTGCTTTGTGCACCTTCAGCTCAGTTCACAGGAAGTTTATCTTTTACAGCCTGAGATCTGAAACCAGCCAACTCTGAGGTGATCTTGTCGTAGAAGATCTTTAAGAAACCACATGATGGGTATACCAACACATATGAGGAACAAGGTGTCTGGTTGGAAGGTAAAATCTGACATCACTTGGGTTTGAGTTTAAAGAAAATAATAAAAATATCCCAAAGGCCAAAAGATGAAATAAAAAGCCCATGTTTAGCCAACAGCAACAAACCTCGTTTCATTTGTAGTTTCTGTTAATTTATTTATTTTAACTTTGACACAAATAAAATAAGCTTGTCATCAAACACCAAAAAAAAGATGTGCTTTTACTTTTACCTAGTTTGCAAAATCGTGTGCTTCTGGAAACCACAGCTCGCTTACAAGCCTCAGACCACAGGGTACGACTTCCTGCCATACTTACGTTAGCGACACTGCCTGGTTACACAAGACATGCGCTGCAGCTTTTTGTTAAATAGTGAGTTTCCATAGAATAACCCAGTAACCTTTGACTCTAGAGACCATAAATCACTTATTTACTGAAAAACGTTTAGTGAAGTGTTAAAGGGAGAAGTATATCTATTAAAGTGCATTTCTATGTCTGAACAATTAAGTCGCTCAGACTGCTCTTCATTTCTCGTTCCGTCTCCTGAACCTTGATTTGCTGTGTCCTTTCCACATGATCCCAAATTGCTAGAGGGTTTTTTTTCCACTCAAAAGTTGTAATTTTTATTATAAAGCTGTAAAAATCTAACCCACAGAATTGAAGCTCCAAACATGAACAGTTCACAGTTACATGTCCATCGAGGTCGGCACTATGCAGGGTAAAGAAACCTTAATTTTGAAAATTCTTTTTCTGGTTAAAAATAAAAACCATACCTTTGTTTACAAACGTTTGATTCATTATAAACTACCAGACACTTCGGTTATCTTCATCGTCCTTTTTTATAAAACTAAACATGCTCAGTTTCCTCTCAGATATGAAGTTTATCATCTATGATTATCATCAATATCCTTCCGATGTGGACTGCTCAAGACGTTTGGTTAAGAGCTAAAGAGAGCTTCTGCAAATAAATATATCTATACACACTCTTAGTATACTTCAGTGTGAATCTAAAAGGGTTTATACCTGCAAGTATGTCTAACGTTTCATCTATCTGTAAAGAAATCCTTCCTCCCACCTCACCTCAGTTTCAGAGACAATGTTTTTCTTCTTTTGTTTCTTCTTCGGAGTCGTGCTGGACTCTCCCTTCGCAGTCTTTGAAGGCGGCTCACTGAAAACACAGGATCTCAATCAGACACAGTCCAAAACTTTGATAAGTTTTACTCTAGTTTAAACAAGTTTCAGGGTTCAAGAGAAAGCTCCTTTATGAGGTATTAAATGTACCAGCTTTGGTATTTTTAAAAGGCAAACCATGAAGTAAATGCAGACTGGACGATGTAAACAGTCTCACGGTAGGAGAATGAATAACACAAAGCAAAAATGTTGAGTTGATTTTCATCCTCACATCTTTTTCTCTCTCAGTAAAGTCAAAGTTTCATCTCTAGATCTTCTTCCCTGATTTTCTCACATAAATGCGTTCTTGTAGTTTCATCAGAGCAAACTCATAAGCAGTCACACTGTTTAAAAAAAGTCCAGAGCAGGTTATGATGAGTCCCGCTTACCTTTTGGCTGGTTTGGAGGCACTGGCAGAGCTCTCCGTTTGAGCAGTCTTCTCATTTTTCCCTGAAGAGAGAAAATGAGCCATGAAGTTTTTAAATATCATTGGAGAGACGATCTGTTCTCTTACTTCCTCAAACATGAAACTAAACTTTCAATCAGGCCACAAGTTGATCATCAACTGAAGTTGCTTCATCTTCAAATGTGCTCCAACCGAGAGCAAAACCACAGTGCAACCCAAAGGCACATCAGCTCATGTAGATCCTTGTCTAAATCAAGGAAGTCCATGTGACCTCAGCGCTCTTTGACCATATATGGGTGAACAGATTGTTTCATAAGAGATGTTATTCTTTTGGTTTCTCCGGGGGGAAATATCTCAGATCACTCACTTACAAAGATCAGAGCAAGAAGGCTGATTAGACATGAGGACGCAGAAGCACATTAAATACATCAAACTTATGTTGTTGTGCAAACTGCCTCACTTTGATGTTGAAAGATGAGTTTTCAAAACTAGATTTATCTTTTAAAAAACTGAATCAAAAGGGACAAAATTTTCAGACCCTATTCACTAGGATTAAGTTTTTCTGATCAGTTAGGGGTAGATGTGTTTTTTCATTTGGTTGCTATGTGACACACCTTCCTGTCTGTATTTAAAAACTTCCTTTAGACTCTCTCTCTCTCTCTCTGTCTCAATAACAAACCAATGAACCAAGGTTTCCAGCCGAACAAGATAATGTTTCTATAAACTGTTTTTTTCTTTCTCTCAAGTACAAACATGTTTAGGTTTGGATAACAGGAAGCCCTGGACAAGTTTTTTTATTTTTTATTCCTTTTAGTCTAAACCTGCAGAGACGTGTCACCTAAAAAAAAACTCGTTAGGATAACACAGAACATGATATTGTAACGCTCTGATTTACTGGAAACCTCCCATCCCTTAACAAGCCCAAGGAGTCTCAGGATAAAACCACTTTTGCAGACAACAGGTGAGAAATTCAACAGCTTTTAACTTGAACTTGAAGTATATCTGCATTACAGCTACAGCCTAATGATTTATTTGACATATTTTTGATATTATATGAAGAAAAACTAATCTATCAACATCATCAGGATCAAATGGAGTGCAGCTCTCTGTTCATTTTAAGCATTTTCTGCTGACCCTGCACTGCTTGACGACGCCGCATCCTCCGCTGCCTCCCCGGTGAACCAGAGCAGTGAGTCATTGATGTCATTGTGAAGTTAGACACTTGCCTCATCCAGAGTTTGCATACAGTCCTGTATTGATTTAATCGCACACGTTCTCCCATTTTTGTAGAAAAACACCACTGTGTTCGCTGCCTGAGGTCAAGAGTGCATGCAATGGTCAGGTCACGATAACAGTGAACTCCGCTAGATCGAACAGCTGACTACTTTAGACGGCACTTTATTTGACGCCTCTCTCTACAACACATTATAAATATATGTATAATGCATTATAATCATGTTATAGCACTGTATAACTGTAGTTATTAACACCCATTATAATGTGTTATAAATGTTAACAACAGTTGCATTGGGCATTGTCAGTGAGTTCTTAACAGTTATAACACATTAAAATACCTGACAGTGCTATAAAGTGATTATAACACATTATGAATATATTTGTAATCACGTAATAGAGATAGGCGTCAAATAAAGTGTTACCAAATCAGGCTCAAAGTTCAGGTATAGAGTAACAGCTGCAGCTCCTAACACTGGGAACATGTAAGGCGCTATAATTTCAGGAGACTTCTCATGTGTTTAACCCGAGGCCTCTACAGACAGACACTTGCGCATTGTTTCAGTAACTCTTTAGCTGCACATTCAGTCCCATATGGTCGCAAACATCAAAAACATTGTCAAGTAAGGAAAGATTTAAATGTCAACATAAGGATTAAGAAAGTGCAACATTTATCGACACCTTTCTATCTTTAAAACAAGCAGGGAATCACACTGCAAGACTGTACGTTTTCTTCTCCAAAAAGAAGACAGTTCAGAAATGAATAAACCACATAGTCCTTCGCTGCTGTTACATAGGTTTGTATATGGGACTCCTTTATAACTTTATAAAAACAATGTCTCCAATCTCAATAGGTAAATGTCTACAGGGCTGTATTGTCTTGTTGCTGTAGGACAGGAGTGTCTTCTTTATCTTTCCTTCCTCCTGTGGGAAGACGTCCTTGCGCCTGTTCCCAACAGCTGACAAACGTTATCAGAGCAAAGTAACAAGGTTTTCCCTCGACCTTCAAGTCTCAGCTGAGGAAGAGACAGACCCTCTCCGGAGAAAAAAACACTTTCCCTGTGATGTGCAGGTGTCAGTCACGTGTCAAAATAACACAAATAAAAAAAGGGAGAATCGGTCAGCTCATGTCTACAGTTGCACGTGTTTGATGAGGACGAGGTCAAACAGTTTGTTAGGTCTGAGCGAGGAGAAAATACATGGATTTTTTTTGCATCATTGATCTGAAACAATTGCCACTACCCTCTTGTAATCAAAGGGTCACTTAAACCACAACGAAAATATAGAGGTACTGCTGTATGAAAAGAAACTCACCTGCTTGTTTACTGCTTTTAATTTCCTGTTTGTTGGTTTTGACCTCAGGTGCCTGCCAAAATACATAACAAAGTGGTTGGTCTTTTTGTCGTACAAAACATCCATTCATGTTTGAGATTGGAGTAGATTAATTTCATCCAATTAACTAAATGATTTCAAACCTGATCCAGATTTATCTATTTATCATAATTTAAAATTCTTCAAACAAATTTCACCAAAATTGTTAAGTTTGTTTATGTTGCTATTGACCGTCGGCCTATCTTAAAAGGGTGCATTATATCAGAGACACTGACCTTGCTCTGTGTAGTCGCGCCCACGGGTGCATCGGCCTTAAAGGACTGTTGTTTTGACTCTTTGTTGGTGCTGTTTGGTCTGCAGAGTAGAAGAACAACAGGTCAATAATACAGTTTATCAATAATCATTCATCGTGTTTGACTGTGAATGAGAGACAGGTCAGACTTACTTATTACTCTGAGTTTTCTTCGGCTGCTCAGCTGAAGGACGACCAGGAAAACAAGCTCTCATCAACATCTCTGAAAGGTAAACAAGTTTTTTTTAATGACATTGGTCCTGACTAATACACAGTAAATTAAGTGTGATCTAAAGCAAACCCTGCATGTGTATAAATTTGGAAAATACATTTATTTATTTTATTTTTATATTCCTCTTGCCTTATCTCCACTAGGTGTGTGCATACCTTGTTGTATCTCAGTGACGAACTTAAGGTGTTGTTGTTCCAGATCTTTCAGTCCCTCTTGATCGTCCTTGCACAATTGTCGACCTATAATGTTTGCTTCAATCGCCATTTTACACTCTCCGAAGAGGAATAAGGCTTCACAGTAGCGATAATGACCCTGCAAATAAACCACAAACTCAGACCTGATGATATGATCTGTTTTTTTCAGCAGTGGCGTGAAGAAAAGTCAACTACAGGCCGCACGGTTCATGTTGTCACATCATAAATGCAGCTTCAAGTGAATCCTGAGTTTTGATTGGAGGTTTCTTATCTCTTTCCTTCAGTTGTAGCAGCGAGCCGTGAATTTAAGCTTTTCCCTCCTGGTAGAGATATTTCTACATCCTCTCAGAGCAGCACATATTCCTGTTTATGGCGAGTTTTAGTTTCACTGGGAATGTTAAGTTGCTTCAAGGAAACACTAAATTCAAACTAGTTTTTGTGTGACGTACTGACTAAACCAGACAGTAAGTTTGTCAAATTAATGGTGTACAGATATGGGCTGCAATTTGTGCCACCAGAAACTGAAATAAATAATTATACTGAATTTGAAAAAGCATGATTTGAAACCGAAATTAATGTTTTGAAATTTATTGTTTTGCTTTGAAATTGTATCTCACTTACTTAAAAGTTCAACTCTCTCTTTTCCTGCAATTTCAAAATAAAAAATTTAATTTCAGTTCGCACAATTCAGATTCAGTTTTTCTGATTCCAGTTTAGCGGGGTACTGCCATTACATCATCTACTTTTGTGAGGAAAAGTAATTGAGCACAGATTCACTCAACTCCTTTACGGTCTGTAGAAAAGTGAAAACGCTTTTTCTGATCTGTTTGTTGTGTTGAAGTTTGATCTCGAACAGATGGAAGCTGCGCTGTCATGCAAGTTTGAGGAAATCCTTTGGTCTATTTCATGCTTAATTTGTTAAAACAAGAAGCCTTTTTTCCCTGGAGTTTGGGGTCTTTTCTGTCTTTCACACAGTCTCCCTCTCTGGTTCATTTTCAGCCTTTTCTTGTGTCATTTTTTAACTTAATCACTACGAGTAGATCCTAAAAACACGAGTATTTACCTTTGCCCAGAATGGATCAATCAGGCAAGCACGTTTTCCATCACCAACGGCTTTCCTATTAAATAAAAAAATGATAAATAATCATGAGATTGAAAAATCTGAACATATTTTACCTTTCATTACAACAGTTACAGAGTCAAATGTCTTGTGATGGCTCAACATTCATTTCTCCAGAGATTTACGGATATGATACTAATGATGAAATATATATGAGAAATTTGGACTTTATAAAATCGCTTTTTCTCAGATGTAAAAAATTCTTTGACAATTTTAGAAGAAGGTGTTTATATATTATTTCATCTTCTGATACTGGTCCTATTTTACTGGCTACGCCTAAGTAACACCTGGTCCTTCAAGGAAGAAAAAACACTGAACTGTTTTAGCAATAAGGAGTGATTTCTCACCCTGAGACACTTGATAAGTAAACACCGTCTTTATAATTATTTACCATTTTTTCCAGCTGCCATTTTCAATAACGATATTTGACCAAGTAAGTTTAAAGAACTTATAATGTGAACTGAAACTCAAAGAACAGCTGGTACTTACAGGTACTTCTTAGAGCGGATAAAGCACAGGGCTCTGTTTCCATAAACTTTGTGGTTTTCAGGGCTGAATGGAAAAGAAAAGAGAAATTGAGTTATAAAAGCAAAATCTGACAAGTTCAGAGATTCACTGATAACTTCAAACACAACAAAGAAGTAGAACTGTGTCCAAATATTTGCTGACTGTTACATTTGAAGACTCAGAAGAGTTTTAAGGGGGTGTTATTATGCTTCCTGTGTTTACAGCAAAATATTGAACATCTACTTACTTAAATTTGATGGCTTTGGAGTAAAACTGCACAGCTTCATCGTACTGCTGCAACTTAAATTTCTCATTTCCTTTCTTCTTCATTTCCTCGCTTTTCTGCACGAGGAACGGGATAAAGTTACTTTCAAAGAAACACAGTAAAAGATAAATATCTGTGAAAATAAGAGATTCAGAAGAATTGTCTCCTAAACTGCTGTCAGCATGTTAACATATAAAGAGAAAAACCCTCTGAGTTAATAGAGTCGATAAATTAGACCCTCTTTAGATCTGTATTTAGTGTCGAGCTGACTGTTTCTAGTTTTTGGTCAGGTGATGAGCCGACTGAGTCAGGGAGGGTTGTGTCTATTTTGCATGTGCAAACACAGCACATTAACTCTCATATGACAGTTGCATTCATCCTGCAGCATGAGGATAGGCAGCTGTGCTTCAGCTTGGACGCAACATGTTACTTGCATTTGGAGCCAACCATAATAGAAAGATCCTAATAACCTACTGATAAGTCTGGTCCTGAATGACAGGGTTATGGCATTAAACCTGTCACCTGAACACACATTTTCCTGAAGACATACCCTGTAAGTTTTCATTTGAGAGCAAGACGCGGCTCTCCTAAGTCGGAAAAGGCTGTTCTTGTTATCGCTTTGTTTCAAACCACTGAATCTTATAAAAATACGAAGCCGATTTCTGTGCCCAAGGAAGGAAAACGTTTCAGAAAGCTGTGTGAAATGTGACTCACTTCTTTCCGAGCAAAAGGTGGTGCAACCAGTAGGGAATTCATGGTGTCCTGCAAGTTTAAACTCATTTTTTGGATAAATCTGGAAACTGATGGAAAACAAAAAGGGACACAGTAAACATTCAACCCTCTGCACTTTTATACTATCGATAACTCAAATTCAATCACTGCAGATATTACGTTTAAATGTGATCCACTTATTTCTTTTCTCCACATGATCTCATTAATAACATTTGCAGCTGGTTCTGGAGCAGAGCAGCATGCACGTGTTGCAGGGCGATATTAACTTACACTCTAGGAAGATGACTAGCAGGGCTGCGTGGACGGTGGAAACATGGCCGAAGTTCGTTGTCAGCTGTTTAGCGTAAGTTTCTCCTGATCGCTCCAACCAGTGAATCGCATTCTCCACCGCATCAGTAGCATGCTGAAGGGACAACATCACACCCAAGATAGAGAAGCATTTCACATGGACAGACCAGTGTGGGTCACAACCATAGACTGTATATACTATGGACAACTTGGTTCCACCTCCCATCAGTATACGGATTTGAAGCCAAAAAGCTCTCGGTATTTCTGTGATTTTTCTCCATTTCCTGAAAACAGCGCTGCGCAGTAGCGTTGTACACATTAGGCGGGGGAGTCGCCTAGAGTCACTGTGATGACGCTCGGCTCAAACAGTGTATCCCCTGGGTGAGCTACGCAATCTTCGTACACCGATAGGCTGTATCAGGTGTCAATCATAGAAAACATGAACCCCCTAATAACTTTTAAAAACGGAGCTGCACAGAAAAAAGGACTTGAGCACAAACTAGTCTTACAATAACTACATGTCAACATCGCAAGCAGGGGGGAGAAAAATTTATGTTCTGTGTAATAAATTTCTAAAGTTTGTCCACAGCTCCATAAGCTTCGCTGGAGGAGGCGAGATTTATGACCTATACTGCAGCCCGTCAACAGAGGGTGCTGTGCTCAGAGTGGCTTCACCCCGCGAGGAGGCTGACGCTGTCCATTCTATATACAGTCTATGTTATTTACATAAAATAGAGATATAAATTTTAACTTTAAAACTTATTTGGCTTCTTCGAAATTAATACCTGCATCTTAATAGATAATGAATAACCACTGCAAGACATCTACCTACTCTCAAATACAACTTAATGAGCCTCAAAATATCTTCAACTTTATATGTTTTTTTGTTTTATTCAGAATGAGCTTCCAACATGCTTCACAAACTAAATATATGACTATTATTAATTATCAAACAGGAATTTATACTTCTGCCAATGTCTGAAACAGGGAAATTCTCTTTCACCACACTTACCAATGTTAACATGTTGCTAATGTAGAAAACATCCCTCGTTTGGTCCATTTTCGCCTGCAATAAACACATGTGGTACAGATCACAGACCAAACAAAACGGTGCATATCCACCCCTCTTTAGTTCTATAGTGATTTATTTCACAGCAAAGCCCTTTGTCGAGAGAAAGGCTGGAAATGTCATTTTGCACATCTTGGAATCACTCATCATTTAGCTTGGTTGTGTTTTTTTTTCCTCTTCTAAAAGACTGAAGACTCACAATACAGAGTACACGTATGTGTCTCATATTAGAACAGTGCAAAGGTAGATGGTCTGGAAAACTTTACAACTGGTTGTGCTCTTACACAGAGAAAAACACTTGGATTAAGTTTGTATAAATCGACTGAATTAAGTGGTAGAGCTGGTCCCTTCTGTAGGAGCTGATTGCAAAGCGTTCGTTTAAATTCTCTGGCTGCTTCTAAACAAAAAGGGACCAAGCTGACCAGCGCCCCAACATACCACCTCACTTAAAAATCAAAAGTGGCAGCCACATCGAGTGACCTGAGACAAAAAGTACTCTCAATAGCTTTTATTGATAAAAAAAGTCGTAAAGAGCAGCTGCTCGTGGTGGGTACAAATCCACTTTCAAATGTTTTTTTCTCCCCATAAAGGAAAATCATCAGTAGATGAAGACAACATGGTCTTTTCAGATGTTCTATAATATGCTTAATTCAAAGGTCTGTAGTCTACAGGGCTAAGTTTGGAAATATTTATAAATTCATATGGATCAGTCTGGAGAACTTAACGTCTTTGCTTCTGTCAGATATCTGACTCTTCCATAAGGATGGCAGAGAGAGTGAAAAAGAAAATAAATCCACACTGTGAGGAATCCACAGAAGAAATCAAAAGTTCTTTCAGTTAAAAAAGTTCCTGGGGCCTAAAGGTCAAAAAAAGGTTTTATTCTTGAGTTTTATGAGTGAACTTACAGTTCCTTTCTCCAAGGCTCTCAGGAAAGCTTCCACAGTTTCTATCCTGCGCAGCTGCTTCATGTTTATATCATCACTGTCAGACAAAGAGGAAAGACAGAAAAATCAAATCCTGCGAAAGAAAACTTTTATTTTCTGTGTTCAAAAACAGTTCGGATATGAATCAGTATTGTACATACCTTGAGTTGATCAAACCTATTTCTAATGCCCATTGACACATTGTGCTGGAGTTGTCTTTCTGCAGCAGCATGGGAAGCCAAAAGGCGAAAAGTTTCATCCGCTGTGTAGCCAACGCTTTGATATCCCACGGGATCGTGCTCCATCGCTCGATAATTTCAGCTACAATACGAAAACACATTTTCCTCCGTCAAAGTCAAGTGCAGATATTTTACAGACATTCTACTCTTATGCTCATGTTGTTGAAGTTCAAGGTTTTTTGCCTCCAATGAAACTAAATGAAAATGTTTCAGTTGTCAGTCGTGTTTTTAAAAAGACCTGAAGGTTCCTCACCTTTTGGCTTGAAGGTTGTAGGGTTGATATGAGTGTACCAATACTTCTGAGGGGGGAAAGAAGAGTTCATAACTCACACACACAAAATTTTATCTTGCTTAAATTTTCCTCAGTTTATTATTGACTTATTAACTCACAGCTTTCATCCCTTGTTCCAAGCTGTCAGAATCATGCTCACAGCAACTATCACAGTCTGAATCCGACATCTTGTCCAACTCTGCAAACACATTAAAAAAAACACAAAATTCAGAACAAAGTGTAGTGAGTTTGATATGAATGTTCAAACTCGCATTAAGAAATTTAAAATAATACCAATATCAGCAGCAGTGTTTTTGTCTTCACTTGTTTTGAGGTACGAGGAAATGAAAGCAGACCCACAAAAACAAAACTACAACATCCATTATCAAACTTCTTCTTCAAGCTAAATCCTGCTCTTGCACAATGACAACCTGTGTGAAAACTGAGCTTGTATGTGGGCCTCTCCACATGAATGAATCCGGTTGTGCACCCTCCCTGAGTTATTATCTGTCTGAACAAGGAATTTACAAAGTGCCAACCAATGATCAACCCCAACCTCCAACGGGCTGCTGTAACCACACCCACACTCCTTTAACCAGACATTAACTGTCCTAAAAGAATGTGTTTTCATGGCATGCCATAAATACGGCACCTTCTTTACACAACGGCTGGGTATGATTTATTTTATGATACCGTTAAACATCATGTGATAAGATGGAAACAGAAACAAAGTACTCATTCTCAAAAGAGGTGGGATGTTAGAATTTCTGTTTTTAGACAAGATACAGAAAAAAAAAAAACAAGACTAAGATAGGCAAAAAAAACTTCATGCAGAAAAAGTCAGTTAATAATCAAATAAAGTCACACTTCCTCTCGCTTACTGTTACAGGAAGCAGAGCTGCAACTGAGGAAACAGGATAAAAAGTGTTTCTTATGCATCGATTTGCTTATCTATTCATCAATCTAGCCAGAAGGGTGAGTGGGAATTGGATGTGTTATTCTCTATTTGTTTTTGGGTGCTCTGGTGTGTGAACTACTTGTGCACTTGACTGTTAGAGCTGGCCCTCTTTCAGATCTCTCCACGTGGCTGCTGCTGCCAAACAGGCTCTAGTGGCAGAAATATAATCCTCAGGGTGAAGTATGCCAGATTACATCCACTAAGGTGCTTGATTTTCCACACACAGCCTCAGACCGTTGTTCAAGGTGTCAAAGTGAAAAACAACAAAGACATCTGAGACGTTTTTTGAAGGGGGAGATTGTCTCAAACTCACTCATGCCCAAACCCTGCATGATCGAAGCCAAGCAAAGACTTCTCTGATAAGGTCACAGCAGTTATCAGTCATCTGCCGTCTCCGTTAGTTTGTTTGCATTGTTGAACAAGTCTGAATTTTAAAAAAGGAGCGAGCTTGGAGTTGAGAATATCTAATCCGAACAGGTCGCGGTACAACAGCTCATCTCTGGATTTTTGTATTTGGAGTTAAAACAGTCATACTTGGATTAAGAAAAAATCTCTTCAGTTAAACTTTCTGAACTAAGTTAACCAGAGAGAGAAAAATACTGTTCAGCTTTTCAACATGTCTCTGAACTTTAAAAACAAACTGTACGCTGACTTATTTATGTCACAAAATGTATATTTGGAAAGACTATTCTCAGGTCAGGGGAGGTCACCTACAACTCCTACCTCACACATTCAGGAACCCCCCCCCCCTTTAGCGCCTCTCCCAGATGTTAGCATTTTTCACAAGTATGCAGGGGGTGGAGCTAGGTTTAGAGTTTATACACGAGGCGTGTGAGCATGTAGTTCGCAGGAAACAGCATGGAAAACGAAAGAGGAAACGTAACATCACTTATGAGTAAAAATCTGTCCTGGTGGAGTCAAAAGAGAGATAACAAATTGAAGGAATATTCTAGAATCTACAGCTCTGTGTGAACTGAGCACAATGGGTGCTCCTGCTGAATCAACCGGATCAACCACTAACACACCCTAACTTTAACCCTTTGCTTGTGATTGCTTTTTAAATGAGGGGAATTCACCTGCATTGAAACCACAAATTATTAACACCAAATAAGTGTTTTCAGTGATAATCTCAATCTTAAATTCTTTTTTGTTTACAGTGTAGAACCGCATTTTTAGTTTCGTTAATATTGCTTTTTATTCTCTTTTTTGTATAGAAAATTTTTGTATAGGTCTAAATCAACTTTTTTATAATTATCTTCTGTTTGCTGTGCTGATCCTTTGCTTATATAACACTTCTAATTTGCTTATTTTGCCAACGAATTTGCCAATAAAAGTTCATCTTATCTTAAATCAGAAACCACATAAACTAACAAATATGCACACTAACCAGCCATAATACTATGCGTACTTGGGTAATCTAATGTACCCCTGTACAACAGTTCCACTGTAAATTCTCTTTCATGGCTTCTTCATGTTCAGTCTTTGTTGACAAGACCAGACAGGCAATTATTGAGCTATTAATTTCTAAATTTGCCCTGAGCATTGGTGATGTACTGATAGACTCTTAATAGGCTAACTGATGGATTGGGCAGATTTATATTCTCACGAATTGGTGTTACATCAGCATCCACCCACACCAATTTGAGATACAGAGTGTCAAAACTAAGACTAGTGTTTGACATACACCCTATTTTGATGCATAGAATAACACATTTTTCCAGTTTTAATACTTACTTTGAATTTTTCCTTCCTTTCTAAATTGAGCCAGCTGGGCTGAAATCCAAAAGTCCCACATGGCAGAATTTTACTGGACCAGATATTTTCCGATCTTATTCATTTATTTAATAAAACATTAACCCCAATTTCAGCTTTACTGTTTCTCATTTGTTACAATTATAATACTTGAAAAAGCTTGAACATGATGTCGGCTTTATATATAAAAAACTGATATTCACAGGGCTGGGCAATAAAACGCTGATATTCTGTATCTAAAATTAATTTCCCCCAATATCAATATAAAACATGGTCAATATTAGGGTCCGACTGATATGGATTTTTTTGGAGCTGATGCCAATACAGATTATTGGAGGGGGGTCTGATAACCGATTAATCAGCCAATTTTTAAAATGTTTTAAGTTTAAAAAAAATGTTAATTGAAGAAATATATCTACATATTTACTTATTTTTTTAACAAATGGCTGCTTTTGAGCCTTTCAAACACTTCTTCAAAGAATTAAAGGCAGAAAACTCGTTTCAAATCCTTTTTATTGCGAAACATTCAGCATTTTTCTTAGTTGTGTTTACATAATATGACTTACACTACACCCCTGGCTATGTATTTTGACTGTTTTAAAGATAATAAACTTATCATTTCCAGCTTATTATTCAGACTGTAGCAGGTGTGAGTCTAATTATTTTGTCAACCTCCGTCTTGTCAAACTCACACACTCGTCATCCTCTAAAATAAATAGCCTATATAAATAAATAAAATAAAGCTAACTCACGTACATCATGAAAAATTAGGAACACTCGATATACTGTAGGCCACTGCTCCTCACGCCAACAGGAAGACCGACTGATCATCTCAGTAATATTCCACGTATTTATCATGAATCAAACTCGGACCAGAAAAGCGTTTCCAGTACGGTTTCTCTAGCTCAACGCCTTACGACAAAACCTCAAATAGACACAAAGACCTAACAGATGCAGTAGCTTATTGTATTGCAAAAAACACGCTACCAATAAGCACTGTTAAATTTCATTTTTTATGTCATGATATATATATATCGATATTTGCAGATATGGAAAAAATATATCGTGATAAACTTTTTCCCATATCGCTCAGCCCTTACTGTACAACTGCATTTTATTAAAAGATGTTCCTCATATTTAGCTCCCTTTATGTTTGTTAATATAGTAAACAAAAGTCATTTTAACAAGCTCCAGTCCACTACCTAGATTGTATGCCCACATGTTCACGATATTAACGCCGATCGGTTCTTGTATCCGTATTTTACTAAAAGATGTTCCTCATATTTAGCTGCCCTTATGTGGTGAACAACATATTTGAAAGTCATTTTAACAAGCTCCAGCCCACCACCAACACCCACTACCTCTTCTACTGTATTTAGTGGCGTGAGACTGCCCACGTGCTCCCGATATTAACGCAAATCGATTCTTGTATCAGCACTTTTAAGTACAACATGTCCTCTTATTTCATCAACCACAGTGCCATAATAATTCCGGCTTTGCTTGTGAGCTAAAGGCAGGGCTCTAACCTCGAACAGCCTAACCTCTTTTAGTGAAATACTGTACCCTTTGTGTTCAGATCCTGAACTTTCACACCCTCTCTCTTCATTACAGTAGAGCTCTAAACCAAAAGAGCAGTCATGCAGAGCAGACGTGTACAGTTTAAGGTGTATTAAATAAATGTAATGACCCTACAGAGGACGAATAAAGTGGAGTTAACAGGTTTAAGTTTCGTTAGTTGGTAAAAACAAACTCCCTCTGAGGTGAACTCAGTTGACGCCCCTTCTCCACTGATGTTAGCATGTTAGCTCACTTGCGTAGTAAAATTAGAAAGTCGGGTATTCAATGTAATGCAACGTAAATCCACCGTGTGACAGTTTTTATGTGTTTTTAGGCGTTTCGATTATATTTACCAATAACTTGTCGTCGTGTAATGGTTTGCTGTAAATGCCACGACGCCTTTTCTCATTTTTGATTTCGCGCGAAACGAAACAGAGAGGTCCCAGAGATGGTCTGACAGCTGAGCCAAACGCTTCATTATTAAACAATCAGCGAAATTATAAATAAGACTTTAATCGAAATAACACCTACCTGTTTGGTCAGTGTTGCGTGAACGCTATCAGTAGTCTCTCCCTGGTATGTTCATGTCGATGAAGTTACGGAAGTTAAGATACTGCTCCTCACGGACATGCGTGAAAGAAGACAGCGCTTCAAAACACTTCTTCTTCGTTGGTTTAGTGGCAGACAGTGAGAACGGATGTTAAAGGTGCATGCTGCCACCTACTGTAAGGGAATATGAAGACATTACATACCACCATCAGGAGGCTTCCCAGTTTTTGGTTTTAGTTGACAAAATCAGATAGGTCAGATCAGAAGTATTAATAAAATTAGAAGAAGTTATCAAGCAGCTTCCTGAAGTCCTGGCAGGAAATAGTCAAAATTTGCAGATTAAAAGATACATCTAAGATTATGAGGTGGTGTGCCTATGATTCAGAATTTATACCAATTAAAACCGATGGCAGATTTAAGACATGGATCACAAAAGGTTTAACTACTTATTATTCATTTGTTCACAAGGGGGCATTTCAGAGTTTTGAGGCCTTACAGAAGGATCATGGTCTAGGTGGAACATATTTTCTTTGAATGTGAGCATGTTGTGCACTTTTGGACGTTATGTCAAAATTGGTTGTTTTCTAAACAAATTATTTTGCCCCCATTAAAGTGGATGTCGATCATGATTGGACTACAATTAGAGGGAAATAACTTGGACTTCATGGTAAACATTTTAATTACTCTTCATTCACAGATGTATATACCTCAAGATCTAACCCTACTTTAATGGATGGATAAACAAACTCAGAATATACATAAAATCTTTGAACTACATTAAAAACAAACATGTCCTAAAACTCTTTTCTTTACTTGACTTATTTACTATCTAAGAATAAGACCCTCACATTTTTTTCATGTTCTTTTGTTGATCTAAAAAGCTGGTTCAACACTTTATACTCTAAGGATCACCAATGTGCCTTAATGTTTGTATTTTGATGAATAATTGAACGTTTAAAAAAAAAAAAAAAAAACTGTTCTTGGAATATGAAAACATCACATACCACCATCAGAAGGCTTCACCGTTTTTGGTTTTAGTTGACAAGATCAGATAGGTGATGATTGTACACAAGCCAGATCAGTAAAGGCATAGTGGAAGCAATTATACTTCCTCTTCATTCTCAAACATAAAGGAAGCAAGAAATTGGCAGCACCTTTTGATAAAATGCAAACACCACCAACACCTACTTCATCTTCAAAGCTCATACATTTCTCACAGGAAAGGTCCTTTATCTGGTCCCAGGACATGTGGGAACACAAAGTATCAAAGGAAAGGTGTGAGGAGCAGGACGCTGAGCTCCAGACACCCATCGTAAAACCCTGCTAACCATGTAGTGATAAAAACAGCATTCCTTTGGAGAAAGGAAACGAATGACTGATAATGGCGTCTTATCTAATTATGAAATTTGTGTTAAAATTAGATGTGTCACGTTTTTCTGTGTGCTCCAGAAGAAAATCTCTGCATAAGTAAACTTTACATACTTATCTCACTCACTATTATAGATTCCGTCTTCGACATTTACGTAAAGATAAATATAATGGGTTGAAAAGAGCTCTGTTTCGGGAAAAGTTCTTTTATTTTTTCACTTTAAGCATGTTTTATTTAAAATTGTATTACTTTAACCTTTCTCCTCTTCCACAGATGGAAGCGAATCAGTGGTCCTTGTAGGTGATATACTTTTAGCACCTACAGGTGACTGTTCCAGGTTTGTACAACTAGAGGGTAATGTTGCACTGTTTTGTTTCTGAAGCTTGAGACATCATGCCAAGGAACCTTTCTTATTTTCTGAGGTTTGTTTTCCATCATAAACCAGCAGAATTTCATTCTTAACTGTAGAGAATGTTCTTAATCAACTTAGTAGAAAACATTTTATGTAGTGCAGCAAAGCAAGTTAAGTGGTGATTTACGCTTTGAATTAACATCTTAATAAAGCTCAGCTTTGCCGTTTCAACCATTGACATAGTTTCCCCTTCATTTCTCATTATTTTATAAGTTATATGTTATAAGTGTTTTTTATTCAGAATGTAACATTTTTCAAGTGTCTTGTTTGAACAGTCAAAGTTATAACACACGATAATCAATCAATCAATCACTCAAATTTTATTTATATAGCGCCAATTCACAACAGTCGTCATCTCAAGACGCTTTTCAAGGAACAAGAGCAGGTCTGGACCACGCTCATTGTTTGATGATCAAAAACCAACCTAAGATGGGTTTTGGCCCATCTCAACTAACATGAGTTACAGTGGCAAGGAAAAACTTCCTTTTAACAGGCAGAAACCTTGGGCAGGACCAGCCTCATGTTAGACAGCCACCATGCCGCTGCTGGGTTGGGGAGGGATGTAGAGAGAAGAGGGGAGAGGGGGAGAGGACAGGGGGAGGGAGAGAGACAACAAGATAACTGTGGTGTGGGAACACAAGGTATCAAAGGAAAGGTGTGAGGAGCAGGACGCTGAGCTCCAGACACCCATCGTAAAACCCTGCCAACCATGTAGTGAGAAAAACGGCATTCCTTTGGAGAAAGAAAACAAATTACTGATAATGGCGTCTTATCTAATTATGAAATTTGTGTTAAAATGAGATGTGTCACGTTTTTCTATGTGCTCCAGAAGCCAAGCTATCACTGACAGAATAAATCCTTTATTCTTTAGTTTCTTTAGACCAACAGCTTTTCAGACTGTTTCATAAACTTTAAAGAGTTAAATTTATAGACTATGGATCATAACTTCACTCTAAGTAACAGAAAAGGTTTAGAAATGTTTGGTTTATATTTTATTAATTAGTATAGAACCCATTATTAATCATGATAAAGTTCATTCACATGTATTTACTCTTTTCTGTTAGTGTTCTTCAAGAAGTGGAGTCCGTGAAATGAGAATTTCAGTATGAGGTATGAAATTTATTAATTTAAGATTGACTTAATGTTTGATTTCTGAATTAAACTTAAGTTTTTCTTTATTTTCCCACCATTTAAGGTAGATCGTGCCCCTTTTAACGAGTATAAAAGTGCATAAATGTCACAGTTTAAGATTATTATCATAGGACATTTATTCTAAATTCAAATCGCTCCAAGACTGTAAACTTTTTAAAACATTAGGGAATGCTCATTTCAATAATTAGCCACACGAGAAGTTAAACCATTGTTTTCAGTGTATTTGACCTCTTTTGCAATGTTTGTACTTTTCCATTACACAATCTTTGCTAATAAGCCGTCACTTCTCTCAGATAAACATTAAATGAAACAATAGATTTCTGTCTACTCAGTTGTGAACTCAAAGTCTTCTCTCTGCTTGAACAGACTGTGAAGAACTCTCTCAGAATGAAGGAAGAAGTTTTTGCTTTGTACCAGGTCCAGAGCATTCATAATGCGCGTCACTAAAGCTTGCTGTATGGCGGGAGACTCACAGGGGTGGTGCTGCACGCTGTGACTCACATTCCTATGAGGCTCGATCACCAGCAGACCCAGCTGGCTGACATCCTCGCCTATGCTATTTTCAGAGGAACCATTTACTTCCTTCTTATTCACCACCCTTACTATCGTTTCATTGCCTTCTTTAATCACACTAGGTCCAAAGTCTTCACTGGGTGCATCTCTTTTACAGCTTTTGCTAGTATCACCAGTGGAGTTGGTTGTGGTTGTTTCATTATCAGCACTCACACTTGGATCAACCAAGCTAATATTGAAGAGCTGATCACTTGAGCAGGTCATGTTTGTGATGCTAAATATGTCATTTTGTCTCGTCCGGGCTCTGGGTTTCCGTGGTCTTGGAGTCTCCCGGATGTTTCTGAATAGATACGCTGTGTAGCCCTGAATCAGTTGACCAAACCCAGTCTTGTAAGACCGACGCAGTGATTCAGCTGATCCTGATGGCACAGAGTGCAGACGGATCTGTTGGGAAGGTTATAGAAAAGCTTTTAGATCAGCTCGATACTTCCTGGATATTTATAATGGATGAGTAAGCCACTAATGATTAATGTCCTGTGCCAAAATCCTTGCCAATAATACAGGAAGGGAAAGGATGTGTGCTATTGCCTGTGAAGAGCTTTTTGTTGGTGTTGACTTTGGCGCCCCCTGTGGAAAAGTAGTAACCTATATTGTCGAAGATTTTGTCTGAAAGTTGTGTAAATTGACTAGAGGTGGCCCAAGGCAGAAGCGAACTAAGGGCCCCCAAGAGCAATCAAAAATATATATATTTTTTTTTTCATTGTTTGCATGTATGAGTGATGCTTTCTGTATGTTCAAATATATATTATTGTAAAATAAAAATAAAGTAAAAACATTGTAGTGCTGCTGTTGATATAGGCCTATAACTCTTACTGCCGATATGTCAAAGCTCCTCTACTGTCATGTGCCTTTTGCCGTGCAATATGCACTAAACATCCAAAGCGCAGGTAGTTGTGGGGCAAAAGACAACGTATCCTTTAGGAGCAGAGAAAAGAAAGAGAAAGAAGAGAAAAAATGCCAAGAAAAATGTACGTCTGCATGTCATGGAATGTTAATCAAAGAGATTTATAAAGGTGAGTGAATAATCAACAATCAATATTATTGGCAGAAATAGAGGGCCCCAAAATCAAATTTTGCTTAGAGCCCCATTTAGGCTTGAGGCGGCTCTGAAATTGACAAACAATCTCCGTTTTTGTCTTTTCACAGTGATATTAATGACTCGCCTGTATATTTTGCTGTGTCAAGTAACCAAGGCTGTTCCTTCAGCTTACCTACCACCTCACAGCAGTTACAGCCATTAAAAATTACATGCAGACATTGTATCTCTGCTCTCCAACAATACCTTACAAACACATCTGTCTCTTTAGCCAATAAATACTGAACTATCTTTAAAAAAATGTTTGCCTTTGCATCCTAGCAGACATTATACTGTGAGTTTTGAGAGACAATTATTTCATGATAAACTAAAGTATTATCAGTGTGATGTTTGTGTGCCTCAGCTTTTCGACTGTCCTGACCTGGTGAATCCTTATGTGTAGATGAACAGCAGCCCCCACCAGCCACTGTTGCATGGACAGTGTACTCATTCTCTTCTTCGTGGTCATCCTCTCATAATGGTCGATTATCTCCAGTTTCAGCCAGTTGTCGTAGAGTTCTGTAGTCTCTGCTATCTTTTCTGGGTTGTTAGCAATGCCAGGAATGTGGTGAAGGTAGCTTTTGATAATCCGGCCAATTCGTGAAGAACTGCTGATGCCAAAAATCCTCTTAGTCTGGAATCTATGAGCTGATAAATCACCCTCTGTTGATCCATTTACTCTGACCTGGTGGGATGACAATAAGTGAGAAATTCTGTGTTTCACTTTTGTTTTAGCGCTGTTCTTTGTCATACAATAGAAAAGCCAACAGCAATTCACACAACAGCTGCTTTGTTACAGAGTTTGGGGGCCTAGAAGCTGTTACAATGCTGTCAGCCTTTTTTTAAAAGGCTAGGTATCTGAGTTGAAGGTGTTGTAGTTGGGAGAATCTCCAATGTAAAAGAAATAAAAATAAATATATAAACAGAAAACTTTCTATAACAGCTTATGTAACATTTAGCCTCTGAATATGGTATATGACTATTAGCTAATCCAAACATAGAATCAATTGTAAAGTATACGACAAAAAAAAAGTAATAAGTTAACATTTCTGTTGGCAACAGCCTAGCCTAAGGTTTGCTTTTAATTCAAGCCTATAAAATATTTTTGTTTGCTGTCAAGTTTAACAGCAATGTTAGCAAAGTATGGCTGATAAACAATATCCGTCTGATGCCTTTCAAGTTTAACCTGAAACCCCACTTTATTATTGTTTTGAATCTGGCATTTGAGCTTCCTAACCTGAGCATGACTCAGCAAAAAATCATCTGACCATAAAAATATGAAAATAAATTTTATATGAATTCTGACCATAAAGCTTCTCCAGTGACACGGCATTGTGCTCATTCATGATGATCTAACCATATTTACCAGGTAGAAGCATGCTAGCAGAACTATTCCCAAAGACTGCATTGGTTGACTTTAGTCAGGTTAAAAAATACTGAAGCAGTCAGTTAAAACTCATGCTCCACAAAATGGTGTATTTGTCAAAATTTTGTAATTTTAGTTTAAGAAAATAAATGGACAGAAAACCAACAACAATTTTAAGGGGAAAAAAAATATCCATACACATTATCAAAAACTGCATTCAAGTGCAAATGGAGGGTTGCAAATGTGATTTTCAATATATACTATAAAAACGTGGGCATGTCAGCCCCACATTTCTGAGAATCACTAAAACAGGAAGATTTCAGCTGACATGGTCTTTGCTTTGAGGGACAGAAGTCAATATTACAATCAATGGACAAATAGTTTTACTCACTTGTTGGGAGATCTGGTCAAAAAGGATGGACAGAGCCAGAGCAACAACCCCTACCCCTCCATTTGTGACCCTGCTGCTGCCCCCCAGCTCCTCAGTCAGGCTGTTTCTGAAAGCAGTCTGCTGCTCACTGCTCATGCTCCGCTGTAAGGAAACATACTGATGCTGTAAGGCTGCAGAGGAGTCCAGTGACAGAAAGGTGGTGAGGACAGGATCCAAGGAGATATCTGGGATGATGCCAGCATCTCGAGCTACAAAGAACAGCTCCTGGACGGTGACTGGAGAGGGGAGACACAGACTACGGCCTGTTAGGATCATGGCTTTGCTTGTCAGTCTAGACAGTGTGTGTGTTTGTGTCTGTGCAGCAGGTCTGCTATCTGTGTTTCTGACCCTCTGTGTGCTTATTTGCCTGAGTCCAAATTATGTTATGTAAGACTCATCAACAGAAATGCTAATTTATGACAAAAGATCTACAAAAATACGCAATAACATCAGCCCTATCCATGCAAGACATAGAGATTCCCCTTCTTTGTCATTCTTACTCAGTTTGTTAAAATTAGTTTGTTGAAATTGCAGGGTTTAACAGATGTGTAGCTGATGGAAGAAAAACACAGTGCATATTTGAATTTTAAGATAATACTAAGTGGTTATTGTTCACACAGAAATAACAGTGTTGAGCATGTGAATTGACTATCTATTTAACCCTAAGAGTGTAAGATAAACTGAGCTAAAATCAAAGTACATAAGATAGGCCTGGTCATAAGCAGCTCAGTTCAGACACAGCAATTGAACATTAACCCAAATGTCAACAAGAAAGCGCTGAGTTCACTGTGCAAGGTATTCACTTTATCACTCTTGAGTTGAAGTATAAAACAATTCAATTTAAAACAGGCTAAATTAGTATGATAAGTGTAAATATAACTCACATCTACAAAAGTTCTCAACATATTTAGAAAGAGTAGTTAAGTGGAGATTATATAATTCCAGTATAAACTAGATTGGGGAGAGTGGGGTAGATGAGCCATTTTTCATATTTCAGATCACTGCATCAAGGCGACATAGTTTTGTCTTTTGTGTAAACATAACCGTCTTGATAATATAGCATGCCAAAAAAAGTAGTCTCCTATGGTCAACTTACCCCGTGTATGGGGTAAGTTGACCATAGGAGCGGGGTAAGTTGATCCGTATCCCAACGACACCCTACTCTCCACCCCAGCCCTCCCTCACCTTCTCTCTCCTTAAATAACAGTCACTTCTTCACATTTATGTGTATTTTTATCTCTTACATGCTATTCAACTGGTACAATAATTAATTTTATTATTATTATTGCATATAACTGCTAAAAAGCTGTTTTGTAAAGAGCCATTTTAACATGAGAATGTCTTTAAGTGATTTAGAACATTTACAGCTGTATTTTTGAAAAGAAAAGGTCATAAATATAGTCTCCTAAATAAGTATCCTAAATGTTTGGTCACATGATCAATTTCTTTTACCATTTCCAAACAACAGGGGGTGGCTCAACTTACCCTTTGGCTCAACTTACCCCACTATCCCCTACAATTCAATTTAACGGCATACAAGGGTAATTTATTCCAAATTCATACATCTTTTGATATAAAATAAAGGGAAATATAATAATAATAATAATAATAATAATAATAATTATTATTATTATTATTATTGTTATTATTGCTGTTACTAGACGTTTTTGTCCTTTGCTAAATGGTCACATGACATTCCCTTAACGTCGGTTGGTCAGTTACGACGTGACGACACGAATTAATCCTAGAAAATGAAAATCCTTGATGTGGAGCAAGGTAGATTACTTTTTACAGAAGTATTATTGGTCACAAATTTACCTTTTGTTCTAAAATCCTTTCCCAAACAACAACCCCGGTCCCATTTTTAAATCCTACTCTTAGGAAACATCAGTCGGTCAATCCAGCCGTTTAGGTCCAGTCGTTAGACTTCCGGTGTTGTGCCGTAGAATGCACCCCTGACGGGAGCGCGGTTGAAAGTACACAACAAGGCGAAATAATCCAAGTTTTCCTTACCGTTGGACGGATTCAAAGGGTTTGCCTTTAATGATTTCTGTCAGGCTATTCAGATCAGCCGAAAACGATAGCTCTCTGATTCAGAATATTTGCTGTCCCGAAAAAATAATGTTTTCTACCTCGACAGCTAACTGTACAGTTTACACCCAAGTACATCTCTATATGTGCATTTTTGAGACACATAAAAACAGAACGAAAGTTTGCTGCTCCATTGAACATGTTGTCAGGATCTAATACTCGTGTTTTGTTTTTTTATATGAGATCATTTTCTTCCACTTTAAGAAGCTAATGAGTGGAGGGGATCCACTCTACGGCAGGGGTGCATTCTACGGCATAACACCGGTCGTTAGACTTCCGGGTTGTCGCCATGAAACGTCATGACGCTCCACCCCTCTCAGCGTTGTCGTCTCTCATAGCAGCGAAGAAGAAGAAGAGGAGGAGGTCTGCTCAGAGTGCTTGCAATCGGTGAAAACATAATAGGTGAGTACCTGAGCAGCTCTTTTACCTTTACGGCATGTTTATGTTGAGTAAAACCCTAACTGTGTTTTTTTTCTATGCTGACTAACGCTCTTATGTGAGCTGGAGACACTAATGCAACATTTAAGGCTAACCAGCCCACAGCCATGATGACAAATCAATGGAAATAGTGAATAAGGCGACAGAAGTGGACACAGAGCAAGAGATTGTTGAGGAGACAGATGCATTTACACAGAGCTGCAGGGTTTACTGCATGGATGAATAAAGATTTTAGTCATGTGAATCATGTTTTAAACGGTCTTCACAGTCATGGGGGGTTTTAGCATTACTGTGGTTCTCTGAAATATTGTGCACTGTTCATTGTTTTGAAGTTAAGTCGGACATAGAAAAGACTGATCGTTATTGTACTGCACCTGAACTCTAAAACAAAACACAGACTCAGTTTTAAATGTGTAAACTTTATCCTCTGGACAGCCTAAAAATACAGTTTAATCAGAAAAAGAAATGCTTTAATAATCCCCAGGGGGAAATTACTTTTTGTGACAGTAACTCCAGTGTGAATAAAGTGGAAAGAGGAGATACATAATAGAGAAAATAAGTAAAAATAAAGAGATAATCAAAATATGCAATATGTTTACAGGTTGACAATATACAAGTATGTACACTATATACAACACTAATTAAATTAAACATTCAGACCTCTATTTGTTGTGGTTCCACATGAGTGTGCCTTCTTAATTTCCCCCTTATTTGAACCCTTCTTTTTCATTTATTCACATATTAATCTTAATGTTGGGCTTGTCTTATAGATTTTTCACCTTTTATTCTCTTAATTCTCTTGACAGAATACTGGTTATTCTAATACTTTTATTTTTTTTCTAGTTCTTGATGCACTTTGTTGGTTTGTCTGTGCGTAATTGCTCAGTTAATACCATTGTACACAAAGATTCCTCTCTAATGATCTTCCATGTATAAATAAAGTCAACAAATCTGCATTAATAGAGGAAACCTTTTTTTGAAATTATTTTACAAGAACTGCATGTTTGCTTCTCATGGGGTCAGAGAATGTCAGAGTGCACAGAGGTTAAGCTTGAGGCTTGTTATGACTGATACCTTATTATGTTTTGTGTTTCTCTAAATGTCACCGCCCTGTGACCATGTAAATAGAATTTGCTGCCAAGGGTCCCAGGTAAAATAGTCAACAGATTAATAGTGAATAAAATCCTTCTTGTTCTCAGTAAACAGAGCTGGGTCAGGGTCTTAACTCTCACGTTTTTATTTGGCATCTCTTGGTGAAAAAACAGGATTTACTACAAGGTGATTAAATTTGTTTGTCTTAAACTGCCGATGTTTTTCGGTATAATCTTTGAGTGAAATTAATCTTGTTGATGAATACTTGATCTGAGGTGCAAAACTTTTTAGACTCTGACAGATCCATTTTATTTGTAGATATCCATTGGTGGACCTTACCTGCTTGACATTACACTAAATGGTGATATGTAATATACACAATACCCTTGTTATACTTCAGTACTAAAGTTTATGTCATAATACATTACAAAGTCATAATGAAATAAAAACTGATAATAAAATGATACAGTGTGGAACGTATAATCAGTTTTAAGATATCTACTTTATGATACCTCTGTTACACTGTTATCTGAAAACAGATGTAATCTTTTCTGTATCACTTCAATCTACGTGTATTTGACCTTCTGTCACCACTGTCATTTGTTCTTCTACAGTTCATATCCACTTCTTTTGCTATTGTTTTTTTCCACACTGCTTTTTGTAATCTTTTCTGTGTTAAAATCTATCTTGACCTGTCCCTTGACCAACAAAGGCCAATTCTGATAATGATAATGTGAAAGCAGGTTGGCTGATGGCCGACATAATAGGATGATATCACATTGTTGTCTAAGCCATCTTTAATAATTAACAAAGAAATAAAAATCCAAGGTAAACATTGTTGTTAAAATTTTAAAAATCATGTTTAAATCCATTATTTCACGAACATCTAAAGAGAATATTTACAGTTATATTAGCCAGCAACATGCTCTGAATCGATTTTTAATGGATTAAGAAAACATAGTTGTAATATCATTCTGGTGAAGGCTGTTGCCTTTATGAGGCTGATAACTAAAAAATTTCATTAATTGGCCATATTAATCACCCTATTGATTAGTCAGTCTATCATTACTACAGAAACTCCTGGCAGACTCGTCAGTGTAGCTGCTGTCGAGCTGAGTCAACATCCCTGTTCATGACATAACACATTAAATGACAGCAGATCAAGTTACTGTTAAGTGTTTAATAGTTTTCTGTTATGAGTCATAGAATAACGTTGTCAAATATTGGCTCTGGCACAAATGTGATGGCATAGTCTTGTATAATAATATCTGAGGCATGTTTCTAGCTGAGGTTTTCATGTATTTTCGATTGTAATGTGCATGAAATATTGTGTGTTTTCAATATTAAATCCTCATTTTTTATAAGACATCAACTAAGTTATATCTGCCTTATATTTCAGCCATTGGTTGATCAGCTCTTTCAATATTGATATCATTATCAGCTGTGAAAAAAAAAAAAACTGATATCGGTTGACCACTTATCTCCACCAAGACTTGAGCTAAACTATCATGAACTTGTAGCTCCAACTCAGTGAGACTGTTATTTAAAACTTCTACTGCACTGTTTCCTCTGAAGTTGTTTAAATTGGCGTTGTTGCACCATCTGATGTAACCTAATTGTTGTGTGTTAATTTTGTTTGTTATCACTGTTATTACTTTTCACCATTGCTTTGTGAAAGATGCTCTACCAAATAAACTTTGCTCACGTATTTTATCAGCTATCACGAACGGAACAGTGTGTTCTTCAGGGTGTTTCTCACTTCGTCTTCTGTTTGGTGACGGGTAGGGTGTGTACACTTAGTTTTAACAGGTCTGTCTCTGTAAACAGCTGTCTACCTGCTGGAAAAGTTATTAAACTCCTCAACTGGAGAGCCAAAGATTGAGATTTTAAAGTTTTTGTGAATAACTTAATTTCGGCGGACATGGCATCGTTCACTTTGGATGAGTACCTGATCAACATAACAAGGAGAATCTTTTTCGTACAAGATGTGAGCTTTGTGCATAGGACTTTGCATGCACAAGAAGCACTAATCAGGAAATGTTATAAACTCTCCATGCAGACATCCTGTCTGTGGGGAGGAGCCTGCTGCATACAAATATTCCAATAACCTCCACATGAATTTGATGATGAATTTTTCATTCCAGGTCGGCCAGCATCATGAGTCAGCGGACCGAGCGACGGGGGATACATGTGGACCAATCAGACCTGCTGTGCAAAAAGGGATGTGGTTACTATGGAAACGCAGCATGGCAGGGCCTGTGCTCCAAGTGCTGGAGGGAGGAGTACCAGCGGGTACGGCAGAAACAGATCCAGGATGACTGGGCCTTGGCAGAAAAGTAAGACCGTCTGGTGCACAAATACACTCACCATCTGGGCTGAAAAGTCTGAACGTTTCACCAAGTGGTTTATTGCAGCTCAGTTAGTTATTTAGACAAGATGAGTCGGTGATAATGACGTTTTCTTCTGTCAAACTAACAGGTTGGTGTATGTTTTTCTGATTGTTCTGCTCTGTAACATTTCTGTGGCTCTAGGTTGCAGAGAGAGGAGGAGGCAGCATATGCCAGCAGTCATGGAGCGCAAACACAGTCTCACACTCAGTCCACAGCTCCACAAACACACCCAGGACACACCTCACTGGGACCCTTCTCCAAGTTTGAGGAGAAAAAGACGAACGAGAAGACTCGTAAAGTGACCACCGTGAAGAAGTTCTTCAGCCCTTCGTCACGAACCGCACCCAAGAAAGGTCAGACATTTACAGAAACATGTAGCTGACAGAGTGTCCTTTGTGAATGACGACTTTTCACATGATACTGGAAGAAAAAGTATGGCTGTACATAATGAGATTGGTGACAGCAGAAATCCATTTCACTGCTTCAGTTTCAGGGTCAGATTTTCTCTGAGTGTTAGAGTATCATGTCTGGGACTCCTACCAATGAAACAGCGACAAACATCGATGTTGCTTGTGAAAATGGTGCTTTCACTGTTTGTGATCAAAAAAGCTTTTCAGAGAGAGATTAGGTGACTGACATAAATTTGGACCCCTTTAGAAAAAGATAGACTGTGATCCTCATCCATCACCTTGTAATCACCTTGTAGTAATTCCTCTGTTTTTTCACCAAGAGATGCCAAATAAAAACGTGAGTGTTAAAACCCTGACCCAGCTCTGTTTACTGAGAACAAGCTAGTCCAGATCAGGGTGTTAAAGAAGGATTTTATTCACTATTAATCTGTCGACTATTTTACCTGGGACCCTTGGAAGCACATTCTATTTACATGGTCACAGGGTGGAGACGTCTAGGGAAAACACAAAACATAGTAAGGTGTCACTTATAACAAGCCTCAACAGACATGCATCCAAATTATTTACTTAAAGATACATCTACAAATACAAAGAAATGTGTTTTCCTTTTAATGGAAAATATTTTTTACCAAATCAATTGTATACTTCTTGATTAAAGCTCCTGTGAGTTTTATTGGCATTTATAAAATAGACTGAAATTCATACTGATTGTTTTTATATGATGCACTAAGTCAGACATGACCATAAGATACAAGAGTGATGATTTTGATGTTGTTATTTTTAGTGCCTGAAACTGATGCGAGGGGGTAGGTGTCAGCCAAGCAGCTGAAGAAAAGAGTTTTTACAACATCCGCGTTAAATATCCAGATACGTTTGAGCGTTAAAAGTCAGCAGGATGAGTCTTTTTATCAGAAGACACAGATGGAGCCTGTCAAGGTCAAAGAAAGCAAATACTGCTCTGTCCACAGGGGGCGCCAGAATTAACACCAACCAAGAGTTCCTCACAGGAGCTTTAACTGAATCCAAACTAAATCTAAAAACAAAGTTTGTTCAAACATATTGGAGCAAAAGCTACTTGAATACAGTTACAGATCTTCAGTTTAAATGATGTTTGATAATACTTGTGTACTGTGATGTTATTGTCAAAAATGTTGAAAAGATATTAGACTTTTATTTTTATTTGAAAAAAGTCGAGAAGATTAATCTTGAACTTTGAAGTTTTTAGTTCATCAAAAATATCCAGCCATGACTTTCCAAATAAAGAATACACCAGTTTTACAGAATGTGTTTGATTGTATTTCTAAATGGAGTTTTTCCTCAACAGAAACCCAAGAAGTAAGGACAACCAGCCCCTCTCTCAGCCGCCACGCAAGCTTCGAAACAGACCAAGTGTCCAAAGACTTTGTGGACTTCTTAAAAAACCTCCAGAAGCCGGGGCGGGAGATCCATAAGCAGTGCCGTGCTTTTATTGTGAACATGTCGGGCAAAAAGGTCTGTGAATGACAAACATTAAGGGTTAACTTTTCAGTACTTGTATGATTTGTTCAGCACTATATGATCCTCTAACCTCTTGTGTTTTTAGGACCTGGGTGCAGACGAGCTGTCTGAGTGTGTTCAAGATTTCTACCAGAGCATGGCCGACCGCTTGATGAGCCACTATAAAGGTGAGGGTGCGGCTCTTACATTTCAGGATTACATACAAAGTTATTACTCTGTTTTCACGCTGAGAAATATCAGCTGAGGAAAGTCGAGAAATATAAACTAGGATCAGTAGCGTGACTTTAATTGGTGCAAAGAAAATGAGCCCGATGTTAAGTTACACATTCAATACTGCTGCAGGGTCCTCAGAGTCTGTGGAGCAGGTGATGGACCAGGTGGAGAAGTACATAATGACTCGTCTGTATAAGAGCGTGTTCTGCCCTGAAACCACTGACGATGAGAAGAAGGACCTGGCCACGCAGAAGAGGATCAGGTGGGACTTGTGGGATTTATTTACAGTCTGTTTGAGGATGAATTTTTTGGGTTTCTTTTTGTCTAAGAGACTGTTCTTAAACCTGTTTACAAAAAGTCCTATTTTTCCCCGTTAAAAGCCTTTTGCTCACTCTGGTTATTCTCTATATTTCAGGGCTTTACACTGGGTGACCATTCAGATGCTGTGTGTATCCATGGATGAAGAAATCCCTGAAGTGTCAGAGAATGTGGTCAAAGCAATAACAGGTGAGGCTCAGACCGTCTGTGTGATACGGAGGACTTTTTTTCTGTCTCAGCGTCTGCTCAGGATTTTACATTTCATAGCCTCATGATGTCAGCTCTTTACACTCTAAATTCTCTGCATACATAGGCCATAAGTTTGTTTCTAAAGATCTCTTTTTGAAAAGCCTCCTTTCAGCCATATTGGCTGAAAGCTGTCACGCCAGTCCGTCATGAGCAGAGCAGATGGTCATGCTGAGCCAGACACCAGCCCGCTGTACAGACAAGATTCACAGAGTCTGAACAACAAACTAAGTTTGCTCTAACGCTGAGACTCATTCTTTTCAATCTTGAAAACATGGACACCTGTCTCGCAGAGATAAGAAACGTACGCCGGTTAAGCTGATTACAGTCTTAATGCTCAGCTGCAGCTGTGAAAGAGTATTTTAAAATCCTGCAAATGTCAGTGCAGTCTGTCCGACACTGGTGTGGTTCTTAGTCATCACACCACTGACAATAGACGTTTGAATGATGACAAAAAGGCTGCAGTGCGAGATCAACCTTTATTCTCTCTAGTTTAGGTGCTGTGAATGTCTATAGATGCTAACATAACCTAAGAGACCTGATTTTTATTTGATGATAAAACTGTATGAAACAAATTAAAGAGTTGCACTCGTTTTTTTCCACCATTTCAATTAACAACACTGTTTTGCTTTGGTTTCTAGAAGTAGAGGTCTGTTCTTTTGCATATTGTTCACCAACTACGACAACTCTTTACAAACTTCTCAGTGACCCATGCCGTAATCTCTCCCTCTTTTTATTGCTTTCGCCATTGTGCTGCTGAGAGCACAGCGGCGGTGGGCACTTGTCACTTTGTTTTTGGTGATGTTTATTAACTACCTTTCAGTGTTTCTGCTCTTTGAGTACGACAACACCAGCTGAGTGGAACAGATGCCGTGCAATGTTCAGGTGGGCGGGGTTTTTTGGAGAGATGCACAGTAAAAGAGAAAGAGATCGAAACCTTTTTATAGCATAATGTTAGTGTGGCTCGCAGCTGCTTTGGTAGTTATAAGGCTTTGTTTATAGAATTTATCTATAGATCAAGAACACGCAAGAGGAAGAAATGTCCGAGACCGATGTTGTGTGCATGAGTGGAGACCACAAGAGGATATTGAGTAAGACTGTATATTTGATACAGCTTCAAATTATTTCCTCAAAATCATCAGCAAATCATTTTGTCTATAAAATAGAGTATAAAAGTTTATAAAAGCAGATAAATCTACATCACAGCTTTGAAGAAACCAAAGTTAAAGCCTGTAAATTTTGCACTTGTGCAGCTTGAACAGGTTATTTTTGATGAATTTGGTTAAAATTCTTTTATGGAATAAACTCAAGCAGTGAGAAAAATAATGAATATTATAATTTTGTTATTCTGACTCCGACTGATGATTTGTTGGTCCGTCTAACCCACAGCTCTGAATATTTTCTTCTGTTGCAGATATCATTGAGATGGACTCAAAGAGGGTTCCTCGGGACAAACTTGGCTGCATCACACGCTGCAGTAAGCACATCTTCAGCGCCATCAGGATCACGAAGAACGAGCCGGCCTCGGCGGACGATTTCCTCCCTGCTCTCATTTACATCGTGCTGAAGGCGAACCCTCCGAGGCTTCAGTCCAACATCCAGTACATTACTCGTTTCTGCAACCCCAGCAGGCTGATGACCGGAGAGGACGGATACTACTTCACCAACTTGGTTTGTTTTTGTTTTAATCTTTTCTAGATTCAATCTTTTTTAGAGCTGGTTTCAACTGAAGACTCTAGCTCACAGTTTCCAATCTATGTTGTACTGAATAAACGGGGCTAGATACAGATAAACTGGGTGGACTGACCAAATCAATGCTTAACACACACTCTTTACTACTTAAAGAGAAGAGAAACTCAGAGTTCCTCTTAAGAGTCTATATCTGGTTATGAAACAGCCTGAAGTGATACTGATCAGTCCACCAACAACACCACTGATCATCTCTATGTAGGTGATTTTAATATTCATAACCACTGCTGCCTGGAAGGTGTCAGACGAAAACAGTAAAAAAAAAACAGCTTTTGTGTTCGCTCTCCTTTGCAAAAATTCACACCAAGTGATACATTTGACCATTTAAATAAGCAGACCCAGGATATTTAACATTAAAAAGGCTTTTTATTTCTGTCAAAAAAGAATTTAGAGTATTAAAAAAATATAGGAAATTATATATTTATTTATTGTCTTGGTCTATTTGATCATGTTTGTTATGCAGTGTAGTGTAGAAAAGCAGAAATGACAAAATCAACAATAATTTTGCTGACAGTAATTACAGCTCAAGTCTGAAAATAAGAGTAGAAAATGTACGGGGTAAAAGTTGGTTTAAAACAAAAAGTGAAACTCATGCAAAGTGCAGATTTCTTAAGACTCTACATCAGTATAATATTAAAATATATGCACAGAATTATGATTGTAATTTATTCTGGGCTCTATTCAAACATAATGGAACAGGATCAGGGCGTTATAATGAAGACATTTGTCTCCTGTTTGACAAACAGCAGCGAGTTAGTGGAGAGTCAAAATGAGTAGTGCACTTTACTGAACTGTAAGACATCCATTAATATTTTATTTAACAGTTGAAAATATAAGATAACACGTGTAAATGAGTGTTATTGAGCTTTGAAGCTGTTGGTGAGGGGAATTAAGCCTCTTTTCTTCTCAATGTGAACCGGAGTTGGCCTTTTTCAGTGCCAGGGTGTAATCGAGCTAATGCTTCCCTTAAAGACTCAACAAACTGATACTCTTATGATACTCACATGTATGAAATCCCCCTGAATCTCAACCCCCATTTTATCCGCTGTGTCTCTTTTTATTCAGTGCTGTGCAGCGGCCTTTATCGAGAAATTGGACGCTCAGTCTCTCAACCTTTCCCCGGAGGAATTCGAGCGCTACATGTCGGGCCAAGCCTCGCCTCGAATCAACAGCTCTGACGCCGACTGGCCCGGCGCAGGCCAGACGCCAGATGTGGTCGCCACCAACCCTGTCTTGGCTCAGCTCAACCACAACCTGGAGCTGCTGTCCAGCCTGAACAGCCGACAGGAGACGGTGATGGAGGCTGCCCAGAGCCTGCAGGCTGACCTCCTCTCATGGCCCCAGGCTGTGAAGCGGGAGGTGCAGGAAATCCTGGAGAAATACCCTCTGCAGATTCTTCCTCGCACCGTTTCTGCCATTGATGCCAACAACATGGACAATGAGAACCTGCCACCGCCACTCACTCCACAGGTGTTTGCCGGGTAGTGAAGGTCCATCAGCATTTCAGTTACAGCAAGGAGTCAGCTTATAGTATTCTGGGGTTTGAATTTCTTAGTAACTGTCTTAATGCACTTACCTGAATAGTTTTGAGCCTTACCTCGCTGAGCTTGTTTTGCACCTTAAAACGCACACCAGTATTTATTGGGGGGAAATCTTTTCATTTCAACAGAACCACGGTGTTAAGGAGCTTTGTTAGCAGGGGTGTAATGAACTGCACGTTTCTGACCCCGGTAAGTTTTGGCCCAGTGACCAGCAGACTTAGCAAACTATTCTTGTAAGGACCTTAAAGAAATGAAAAATGTCCATAAAACAGAAACTAAATGATATTTACTGCAGACTGTTAGATCTATTTTTACTTGACATATCATTTCATAGTGTGGCTTTTTATTTTTTAATACTTCGTGTGATTTACCTTCCTTGACGTGTCAATGTGAGACATTTGGCTAAAAGCCTTTCTTTCATGTCCATACAGTCCATACGGATAAGTCTATCCTTCATTTTAGCGAGCACTAAAGGAAATCTGCCCTTCACCTCCTCTTCAAATACTGAGAACAGAGCAGCTGAACTGATATTTGTTTTGATGTGTTTTTATTCAGACATATTTAACCCTTAGTTTCAACAGGAGCCTCCAGGCTGTTGTAGCTAACTTGTTTTGTAGCACATTTCATTCGATTCCCTCAGAGACTCCTTCAAAGGGCAGATTTAGATAGATTGACTTCAGCCACATTGGCAACAAGGCTAACTCGTTTTCTAGCTGACAGCCTTTGGATGACAGTAAACAAACGAGCCAGCTGGCTTACTGACACTTGAGCTGAGGCGTTTCATTTTACTTCTTCACAGAGTCTTAATGAAATCATGTAAAGCTGTACAGACCTTAAAAACATTACAGCAATAAGAGCTCTCACAGAGACGCTCGCAGTTTTGATTTTGCTGAAGTCTCATGCTTTGGATCATACAAACATGCTTAATGCTACATGCTTACATTTAATAATGTATTGGCCAGCTAATACTTCACATTTGTGCGAGGTTGGATATAACTGTGTTGTTTCACCTTTTTGGTCATTGTTTTATGCAAATATAGGTTACAAATGTTACGGCCTATTTTCCTTTGATACTTGAAAACATCAAACATTTCCTTTATTTTGTTGCTTGACTGCATTTTTGTTGTCACAACTTTGACTTAACCCTCACATACTGTTCAAATCCTGTACCCTCACACTATGTTCCAGGTCAAAATTGCCCCTTCAAAGAGTTCAAAGAGCAGCTTTCTGTCACAGAAAGTTCTCTTGACTAGTTAGGTCATTTTGACCTCTGTCTAGGTGTGTCTGTGTGACTGTATGTCTGTGTGCATGCGTGTGTGTGTGTGTGTGTGTGTGTGTGTGTGTGTGTGTTTCTGTCAAGGTAATGATAGTTTCATAATGATTTGAATTTATCTTTTTGAACAACAAACCTTATATTGAACACTGTTGTTACTGTTTGTCACTTGTCCCACACTGCTAGATCTAAAATCCATCTAAATATAGATATGGGTCAAATTTGACCCGTAACAGCCTTAGAGGGGAAAAATTTGTAGCACATAAACAAAAATACACATGAATATTTTTAAATTAATTTCATGTATTTTGGGATATTTCAGGAAAAGTCATCAAGTTTCAGGCTTAAAGAATGACGTTTAGGGTATTTTTACTGCTGTTAAAAGTCAAAACGGGTCAAATTTGACCCAAACAGTATGTGAGGGTTAAAGAAACCATATTCTCTGATAATGCACAGAAAAATACAAGAATTATGAACTTATATACTGTATATTTATTATGTCCTTGGTAGGCTGTTAGAGTTCGAACAACATAAACCCATTTCTCGCTGTTTTTAATCTTTGTTTTGAGCTTTTTGTGCATTTTATGTGCCCGATTTAAGGTGAAACACTGGACCACAGCTGAGAATAACATATTTCTTGTTATGACGTTGAAATAACTTAAAAAGATAATTTAATTTGGCACTATTGTTTTTATTATTAATATTATTTTATGAATCAGTGGAACTATATATATATATATATTAGCAGGCTCTCTACAGATAAATCTGAATGTAAAACCCAAGTTACATGACATAAATATTTATTGAGTCATTTTCTGATCTAATAGGCGTAATAAAAAAACATGCTGGTATCGTCTGATTGGCTGTTGAAACACTGACTTTTGTAGGTGTGTTTATTTGTGCGTGTGTGTTGATTCACTGAATGGCTCACAGAGGGGCAGGAGTGTTTGCTGCGTATGATGACCGTATTCCCACCTTGAGATCATGGCTCTGTTTAGTGTACGTGGTTAACAAATGTACAGTGACCTGATGTTAGTCAAGTATGACCGCACAGAAGTGTATCGAAACTTGCTTCACCTCGAGCAGCTCCATTGTCAGTTTGTGTGAACACATTAAAGCTACATTATTTTTAACCCAATAATGTCGTCAGTCTCAGTTTGTGTCTGTTTTGGATGGAGATTTTCTGAACAATGAATGAATGAATGAATGAATGAATGAATGAATGAATGAATGAATGAACTACATTTGGAGACATAAACTGCTCCAGCAATCCCAGTTTATCAAATTATTATAACCCGAATAGTTGATAAATGAAGCATTTTCTATCGGAGTGAAGACACAAGTGTGTTCAAAGATTATAAAATTATTTTCTTTGTTTCAACATTGTTGTGCAAATTCATACCTGCGAAGAAGAGGCATCTAAAGGGTTATATGTCGGCCCTCATCGTTGCTCTCTCCCTTTTCAAAATATGCCCAAAATAAGAATAGATCTGGGACAAAGAAACACTGTGAGACAAGCTAGGAATGAATGCTCAAATTTTGCGATTGACCCCTCAACACCACATGCAGTTTCAGGCCATTATCAAATAAAACAAAACTTTGGGCTTACATGAGTGTTGGTCGGTTTCTTAACAAGTCCTCTAAATATTTCTTCGGCTGCCTACTGATCAGTGCTGTAGCTCACTGGTGTCATTAAATCATCACATTTAATGTTCAATTTAAAGAATTTAGGGTTGAGAAATTTGAGGAAAGATTGCAAAGACGTCTAATTTGGTTTTCAGACTCATGTACTCTGCTTTTGCTCCCACCAAATGCAAAGAGTCAACAAACGAATACCAGATAGTAAAATGAAGATTTAATACATAGGGGTTGTCGTAATGCAATCAGGTTCTGAATCCAGGACTTTGACTTGTAAACTCCATGATCCCATACTGTATTCGTTATTGTAAAGTTGAGAATTTCAGTACTTCTTTTACCGTTGAGGAGCTTCTGCCACCCAAAATTATTATTCTAAAAAATCCCATGGTCAGAAAGAAAGCAAGAAAATGATAGGCAATCATCAGTTTATTTATTTTTGATACTGTCAGGTGACATGTGAGGGATTTACTGGAACAGCGACTTTCTTTCTCCACCAGAGGCCTCCAGTGTGCAAAAGTGACGAGATGCAGTTTTAAAGGGCCGTTTGTCTGAAGTCACTCGGCTGTAAACAGCAGGTCATGGCTTCTCAAGGAACGGTATTGTAGACGTGTAGCTCTACCTTAAACAAACATTTGTCATTCGGGGAAGTATCTGTCATTGGTTTAAACTAGAGTTTGCATCCATTGAGATGTATGTGTTCCTTATTACATTATCTTCATACAGTATGTACAGAATACAAGATAAATTAACTGCAGATAATGTTTATACATGCTAATATAGTTCTCAAATATCAAATAATGAAGGCTTCATACATACAGTAAGGCATAGAATATATATACAGAACTAACCTAAAGGTATAAGTATCAAACATCTGTGAAATATTCACACCGCAACAAAACAAAGAATTCAAAACATTTTATAGTATATACAAAAATACTTATGCAAATGCCCCTAAGAATATCTTAATAGAAAAAATAATAGGAATCTCATCAGGAGGACATCACATTATATATGAAACATGCACTTTCCGCAGAGGGTTTTCAGTTCAGCGGTGGGTCACATGTCTAGATGTTTTGGGGTAACTGCGAATCACTGAGAAAGAATCGGTTCTTGGTGCAGGGGTACTTGGTCTACTGTGCTCATTGGTCCTCGTTTGGTACCTTAGACTCTCACCTGTGCTCTGAAACGTTGTGTGGTGAGTCCTTCAGTACTCAGTAATAATCTCATATGGATCTCTGTCACACTCGCTACACTTTAGACTCGCTCTCTATGTTAGCAATGTCCCCGTTCCTCTCAGTCTGCTGGTTCTTCCCCTCTTTTTCTTTGCTGGTCTTGGTTTCTGGACCCTCCTGCTCAGACTCTGGCAGTCCCTGCTGGCTCAGCTTACTGGCCAGAGACCAGGTGAGAGGCAGGCGGGCGCGGTTGGTCATATCAAACAACTCTTTGGCACTGCAGGGGGGTGTGTTGGTTTCATAGATATCGTGGAAGCTGTTGTAGTCGACCTCATAGAAGCCGTCCTCTAACGTCAGGACTGGCGTGAAGCGGTAGCCCCACTTGATCTCACTGCTGACGTAAGAGCTCCTCGCCTGGCATGTCATGCCTGTAAATACAACACAGAAATCAAGATCAACATTTGTGATCATTGAGACCATCTTTCTGATCATTACTTTAAAGGGATATTCTGGTGTAAAATTAATTTAGGGTCAAACACGCCATAACACCGAGTTAGACACCCCCTCGAGAGATGAATGCTCCAGACTGCTTACTTCTCTCTTGCTTCCAACTTTAGTAATGACCGCGCGATAGCAATACAGAGAGACATGCACTCAACCAAACGCCACTCTATAGCCACAAATAATGCTCAGAACAGCACCTAACTTCATCAACAGTACATATAGGGTCCCAGCCGTAGTACTAGCCACCAAACATCTTTTTAGCCTTGCCTGATTTCTTTAGCACAGAGACTCACCCACTCTCTTCCAGCAGCTGCTTGTTTGTACGGAGACCATACGGAGACGGAGTGACGCAGCTCAAGGAGGAACATGTATGATAATTTCTTCATGGAAATACAATCAGACCGAGACGCTAAGACAGAGCAAAATGATTAACATGATGAATATTACTTCAAGGAAATGATAAAGTAATGATCATAAATGTTCTTCCTTGAGCTGTGTCACCCCGTTGCAGTAGATGGACTCACCCAGAGGTCCCCTTAAAAACAAGTGGCTGCTGGAAGAGAGTGGGTGAGTCTCTTTGCTAAAGAAATTAGGCAAAGCTAAAAAGATTGGTGGCTAGTACTATGTCTGGGACCCTATCTGTCCTGTTGATGAAGTTAGGTGCTGTTCTGAGCATTATTTGATGGTACAGAGTGGCTTTCTGGTTGAGCGTGTGGCTCTGTGTATTGCTATCGTGTGGTCGTTTCTAAAAATGGTATAACTAGAGAAGCAAGCAGTTGGCAACATACATCTCTTGACGGGGTGTCTGACTCGGTGTTGACTTAATTTTATGCCGGAATATCCCTTTAAGTCTGCATATTAACAGTATAAAGACTTCTTATCACATATTAAAGCAGAATATTTCCCTATTTTCAGTCGTGGAGATTCCCTCTGATTGTATCTGGAAATCATGTTTTATGGCGACAAATGAAAGTTGTAAAGTATTTTTTCATGAATTTGTAGAAGTTTACAAGCAGATATTTGGATATTAAGAAAAACTGTTCTCACTACAAATTCAGGCACCTGCAGTCTTCATCAATATTTAGTACCAATACAGTTTTCCAGTAACTGAATATTGCCAACCTTGTACTACTTTTAAAAAGCCCTTTCCATACATGCAACCCTGAAAATTTTCAGTAACAGCTTGCTCTTAAGTTTTACAAAGTTGCCCATTTGCACAAGCCCACATTGGAGTGGGAAACAGAAGAGTATGAGGCGGTTTCATCACACGCACATGGCAGAAAAGGTAATCACAGCAACCCACTAGCTAGCAATGTCACACTGGCTCATCCTGACTTCTGGCAGAAACTGCACTGGGGGCTCGAGGAAAGAAAGATCGCTTAAAATCGAAATTTAAAAAATCAGCTGCTTGTGTTCGTATACAACCAAAATAGTCTGGTACATGTGTGGAAACAGCTTATGATTGCTGTATTTGATTGGCCTGTTTTAGTGCTCAGAGACTCCTCAACCTAGAAGCTAGCTGAGCCGTGGACAACAAGCTCAGCTAACGTTAAAGACAGTTTACCATCCCCAAGTCATCTGATGGCTGAGGTTTGTCAGAGTAGCCCAAATATTTCCAGAAATTTCAATCAAGAATCTGCCATGAGTGCGCTCAAAATATTTGACTCATGGCTTGGATTTTAGAGACGGCTACGAAACCAAATCCTCGAAATGCTACATTTGTTGTGCGTGCAACCGCCATTTTTGCGTTTTCTGCTCTAAAATGGTAGTTTCTGTATTGTCAGCCATAAAATACTGAAGGTTTTTATATTGCATTTAGAAAAGGAGAAAGAAGTTCTTGTGGGAGGACAAGAAAAAAATCAGGAAATTGGATTGTTGCATGACTGACATAATTGCTCGTCTCTGATGGCTCATTTAAAGCGACTTCAGAGGCAGTATGTCCCCAGGAAAAGTGTCACCGGTTCCTGAAATAGTAGCATGTTCTTGCCATGCATGTATGTGGCGCAACTGTGTGTTTAAAACTGAATGATTAATGACCCTCAGAAGGAGCGCAATTTTGATACAGATGGCTGCAAGCAGGCGCTATGACTTACTGATCCCTGTTCTGTTTTCAAACTACACTCCTGCACAATAAATGACTTTCCTTTGTGTTGGGACCATCTGTGCTTTTAATCTATCCTCCTCACCTCACTCTGTGTCTTTATTTCAGCCCTGTTCTCTGTCTTTCCAGCTACACCAATCATTTATAGTGGACTCTGAACAATGGTTTCTGTGTCATTATTAATTTATACGCACATATGTTTTCCACCCGTTGGTCTGAATACACGCCATGCAGAACTCTACGAATAGCTGAGAGCGCTTATGGAAACACAGCTCCCTGTATCTCAGGAGGCAGAGGGTTTTAATAGTTTCTAAACACATATTCTAGGTGTTCTGTTATTTATAGAGTCCTCTTTGGCTCAAAAGTCTGCAGGAGAGTCCTCCGTTAGCTTCTAGTAGCTGCTTCAAACATCCAAAGCCTTATATAACTGGTTTATTTTGTCATGGCTGATAGTGAGAAAAGGAACCAGTTAAAGCAGTAGACAACAGGCGTCTCAACACCCTCTGATCTAACATATTAACATGTATTTTTATACAGGAGTTGCTGGCTGGCACAGAAATAGTAGATCTTCACAGTGCTGCAACTTCTGGGGTATTGTGTAACTCGGCAGGAATAGTCAGGGGACACTGCAGTAAGTAGTATCTGTCCTGTGTGGACAATTTGAGTCTGCTTTCTTCTAAAATAGTGCACATGAATAAGCGACCATGTGGGATTACGAGAAGTGTGCATCATTTAATCCAATCAAATACATATTTTGTTGCACAACATTAACATTATTGCAAACACAACATCTAATTGTTACTCACCAGTGGCCTCCACCATCCCCTCCAGAATCACAACAATCTCAAGCTCCTCCTTGGCCAGGTTTGCTTGTGAGATCTCCCAGAAAGGGCTGTTTTGATTTATCTCATGGCAGATGATGAGCGGTGACACGAGGAAAAGCCTATCATCCCCCGTGTTATAACCCACATTTATGTCCGTCTGGTTCAGGGGGATGAACTCCCCTTCTTTCGTCTGCTTAGATTTGATAAGCTTGGCCCTGATTGAAGCTTCAACGATGTGTGAGTTTCGGAGGTCTCCGACTCTGAACATCAGGCACAGTCGTCCATCTCTCATGGAGATGACCGCATTGGTGGAAAACACTAAAGTCTCAGCTCGCTTCTTGGGCTGTGAGATCTTTACAAACATGCAACCCACCATGAAGGCATTCACTATAGATCCCAGCACTGACTGGACTAAAAGCAGAACTATCCCCTCTGGGCATTTGTCCGTGATGACTCTGTATCCATAACCAATGGTGGTCTCTGTCTCAATGGAGAACAGAAAGGCAGACACAAACCCGTTAAGGTTATTGACACATGGAGTCCACTGGTTGTCCGCTAGATGGTCCAGATCACCTCGTAGGTAAGCAATAAGCCACCACATGAAGCCAAAGAAGAGCCACGTCACCGTGTACACCAACACGAAGATGAAGAGGTTGAACCTCCATTTGAGATCTACCAGCGTGGTGAAAATGTCTGTCAGGTAGCGGTACGTCTCTCGAACGTTCCCGTGATGGACGTTACACTTCCCGTCTTTCTGGACGTACCGTTGGATCTTCTTTGTCCGGTCAATTTCTGCCAGCTGTTTCGGCAGATCCTCACGGGCCTGCTTTGGCAGCTTGGGCTGTCTGATGATGGCCGGGCTCTCCACATCCTGCTCCATGAGGTTTCTCGGTGGATTCAGGCCTGGGGCAGAAGAAATGAAGTCGTGAATGATGTGAATAATGTAAAAAAAAAAAAAAACAACAGCGCCACTTTGTATCTAATTTGTTAAAAATTAACTATTTTAATCTTTCTTTTTAATTTCTTATGTATTTCCTTGCATCTGTAGAGCACTTTGATTTGCCTTGTGTATGAATAGTGCTTTCCAACTTGCCTAATTTATAAAAAAGGACAGATGAATCAGTGATGAACCAAAACTAAGTACTTTGCACAAGTACTGTATTTGATGACAGTTTTAAGATTTTACCTTTTTCTTTTATTTTCATCCAGTATTAATTTTAACAGTGACTCACACTTTGTCAGGGAAATGACTGCACCTTTTTAAAGATTTATTGGATTTGTTTGGATTAAAAATGATTGAAAAAAGTGGTTAAATCCAATTCAACAGACAGGTCAGATGAAGCTGCACGTTAATCTGTGATACATTCAGTTGACAGCCGGGGTTAATGGTTACTCAGAAGACCACGATTTCACAAACCAAAGATGTGAATATTTGATCAAAACCCAAACATTAATGCTTAAAACTCCCCCAGATACACAAAAATGTATTTAACATAACCAGCTAAATTACATACAGAAGAAAGGAAGTGAATACTAACCAAGCTTACGATTTAAAGCCTCAAAGTCAAACTTTAAGTGTGTTCTTCTTCTTAGGCAAAGTGACTCATTACAGAATCATAGACAGAATTGGGTTTGTTGCCAAGTAGTTTGCACTCTTACAAGGAGTCTGTAATGATGGTTCAGAGCAAAAAGGATGAGCACAAATCGACATTAGAGATAAAAATGGAAAGAATATATACATGAGGAACAAAGCTCTACCACTTTCAATGACTCTGATATAAAAATGTATAAATATTTCATCAATAAATGTACAAAACTTGATGTTAAAAGAGTTAAAAGATGATGTTAGTGCAAAATGAATATTGCAATTTAACAACTGTTGTGCCACGATATGCTACACTTACTATAAAGGTGCACAAACTTGAGGGTTTTATTTTTTTAAATCCCATTACAAGATATTACGAGCCAAAATGTTAGACTATATTGATTGCACGGAGTAAAAATGGCAACCAATGCCAAAGATGAGACACTTAGTTCAGGCTTTTGAGGTACCAGTGTTTATCCTTCTACACGCCAAGGATTAAAAGTACACGGTCTGTTTTAGAAAAACTATCACAGCTATAACAAATAACTGTTTTTTTTTACCAGGGATAATTTTGCTGAGGATGGCAAGACAAAGAGCATCTCATGTAGAAGTGATCTAAAATTGTTTTTCAGATTTTTGACAATTTAGAAATGAGACCAGGTTTTATCATTTAGTGATACAACCTTGTGGAAAAAGCCATGCTGCTGGCAATGTGGACAAAATCTAATAAGTAAGCTGTTGGGTGCTGGAGTCTTTTTGTAGTTTTAACAGACAGTGTGGAATAAGAAATGTCAGATAAAGTAATATTCATTTACAACATTTTAGATCATTTTTATCCCTGCCAACAATGAGACACCTGGATTTTTGAAAATATTTGCCTCCCTAAATGGTTAGTAAGCAATAAAATCAACCATTTCAGATGAAAACGTAGAGATGTCTTCCATCAGAAACCCATTTTTTTTGACTGATTGCAACATCATTTTGGGAAAGCCAGTTTTTATCACACACACACTTCAACATGTAACAAGTGTTTGATGATTTACACACTCTGGAGAGTATCTTAGAAACCTAAGTTGTCTTTGTTGGGAAAGAAGCCCTCTTTCTGTCACGATGGGGGCTGAAAAGGAGAAGATGGATTTATTAATGTAACCGACTCGATGTGGCCATACTCTCAAATTGAATGGCAGCAACACAAACAAGACATGCATGCCGATAATATCTTTAACAATAGACATCCTACTCCTTCATTGTTTCCAGTCCCACCTCCACCAGTATGCAGACTCACCAGTAGTACTAAACAGTCTCATCACGAAACACTGCAGCTACGGCAATGCTGAGAAAACGTGTATCCACCCACGCCACCAAAAGGCAAGCTACACTTGGTCACAGTAACTCACACAGTAAAGAGATTCAAGTTAGGCTGTGATGCATAGTGGGTGTTTGGGAGCTCCTCAGCACCCACTGGGATACTGTGGTGCAAGTTGACCATATCTGACGAGTGAGATAATTAGCTGCCGAAGATAAATAGAGGATGAGAAATTGTGTCAAAGCGGAGTATTTACTGTGACCCAACTGTGCCTGTTTCTATATTTAACTGTCTTGGTCTGCTGAGAGTCCTTGAACAGTTTAGATACTGGGTTCTTCTACGGACACACAAAGTACAGACTGTAATTTTATACAACCTTATGACCTGTATCAATGAGACGCAACTTGCTTTAGCCATACTTGATAAATAGGGTTAGGGTTGGTGCAAAATAACGGTGACTGAGGCTGCAATTTAATGGTCTTATGAAAATACATCATTTGTCTTTGCTGAACATTTTTCTTGATCTGCACTGAAACCATCTCGAGGACTTACCAGATTCAAAGACCACATGTCGAGGACTTATAAAAAAACAATGATGCAAAGAAAAACTGGCTGCAGTCGAGCTCAGCAAATTGACTAAATTTATGTACTTTTACGTATGTACCAAATGCCCCTAGTGCTTGTAAGAGGGTACATTTTCAACGGGTTTACCTTCAGCAGTTAAAATATTCAATCATCTGGTTGTTGCAAGTGAGCTTATGAGAAGTCCATAAACTCTGATTTTAGGGCATCCAAAAACTAGATTTAGACTCATCAGAGCTGGTTTTAAAGAGTTAAATGCTGTGTGAAGCTCCTGCACTGCTTCTGTAACATAGAGGAGAGTGGGTGTTAATGATGGTATCATCAGCATAGAGGTGTATTTTTGCTTTAATGTCCTCATCCAGTCATTTGTACAAAAAAAATAGAGAACAGAATGGGTCCCAAAACAGAACCATGTGGGACACCTTTAGTGATCTTAACAAGTGCTTTTGCTGCTAAGTTTGCCAATAGGTTGTTTGTTTCGAGAAGCTCTTTCTCAGGAGTGCAGATGACTGTGTGATGTGTTGTGACATATTTTGTTAAGAGGTTCTTGAAAACACAAAATGTTTAGTGAAATGTTCACTCTGGGTTTCGTGTCAAAATGACAAAAGAGTCCTACAAAGAAGGCCTAAGCTAGCCCCTATAACACACCATCACTGCATCACTGCATGTGTTGGATGATTTTTCATCAATCATTTTAGGGAGGCCAGAAAAGTACATCATGGAAAACATAAACCATATTCAGTAACATTTATCTGCTCTCTATTGTGCTAATAGCTTGCTAGCTTTGATGCCTGTTAAAGATTTTGATTGAGCCCGTATGAACATGGATGTACCCTCAGTGACATCAACCAGTGGTTTGTAAGGCAGGGTTTAAAAGCCTATAAAGCTGCAGATGCCATATTTGATATGTTGACTTAATCTAACTTTAGGTTGACCAAATAACAGGTGAGAAGCTGGAGTTGGGAGGGTCTTTAGCATTCTTGCTAACAGCTACAATGAGCCTGTCTGTCAGCCAAGTGCAAAACTCTTTACCTTGATATATATAAAAAGCAACTTCCTGTAAAGTGTGTATCAAGAAATGAGCTATTGGGACCTAAATCGTCTTTTGTACCAGACTGTATAGATGTGTATTTCAACTGAAAGATGAGCTTTTTTGAATTAGCGTGTTTGCGGCTTCCAGTGCTTTTGGAGCCAGTCTCAAGTGGACACTCAAGGATCTGCAGTGTTTATCACCTCTGCATCGGCTTCATTTCCTGCCTAATTTAATTACTGGAGATTGCTGCTTTCTCTGTTCATGAGTCATATATGTACCTGAACAAGCTGGCAAACCACCTGATCTTTTCATTTGTTCTATTTGAAGTAATTAAACACATATAATCCAGTCTGCATAAGCCACACGTAACACAGTTTTCGTCCACAGGTTTAGGTGACTGCTGACATTTTCTGTCACATAGTTAATGTAAAAAATATTTGGTTTCACATATTAGATAAACACCAGTCTTTTGGGTTTCACTCCTGCAGTTATTCTAGGGCAGTCACAATGCAGTACGCCAGGACAGGGAGGAAATCTGTTGGAGATTATGTTGCATCATTCATAACTACATGGTGAGTTGCTCTAATAGCTGCTGTAATATACTACTAGATAGTATTTCCTCTACTCTCAATTATAAATGATGGACCAGCGGTTCCCATAATGAGGTAGAGAGAAATATAAGAAAGACAGCACAGAGGCATCTTTCCATAGCATTTAGAGAATTTTACCAGCTGCCTGCTAGTTACTCATGGGTCATTTCACTCAGCTGGAAACATCCCTTTAGGTAATAACCCTTAAAACTAAAAGACCACCACATGCTTGTTTCTGCTGGACAACACAGAAATACAGCTAAAGTGTTCACTTTCTTTTTCTGGATCACAATACAGGACTATCAGACACAACACTGGGAATTAGAAGGTAGCTGTCTTTAGTGCCCCATACCAAGTAACAGCAGTATACTTAGTTATAAAACATCGACATGGTGACAGTGTTAAAAAGTCAAACCATGGTTGTCGCCAGATCGGAAAAGGTGCCTTGAGAGGTCTTTTGATCAACCTAGGCTACGTTCACACTGCAGGTTATGATGCACAATTCAGATTTTTGGTTAAATCCGATCTTTTTGTGTGGTCACTTCACATTACAAGAACGAATGCAGCATCTAATGTGAACAGAACAACTGGCTGTTCTCTGTTCCCTTGTCCGCCATTGCTTTCCGTGCCTGTTTGTGTTGTTGAACAATGTTGACGTTTGTCGCATTTTGATGACATATAGGTTGGATGAATGCGACCTGAGCGTCCACACTGCAGTCACATCAGATACATATCCGATTTCACATACAAAAGAGGCCTGGGTCGGATTTTAAAAAATCAGAATTGCACTGTTCACACTTACATGAAAAAATCTGATATGTGTCACATATGGTTAAAAAATCGGAATTGACCTGCAGTGTGAACAGAGCCTTAAATACTGGTGAAGAGTAGGTACAGAGGCAGGCCTTAAGCCTCTTGCCATACAGTTTTAAAGTGCCCACCTGTCAGTCAACTCGGCCATGTCCCCATTAAAGCAAATGCATGACTCTGAGCCTTTATAACACAACCCAAATACTTTAAATGATGGGGAACTATGAAAAATGTTGAATTTGATGGTTTGCAAATCATTTCTTTAATCAAGAATAGTACAAGGACAGTAAATCAAATATACGATATGTTGTCTACAGTATTTTTAGTGAAACATAGATTTTACATGATTTGGAAACCATCAAATCTTGTTTTTATCAACCTCTACATAGTGTGAAAGCAATGAGTGAGAAGATGTGCACTAGATCAAGGAACCCAATGGAGATTCCTTGGTGTTACGGCAGCCGCTGACCCTTCCTGTATGTGTTACTAATCTGAGAGAGTGTGGGTGTGTGGGGTGCGTGAGTGGTACATCCCCAAGGTCAAGCAGCCTCCGCAGGCCAACCAGCTGATTGGTAAATGAGAGGACTTGCTGGACCAATCGGGGAGCTCCATATATGATGTCCAGCATCTGCTCAGGGGCCATCCAGACCCTGTCTTATGCTTTTAGAAACTATTGTTAGTACATTGAATTATAAAAATTTGTTAACTGAGAGGCAAAGGTTTTTATTGGACTGGGGCAAGTTTAGCGGACTAGGTTAGCGGTGCCGTTCATTTGTTGTTTAGTTTGGCAAGATAAGGTTGGTATTAGGTTTTGGTTGAATCTTTTTCAATGATTTCAATGATTTTTCACTTTTCAGAGTCATGTTTTTGTTATTCTTATTAGATTAGTTTTACTTCCCTTTTCCTCTAACGAGGGATGTAGTGCAAACAACCCCATGTGGACACTTAGAGAACTGCAGTGTCTTTGCTCTTCTGTGTTGTCTTTCTTTACCATCACAGGATGTTAAAGGGATATTCTGGCGTAAAATTTCTTTCTTTATCACTTCCTTGAAGTAATAATCACCATATTAATCATTTTGCACTGCAAACATGGTAGTTCTTCTGCCTTAGTGTCTCGGTCTGATTGCATTTCCATGAAGAAATGATCATAAATGTTCTTCCTTGAGCTGCGTCCCCCCGCTGTAGTCCGTAATGGACTGGCCTGAAGTCTCGCTACAAACAAGCAGCTGCTGGAAGAGAGTAGGTGAGTTGTGTTTAGTCTCTTTGCTAAAGAAATTAGGCAACATTCATCTCTCGAGGGAGTGTCTAACTCGGTGTTATGGTGTGTTTGACCCTAAATTAATTTTACACCGGAATATCCCTTTAAGGACCCTGTTTTATCCACAGGGGGCGCCAAAGCCTATGCAAGCTGAACCTTACATAAACCACCTCAAAATAACCAAATACTCAAGAAGAAAATGAATATTAATTTGCTCATTCTTCTTACATAAAACAGCTTCTTAATAACAGATGAAGATAACAGATGAATACATTTATTACTTTGAGTTTTCCCCAGAAGGTTTCCATGAAGAACTCTGCTCAAACAAATCACACACCGAGTCGGGGGGACCTGAAGTTTGTGGTGCAGTCACGATCAGTTATTAAAGGAGTCTGTACTGCAATGATCTGCTCTCTATTTCGTGCTTCCTCAATGACCTCTTGAGAGAAAGAGAATAAATCTTGCTCCTGTAAAACAGTCATATTGTCATGTGATCTCTTCTGATGTCTCTCTCTCTCTCTTTCTCTTTCTGTCTCACACTCTCACTCAGAGATGTTTTTTTTCTGATGTGCCGTGCGCTGTCAGATTTTCCTTTACTATGCACATTTCCTAAGCCACCATCAGTGTTTTTTTTTTTTTTACCACTGGAACAAATGGCTGTGTGTTGAAGCCGTTCTGCTCTCTGTTCACCGAGGGAATATTATGAGCTAGAGCAGCACTGGTTTCCATGACAACGCACAGCTCAGTCTACCAAGTACTCACAATATAGCAGGAATGTGCTGGACGAGGCCGCACAGCGTTGGATAACATTTGTCTGTTTCATCTTGTTTCAGAGAGCCTGAGGAGGAACAATGTACCCGTGTCTGCTTTGTGCATAAAGCTGTCATTCATGTCACAGCTGGGTTTTGCTGCTTTTTTTTTTTTTTTTTTTTTGCTCTGAATGATGAATATTCATGAATAGAGTCTCATAATTATACACAGGCTTGTTTGGAGCAGCTTTAATATGATGATACTGCCAATGAGGACAAAATAAAAGCCAGGTTTAAACAAAAATAGTTTAAATTTCTGTTAACGTTTCAGCTCCAAAATTTGTATAATCTAATTAGCCTTCTGTTGTTTATATATTTACATCAACTAATGACTATGAGCATTGGAAAGGAGTCCCCAGACTTGGCAGGTCTTTCTTGGTTTTAGCGAGCCTTTTAGCATCTTTTAGCACGTTGTTTTGGATCCAGGGCACACAGCACTCTCATCGCTTCATCTCATCGGCCTCAGTGGCAGAAAATAGGCTCAACATCTCTTTATGCTTGCAGCATATTTGGCGGCAAACACGATGGAGCGATTAGTGGCTAAAAGCTAATTGTTGCTGTCTCTGTGGGGACCACAAGCACAGCCAAAGGAAGAGTGAGTTTGACCCTTGCACTTGGTTTTTCAGGAAAATCACAGCTGTAGTGATAAAATGCAATTATTTGTGTGTTTTAAATAATTGCAATGATTGTAATCTGCTTTTAACTTGTGTTTGTTTTAATGTGCTTCTATCCAATGCTAGTGCTAGTCGCAGAATACACTTGGAGAAATTTTCTAGTGAGCTTAATGGCAAAAAAACGTTATTGTTTTTGTGCAAAGTTATGAAATGAAGACAAAACATGTTGGATACTTGACTTGATATACTCTGGGCGAGACCTAATTAAAATCAGGATTTGATGATGACACGATTCAGACAGTACGGTGCAGATAAATAGAGATAAAAGCATGCAATACAGTCAGCCTAATAGAGCTGTTAGAAAACATCTGCAGCATTTACAAAATAATTCAAATAGCTAATAAGATACAAACCTTTGACTTAAAACAAAAAGACAGAAAGGTTCGTACTGCCATTCGTATGCCGGTTAGAATACTAATGTTAACACTTCTTCAATTGCTTCTAATATAGAAAACCTGAGTCCATTATAAACTAACACGTTTGACTTGAATGAATAATAGGAGATTATTTCATTCATGATGGTTCGTTTCACTGACAGTTATATAAGTATGTTGAAAACTGAGCGAGCCCCCAAAAAAGGATGTCAAGACATGTTGTGTCAGAAGAGCCTTGTCAATGAAAGCCTATCAAGATGTGTGAACGGATCACCGACACCTCCCCATAATTTCATTTCCACCTTTCTTGCTGTTATCTCCGCGTGGGAAAGATTGTTAAAAACAGGTAGCAGGATCCAGATGTGGCCAAAATTGAGCTGAGGCCGCACTGGGACATGAGCTATTTTTAGGCTCTGGAGCAGCTGAGCACAGGCGGTCTGAAAGTCACGGACAAATAATTTTCAAAGGACCACAGTATTTCCTCTAGTTCTTTTAGACCAGTGGTCAGTTCATAAAGAGAGGCCTAATTTAACAGCTGGCACCTGTAAGATATTAAATCACCAGTTGCTGTCTCCTGAAACCATATAGTACCATCTTAAATATCCCAGTTATCTGAAGTTATTTGGACTGAACATGCATTTACAGAATATTGTGTGATTTACATAAGCACACCCGTCAGCACGAGAGGTGTCTGACTAGTAAACCGAGAATCAAAATCAAGCGTTCAACAAAAACCATAACATACAGGTGCTCTCCAACAGGGAAGAGAGAGTATTCCATGCTGATATTTCCCTCTGGAGGTTTTTCATGAGAAACATCTGTTCCGACAGAATTAATTTGTCTTCGTAGCAAACAGGATCAATTTCAAAATAAAGCATTTGTTGATCACACAGTTTGGTAATAGACAGACTTCTTACTGCGTATTAAAGGGAAAAGTTGTCATGCATTCACACTCGAGTCACAGGTCTGTCACATCATAATCTGTAGTTCTTAATGGAGGGCAGCAGTTATCACAATGAAATAAGTGACCAAGTCTGCATGGAGTTGTATAAGGCTTAAGAGCAAAGGTTTAATGACTGCATTTATGTATCAAAATTGATATTATTGGCTTTTAACGAGGATAAGTGGTGGAGCTTTTAAACGATATTGGCAACAGATCTACCTTAAAGCTCCTGTAAGGAGTTTTTTGACATCTATGAAATGGATTGAAATTTATATTGACGCCTTGTTATGATATCCAGAAGCAAACACGTCTGTCAGGGGCATAATTAATGATTTTTACATCATAATTTTTCATTCCTGAAACTGGTGCAAAGGAGTCAGTGTTTGCTGAGCATCTAAAGAAACAATTCTGTTTTTAAAATGTCCTTAACATACTCATATTTCCTCATCACATGACAGCAGTATGAGGGGAAACACTCAGAGCATGTAAAAGATAAGACAAGTAAAGACTGCTTTGTCCATAGGGGGCGCCAAAATCAAACTGGAGCGAGGCTATCATCCACTGCAGGTGTATTGCGCTTTCAAAATCAGCCCAGTTATGCGGTAGAGATGACTCTATGACAGCTTAGCTTTGGTTCTGGTCTCCCAAATGGGTCTCCTGTACGCCTAATGTTCACATGAACCGGTATTAACTGACGCTTTAATCTTTCATACAGAAATGTCGAATATCAAAAGGTCCAATCAGGTCATGAATGAATGAGTCATGGTGTGCTCACTGTATGACTCATGTTTGTTGCAGTCAGGTCCGCAGCCATAGCAAAGTGTACTTTGTGCAAAGTACCTATTAGATGCCTTATAGTAGTTCAAATATTAGTTCAAGATAAATATTTCTTTCATTGACTGATTTCCTCTCAGAAGATTATTACACGATTAACCAAGGAGAATGGTTCTATTGAATGTTGTTGTCGTGATTCCATATTATGAGTTGCAGTTCACTTTGTGTGCCTTGGGTGTCGCTGTCTTGTTATCTGGGGGCTCAGGGATACAGGTAGCCATGTCACTGTTGTGGGCAAGTGTTTGACCCGGAAGGGCAAAAGTTTTTTGACCGTCGTGGCACTAACTGCCGGCGTTTTCCTTATTTGTTTAGTGTTGGATATCAATTGCAAAATGAATTTGGTTATGTTCATTGCAATAAATTTTTTGTTTGCTGAATCCGAGGAACAGCGTACGGACTTTCAATGATCATCAAAACTCACCGTAAAACTCAACCAGGTTACTCCAGGTCAAGCATCTCAGTAGTTTAAAGTATTGACTTAGCTTCTACAATATATATAAGATAAAAATAACTTTATTTAATTTCCCTTTTGGGATCAAAAAAGTTCTTATCTTTTTGAAAAAAACAGGAGCTTTAAAGACAATACTGACATAAATTCTCATAAATGTCTTTTCATGGTTTAAAAAAGCTCATAAAACCACCAGCAACAAGATGAACCACTTTTATAAGGTAATTTTATTACCGGATTTTAGCGCAAGGGGGCAGGTGTCGGCCTGTTTTTACAATTTCCACAACAGTATTCACAACAAATGTTATTAAACATTTGACGCTAAGAGGTGAACAGAATAAGACTTTTTGTCATCACACCACTTACATACTCAGAGGAAACGTTAAGCAAAGACAGCTTTGTCAACAGGGGGCGCCAGAATTAACGCAAACTACAGTTCTCCACAGGAGCTTTAAGTGTCAGACAGGACACACATTTCTCTCTCCTTAGTTTAAAGCATACAGCCAAGACAAACTGCCCTCAAAAGATACTGTATAAGGAGCAGCCTGAGTGGAAAAACCCTTGACAAAAATTGTATCTGCTAAGCACTCCCTACTGGCAACAAACTCAATGCAGCAAGTGGATGATAAGGAGTGAAGGTACCTTGTTGAGTTTATCAACATGTTCGAGGACCGCATCAGATTAAATCATTTCTGGATGAAGATTTGGCATATGACGTTCAGGGGGACATCGGAGAGAAAATTCCACCTGAAATTTTAAAAGTGAGGACTGAAATAGGATTTAGAAAAGTGAGGGAGATATGTTTTCAAGTCTTGTTGCCAAACTGACACAGGTAGAGTTCAGGTGGGTGCTACACCAGCCCACAGACTGTGTTACTATATCAGGAGTCATCACACAGAGAGCGGGTGCAGATCAGCCAAATGACTGACAGCAGGGTGCAGACTGAACTGTTAAATACCACAAACTGAAAACAGAGTTGGTTCATATGGAGACGGAGGCGTCGAGCTGTGACAAACTCAGATAATCTGCAGATAATCTTTCAGTCAAATGGAAAAGAGTATAGTGAGCTCATTACACTGTAAACTTAGACTGAATAGGAGCTGAAGAGTTATAGATAAACTGCAGAATGGGTGTTTTTCTAGCAAGAGACACTGATGCCTATTGGAAATGCTCATTTTACTTAATATTACATCATTTTCACATTTATTAGCAGTTGGCCTTTGTGTTCATGTTTTATTGATGTCATTTTATCCCATTTCAGAGTCTTTTCTTGAAAGATAATGGGATTAAATCAAAAATCCTCAGCCAAAGCATTGTTTCCTCTTCCAGAACTATATCGTGCATCATGGAAAAGACCCTGAATTTGTAATTACATAACTTGGCTGCAAAGTCAAATTGGCTGGAAATCCTGGTGCACATCCTCGGGGCTTGGAAGAGAATCTCTGCCCCAGAAGAAGAGGGCGAAAAAGTTCATTCAAAGGTGACAAAAACACATAAGAACACAGCAACTCTCTTTTCCAGGTGATTATGCACAATTTTTCTGGATATCACAGTCTATTCCCGCTGGTAAGTCTAAACATATACTCAGGACTCTTATGTAAATTTAGGAATCTGTTTGAATTCACGTTCTTAGATCGGTTGTTAGATTTTGCTTGCTGGACAGATGAGGAACCTACGTCTACAGTTTTCCCATCTTTGACGCTCATCCTCTCAAACACACAATAGTGATTCACCTGTAATTTGCTGGGGTGAATTCAAGTGAGAGTTTAAGGGATAATCTGGTGTAAAATTAATTTAGGGTCAAACACACCGTAACACCAAGTAAGACACCCCTTCGAGAGATGAATGTTACCGACCGCTTGCTTCTCTACTTATACCAACTTTAGTAATGACCGCACGATAGCAATACACAGCGGTCTGAGGAGCCATAAACAAACCTCAACCAAAACACCACTCTATAGCCACAAATAAGGCTCAGAACAGCACCTAACTTCATCAACAGTACATATAGGGTCCTAGCCACAGCGCTAGCCACCAAACATCTTTTTAGCTTTGACTAATTTCTTCAGCAAAGAGACTTAACACAACTCACCTACTCTCTTCCAGCAGCCACTTGTTTCTTAAAGGGATATAAAGGAATATCCCTTTAAGAAAGCAATAATATATTTCTACCATAAAAATAAACAGCTCTGAAGCACACAAACAAAACTTTAAACCTAAATTTGTGACCTCTCCCGTGAGGGTGTCGCCAACATGAAACAGACAGTTGTTCCCAAAAAGTAAAAGAACAGAGAAATAACATATACTTAATAAAACTTAATTACAATAAGCTCATTTTTACTATGAGTGGTCTTATGTTGATGCTGTTTGAAATATTGTTGATGGCATTTGTGAATCACCAAGATTTATCTTTGAGGCTTTGAGAAATCTAATCGGTTGAAATATACTCCTAATAGTTTCATGAGACATGACGCACTCTTTGTAGGCTTTAACACTTAAAATGCCTTATCTTCTTGATAGAATAACCCATAACAAACTATAGGTCAATATAATACTATTAAGTCTAAGATTTATTCTTTGAAATCTGTCATGAAGGATTATAACAAAGGTCTATGACAGTGTTTTTCAACCTTTTTTGAGCCATGGTACATTTTTTCATTAAAAAAAGACACTTGGTAGCCCCAAATACAGTTTATATAACGACAATATAGTCTCTCGGTTTATTCATACCCACCAAATGTGAAACCTATGGCTGTAGATTACAGCACAGACACTTGAGAATTGCATATTATTTGCAGATAATAAGTTATTTTAAAAAAAAAAATAGACCAATAAAGTGAAATCGGATATTTCTCAGAGTACACCTGACACTGGTTGAAAAACACTGATCTATGAAATGTGTCCAAATTGATCAATCCTGCTGTCTCAAATTACTGAACACATTACTGAAAACAATTTTGTCTGTACTGGAAAAGATTGGGCAACACATTTTCCCAACAAAAACTCTCCCAGTATTCCTGAATTCACTCCTCTTGGATACGTTTTTCTCTGTAACAGAATAAACCCAATTAAAAAAACGAGTTTAATTAGCTGAGAGCTTTCAAATCAAAGAAAGGTTCTTTAGTTTTGTTATTTGAAGCTTTCTAACAGGATTTTTACCAGATAAACGTCTTTAGGTGATTGTTTTCCTTTCTTTTCTCGGGATCAGGTGCATCCGCAGGAAGAGAAGAGCAAACTACCAGGCTGGAGATTTCCCGTTTCCATGGAGACGGGAGGTTGATCCTGGTCATAGTAATACTAAAAGCCTCCAAATCCTGCTCTGATTTTGTTTCCCTGTTTTTACACCTATGTGTATCGGTTTTTCTCGCCTGTGGTGGAGAGTGGAGTGGTCATCATGTGGTGGCGGTGGTGAAGATGTTGAGGCCGCGGCCCTGCAGAAACATTTCTTCCAACACCTGCCTGTTTCTCCCAGTCTAACAGGCTGATTCTCCTCCATTATGTCACAGCAGGAAAAACGGAGCTCTTAAACATTAATAGTCAGATCTACATGAGGTTGTTGCATACTGATAACCCTTCCTAATTAAGCTGTGATTCGCCTTGCACTCTTATGTAACTATCCACCCCCATCGTCCCCCCCATAAAAAAACACATGATTATATTTAACGAGCCGTCATCGCCAACCGGGGAGACGGGAAACGAGGATGAAGGTGAGCGATATTACCTCGTGCAGCAGATCAACGGTCAGTCCCCGGGTCATTTTCCAGCCGTTTGGGTCCCGTGAAGATCATCCGCGGAGGGAGGGCGGAGCTGTGTGCGAAACACCGACTGAAGGAGAGCCACACTACTTCCCTCTTTCCTCCTCCATCCCTCTCTCTCTCTCTCTGTCCGTCCGTCAGCCTGCCTGCCTCCACCCCTTAGCTCCGAGAGAGAGAGAGAGAGAGAGAGAGAGAGAGAGAGAGAGAGAGAGAGAGAGAGAGAGAGAGAGAGCAATGATAGTAAATGTTTCATAAAGGTTATTAGGGGAGACCGGGGCTTGTTGTCACACTTTTTACACTCGTATATTTCTTGCAATCAATACATCATATATAAACAAAATGTGTACCACACCAAAGATCAAAGTGTCAGGTATATACAGAACTTTAATGGGGCCCGAAGCAAAATGTGATTTTGGAGCTCTCTATTTTTGCCAATAATATTGATTGTTGATCATTTGCATACGGTGGCCCTGAAGTGCAAAAAACCCCCAACATTTTGCAAAACACGACGGCATTTCACAAAACACAACAACATTTCCAAAACACAAAAACATTTCTCCAAATAGAAAAACATTTTGCAAAACATGACAATATTTTGCAAAACACAAAAAACTTTTTGAAAACAACATTTTAGAAAACATAAAAACATTTTGAAAACACAACATTTCAGAAAACACAAAAACATTTTGAAAATATAAAATCATTTTGCAAAACACACACACACACATACACACACACAACATTTTGAAAACACAAAAACATTTCGGAAATGTTTGCATTTCATTTTTTGGGGTAAGACTGTGGAATGGTATGGGTGAGGAGTTAAAACAATGTCCAAACATAAAACAATTTAAAACAAAATATAAAGAATATGTTTTCATGGGATACAGGGATAGTAACTATGATCATTGTCATCATTGTTTTGTTGTTGTTTTGTTATTTACTCTGTGGTGATTATTTTTATTGCTATTATGATGATGATTCATATCATTATGTAATATTATGATATATATCTAAACCATTAGTGTAGGAGAAGGGGTGGGACTAGAAAAGCCTTGACTTCTTCCCACTCCTTTTTGATCATGAATAACTTTTTGTCATTTGTTGCTGTATTCTTTACTTTTTTATTATTATTATTTTATATGTTCAAAAAAAAAAAAGATAATTGCAATGTGACAACTTACCCATGTAACAATAAGCCCCGGTCTCCCCTACTCTTCATTGCATATTAAGGCAGCATGTGCAAGGGATAGAGGTAACAAATAGAGAGGAGGGTTTTATTTCCATTTAACAATTTAAGAAAAAAAAAAGGTTTTAATGCCAATTAGTGACTGACTAGAAACCCAAAGACATAAAGTTTAATTTCAAGAATAAAGTCAACAGGAGCAGCTTTGGCTGAGCATTTTGTGAGTCTTCACTCCCATCAAACTTTCTGAGTCATTTCACAGCAGATTTTGTGAGACTGATATAACAACACAGGATGTGATCTTTTCTACCACAGCATCTGACATGGCTTAAAACCATCCAGTCTGACACAAATGCTTGTTTTTTCTGCGTCCTACACAGTTTTATTACTATGTGATGAAAGCATATGTCAGTGATGATTCAGTCTCACAGCGATGTTGCCTTTACAATCAATACCTTTTCTATTCCATTTTCAAAGTGCATGATATAAAAGATCTTCCTTCTCTCGTTTTTCTCACCCAAGCCTAAAAACCTTTCTGTACATAGCTCAAGAGTTTAAGAGCTTTATCAAATGTCTTATTTACTCCATTTTCCAAATCTGGACCCTCAAGTGCTTGACTTTTCAAAGTCTTAGGATGGCTTGCTTTCTAGTAATTACAAGATAATTATATGTCAGTATAAAAAACGCAACAACAGGCGAGTCACTATGATAAGCCACGACATGTCATGTCACTTTGTACTGTTGCAACTCTGTTGTCATAAGTCATGATGTTGGAAAATGCAGAGATTAAACTCTTAAGGTGCATGTCCACTTTGGGCCTCTATATATGCAGAATAAAACTCAGTACTGATGAAGTTTTATGTGTTTGTAGTGCGAGTCTATGAACTTGAACTTCCCTCTGGTCTAAATAGAGATCAGCACCATGGAGAGCTCCATGGTGGGACCAGCTCCTTAAATAAATCCTACTGCTGTCCGTTGTACTGCTTTTTTTGCATCAAGAAACATTAAAACCTTTTCAGTTGACATGCACTTTTCTCCCTTATTGCCTGAGGCCTGAAGACTTTTGGCTCTTATTAGCTTAAAACTGTGGAATAAACCTTGTAGGCCCTGTAGACCCTTTTAGGATCATCATTTGGGCCTCATCAGTCTGACTTTCTTACCTACGATGTTATTATCGATATGTGATGTTGGCAGCCTATGCTACCTCAAAATAGATCATTCAGTCAAATGATAATCCTGAGACCTGTAAACAGACATGTTTGTGTGCGTTGAGATAGAAAAAGAGGAACACACAGGGGGAAATCATTGAAGTTCTTTTTAATTTTACCATAAATAATAGAAATGACATATTTCATTTTCTCTACAAACAAACTTAAACCAGATCTATAGCTTCCTAGAAGCTAGGAAAACTGACAAATATCATATAAAAACATTGAAAACATAGCATACATAAGTGTAAATAAAGATTAATGGTGCCCAGACAGAACACTGTTGCATCTTTGCTGCATAACTGTTCAAAATATATTAACAAAATAAGCATGTTGTCTTTCATTAGAAAGATAAATAAAGTGATGCCAGCCTTTCATAACAGATTGGATGGAGTTTCTTACACTTCCACTTGAGGTACACAAAATATAAATATATATATTGGTTACAATCACAAGGTGCTCAGACGTTCTTATCAAGTACAGTAGGACAAAACAGAACAGCTTAACTTTAACACTCAGTATCACAGCTTCAGTGAACTGGAGTAAATGTGGAGTTGAAGTTGATGTTAGCTCAGCATGGTTATTGAAGTTGTTTGACTTAATGTTGGTTTCTCCTTAGTGTAAGTGAATTTAAGAAATGATACACGTTTTTAAATCACAACTTTAAACAAAACACGAGTGTGTAAACAACTGTATGTCTGCTTTAACAACATCTGCAAATATGCATAAGTGTTCAAAAGTTTAGCTACCTTCAATTCTCTGCAACAGCTGACATTAACTTACTGAGGAAAATGACAAAACCAAACATTTTTTCCATCCACCTTACTGAAACCTTAAAAAACACTCCTCTAGAGGTTGCATAATTAAAATAGACTCTGTGTATCCAAACGGACAGGCTCACAGTACATTTGCATCCTGACATAAAAACTTAGTCCTAAAAAATACAGATTTTACTCCCATTTACTTACTTACAAAATGAAACATTTACTTCATGGTCTTTCCTCTAAACATTAGCTTAAAAAATGAGGACATGATCCCATCGGGTTGATCCACATCAGGGCAAAACCTTGACTTAGAAAGTTAATATGGTTATGACAGAAAGTACTACTTCATATCTTAAATGGGAAATGAAAATGAGGAGATGTCTGATGAAACTTTCATCTCAGATTTGAGCTTTTTTTGAACATTATTGCACATTCAGATTTGAAATCTAACACTGTCTCCACATCGACTGCATTTCGATCATTTCTATTTTCAGCCACAGTACTGCTGGAGGTTCAGATGGTGTTCACTCACAGTCCAACACACAGTCACTGTAGCTACACTGAAAGTTCAGAGTAGAAAAATAGATTTAAAGACACAAAGAAAGACACTTTGGGTCAAGGTATTAGCATACCTGTGGTTATATAACTGTGTAAAGACACTTCTTCTCCCTAAGACAGTTGAAGTTTAGTCCTTTAGCAAAACAAGTGAGATTTGGTTCAATACATTCAAGCATACGCAGTCTGATGTAACAGACAGCACTTGGACTCTGTTTTTTGCTGGTCTGAAAATGCATCCTGGGAGTTCAGAAACACAAATGTGATAAATTACCAACACTAAATATGACCTGCTCACTCAAACCACTTACTGTAGTGTTCACAACAAAGTGCTAATGCTACAAATACATGGAATAATCATATTCAGTGCAGGATGTGGTGGTTGTTTTTAGTTTTGTCTTGTCCTGCACTCTTGGCCCATACATCTAAACTCAATCATTTTTGAGTTATTAGCAGGCTTGTTACAGACAATTGTAACTCTTGTCTAGAGAGAAACGCAGGATTCTTTGAAGTGGACACATGTGAAAGCAACTTAATGACAGATCTCTGCCTGTGCTTATCTACAGCTACATTGTTGTTCAGTTTTAATCGCCTTTTAATCACATTTGGCCATTCTTCTTGTTGCTGTACTAATATCACACGATCCAATTTCCAGTATTCTGTCGGTAACTCTATGAACAGACATGCATGCTGTCTACAGCTGTGTGCTTCAGTCACGTTTGTCATGCCTTGTACTCGCCGGTTTCTGTTCCTCACAGATAAAACTTCACTTTCACCCACAAAAAAAAAAAACTGTCTGCAAAAGCTGCAGAACAGCTGGCCTCTTGGTGTTTGCAGGTAACTACAGTGATTGTGAGTGGGCTAAGAGGGCTTATAAAAACCAGATCGAAAATAAACAGTACTGAGCCTGAACACATCGTACAAGTGGGGGAAAATGTCTCTAAAGTGGAAGCTGAAATGAGCCCTAAATATATCCTACATCTCTTAATGGTAGATCTTAATGTTTTATAGAGCTCTGAATAGAAACCTTCAGCAAACTGAGTCACAGGGTTTCTCTGACACTTCTAACTGAACATTTTAGGCTTGTATGCACCATAAGATGCAGCAATAAGTTTTTAGTGTTTTCCTTTAACCCAGATTTAACTGGGGAGTCAGAATTCTCTTTTTTAGTGCTTTTCAACCCATGAAAGTTGACATATATAAACTGGGAAATCAAAGGATGCTTAGAGGGTGTAATTCAAAGGGTATATCAGTACAAAAGATTGGCAACTTTGATACAAAAACCAACGCCAGCCAAGTTTAGTAGAAATGGATCATCTGCCCCCTCGATTTTTGGTCCTCTCAGCCGTGCCCCCTCAGCTTCACCACCATGTGATCTTAAACTCATAGATGGGCCTCTTGCAGTAATAATGGTTGATGAGGTGTTTGTCACAGACACCGATGCACTGCTGCTCTGCAGTGATGCCGCGTTCAGCCAGGTCACTGACGATGCAGTGCAGCAGGTCATAAACATCCGCCACTGCCTCCCAAGGTCCGAAGGAAACATCCACCTCGCAGTGATGCTCAAAGAGCTTGGCCTCGCTGTCTGAGCGCTCGAAACGCAAAGAGTTAAAAAGAGGACGCTCGTAAGGTGTTATTGGCATCTCCTCCTTGTAAACGCAGATCTTCAACTTGGCAAACCGCGCCTTTTTCTGCATGGCCCTCAGCTTGGCAATCTCCATGATACGCTCCAGATTCTCTGGAAAGTCAACAGCAACATACATGAGTGTAATCTTTGAAGACTGTTTTGAGCAGCTCAGCAGAGTGTGAATTAATTGCACATAAATTAAAACCTCAGTTCAAGTGAATCATAGTCATGTCCTCAAAAACAAACAAACGTCATTAAATATGTACATCCTCTGCTTTCAGGGAAATACTGAAACTGTTAACAGTGTGCAGCCCTGCCTCTCACATCATGTAGTGTGTCATTAACCAGACTGCACACATAAATTAAGATGTCACACAGCGCTGCTCCTGCCTCCCCAGAAACCTCCCCAGAAAGTTGGGCTATTTTCTCCTTTGAAATGCTGACAGTCGAGTCAGATTGGAGAAAATGTGATCAGACAGCTGATTCAGGTCTTCAGGTGTTTTGTAGTAGTAGTCGTCGTTTATTCAGTCATGACAACACCAAATATTGTACACAATATTGACACTTCACACAAAATCACTACATCAAGAATCATGTGTTGAATATTGACTGAAAAGGCAGAAGCAGACTGCGTATAAACGCCTATCCTGTATTGTCAACTCTTTAGGCTGCTGACCTCCAGAAAAGCAGATAAAACCACAACAACAGATAATTGATCGCACTTATAAGATTCAAAAATAGCTTTACAAACCATTTTCCTAAAAACCAAAAAAGAATGACATGTTTTTAGATTTATGTTGGCATCATTCCAGAATTTAACTCCAGTTACAGAGGCACATCTCCTTCTCATACTTTTTTTTTAGCTTTTTGTACAATAAATTTGCAGACACCTCTGAGATTATACAGACTGTCCTGAATTGAAAAGAACTTCTGTATTGAGTCAGGGAGTGTTTTTGATTTTACTCTAAAGATTATTTGCATTATTTTAGAATAAAACAGATCAAAAAATGTCATTACATGAGAATTTAGAAAAAGTGGCTCCGTGTGATCATAGTAATTAGCTCGTTTTTGCAGTTTTATTATATGAATTTATACATGTGGTGAAGCACAGATCCTTAAAAGGATCTAAATGATAATAAAGACCCCCTACCACTCTTCCTTTCTACTAATATAAGCTGTACCAACAGTGCTGACTGGTTCAGCTATCAGAAACTGACACAGTGTTCCCCTCATTTGCACAGACTGTGTCTCGTTCTGGAGAAACTAAAACTGAGCCAAAATTCCTCTTCTTAATCAACAGGGTTGATTATACCTGCTGTCAAACCAGACAACACAGTAGAGTTAGATAATCGGATGTGAGGCAGCAAATGTACACTCAGTCAGGGGAGCACTGCATGTAAAAAGAGAGTTGTGTATTAAATTTGGATATGATTTCACCCACTTACAGAAACAGTAAGTAGTTAGAGCATCACTGATAGTGAAATGTGTTTTAAAGAAGCAGTTATAGTATTTTTAAAAACCCTAATCCCTTGTTTTACCAGGATATGAATATCAGAACTACATCTCACTTCAGTCTGACCAAACAGACATGGAAAAATATTCTAGATTCAGTGTGTAACCTCTGAAATCTCAGACACATTCATTGGGTTTCCACTGGTGTACTGAATTCTTGCTACAGTGAAATTTGTCCATACACACGTGGCAAGATGCTTATGTCTAAATCAGGATACTATTAGTGGTGCAGAATTTGCCAAAATGTTGAGCAGACAAGCCAAAAAGTATGGGCCACATGACTGACTTCATAGTCTACAGTGTCAGTCTATCAAACCCACACAAACACATGTGCACGTGTATGTGAACACATGAATGATGGAAGATTTTGAGTCATGATTGCCTCCAAAATGTGATAAACGTGTGCTTTTATACTTTTATATAGCATGTGTGTTTGACAGAATACCTTTGTAGTAGGGCAGCAGGTCGAGGAAAGCTTGTCGGACTTTCTCCCCTGTGAGCGGCTGAATGTCCTCCAGGCTGTCCAGCAGCGGGCCGATGGAGTAATACTGAGCCTCCCTGTGCACCGCCCGCACTCGGTCTCTGTGAGGAAGCTCGCCCTCCCGGAGGAAATTCAGGATGTCCCTTTAGAGAGAGACAGAATCAGTATAAAAAAAGGAGACCTACCTGAAAAGCAATGTAAGTTCAAGAGGAGTAAATCTGTTTGAAAATCAAAGAGATTATAACAATTAAAGGGATATGACTTAAACTATTTGGTACTCTTGCTAAAAAGGATTTTTTTAAAGACCTTTGAACCTGGACACTCTTCCTAAATGTAACTGTTGTTCACCTTCATATGGTTTGAAATCTATAATGTCTTCTTACACTTCTTCTAAGCAGCAAGTGTGAAGGTCCTGAGAATCGCTGAGGCTAGAGTCTGACTTCTCTGCACTTGTCCAATTAAGTTGATATTATTCTACCACTCTGCAGCAAAACCTGGCAGGCTTGTAAACAAAGAAAATGAAATGAATGCAGAAAAGTACCGAACAGCCCTGCAGGAGAAGCTGCTGCAATGTGCAACACAACAGCAAAAGAATCCGATTATTCCCCTCCAAGACAATAGCTTTAAAAACAAGACAGTTGGCAAAAATCCCCAGGTCCCGAATGAAAAGGCTTTGTCTGAATGTCTATGTATACCTGCAGTGGGCTGCTCTATAACATATATATATCTATATTATGTGAGTTTTCCATCCCCCATTCTGTCACATCTGTCTTTATAAATCTTTAATGCACAGACAGACACAGGCTGCATATACTGAGAAGTGACCTGCCTAACCTCAACCCACTTCTCACTCAAGCCCTACATTTTGACTCTGCATGCTGTTGCTTTCAAGCCACACAGGAGATGGAAAAGTTGGTCCATTTTAGACAGGACTGAAAATATCTCATGAAATTTTGGAGAGAGGCTCAGTCACAAGAGGATCAAGCTCTCTAACTCCGGTGATCTTCTGACTTCTCCTGGTGCAGAGTTGCTCAAAGTTGTTCTCGTATAAGATGCGCCTCCACTGAAATCTTTTTCAGATGGGTTACTCCTGACTTGCTTAAAACAAGTCTTTTTGAAGAAGCACAGCACTGTGCCATTATCTAACATCATGAAACAGAAAAACAGCTCATTAGGAGTGCTGGCCTCAAGTAAATGTTGACTTTTCACTTCCTGCAAAATAGTGTTCAAAGCCTGAGGAGCGTTAAAAGCAGCATTTAAATATTCCTTTTTATAATGAAAGAATTTTCTAGACTCTGTTCTGACTGTTCTGACCTAATCCCACGTGTTTACATTTATATTTCTCTTCAGGCTAGTTGCTGATTAATTTTCTTGAACTGTGCTTGTCATTCACTATCAAAACTAGCATAATTAAGGTATAAAACTCACATACCAGAGATAAACACAGAAGTAGAAGTAGATGAAAACAGGTTTGTTTGTAAAAATTAGGGCCCGACCGGTATGTATTTTTTGGGGCTGATGCGAATACCAATTATTGGGGGGAAAAAATCAGATTTCCGATTACTCAGCCGTTTTTTAAATTTTTTTTAATGAAGTTATAACCCCCCCCATTTGGAGACATGCAGCTGCCTCAGTAAGAGATGTAGCTCGATCACGTAATGTGTACTGTTGTTTATTCTAACGTTACTGGCACGGCTAACAGTGTAGCAAGGCTAATAGCAGATGGCTAACTCTAACTTTAGCTTGCATATTACATGGTGCTTCACTGTTTACTCGGCGTGACCGAGACCAGCACAGCGAGGAACATCGTCACTCTGCTGTGCTGTGAGGTAGTTAGTGGATGAACATTGTCATGAGGTCGCTGCGCCATCTACAGGATAAGTCGGGGAACTTTTCAAATGGCGGAACTGAAAATATCGTCGAAAATCTGCAAGTTTTGGCCGATTACTGATTAGTCTCAAATGGGCTAAAATTGGCCGATTTAATAATAATAATAATAAATCAGCCAGGCCCTAGTAAAAATATGCAAAAAGAAAGAATAACATGGAATATAACATGTCTATGAACAAACAGTGTTCAGATTGTGAGGACATGCATACATAAAACATGTATACAAGCCAGTCCTACAGGTTACCACCAATAAATCAAGATTCAATCTGTCAATATCCTTCCCATCAGCCCCAGCTGCAGTATGTCTTCAGGGGCATTGTTGCATGCCTACACACACTGAATTAAGATGGGGTGCATGTTGCTGTCAAAATGAGGCATCTCGAGATTTGTGTCCGAGAGCAATTTAGCATGCTCGGATCAGAGAACAAAAGCCTGCAGTGTGGCTGTTTTCTAAGCAAACCCTGATTATGTTCATGATAACACAAGTTGAGATGACCACAGGAATGACCCACACAGGTCATTATTTTTAATTAGTTGCACCTTTTCAGTCTGTTTCTGCTTGCTTTGCTCACAGTGCTGCTGCATTTTCACTCCTCCACCATACACAACAGCCCAATTACTGACTTACGAGACACAGACCTTTTTGAAAGCTAAGCTATGAACATCAGCAGATTTTTTTCTCATTATTGGTTTGTTTCTATTCAAAAACCACTGCATCACAGAGAAAAAAGATATCTAAATAAGTTTGACAGCACCGGCAGAAGGCAGAGAGAACATTTTTGCACTGACATCCTGACTCATGAAAACCTTCTGTCAAAATATAATGAGATACCATCAGCAGCTTTTTGAAACACAGCAGATTGAGGCATGAGCTCTTTAGCAATCAAATGTTATCTCACAGCTGCCAGTTAAACACTTCCTATACATGCAGAGAAGCCTCCTCTGTGTTTGTGTCATACTCATCAGAATATAAGCAGCAGTCAAAAAGCCTAATTACAAACTTTGCTGAATCATTGTGATGGTAATGATGTTGTGTTTTTGTCTGTCAGATGAAAGACGTACAAACTGTGAATATTTGACGGTCTAATCTGCTCCCTGGTTTCACAGGATCCACCAAGATTCACACAGCGATACTCACCCGAAATAAGTTCCATCCCGATCAATGAAGTAGCGTCCGTCAGCGTCTTGTGGGATGTAATGACGCCCACTGAACATGGCTGCCAACATGGTGTCCTCGAATCGCCGCAGAGTGGATAGGCGGGTGGTGAAGTATGTGCCCCCAACGTTCAGAGAGATGACCTCTGGAAACTGCAGTCAGAAAAAGGAGAATACATTTAAAAGTGAATTTAAAAGTGAAATCTATCATTACGTACCAAAACAATAAAAGGAATTACTTAAAAATCTGATTTTTTTTAAACATTAACTCCATAGATGGCTATTTGCTCTTAAATGGACCTTTATTCAAAAGTAGAAAGGCTTAAAAAATGTTAGTTTGGATTTTCATTTTAGGGGCAATTTTTCGCTTGTAGTTCACCAAGTTTTTATTCATCCACATTGGTTTTGGACCACATCTGTAGGTTTTTCCCTACCAGACTAATTGAAGTAACTATCTCTTATATTCTTCGCGTACTATCAAAATTTGCAGTTTGACATTTTGTCTATTTTAGGTTTAAACATTCTTGTTGTAAAGGTGCTTGTATCACTCCTCAGTTGGATCCTCTGTATGAACTAATGACAGTTTATCTTTTAATTTTATTTATTGACAAATTGAAGATTGAATTGGCCTTAATATGAGTAAATGCCAAGGACCTTCAGGTGGCGCTGTCACACTTTTTTTTTTCTTTTTTATCTGCTTTATTCATATGGAACAAGTAATCTTGGACACAATATCAATTTAGCAGTATGTCATAGTCCTTCCTAATAGGATACAATCACTGTTTTACAAACACCAGCTATCAATGTTTTGCTTACAACACGATAGGGATGTTCAGACAATCTGGTGTGTCTCATTGACTCATGAGAGTATGGCTCATCATGGTGGCACTAATGTCATTTATCCTGCTCTTAGCCTTTTAGAGGGGCTTTGTATTATTCAGTAAACCAGACATCATTATATGACTGTCTTGCAAAATATCCGTTACTGCAGAATTGCTGTATCATGGTGTTTATGTTATCAGGGGTAACATATCAGGTATTGTGTCATGAGTTACTTTGCAATCCCAACCCCAATCTTACATTAAGCATGATAAAGATATTTGCATAGATATATCCTATAATGTTAAGAGGTGTTTGTCTCCACAGAGCACATTTAAATATGCAACCACTAGGATGCACTGTGTAGCAACACTGCTTGTTGATACAGATGTAATCAGTTTTATCCGTGACAAACACTGTATTTTTGAAGGGTTTGTTCATGGAAAATGACTCCATGCAGTCAGGTGACCGGAAAATTAAATGAATTAAAATAAAGGCTGATTCACAACTCCTCCTGATTATTCAAATAGTGAAAGGAAGTGTGTGGGTTGATCTGAGTTTTGAAGCAGCCATGACTTCTCTGTCACACCACACTAATAAGAGGATTATTCTGCTGTAACCTTGTTGTTTTCATGAGGAGGCTGAACATATCCCATGTTCATTAGCAAAGGTCCTGAACAAGACAGCGAGCCAATTATCAGCTCAGCCCAGTCCTGGCTCTGTAATATAGTCATGTACAGCTGTCATGATGGTTATTTGTTGAGTATTGTGAATTTACACTGGAGTTTATACGCAGTGATTATGGGTGTCACTAAAATTAACTGTCTTATTTCCACTTTTGTATACTTTGTGTCATAAATCTTGTGTATAATGGAGTCTAATTTTTCAGTTTTTGTTTTGAGTCAAGTGTTACCCAGTTGAGGTTTGGTGATTTTAGCTTATTCATGCTGTTTTAGTCTGCCTTTCCAGCCCAGTTGGTCGGCCTACCTCCTGCTCTTGTGCATTCAGGGAGGACCGGAGCGGGTTGCTGAGGGTGAAGTTCGGCACTGGGGAGGCCGGCTTTCTACACTCGTCCTCCAGAGGGTCCGAGCTGGACATGGCATCGCCCTGTTTCTCGGTGTCACCCGCCGCCGAGAATACCACCATCACTCTGGGAAGGGGGAGCGTCCGTCTCTCCTGAATGAACCTCCTCACCCGTGTCGAGGCGGCGGGCAGCGGGCTGGAGAAGGACAGAGACTGGCGATCCCTGCTGCCGCAGCCGTCAGAACCGTTGGAACCGCTCGAGCCATTCTGCTGCATGCGCGCGGCGAGCCAACCGTCGGCACCGAATTTAGAGGGTAGTAGCACGAGCCACAGCGCGCGACTGCTAGTAAAAACAATAACAACGTAGGGGTGAGGGTGGGGGCGCGTGCGACTTCTTGAGCACACCCCGCCTTCAGGGTGAAAGCGGAAGTAGGTCAATTCCGCATCCAATAACAATCAGAGCTTCAGAAGTTAAACGGAACATTTGATTAGTAACTGTTGTCAGGTTAGCAGCAGCAGGCAGGACTGACTGGGCCCGTGCAGGCTTCGGTCATACGTGCTGTGACGTCTGAAGAGTAAGCGCCGTCATCACGTCGAGGAGTGCTCCTGTCTGTGAAGGAGTAGGGGAGAGTGGGGTCAGTTGAGCCGAGGGGGTAAGTTGAACCACCTCCAATGAAATTGATCATGTGACCAAATTATAAGGAGATGGGCATCAATTCATGGAGTCTGTGAAGGTTAGAAGCACATAAGTTGAAACTGCAGGGTTTAACAGATGTGTGAAGAAAGACACAGTGCATATTTGAATTTTAAGATAATATCAAGTGTTTTTTGTTCACACAGAAATAACAGTGTTGTTCTGTGTAGAGACTATCTATTTAACCCTAATAGTGTAAGATCAAAGTATATAAGCTAGGCCTGGTCATAAGCAGCTCAGTTCAGACACAGCAATTGAACATTAACCCTAATGTCAACAAGAAAGCGCCGATTTCACTGTAAAAGGTATTCACTGCATTCACGCTTGAATTGAAGTATAAAACAATTCAATTTAAAACAGGCTAAATTAGTAAGATAAGTGTAAACATAACTCACATCTACAAAAGTTCTCACTGTAGGGGAGAATGGGGTAAGTTGAGTCAAAGGGTAAGTTGAGCCACCCCCTGTTGCTTGGAAACGGTAACAGAAATTGATTATATGACCAAATATTTAGGAGATGGGCGTCAATTCATGGAGTCTATGAAGTTTAGAAGCACATGGGTGAAGGGGTTAGACGTTGATTTCCAAAAAGACATTTTTCACTCTTGAAGTGAATATAGTTGACTATGGAAGACCACTTTTTTGGCATGCTCTATTATCAAGACAGTTATGTTTACACTCATTCTGTTGGTTTGCAGGGATCCACAACATCCTGAAATATTTGCAGATACACTAGTTAGAGACAAAACTATGATTGCCTTGATGTAGTGATCTGAAATATGAAAAATGGCTCATCTCACACCACTCTTTCCCACATACATCCGCTGTGTGATGAAACTTTGAGTCACTTATAGAAAGTTAATCTATATTAAAATCTGTACAAGTTTGGAGTGTAAGGGGGAGGATTTTTGTGTAATGTTATTTTGACTTAAGGCAAATATATTCCTCCTTGTTTCCCAGCATTTTAAATGATTTTAAAAAAAATCTTTTAAACATATTTAAAAGCAGTAAACAATCAGTGCCTTGACTGTCTGAATTAATTGATTTTTATATTTATTAAAGGCCCAAATTTAAAATTAAATTTTAAAAGCTACTCAGAGTAATTTGTGAAATGACCAATTGCTTGTTTGTTAGTAAAAAATATGTTAAAAGAGTAAAATAATTAAATCGAAAGAGGTTCCAACAGAAAACTTGTAAAATGCTATCGTAAATCAATGCTATCCAGCAAAAAGATATTCTAATCTATTTTATATTTGCTGAGACTTGTTCTACTTCTCTCCCATAGTCAACTGAAAATACAATATTTGGTCAGGGTACAACTATAATCCCAGTAACAGATCAGTACGATACCCGTCACCCCCGTGAATACACTGGTATAAATGTCTCTTATAATATTTAAGGTATTTGCTTGATTATATTGTCTTTGTTTTAATCATGTGTATTTATAGACGCCTGCATCTGCCAACTAAGATAATGGTGGTGATGATGATGATATTATTATAAGAATAAAAAACATAAAACAACATACTTGCCCACGCACGTGTTCAGAGGGATGGTCAGGGGTGGCTTTGCACAACATCTGGTTGGCTGCCCCAAAATCTTGAACCTCGATTGGCTATATGCCTGTCAAAGATTGGACTTGTGTATGAATCAACTATTTTGGGCAGTGCAGTAGGCTGCTATGGTTACCTTTTAGTAGGCTGTTTCAGTTCAGTGTAGCTCATTTCCTCTCCTTAGTACTTTAAACTCCCACTTTTGGCATTAATCCTATCGTTGAGTTCTTACACAGTTAACCTCTAAGAGTTTAAGGTCAGATAATCTGTCGTATTGCTTTTTAAAGTTAGCAGCAATTTACACGTTTAGACTGTTTCTAATAGCTTACATGAGAATGGAAATCTCATACTAGCTAGCCAAAACAATAATCACCTAATACAGTACACTACGATACATCAAAACAAAATAATATTTCTTTTCTGATTGGAGCTATTGTTAAAGTAACTGATGGAATAACCAGCTTCTTCACAAATCAACTGCATGCGTTTAATACTTGATTCTGATTGGTCAAAACCTCTAAAAACAGTTACGACCTCTCAACAGCAAAGAGAATGTCAGAGTCTGGCACGTTTCACCTCTGCTTGTTGACGCAGTTTCAGATTTGTAGTCTACATCAGCAAGTTAAACGGCATCTCTTTAATTATAGTCCCTCCTAACCTGTTTCCATTCAGTTAGTGGTCCCTTGCTCATAAATCTATTAATGTTTTGCTTAATCAAGGCCCATTTATTTTTTTTGTAAATATTTTTTGTAAGCATGTCCCTTTGTTTTTTGTTGATATTGACAGGAGTGAATTTAATCCTTCATTTAGAGATATTGCTCACTAGCAACACCGGACAGCAGTAGTGGAATATAAGAGTATTTTGTCCATTTCAAACCACACAGAGTCTGCAGATGTGTGCAGTGGGGAGGTCTCTAGTGTCTCAAACATGCCGGATGTGGTGGGGCTGTTGAAAGAGGAAGCATACGCTTTCTGCTGCAAACCAAAGAAGAATGAGGACGGCTGGACCACTGACGGTAAAGCACAGAAACTTATGAGAAAAGAATTCTTTTATTTATGAGTGGAAGTAGTTCATGAGCTTTTTTTAATATTGATGTTATCTTTGCAGAAGTTTGTAAGTCTGCAAAAAGTGTGAAATTTCACAGTTTTAACTGTAAAAGAGGCTATGAAAAAAAAATCAGGCTTTGAAAATGAGGTGTAACCACTGATTTGAAAGACGTTTAGCTGACCAAGCACACTTTGCCTCTGTACATTAATGCGAGTGAAAAAAAAAGGGTATTGACTCATATGAATTTTGGAAGGAGAAGAGTACAACACTGTGTTTTAGCGTTGGCAATACATATTCAAAAAGTAATGGGGTTGGATGCAGATCGGCTTAAAAATGTAACGTGCTCTGTCAATGCTAACACCCCTGAAAAATTAGACAAAATGAAAAAGTATTTGTCATAGGAATGACGTATAAAGACAGGAACGAGAAGGTCTGAGTTTCAGTGTTTTATGTTTAATCCCATTTAGTGGGTGCAGTTATTGTGGAGGTGTCAATCTAACCTTAATGTAAAAATCAAGTAAAATATACTGCCTTCTTATTTGGGTCTTAAATGGGAACAGAAGTTTAATCTCAATGGGGCTAATATGGTTAAATAAAGGTTAAATTAATTTAAACAAATAGCTGAAAATATGGTAAACACACTCTTTGAGCTACACCTACCTTAACATAATGCTGAACAATATCATAGTTCTGCAACAAATCCTGTCATTTGGTTTTTGTCGAAACACTTTTGTGATCATTGAACCTTTCATAAAGCATGAGAAAGCACCATTAATTTCACCGCCACAAGACATACTTTTAGTCATTAAATTAACATTTTTGCTGTGTAAAAAACACATTAAAATGTAAAAAATAAACAGCCAAATCCTGTTTTTTTGTTTGTTTGTTTGAGTGTGTTTTTTACTGCAGGAGAAACTAAGAGTCATGTGGTGAATCACAGAGGAGTAGCTGCAGAAACATTTACTTCCAGTAAAATCATGACTCAAGAAAACTTAACCTGCACAAGTTTCCTAACTGCTCTGATGACATCCAGAGTGAAAACAAGGTCCTGAATCAGTGGCAGGATTGAGACATAGGTGTATGATCTAGAGTGTGGAGGATTTAGCCGCATTAAGCAGAACAGGCTTTTTAGAAATGGAATATTATATCTGTAAATGTGTTTGAATTGTACAAACTAGTTTATGAGATTTTAGATGGTGATTGGCAGCGGTCAGACGACTAAGTAAGAGGGAGTGAGAGATGGTAAAAACTTCATAAAAGGAGGATCATAGTTATGATGTATCACAGGGGCTTCTTGTCCTTGAAGGCCACGGGTCCCTTCCTTACAGAGAAAGAGTGAGCAGGGAAGTAGTCTAATCCTGAATCTGACATAATCATTAAGCACAGTGCAACGCCATCCCAGTCATCACCTGTTTTCCCTGCTACCCTCTGAAAGGCTCTACAGGGCACTCAGATCCCGCAACTCCAGGCCCGAGAACAGTTTTTACTATAGAGCCACAACTGAACAAAATAAAGCAAGCCAACAAGGACAGTAAATGGGTTTCTTATTCTTGTTCAACCAGTGCAATTAACGGGACAATGTGTGCAATATGCACAATATACAATAGTTGTGCTTTGTGTGTATATGTGTTTATGTGCAGATATGTATTCACATATATATGTGCATTCAGATACACACACACACATACACACACACACACACACACACACACACATATTTATATATACATATATATATATATATATATGTATATGTATGCATATGTATATATATATGTGTATATATATATGTGTGTATATATATATATATATATATATATATGTGTGTATATATATATATATTATATGATCCTTTTTATCAATGACAATTCTTTATATGTGTGAGTGAATCTCTACATGCATGTGTTTCTGCTATTCAGGCATGGCACAAAGGAGATTTCATTGCACCGCGTATAATGACATTCAAGACTTATCTATTCTATTCTATTCTATTTTATTCTATTATATTCTGTTCTAATGTCTGCACTCTATGCTGTTTACATGCTACAACTCAGGAGATGCCGTGGATGGAAATATAAAAGACAAACTGTAAAATATTGTCATATTGTGTAAAAAGGTTATAATAAAGTCAGAGTTTTGGTTGAGCAGCCAGCTGCTTTTACCAAAATGAGAGACATGGAGTGTCTGGTGAAAGTTTGAATTTATGCCCCTTAGGTGCACAAAATCAAAGCTCATTTCATCTTCTTTTTTTACAGTTAGGTAAGACAGTCTGAAGGGCAACGGGAAATGTGGGTAGTAGGGTGTGGGGGGGCGGCGAGCTGCAAAGGTTGAAAGCAGGAAATCAAAGTGACCACTATGTTGAAGACTGCCGCCTCTGTGTCCGTGATGCGCACTTCAGCTGCAATGCGAAACAACACCAAAAATTTCACACCATTTAATTCAAGCAACTTTCCTACAAGAAATGAAGCAGCAACTTCTGCAGTTTACGGAGTTTCCACCATGACCAGGCCCCAAAAGTCAGGAACAGAGAGCTCATTGATGAGACTCATTTTTTTGCGGGAAGATTAAACATGTTCACAGTCTGGTTAAAATAGAAACAATTGGTCTTTATACCCTTTTTTATCATTTTGTACCCACCATTTTGAGCGTTCAGTTTGTCTTATAACCTACCTTTTTTAACAACATAAAAGACAAGCGTTTGTGCAAACTTGGGCACCATGGATTTGTGAGTGATTCAACTGACAGGTTTATTGTAGCTGTTAAGCATATCTTGACGATCAGCCGTAAGGTAGTTGAAGTCAGTGTTTCTGGTATGGTCACGGCCACCTTTATGCTTCAAAACAGAAACTACTGAGCGACTTTTCTGAGAGAGTGTCAGTGTCTCATTTAGTCTATGGTTAACAGCCATGTTTTTAAATAGCGGTGTAACCAAACCTTTTCATTTGATCAGTGCTGACCTTAAAATACAAAACCTGATACAGAGTGAATCTAGTTTAATTTGCTGCACAGAACTTTCTCTCACACGACTCATTCGCTGTTTATTCAGAGAAAATAGATCCTGATAGTAAACATGCTGAACAAGCTGCTGCTTCAAACTAAAACTGAGGGTTAATACTGAGCATTAAAGCATTAAAAAGTGACCAACCTTGGTTTTAATTCGATTTAAATTCAACTCAAATCAAAAGTGGATGCTCATGGATCAATAATTTAAGCTCGGCCGTTAAAGAAAGGTACAACATGTACAAATGACCGCTGTAAAGCTGTAGCTGAGCTCTGTTTTACTTTTTTTCTACCTTGAGCCTCTGATATGGTGCCGTATCTCTAGGTGTAAATGCCACACATAAGCAGCTCTACATTTCACTTCAGTTTCGGCCAACCACATCCTCTGGCTCTCTTTGTGTCTGTAAACAGGAAAACAGCAGCTTCTTCAGCCATGATAAAAAGAGTAACTGATGATGTTGACCGGTAAAACACACGGTAACTTAATCTTAACAACTTTATTCGATAGGTAAACCCTTTTCAGATTTGATTTCAGGGTAATTTAGCTCATCGTCAAAGTCCACTTTGTGTTAAAATGTGTCTCTTTGTGTCTTTCCTCCAGGTATGTTAGGAAACAGTCCTGCAGTCCTGGCTGTTGCATCAGTCGTGTCTCTGAGTTTGATCTCTCTTTTATGTCTGAGATGCAAAAAGAAATCCAGTAAGTCGGTCTCTTTTTGAAGGGGGGTTTCTGGTTTATAAGCTGTCTTCTGCTGTGGCCTTTTGTTTGTAGGTGAGGGTTTCTCTTTCCACTTACTTTGACGCCTTCAAGGTCAGCTTTTAAAATAAGGCGAGACAGAAACATCAAGTATAAAGGTTGTCAGAGGGGCACAGCATCAATCTGTAGTGTTAACAGCACCCGAACCCTGATCCAGTGCGATGCTATGAGGTGCAAGACTGAAAACTATAAACACCTTTCCTGCGAACAGTATCGCTGAAAATTAACTCTCTTTTTCAAGTACTGTTGAGAGGCATCCTGCTTATTCTGTGGACATGCAGAGGAAACAAGTCAAAGGTTAAAAACGGTTTATATTCGCATTTCAAACGTTCAGATTTTGCTTTTTGTTTTATTCACTGATGCAGTCATGATGGTGCGGCTGTGTGGGCTGTTTTTGAATAGATTAAAAATGAATAGAAAAGAGCTGGTTACAAAAAAGGTGACAAACAGGTGGAACTTGAAACTAACGCACACAGTGAGACTCTGCAGAGATCGGAAAGAAAAGATATCGTCTGTGGAAGAGTAAAGGAGGACCCTCATAACTTTTTCGACATCGAGAATTCGCAGCCATGTGTTACAGTGTGGTATCGAGGTTATATTTCGGCTTTTGTATCTTAGGTTTGACTCTCTTGTTCAGCTTTTGGGTTGAGGTTACCCCAAATTTTGCTCATATTCAGAGAAATTTGACAAAATATACAGGAAACAATTTAAAGAAAACCCCAAATTCTTAAAAATTGTTCCTCCAACCACCATGTGAATAAAAGGAGCTGGTCCATTAAGATGAACGTTTATTTTTAGTGAATTTGAAATCACTGCAGGAGAAAACAGGACTGAAAAAAAGTAAATACAAAATTACACAGACGTGGAATTGAAAAAAGTTTGAAGTGTAAAATATTGTCATATTTGTAGCTGTTTGTTTTATTTCATTTGTGTGAAATATTTATACAAACTCTTCTTCTACTATTTTGTATTTCTTGCAGAGACCATTCACGAGGTGCAACAAGTCTACAACACACAGATATTGTGAGTATAAGGCAACAGTGTTGTTACCATCAAGGACAAAGACAGGATAGATTTACAAAGACAAACTTATTTTAGAGAAAATTTAGGATGAGTTTAACAGGGAGCTAAAAAAAAGAAGCAAGTTTTACCAGCAAATAAATCCTCAAAACGCTGTCTTCATTAAAGCTCCTGTGAGGAATGTTTCAGTTTTGGTGCCCCTTGTCTTGTTGCTGATGATCTTGTTTGGTTTTGTATATCGTTAAAGAGCTTAAACATAAACCTCAGTATATTTTGTAAATGGCAATAAATCATTTAATAAATATATAAATAAATCATAAAAATTCCTTATAGGAGCTTTAAATTCCTCTTTTAATCACAGCTGAAATCTGCTTGATGAATTCATATCCCTACATCTCCCTCTGGAGCCCACACAGGTGAAATTATCAATTACAAAAATAGAGTTTTTGAAGTCACACATGACATAAATAATAGAAATAATGACAACAACAAGCACTCAGGCCCAGGAGCTGTTTTATATGTAAATTTGTAAGCATGCACCTGTAAAAATACTTATTTACTGCCTATACCTTGTCATTTTACTCTGATTTTCTAGATTTATAAATTTTGCACATGACATTTATTTGCACATTAAATATCCCCAGCATACTTTTATAGCTGTATTTATATATTTTATTGAGAATTGACAGTTTTTCTTTCTTAGTAAATCTCTATGTCCTGTTTTAATACATCTCTGAAGGCTTGAATGTGACTGAGGTCTGTAGTATTCATTGTTAGATGTTTTTCTGTCTGACAGACTGGAACTTTAGCTGCCAAAACAATTCAAGTTACCCACAAGGAATTAATTATCTAGACTGTAGCACTAATGTGAGTAAAATCTTTTACATTTGAATAAATAAAGAAGCTCCCAAAACACGTCAACTGTTGTGATTTGTGAAATGTAATTGAGCGTAGAGTTAGTTCAGGCAGGCTGCTCAAATCAAGTTCAGCTCAGTTCCCCTTATCATGGCTCTGTTCTGCTTCTTTTTCCTTTTTTGTCTTTTTTTTCATAATATTAATAATTTCTTACTTTATAATTTTGAATGCTTTAAAAAAATATAAATTGATGTTTTCCTGACAGCCAGCGTGGAGGGAGCAGGTTTGCAGTGACAAAATCAAAAACAGGTCTGCCTGTCTGTCTGCTCCCATTAATTCATAACTCACTTTTCCAGCTGCATCTTTCACTAACTTTTACTCACTTTCTCTTTTATTCTTCAGTCACCAGACCCAATCAAATAACCGAGTACGTACACATAACAACAGTGCATCTCACGGTTGCACATCTTCACACTCATATAACACAGAATTAAATGTGGAGCGTTGTGTGACCACGCTTGTTCTGTTTTTGTGTGAAACGTTTTTATATGGTTGCATGCGATTAAAAAACAGGATGTACAGAAATCTGAGTTTTTTTTAAATGTGTTGTGTTACTTGTGTTTGGTACACAGATTTATTTATAAGAAAAAATAACTGTATTTGGTCATCATCTTAATGATTTTACAACTGCATGTGTCTTTTTAGTGAAAATCGAAATTTTGGGGACTCTCTACACGGTAAGCATGTGAATCGCAAAAACTTCAGGAGTTTAAACTGATTCCTTAAAGGGACGCTTTTAACAATTATAATAGACTAATATTAATCTCTGTTTGTCACAGAAGAAGAAGCTGATGAACAGTCTGATTATCAAAACATCACTGAAGGTAAGTCTGCAGACGTGGTGCACACTTAAAAGCTTAATCGGTTAATCAAGTTATTGTTGTTTTCAACTGTTTTATGTTGTTTTACTCCAGCTCACACAGGAACAAGTGCAGATCATACATATGTGTGAGTATTTTTTTACACATTTTCTTTTACACAGTTGAATAAATAGACCGGTGCTACTAAAGGCAGAATTATTCATCAGTTTTCTGTGGGCTGTGTGAATGTGAAACACTTCTGGGTATCCACAGGGAAATACTGGATATTGGAGTGTTTTTACTTAAATGAATATTTAAGCTTTTATATGACCCACAAAAGCAAACAGAACCACATTGACACATTTTATCTTGTATTTTTGATGCCTGTAACTGCTGCAGGGATTTGGTGATCAGACAAGATGATTTATAACACACACTGAGGAGACAGCCTTTTTATTTACCACTGTAGTATTCACGGTTATGTTTTATTGTTCATTTTCAAAAGAAAATTGAATTATCAGAAAACACTACCCACACATACAAGAGGGCTGGGGATGGTTGTAATGTTTCCACCAGTCTCATGATCAGTGTTTACACGTGGATTTTTGAGGTGGTTTCTTTTGTTGTACACAAACTTTGTACAAAACTCCGTAATTCAGTCTTCCCTTCAAGACAAACTCTGTAAAGTCATAAAAGGTTCATCCACAGGGGGGCGCCAGGATAGACGCTAACTGAATGTTCCTCACAGGAGCTTTGAGAAAATGTGCTCAGCATGTTTGTCACATTCATGAATGAATCTTAGAGAACACAACTTCACAACAATAATAATGATGATGAATCAAATAAAATCAAGAATCCACAGTGCAAAGGGTTAAAAAATCTTTTGTCCATGTACTGTTTACAGAGCTCCACTCCCCATCGCAGTGTATGAAAATGAAAACGGAGCAGGTGAGTTTTTCCAACAAGTTTTTCCTCACTTTGTCTCTCAGTACACAGTAGAGAAACTATCAAAAGCTCTTTAAAAGAACTGAATATATGTATTTCAATATTTCTGTCTCACAGGTGTGAGTCAGCCTCAGGATGTCTACGTAAACATCACCCAGGAGCGGAAAAGTGATGGTATGCCTCCAAAGCTCTAATTTACTCCATTTCCTCTGAGGTTTTTTAAAACTGTAGAGCTCTGTTGTAGAAAAGTAAGAGACGTCATTTTGAGTGCTTTTTTTTTCTGAACAGATGAGGACGACTATGAGAACTCTGAATTCCTAAAGGAACAAGAAGGTTAGTCTGAGAGTATTTTATGTATTTAAGTCTGATTAAGTTTGTTTTATTCTGCTCAGGAGGACAAGTTTTCACCATGATCTTAGTTAAATGGCTTCCTAGTTTTGAATGTAGATATTTGAGTTTTGGCTTTGTTTTACATAACTGTAAACCTTTTATTTTTTTAATTTAGATCAGAAAAATAGGAATTACTGAAATCGTAATAAGCACTAATTAGTATTTTCGGACATTTCTATGACTGGAAATGTGGATTTATGTTAGAATTAGAAGAAAATAAAGGTTTAATGTAGTTTTTAGTTAAAGTGTGTTGATCAGTGTACAGGAAATATACAGTCAATGGAATCACAACTTCATAATTGTATCTATAAGTTGGTTTTTATACCAGCTGTAAAGGATTACCAAAAAGGGGTTATGCCAAAAAAGAGGATCGTCTTAGAAAGTTGAGATTTCCAGTAGAGTGATGGACCCCAAAGAGGGTTATGACGCGACAATTTAAGGGCTGATAATAAACAACATCCTGCTCTGCCAGTAAAGCTTTGCAAACTTCATAAAAGGACTTCCAAATAAAAACAACAAGGCTGATTGTGAATCTAAACCATTTGTCACAATAACTGAAACACAGACAAGAAATTATGAGGAGTCCTGCCTCCCTCTTGGCTTCACCTCCACCAAAAGAAGGCCGCCTATTGTGAAAATGTAGAAGTTGCAGGTTGCGGTATCACTTCTAGTTGCTTCCTTTGTGAAAGCAGGATTGCTCTGAAGCTGCAGTTTAGCCGTTTTTGCAAAAAAATCTTCAGAATGATTAAAAAATGTTGTCATTTTTAGCAGAAGGCTTTTCTGATATGATGTTTAAGTGCGTATGTCAGTGTGTAATAGCGGTTTAGAAATAGATAAACATATTTTTCAAGGTGGTCTTTTAAAATGAATATCAAAATCATATTTCACTTCTCAGGGAGTTGCTGTCTTGCCCTGTTATGACCATAAACTGTATATAGAATATATATATATAAACATATTTGCAGTCTATGGTTATGACATGCTCTGTAGCTCCAGACTCAAATCTTTAACCCTCCATTTCTTTTGTTTTTAGAGCCGGATTATGTGAATGAAAACGGCGAGGACACCTGACGTGAACTTCACTGGCAATACAGAAAACATCAGCTCACTCTCTGAACTTTCTCTGTGTATATACAACTATTATTTTCTGCTGTTTCTGATGGAGTTCAAGTGTAAAAATCTGTGCTCATGGAGCTTGGATGTGATGAAAACTTGGACTGCCATCTAGTGGTGAAAAATATCTTTTTAAAATGCACTGAACAATCAATCAGTAAAAAGAAAGTAGTATGAACCTGTTTGTATTTTCTGATGTTTGATTCATGCTTTTTGTGTCTAAAATGCAAATTATGATGTGAGCTTGAAGTAATGAGGAGCTTACAAACAGCGACACCATTTTTACGCAGAGGACAGCTTTATTATTCAGAACAGAAAGACATCTCAGCCTGAAGCCACTCAGACACTAACAGCCGGAAAGGACAGAGGACCATAGCCAAACATCCAAGTGCAAACACCAAACACACACAAACCGTCACGATATATGCTCTATATTTGTGCCCACTGAGGCTGGTGCAGTAACGTTCCCATGGGTGGCTATGCAAAAGTGACGCAGCAAAAGATACGGTTAGATACATACATACACCAAAGAGCCAGTGTCTACGTTTTAAAAGGGGCTAAACTACACAGCAGATAAAGCAACAGATATGAACCCAAATTCAGGCTCAGGTGAAACCTAGATCCACACTTAGGTGCAGAGAAAGATCAAACCCCAATCTGGATTCTAACTCAGAGCAAACCCAAATCCTATCTCAGATCCAGACTCAGTGCCACAAACCCAGATTCATACTGGTGCTAATTCAAACCCAAAGTTCGGGTTAGTATGAACACTACCTCAGACTCGGGTGAAACCTAGATCCAGAAATTTAGGTAGACAGTATCTTTAATCTGCCGTGTCTCAGCGTCTGTTCAGCAGAGAACCACTACATCTTAGCAAGCCATTCAGTCTTTTTCATTCTCCTTAAACACATGATCAATCACTGTTACACAGCTCGACTCATGGAGGTTCATCAATCTGTTAAGATAAGGCAGAAGGATCTTCTTGAAGCAGAGAAACTATCCCCTCACGTTTAGAACTCATCAAGATGGTCTCCAAGACTGAATGGCAGTGAAAGCAGGAGCAGGCTTTTTGCTTCTAATGTGGTTTTTAAGGAGTAAACAGTAGTCTGGCTGAGTAGCTACCCACCTCTCATACACACACACACACACACACTCTTCCTCGCACATATATCTACACACACACTGCGGTGGTCTGAAGGGAAGTTTAGGCACTGCTGAGTGCGTCCACACCTGGCAGAACTTTACCTGTGGACACAAAGAGAGAGCAGAAAAAACACAATCAGCACGATAATGACATTTTCTGTCATGCAGGTGCGACGATTTCGAAAAGGTCACTTTTGTGGTTTTAATCATCATCACTGACCCTCCAGCAGCTCCAGGCTGGCTCCGCCTCCTGTGCTCACATGGCTGACCTTGTCTTCTGTGTTCCACTTTGCACAGCAGGTAGCAGTGTCGCCCCCACCTGGACACAAAGACATCATTTACGTGTGATTTAGGAGTTTATTACGATAACGGCCTTTAAAATCTTTATAATGCAGATTTCAATCAATCAATCATTGCATTTTTGTCCTTTTATGTAATGTACAGTTGGTGAAGACAAATTTCCTATTATCTATCTATCTATCTATGTATCTATCTATCTATCTATCTATCTATCTATCTATCTATCTATCTATCTATCTATCTATCTATCTTTAGCACTTTTCATAGACGACCATGTAGCATTAAGTGCTTTACACAGAAAAAGGAATAAAAGAAACAAAGAATACCCAAATCTACCCCAACCCAACTTCCATTCCCACCCCACGATCTAAACACAACAGAAACTGTATTAAAATGCATTCACTTAAAAAGGGCTTGATTTCATGGAAACAGGAGTGTGCGCATTGAGGAAACGCAATTTTAAAATTCATGATAAGGGATCACTGGAGGTTTCGGTTAAAATCTAAAAACAAAGTGACATAGAATGAAGTTTAAGAAATGAGAAATAAAAAGAAATAAAATAAAAACAACAGTAAAAGATACTAAAATAAGAGCACTAAAATAGCTCAATAAAAGACCTTATTGTCATTAAAACTTGAAAAAGATAAATGCTAAAACACTTAAAGTTAATGACATAAAATTTAGTTAAAAGCAAGACTAGACTCGTGTAAATTTCTCTGCAGAATAATCTGGATGACTTAGTTTACCAAATTCTGAATTAGCTCCTCAACAAGCCAGCAGCATCCTCAAAAAACACTCCAACTAAAGTCTGTACTGACCAGAAAACACACAAACAAGTAAACAAAAACACCGAGAGGATGAAATCTTTATTACCGATGATTGAGACGCAGCCTTTTTTGGTCACCTCCACCACTTTGTCCATCAGGCTCTTTGTCCCCTTTGCAAAGTTGTCCCACTCAAACACACCAACTGGACCGTTCCACACGATCTGCTTAGCCCTCTCCACAGCCTCGCTGTTGGCCTTAGAGCTCTCTGGTCCACAGTCCAAGCCCTGCAGATAACAATTTAACAACGAAGAAGAATGAAAAATTAAGAAAAGAAAACTTCAACCATGATCTTTTTATCTGCGATTATGGGGTCAAGTAAAACTTTTCACCATCCAGCCAGCGGGGATGCCACCAGAAACGGTTGCGGTGCCTGTTGTAGCGTTCTCGTCGAACTTGTCAGCGGTGACGAAGTCGACAGGCAGCGTGATCTTGACGCCGTTTTTCTCTGCTTTGGCCATCAGGTCCTTCACAATACCGGCTCCATCCTCATCATACAGGGAGGTACCGATCTGACAGAAAACAAAAATACATTCAGATTTAAAAGACGGGAGTGTAATCAAGCTCAAATTCAGCAAACATGGACAATTTTCAAGTTAAACTTTTACGTGATATCTTTTTTTCTAGCTGGTATTCCTCAAACTTTAAAGACATTCAAGACTATTTCTGATGGAGACTGATTTGGGTTTGCGAATCACTCTTTTGTAACTCTGCAAAAGGGAAACATTGTCTTGTGTTGAGTCTGAACCGGCATGAAGAAGGAGGCTGCTATTGTTGACAGAACATACGGTTTAAAAAAAGGTTGTGACTTTTTGTTTTATAAAAAGTTTGAACTCTTGGATAAAGATTGGAAAAGGTCTCCTGTTACTAAAAGAGTTCGCTGACTGAAATTGTGACAGACCACATTCCCTCACTGTCTCATGCAGATACTTTTGTTTCATTCACTTTGTGTTCGTGGTTTCAGTCTATCAATGTTTGAGATTTCTGCCTTTGTCCCATTACAACGGGAGGTGTTGGAATTTAGTCTGTGTGACTCAATGAATGAAAAAACACAAATTCACCAGTGATACCTCTCTCAGACTTTTCTATACACAGTCTGACTATGTCTGACTTTTTGACCCTAAAGGAAAAATGTTATCTGTTATCTCAAAAATGGTTACAGCTAAGTTTGAGTTTTTAGTGCGATTAAATTTAGCTTCAAAAACCCCCATGATGGCTGAGAGAGTAAAAAAAAGTCAATGTTTTCCATGTGACACACATATTCTCTGTGTTTTCCTCCTCACCTCCATGTTGTTGAGGACTTTGAGGAAGGTGAAGGACATACCACCGCCGATGATCATCTCATCGACCTTATCCAGCATGTTGTTGATCAGCTGGATCTTATCTTTCACCTTTGCTCTGAAACACAGACAAAGAGGGGTGGAAAACATCAGAGGAGATAAGAGGCCGCTTTCTCCGCACAGTGATTTACACTCAAGTAAAGTGTCTCGTTCAGGCTGTGGCGGGTTTATGTTTATTTGGTGATGCTCATTAGAATAAAAACTTCAGTAGGGTTGTGTTTGGGTCTACGTCCTGTTTAAGAGCGGTAACAAAGCCATCTGTGTATTTTATAAACTTGAAATTAACAACGAAAAATCACAATTTAAGCATACTACATCCAAGAGAGATGTTCTAATATAATTATTTCTTCCTTTCCAAACTGTGAAAAACCCAACGATAACTTTTTGGCGGACATAAATGAAAAAGAAGGTTTAAAAAGAAAGCTCAAATTTATAACCGAGGATGTTTAACTGCAGTTTTCCTGACATACCTGCTTAAAAATAACAGCTTGTGATGAATCTATTTTCAGTTACTGGAATGCATGACATGGATTTATAAAGTACTTTTCAAATAAAGTTGTAAAGATAGTATGTTAACATGTTATTAAAATGGCAGTAACAATGCTATTAGACCCACTTATTGACTTATTAATCCTTTTGTTGTTCATTACGAGACCATGCAGAGTATTTTAACATAACTGTCACCATTCAATGCCTTTAAACTAAGTTAATCTATTTTACTCTGCAGGCCAGTTTAAACACCACAGAGATGTAAAATGAGAGCGGTACGTTCAGTGGCTTATCATTAAACGCTAATGTTCGGTATCCTTTGTCTTTGAGCCGCCTGAAGGTGATTGGATGAAATGAGTGACAGTTGCACAATGAGCTAAAATGGACTCTGACATGAGGCCAAATCTCACATGTGGCAGACAGCAGCTCGGGTAAAGTGAGCTTTTCTGAAAGCACCTTAATTTTCTGAGGTACCATAACTTATACAGACGAATATTACAAATATCAGTTATTGCTGTTCGTTTTGATCACTTATTATATCTATAGCAGGTTTTGCAACGACTGAGAATCCCGAGTGGACCTGTGTAACATCTAAAGAAACTGAATAATGTCTGTAGTCTCTTTGGGAATAATCTTTATATGACACAAACTGCTCTTTACTTTCCTCTACAACAAGGTCTAATATCCTGAAATGCAGATGAGGAAAACCGTGCTTCATGCTCCTGCTGTATTTGACCCCTAACGTCTGCCTGTAGACTGCTGAGTGTTCAGGTCTTGAAGAAAAGGAGGGGCACTGTCACACCACCCATTACTGACCCATTACATAATGAGCTTATTGTCTCTATTCCTGGACGGCCACCAGGGTGTTTGAGAAGCAGCTGCAGTGTGATGACTGCAGGGGGGGTAATGCTTGGAAGTTTACGTTTGTTTTAAAATCATCATTACAAAACAGCATCAATCAGAAATGTGTTTCAACTTAAAATTCCAAAAGGAAGGAGGTTGAATTAGGCAAACAGCGCCGTGGAAGGTGTCTAATTAACTTCCAGGATTGTGTATTTAGTCTAAGTGTTATTCTGTGTTCTTGAGTCCCTGCGTCATAATAGTCTGCTAAAATCCTGCCGTTTAGACTTAATTTTTTGCTGTAATGTTGTGTTACCCTCCGAGGATGGCCAAGAAGGGCCTCTGGGGTTTCTCCAGAGCCATGGCGAAGTAGTTAAGCTCCTTCTTCATCAGGAAACCTGCCGCCTTCTGAGGAAGATTCACTCCCACCATGGAGCTGAGAAAGAGGAAGGAGAAAGAAGGTGATGGAAAATATAGTCAAAGGTGGAGAGATCTTTATTTCTGAGAAGATGTAGTTACCAAATGATCACACAGTGCTGTCATTGTGTGTCCAAACACTCTGCTCACCTGTGGGCTCTGTGAGCTGTGCCAAAGGCGTCGTTGACGTAAACATCTCCCAGTTTGGACAGAGACGCCCTGAAGGAGTCGATGTCGGCCTGGGAGGCCTTGGTCTGAGGGGGACAAAACCGACAGAAAAGGGATGTGAGGAAAACTCCATCAGACTGTCCAAGGGGATTATTTAATATTCAATTATTCATTCAGTAATGTGAGAAGCAGCTGCGTCTGTGGTGCTGCAATCCTGAAGTGAGACTTATAATAAAAAGTGGTTTATATAATGGTAGTTATCTGGTAATCAACATTAGTCGGGTGCTGTTTAACAACTGTGGGAGACGTTTGCTTTCACAGTATTTGTGTATCAGTCAGTTCTTGTGAATCAGGTAAATGCTGCTCTTTCACAGGCAAAGGTTGTGACTGGTGACCGGAGGACAGAAAAAGGTCAAGAGAGTTCTTCAGTGTCATCCAAATGTCAGACGAGAGTTGCACGCTTCGATCCTGCTTCCACATTTAACCCCTCTGTCCATAAACCAGATTATATCCAGTCAGAGAGCTTTTAAAAAGTCAAAACTGACAGCTTGTTTATCTATTTTATACCCACTTTAGTATTTCTCATTACCTAATGCTAAAAAGTATCTCAATTTACTTTTTTCTCGTTAAAAATCAGTACACAGAGTTAGGATGACTCTTGCGATTCTTTGTCTCCACTCTCTAAAGTCTGAAGATTTGTTTTTATAATGAACTGAAATGAAAAAGGTTTCCTGTCTGATACAGTGCAGCAGTACAGTAGAAGCATAGACACTCATGATCACACACACACACACACTGCATACCAACCAGGCCTCTCAGGACAGGAAAAGCAACACATCAAGTCTGGACTACCCCGCTGACCTTCAGGATAAATGTCAGCAGGTCAGAGCTGCTCAGAGCTCTGCAGGCATCCTCAACCAACCAGTCTGGTATGAACCCTAGAAGTCTCCTCGAGCTTATTGCTAGTTTGAGGTTTCATTATAATAGGTTTCACATTCAATTTCAAGATCTGCAAACGTTACGGTTTATTCTGTGAAATTTCTCCAGCACTCAGTGAATAAATAGCACTAATGAAGAATAAATCATGTAAGGTAAACATGGAGTACTCCAGTGGATTAAAAAATGGGAGTCTCTGCAGGCTGACCGTGACGCTGCAGCTGCAGTGACTCTGCATTTTTCTTCAAAATAACCCAGCAGTGAGAAACTTTGCTGGGCTGAGACCAGAGACCGTTTCTTTTTCCACGCTTCAGTTCTTCGAGGAAATTTCTGTCCCTTCAAAGTGTCTTTTTTTTTTTAGACGGTATCAACATTCGTACGTCTGAGAAAACGCTCTCCACTTGTAGACTCACCTTGTTTCCAGACGCATCTTTGCCCTTCCCCTCCTCAGCCACGTGGAAGCGGAGGTTCTCCAGCAGGATGACTGATCCGGTAGCAGGGTTAGCGCAGGCGGCTTCCACCTCCGCACCCACACAGTCCTTCAGGAAGGTGACATCCCTGTGGGGTCACAGAGGACCATTGAGGACATGTGAAAGGATTTCTGATGGACTGATCCTATTACGATCTTGACTGACTAAGCTCTCTGCCGTCATGATGAGAAACTGAATTTCGTCCCGTCATGACAAAGTTTTTACGCTGAGTTTAACACTTGATTTTTCAGCTTTAAAAAAAATATCAAATGTGTTTATAATTCATAAAGCTACAGTAAAGTTTGAGCCCATCCACTCACTTCCCCAGCAGGCTCTTGAGCTCGGCGGCGACGGGCTCCAGGGAGTATTTCTCGGGCATGACGTTACCGTCAGGTCGGCCCAGATGACTCATCAGGACCACAGATTTGGCTCCGTTGTCCAGGCAGTGCTTGATGCTGGGAATGGCTGCTTTGACTCTAAAAATCCATGGAAAAAAAACGCTCTGAAAATCTGTCCTTTAGTGAAAAGACCTTTTGCAGTAATAAGAAACTGAACACCAAACTTTGATGATGTAAACTCTAGTACCTCTGGTTGTTGGTGATGTGCTTGTCCTTCATTGGAACGTTGAAGTCAACCCTGTAAGAGATAGAGATGAACAAGCACTTATAATAAAACTGTTAAAGTGTTGGTGACTCATTCATTCCCCCACAATTAATGTTTTCTATACCCCCTCATTTCTGATGTTTCTCAATTCTATTTCAATATTAAGTTTAAAATCATCGGGATAAAGCAGACACAGACAGTTACACTTTCTGCAGTCGTGGCCTGACAAACAAGTGGACGACAATTTCAGGACTTCTGCTCAGCTTTGTGTTTGTGACGTCTTTATGAGATCCCAGGTATTTAATGATTTTATATTTCAGTATATAAGGATTAGTAAGTTAATGATCTCAAAAAGTAAGTGTCATCAAATTTCGAGTTTTTAGTATTTTTACTGGATATGGTCCGGGCGCGTTATCAGGCTTTCACTTGGCAGAAACTTGCAGGATCTAAAGTTTTCCAATTGCTCCTGAGGGGAGATAGTACTCTGTGTACTCTGAGCATGTTCCTCGAGAATACAGCTAAAACAATGTCTGATAAACAACTTCAGGCTCTTGAAAATATTCCTAAACTCCACTAAAACACACTTGAATCAGGATACTTAAACCAGGCAGAGTACCCTGGCTGTTCCATTACTATAGATATTAAATAAAAGTTGATCATTATTTTGCTGTAAGACAGCTCTAGTAACAATCTAATCTTTATCATATAAACCCTTTAAAACAGGAAAATACAACAAAAAACAATGATTGATAATGACTTTGGCTATTTCTGAGCAAGTGCATCAATCAAATTAGCCCCACCCCTCCCCCTTCATTCGGTTATACAAAGACTGATTGGCTGACATATTGCATTCTGCTACCTGTATGTTTATTGGCATCAGTATTGAATATGTTCAGACAACTGCAGCATGGACATCTTTGCATCGCCCAGCCTAGTAGAGCGGCCGCACATGCAGCATTTGCACGCTCGCAGCTCCTGAGAACATGCTGCATCCCTTGCACTCCAGCCTGTTACATAACCACCTCCCTCCTCAGCCTGACTGAGACCCTGATGGGTTGACACGCATAATCAGTCTGCACAGGGACACGCTAAACACACTCTGCCATAATAACAGCTATCCTTTGTTATAATCTAAAACCCAGTGGTCAGCATTTCGGAGGCTTAAAGGCTCCTGTACAGACACAATGCTCAGTCATCCGACAAACTGCGGCGGATTCCAACTTTTGTATCGCTCGATCTCTTGCTGCTCTTGACTGTTCCTGTGCACAACATTAAAGCATTTGCTGCATCATTGCAACATACACAAAGCTATTTCCTGCATATGTATGGGGAGAGCTGATGCATACATTGATAGATGAAGCCAAAAATTGCAGCTGTTGCACACTTGGACAACAAAAACCCTGAGAAGAAATGATGCTTTGGATTTACTCTTTGTGAGGCTGATAAATATACACAACAATAGATGCCTAGATTAAATATGGAGATTAATCCTTCTAAACCAAGGATGCTGCATTTTGGCCTTTGATAACAAACTCTGTGATAATATTGTGTAAAGTCAAGGCAAGCATGTATCCCATTTTGACTTTAAAAGGAGAGCAATGTACTGGAAAAGGCATCTTTTTTACAGTCTGTTAGTGTGGATGATGCAGAGCTCCAACAATTGATTGATTTTTTTATTCATTTTTAAATAAACATCCTCTTGGGCTCTTTGATGGCATTGTTGCAAAGAGAATATTTCTGGTTGCATTGAAAAACCATTCTCTTGAGCTTTGGTGGTCATTTTATTAAACTGTTTCTTGCTGTTTTCAAAAAAGTAGTAAGTGTTTCATTGGGAATATGATTGTCAAATTAATTTTTGAATGAAAAGCTGAGTATACTAGCTAGCTGGCCCTCACAATAGTTATCTTAAGTGCAAAAATAATGTTTTTTTTACTGTTGGTATTTTCCTATCTAGTCATAAATCTGATATTTTGATAAACAATCTGTTCACTTTCTCTTTTGATTAAAGTTTACAGTCTGTCTGTATTACAGTGGCACCATAACTGTAACCCAGTGAGCTACATGTTAATGTGATGCCTCTCCAGGAAGTCACTGTCTGGCTGCTTCAGGATTTGGCAGCTGAACAAAACTTGAGCCCGGATCACTACAACAATGCTGCCCCTCCTCTTTTTTTTTTTTTCAAAATTGCACCAGCAGCTCACATCAGGCAGTTATAAAAAAGAAAAGAGAACAAACTGTCTGCAAGTTATGACAGGCTCTGGGCGGGATGTGAGGTTACTTATTGTCTTCTGATAAGTCCCCCCTACAGGAACAAATAACTCGGTTGACCTTTTAACACTGAGCAGAACGGGCTGGGGGGCTGCTGGTGCCGGTGAACCTTGTCCTATGCCGCATGTCATTGCATCACTACACTGATCACTATGGCTCTTTGACATTTCCACAGAGGGTGTCAGTTTCAAGTGCACTGCCACCCATGTGAGCTCTTGAAGTCTGCAGGCAAGTCAGTGTGCAACAATTCAGGGAAATTTCTATTACTAATAAGGAGATTTCAGGTTCTGCTCAGCCAGACAGTGAGGCATCCTTCCAGCTTAAGAGATTGTGCTGTAGAGAATTAAAACCTCTGTGGACTGCAATGCCTTTGAGCAAGGCAGATTTTTGTGACAGAGTTTCATGTTCAAGAATCGATTTTTTTCCCCCTCTTTTTCAAATTTAAGAATAAATCTTAAAAACTGACTCACACGTGATGTGTATTTTTTGGAAAAATATGGTTCCTGGAATAGTCGGTAGATATTCATAATGATTTAACCGTTTCACTGGTGTTAAAAATGCAGACTATATATCGAGAAAATCGACAATATCGTAGGTTCGCAATTTTAATCGGATCGGCATCCAAAAAAATCGTGGAAGAATCGAATGGGAGAAAAGCAAATAGTCCCAGCCCTATTGATCTATGTCACAAACAACTGTTATGACATGTTACACTTCCTTTTTAGATTTTTAAACTTGATTTTGGACGATGCACCTCGTCTTTCGTTACGTATTGAAGGTAAAAGCTCGATTTTTGTTCTTAAAATGACTTTAGTTGCCATCAGTATGTTACATAACTGAATTAATTTGAATTGGATTCTGGATGACCAATGCAGTTCCTTATATTTCTAATGCAGTGTGTCATAAATGTATTCAGCCTTAATAAAACAGTACTCGTTAGATTGCAGTACTTTAATTCAGAAGGACAAACCGAGTACATCTGGGATGCAATCAGTAGCATCCATGCTGCATCTCCTCACGGGCACGTAACACGACTGGAAAACGTGACTATTAGTAACTTCACTTCCTGTCCTTCCTCCGAATCATCTCCACTGACTCACACATCCCATCAAACCTCAGTTTTGTGCACTTATATTAAATCTGCCGATCAGTACAGATCAGATCAGGATGAGTTTTTAGTACAAAACGTCTCCAATATGTCTGATCCGACAGTTAACGGAAGAGAACCCAAGTTAGCCACATCGGCTGGGCTCCAGACGCTCACCTCATGATGACTCTCTTCCCCTTCACGTCCAACTTGTCCAGGGTGAGTTTAGTAGACAGAGACATGTTGCTTGATTGAAGATTTGTCTTTCCTGAATCTTCCTGGCTGAGTCTCCTCCGCTTCCTTCGGCTGGTTAGCTACCGAATGACAGGAGTGACCTTAGCGCAGCGCGGAGGAACACCGGCGGGGCGGGACGAAGCACACCCCCTGACGCTTATTGGCTACAATTGGTTCAAAGGCTCGTATTCTATTGGACATGGTTGTTGTCTGTTTTCGTGACGTAAATACCCTGCCCTCCGACTTCACCCAGCCGTACTTCATTGACAGGATGGTTTTATGAATAGGGGAGAGTGGGGTAAGATTAACCCTTTTCCATATTTTGGATCACTACATCAAGACGATCATAGTTTTGTCTCTAACTAGTGTATCTGCATATATTCAACTGGTACAGTAATGTTTTTTATTATTATTGCATATAACTGCTAAACAGCTGTTTTGTAAAAAGCCATTTTAACATGAGAATGTCTTTAAGTGATTCAGAACATTCACAGCTGTATTTCTAAAACAAAAAGTCAAAAAATGACTTTTTTTCAATGTTTCTGAACTGAAACTCTGATCCTCTCATCAGACTTCTTTACTTTCTCAACTTACCCCAGAATTACAATTATGTACAATTATGACTTTATTAGTCCTCTGAGCTAAAATGGTGGACTTTTATGCTAGGTTTTTGACCTCATGTTGTAGCTCATAGATACCACAATTGATGTATAAAACAAATTTAAAATGATCTTTTTGGTCTGAACACAATTCTAATAAAACTTATGACAGACTAAATTCACTTTCAAGAGTAAAAAATGTTTTGTTGGAAATAAATGTCTAACCCCTTCACCCATGTGCTTCTAACCTTCACACTCCATGACTCCATGAATTGATGCCCATCTCCTAAATATTTGATCACATGATCAATTTCTTTTACCATTTCCAAGCAACAGGGGGTGGCTCAACTTACCCCACTATGACTATCCCCTAAACACTTGCTTTAGAAATAAACTTTGACGAGTACGCTGTGGTCAAAATTACATTTCCTCCTCTGAAAAGTTGAGAAGTTATCAGGTCCTTTTTCTCAAGCATTGAACTTTACCACAATTCAAAGTGGAATTTATATAACTGTGGAAGTTCTACCATCCCCCACTTGGATGCCACAGAAATTGTGGGCAAATAGTATATTTTTCTATTTGCTGATTTATATTTAGTATCTGGTTCGTCTACAACTTAGTTTTAAGAGCACAAAATGTATCAGTACTTTTAATGATCAAAAAGTTAAATTATGTAACATGCATCGTCATGAGTTACTGTCTTTATTTTCACACTGTGTGAAATAATATCTGTATTATACTCAACATGGTAGGTAGGAAATGTTGAAAAGTTTTGAGTTTTTATTGAGTTTTAAATCCATCTTCAAGATTATTACCCAGATTAAGGAGAATGTATTTCAGTCATCTCAGTGTGAAGTTTATTCCTTCACTATGTTTCGAGTTGTGTATGAACAAAGAAGTATAAAAATAGTGCCAACAGTTAATCCATTCATGACAATCAACATGCATAAAATCAAATAATTATTGTTCAAAATAAATTTACGTAGTCTGTCCAACTTTCCTCTTTATTTCTTGAATAAGAATCCTGTCATGATGTTCATTAACTGAATGTGAACCTATGAACCAGATGCTTTTTGAGGACATGGGAGGCAGCTATTAAGTATATTTTGTAGAAAACAAGACATATTCATCAGAAGAATCATATTTAATTTATTTGGACAAAGTAACATGTTGGAATAAACACAGGCATTCACTGTCTAAACAGGCAGATCATTTTTATTCATCTGTACAACCAGAAAGTTTGTCATTAGGGGAGATATTCGTCTGTCTTGACGGTTTTTCACTCCTCAGACTCCGGCTCTCTCCACTCTTTGGGCATAACCTTCCCAACAGGTGACAGATTCCAGGAGATGCCAGTCTGAGTTATCACCTGCACAAACAAAAGACAGTGGTTTTTAAGGAGGAACACCACCCTCTGCTGGACCTCCTTAAGTTCACACCTAGATTAGGCCAAAGACGTGGATTTAAACACATCTCAGCATGATTCACTCATGAGAAACAATGAGATATTACCTGTTTTTCTAAGAGCACAAACAAACCTGTTTGGTAAGAAACACTCATCACTATTTTAATATATTTCTACTCGAGTACTTGAGTCATATATGGGCTTATTTTCCTATGTACTGTTTTTGTTGTTATTACTATGCCTACTGTAAAGTTTATTCATGTCAACTGGGTCAGTGTAGAGGACTTAATACTTATCACACCACATGGCATTTTGAACTAACTTTAACATCATCAGTACTGAATTGTATAAGGTCATTTTTTAAGCAGGGTTCACTCACGTTGTACAGTGTCCAATAAGTAGCATTAAATATTGAGTATAATTTTGTACCCACATTTGTTTCACAGCCAAGTACCTCTGGATGACATCCTTCTCCTCCACCGTTTACCAATTATTGACCATTTTGAAAGCAAGTTGCCTCTTCATGTCATGCATATCAATAAGAATAACAAACAAAAATATTACTCACATATGACCACACAGCTGTGCAGAAGACTAGTCCACCAACCATCAAACCATTGCCATACTTCGTGTGGAAATCTGGGGCGGCACTGGATCCATGCCTCACCTGCCTTGCGGCCTGGCCTGGAAAAAAAAAAAACACATTATTTTAGACCTTTATCCCTGCACCGTCTGAGTTTTTGAGAGTTACATGAATTTGTTGTGTATTCCATAGTGTCAGTAACTACAGCACAAATCTGAACTGGGGTAGGGCCCACTTTGAGGTGCAGATACGAGAGGGAAAGAAACTACAAATGTCATCAAGAAGATTCATGATTAACTTTATCCATTTCTGTAATTTATTGGTAATCTCATGTTTATGCTTTCTGAACATATGGCCTCTTAAACTTAAAATACAACATGCCGACTTAAAAAATGAAAGGATAATTACAAGAGACTGTAAAACTTAGTTTTTTGTAAAAAAAAAATAGGACTTACACGGTTGCATGATTTGGTATACTCTCATGAAATCTTATGCTATAATGCCCTCTAAACTAAAACCAGGACATACATAAAGCAGCATAGTGTTGACACTGCATGGCCTTGTCTGACCTCCTTCCCAATGTGATATACATGAGTAGGTAGAGAGGTGTCTGTGACTCTACACATGGTTTCTAAAAAAAATCAAGGTCGTGAAATGTTGTGGGCCAACTCATATATCTCTTAAAACTGTTATTGAATTTCCTTTTAGATTCATAAAGTTCTTCTTATTCTTAATAGTGGTTATAAAAACATGTCTGAAAACACATAAAAGGTAGTCTTCGGTCTTGAATATTGAGACAGAGTTTTAAAAGTGTCTTTGAACCCTTTTCCTGTATTGAAGACGCGGCCCAATGTCATGCATTTCTTTATAAAATTGGGCTCTACACCTAATTATTTACTGTTTTGTCAATCATTTTTAAGGAAATAAACAAGAGGGATAAGGAAGTCTGTCATCAGAAATTATGGCAGTCAGTCTGTTGGACTACGACATTTTCAACAAATCAAAGACCCTACAAAATGAAGTCATTCTATAAACCTTTTTTTATGATAATACACTCAATTAGATTTAAATAAAGATTGAAGTCTGAAGACGAAAGCGGTCTTTTGTAGCATTGCTAATGTTAGCTGTCTAACCGTGTTAGCACGCTGACCGCGGTCAACCAACCTACGGCGGGCCTGAATTTCACTCAATTAAACCATTAACTGGAGCAAGTTTATGAAAACAACATACATTTCTTCTAAAACTTTATCCCCATACCTGTGATGTTAACTGCAGCTTTTGCGAACCGGTACATGTTTCTCAGCCTGTGTCGCCTCTCTTACCCTTGAAGAGATAAGTCAATATGGCCGCCGCACGTAGACACAGCGGAAGTAGTAACTGATATGCTGCGCATGCGCCAGTCCAACCCGTACGATACAAGAGTAAAACTGCCCTGAAACACACTGTTAGGTATTCGTAAGCTAAAATACTCCTGCCAAGGTACACCTTGACATCTCTGGTAGAACTTTATCCCCCTCCGTATACATTATTCTGATCCTTACTTTCGACGTAACATACAAATTTCTTTGTGGCACCCTTTTTCACCGCCGTGTCAGGATGGCCGAGTGGTCTAAGGCGCCAGACTCAAGGATAACGTCCTTCCGGATAAACGGGACTTCTGGTCTCCGAATGGAGGCGTGGGTTCGAATCCCACTTCTGACACATACCTTTTCTTCGTACATGTGGCTTGACAAAGCAAGCAACAAAAATGTAGTAGAGGTTAATCATTTAATTATTAGTAAAAGCATGAGCAGGGGTCATGTGAACGAATTGCTAAATAAAGGGTTGATACCTCATTTCCTGAAGATGTATTTACAGCAGTTTGTAAGAAATGGAGATTGATGGTTAAATCACTGAATTTTGAGTGTTTATCAAGATTGGACACAATACATTGACTGTGAAGATCACAGTATATCTTGATTATGCTACTTGCTATGTAAGTGAACTTCATTTCCAAAATGCATTGGATCAAACTGATCAAACTAGAATATTTCGAGTGATGGTGTGTTTTGCATGTTTCTGTAAAGGGCTGTGTTAATCCACATTTCCCTCCCACAAGAACAACATTAAAGGAGTATTACAATAAATGGACAGACAGGACTCAATTTTTAAAATCTCTTTATTAAATCAAAATTACATTTTTAAAGATTATTATAGCATTATGACGTGAAGTTTGTGTTGTACATGCAATATCAAACTGTTCCCTCATTAAATCTGTTTTTAAGTCACAACCTCAGCTTTACGCATGGAAAAATATTCACAAATGATACACCACACAGTTTTCTCCAGTCAGCTAAATACAAACTTCTTCCACATCGTTGGATGTGATGAATGAACACTTTATCCATGTAAATATAGTTTCTGAAAAACCACATCTGTGGGCTTAAAGCCTAGTAACTACATAATGTAGCCTTTTCAAAATGTTGCTGGAACAATGCCTCCATGTTCAGGAATTGATATGACACACAGCCTACAGTCATTAGTACATAGCGCGCTCATAGAAATTAGTGTTTTATGGTGGAAAATAAAAAGTTCAAAAAGACATGTAGCCGCCTCAAAGTAAATGTTTGCTTGGTTTCAATAATGATTTAAGTTTGATGAAGGCAGAAAAATCATCAGTTTTGGTGAGGAATAACTGCGATTATGACACTTGGAAAATTGAATTTCTAAGACTTAATTTTTTTTTTTGCTGGCATTATTTTGGCTTCAGCTTCCTCATGATGCTGTATCTTTATTATAGTTAACATCATATCTTTTATGCATTAACGGTTTTATATAAAATCATTGCACATTACTCTCCTGACCTACAGTCAAAGATCTAACTGTATTCAAGTTGTATAAAGCATATTAGAAAATTTCACATTTCAGACACTTAAACTAGACAATGGTTTATACAGTATTTTTAATAATATAGGTAAATTGATTATAAAATTGATGCTAAATACTTAAAACTAGACTTTGAATGATCTCACTACAATGGCTCTGCTGATGCAATAACCTGGATTGTCATTTTGAGGTTTCCAAATTAAACAAAAAATTGCAGAAAATATGAAATGCATGACTGGGGATAACGGCTGACATAAACAGGAGTTTACAGTCACAAATATCTATCCATCATCATCATCTTTTTATATTCAGCATGTACAAAACTTCTTGGAAAAGTGGATGGAATTCAGACAGACAGAATTTAGCTCACACATGTAGGTGGTGCAGACATATGTGTAAAAGAAAAGCTGAGCTGTTTATCAGTGCTTCGGTGTATGCACATAAGTGCTAAAATAATTCTGCATTAACTTATCTGCTTTCCGTTAGTTTAACTGCTTCTGCTTTTCATCAGGAACTGCAAATTTTCAGCCCAGAATTGTGTCAATCTAAGATTGGCTCATACTATCTACTGATCTCTTTCACTGTAGAGTCAAAAACCATGCTCCAAAAATTACTGACTGGGTTTACGTTTATGAAATCTTGGGATTGCTTTCATTTTTTGTGCACAAGATAATAATGCTCACATTTGCAGAACTTAAGCAGATATCTGCATGGTCAATGCATAATAATAAGCCTAATTTTGCTCCAAATATACAGTATAAGTATGCTTTTCTGTTTTTATTTTGTGTTTTGTGTGCCTCATGTTACTATAACTGAGGTGACTGTGGCAGAATTAAAGAGGAAGAATAAGAACAAATGTAGTTCTGATAGTTACATCCAGGTATTATGAAACACTGAACATTTATTTCTTTTCACCTCTGGCTCTATCTTCAGTCCTTTCATGCATGTCTTTAAAATTACACCACTTCCTGAGATGATTCATTTCAACGCCAGCTGAGCTGAACTTTGTGATTGAAGGAATGTGTACAATCTACAATAACATCACCAGCGGTATTAACAAAGTTTTATACAAGAGAACTGTTGATAGCATCAACCCCTAACCTACAGGGCATACGGCTATCAGTGCTGGGGTGTAACGCTGGGATTGGTCGGTCAATAAATCAGTCTAAAGGCGAGTCAATTTGGCTTAACTCAAACAAAACTACTAGGACTACATCACTACAAAGTGTACATATAATGTGACTCTGTTCAAATAAACATGGAAATCAGTCAGGGTATAAATTCAGGTATTGTGATGACCCAAAATAACAGAATGCAGGTCTGAGTTTTCTCTGAATGGTCCTAAAAGGAAGCATCAAAACTTCACAGGAACATTAAGGCATCTGTTGTTTTTTCCCTCTCAGCCACGTCGCACGTCCTAGTCCTCCTTTTTGTCTTTTCCCTCCTCGTCATCTGTGTACTCTGTGGGCTCCTCACCAGGCTTCAGGAGCTTACCAACATAGTCATACTTCACTGGAAAGACAAAAAAAAGGAGTGGTTAAGGACAAAAATTGCAACTTAAAAATATTTATCAGAAAGAGGTACAAAAAGAAAGGTTTAAAAGAATCAGTCACAAATGTTTATATATGACCAGGAATTTTGTGTTTTCAAAATATTTGAATGTTTTTTATGAAAACTTTTACATTTTCAATACTTTGGGTTTTCCAGCGTATTTTTTGTGTTATTGTCTATTGTCTTGTTCTAGTTTTAAAACCTGATGCCTTCTCATCTGACACACTCACTGGTGAACTGAGATTCCCACTCAGAGAGGCTTTCCTGCTGCATGCTGTTCAGGTCAGACAGGTCGTCATGCTCGTCCTTCAGATCCTCCTTACTCAGGCAGAATGTGGCCAAACCTCTGGACGCATCTCTGCCTGCAAACACTCCATATGGTCCCTCTGCAAGAAAGCCCAGACACAAAGTGGGTGATGTGAAAAAAAGAAAAGAAACACTGGTACAAGTGACCAAATGTTTTATAAACTGGATATTATTTTTTCAACATTAAGTTTAACAAGAAGCTGCTCATTTCAAGACAGAATTTCACATTTAAAACTTTGTTTGTTTAGTATTCAGAAGATAAGTAAAAAGTAGTTCACTTTTACAACAGAGCAAAATTTCAGCAGGCTAAAAACACCAATCCGAGCCAAACCTGAACATTACATGTTTAAAGGAAACCAGTCGCCACATTAAACACAGAATGTCCCTGAATAATGCTCTGAAAACTGTGAACCGCCAACTCTCCAAGGTTTTAGGCTTCAGGGCAGAGTGTGGTGCAGTGAAAAGTAAGCATGACAGTGAGTTATCATGTTGGTCAGAGGTTACAGGCAACAGAGGTAACATCTGAGACATGATAAAACAGTGATGACTTACACTGTATGCGTTTCCAGGAAACAGAAACATGAAGCCTGACATAAAATTAAGAACTGTTGCAGACAAAATTTATTTTTTTCCAAGACAAATTCTTCTCTTTACAGAAATTCCAGCGATATTATAAATTATTTCCTGTAAGACTGTGAGGGTGAGTTTTCTTTGACTTTCTTTTGAACAACCCAACCAATGGTCCATCAAGCTTTTCCTCTCTCTTCACTGTACTGGATAAACAGTGACCGCTGTTTTCTTTTTTTTCCTGTTTGTTTAAAAAAAGTAATGAAATAAAATCAAGGGGAAATTGACACCTGGAAGATTATATCATAACATTTTTATTAACTATTTGCCTGGGAGCAACAACCAGAATCTGAGAAGACCCACACAAACTAAAAAAAATCACATTGACACAAAAGGTAAAACCGGTTGGAGTAAACTAATGTTTGAAATATAAAACCCACATAAATGCCCTGGAACTTTATACACAAAGTCACAGTAAACAGTAGGGCTGGGACGATATGCTTTTCTCCTGATTCCATTCTTCTACGATGTTTTGTATGCCGATTCGATTTAAATTGCGACTGTACGATATTGTCGATTTCCTCGATTTTTAGTCTGCATTTTTAACACCAGTGAAACAGTTGAATGATTCTGATTTCCTACTGACTATTTCAGGAACTATATTTCACCAAAAAATACACATCACATGAAAGTCAGTTTTTAAGATTTATTCTTCCATTTGAAAAAAAAAAATTGAACATAAAAATGGATTTAAAATTGTAATAAAATAAAATACAAAAAATAAGAAAAATAAAAATCCCGATACTTTTATCCCACCCCTACTAAGCAGTCTTTCAAACGCTCAAAAATATACAGTCTAAAATGTCCTAAGTATTTCTAAACTATATAGAGGCGAGAACATTTTCTTTTTTGTCTCTTTTTGTTGTGGCTTTTTGAGGCAAACCACCGTTTGTCTTTTTTAAATTTTTACTTAATTACAATGATACTTAAATACATTTGTACTTTTAATACAGAGTGACTCCACTTCTTGCATTGACGATCTCTGATTTCAAGTCTGCTCGTCTGTTGTGAAACAGGATCACAGCTATCAAACTGAAGGGGAGTGGCGTAAACTTGCAGTTAAAAAACATAATTTGTATAACATAATAGATGGTTTACATGTGACAGTTACGGCAGAACAATGTTACAAAAGTGAAAATACTTTTGCACAAACGGCTACTTCAAGATCGCAGTCGTTACTGACGTTACGTCCGTTAAAAGGAGATGGACGTTACAGAACAGGTCGTACTTTTCACGAGAGTCAGTCTGCGCTACGTTCACGTACCTGGTCCGTAGAACTTCTTTCCCCGGGTCACGTCGAACACTTTACCGTTGACAGCCATGAGGATCCTGGGATTCTGCAATCCATCGTAGGGCTTCAAGTCCGCGAGAGTGAAATCTCTCCTTTTCATTTTCGGTAACGGCGGTTCCACATCACCCAGCTCCGGTTGTTTGTCTCCGCGGAAGATCTTATACAGGAGGAACAAGCAGAGGCTGAGCAGCGTCAAGTTTAACGGGGAAGTGAAAATCTCCTGAAAAATCCCCCCAGAAGTTATCTCGCTTCCCTCCGCTTCAGCCATGTTGGTCCTCTCTTTTCCGTGTGCGCGAGTGTGTCGGGAGGGACTGGTGGAGCTCCTAAAAGCTGAGCCAATCACGGTAACAGTCTCAGGGGCACCGTACACCGTTTGGACCAATCAGGTTTTTGTAGGTGCATACCGGAAAAAAAGTGACGCTCTCGAAAAAGTGGATCTCACTAACTTAATAATTTGCACGTAAAACTGTATTTTATTGATTCCTGGCACCACTTTCTTGTGATTTACACAGTCTTGAACGCACTTTTTCCTGTAGGCCTACATGCACTTTTGTCTGATACTGCATCTATGGTTTATTACTTTAAAGGGATAGTCAGCGTAAAATTAATTTAGGGTCAAACACACCACAACACCGAGTTAAACACCCCCTCGAGAGATAAATGTTGGCGACTGCTTGCTTCTCTAGTTAGACCAACTTTAGTAATGACCGCAGGATAGCAATACACAGCAGTCTGAGGAGCCACACACAAACCTCAACCAAAACGCCACTCTATAGCCACAAATAATGCTCAGAACATCACCTAACTTCATCAACAGTACACATAGGATCCCAGCCATAGCACTAGCCACCAAACATCTTTTTAACTTTGCCTAATTTCTTTTGCAAAGAGACTAAACACAACTCATCTACTCTCTTCCAGCAGCCACTTGTTTGTAGCAAGATCTCTGGGGCAGTCCATTACGGACAGCTGCGGGGTGTCGCAGCTCAAAGAAGAACATGTATGATCATTTATTTATCATTTCCTTGAAGTCATAATTCACAATATTAATCATTTTGCTCTGCAGATGCAATAGTTCTTCTGCTTTAGCATCTCGGTCTGATTGCATTTCCACGAAGAAGATTTTTTCATAAGAGGAAAGTAGTTCAGTAGTTACTAACAGGAGCTTTAAATTTTTGTTGCAGGACTTATTCTGCCTTCCAGTTGAACTCGCAAGTCACGATTTCTGAGCTCCAAGTTGGAAAGTCATCTGGAACGCCCCCCTGAAGTCGGACGATCCTCACCAACCCCAACTTGACAACAACGTCATAATTCAAGATGGCAGCGCAGTGCATAAACAGTAAAGAGTTGAAGTGAAAGCTCTCGTAATGTTTTATTTATTAGCACTTCTGTTTTGTTTTTGTGAAATTAAGTAAGTGGAATATTATGTACTGCCCAACGTCTAACTGTGAATACGGTGCTACGGTGTTTGTAAGAGTAAAATACTGTGTTGTGCGTTGTTTACAACTGGTATCGCTAACAACCACTGAGAAAGGCTAACAACAACTGACAACCGCTAACAACAACTGACAACAGGCAATGACAGCTAACAACAGGTAACTGTAGGCGACCATCTTGGTTTTCCGACTTGCTAACTGTAACGTTGTCAACTCGGGTGTAGCATCATTCGCAGCTCCGACATCTGACTTTCAAGGTAATTGGAACGCAGCATTAAGCTGAGTGTTATTTGAATTATTGTGTTTTAACATACAAGATCATACTTTCTTCCAAAACTCACAATGGGAAAGTTGAATTCTCTTGACAAAAAAGGATTTTTATTATTTTTTTGAGAAATGGATGTGTTTCCAGCACACTTTTACAAATGGCCTGTTTGCCAATTTACTTACTAATAACAGAGTCTATGGCAAAATAAGTAATTCATAATTTTACATTTAAAAAAAATCTTTGATTTAGTTGAGCAGGTTTTAAACGCAGATAGTATCACCATCATCAACAGAAACAAAAACAACTTTATGACTCTCTCGGTCCATCCGGGGTTGTCACAGGAAGTCATGGCACTTCCCAGTCCTGGAAACAGGTTCCCTCTCGCCATTGGTTCCCACCCAAACAAACAAAGCTCAGATGGAGAATTCCCCGCACTGAAACGGTGTACACTATGTTCCGTCAGTTCGCTGGACTTAATTCGAGGAGAACATAGCTCATCCCAACAAGCCTATTATTACAATTTTATCTCATACGTTATTTACGTTACCTGACCGCTTGCGTTGCGCAACAGTAGCGGTTACGTTAACGGAGCTCGCTGCCTGCCGCTCCGTGTCGCAGCAGCGGCAGCGGCAACTGCAGCAGCGGCAGCCGGCTGAGCGAGGCTGGGCAGAGATGACAAGCAGTTAGGGCTGGTACTGTCTGTACTTCAAAACAGGTTCGGTAGGCACGAATGACAGCCACAGATTGGCCCCTGCTCCCGGAGGATCTGGTGTTTACAAAGATTTGATGAGTCAAGCTAGCTAGCAGGTGAGTTTTGAGTGCTTGTTGTTTTCGGTGCTGAAGTTAGCTAGGTTAGCTGAGATGAACCAGAGGCTAACGTCTGCGTGAGGCTAATAGTTGGGTTCAAGTAGTGCTACTTACTACCTTTTATGTAACTAAATCCCTTTTTTTAACAATGTTGTGTGGTCTGATGATAAATACATCGAGCAATGCAGGAACAAAGAAAAAAGTGGAATTTAAACAGGATAAAATCAACATTCCAGGCTTTGTTTTCAGTCTCAGAATGAAAAGTAAAACTATGTCTTTTGTTTCTGTTGATCTTTGGTTTCGTTTCCTCCCAAATTTTGCAAACAAACCTTTATAAAGACCATCTCATGGAAATTTATTGTTAGATAAAACAACTGTTTTTATAGCATATTTTAAAGAAGAGTTACAAAGTGATCTGCCAACAATAGAAAGTCATTTGCTGAGTGCAGGAACAGCTTTTCCCAAAACTGTATTTATTTAATCATGTCTGCCATTCAGTTCTCTTTGTTTCTCTAAAATTAAGAGATTAATTACTGATTCCCTGACTCAATACAGAGGTTCTTTTCAATTCAGGACAGTCCGTATAATCTCAGAGGTGTTTGCAAATTTATTGTAAAAAAAGCTAAATAATGTATGAAAAGGAGATGTGTCTCCATTACTGGAGTTAAATTCTGGAATGATGTCAACATAAATCTAAAAACATGTCGTTGTTTTTTGGTGTCCACTGAGCATTTTTTGGTCTAAAAGAGGTCTAAAAGACGTCTAAATGTAGTCGAGACGACTGGTCTAAAATCTGGCTACCACAGGTCTAAAAATGAAAGTTTTCTAGACATCTAAATTTAGACCAAGTTTAGAGATTAGTTATGCAACTCACAGTTGCACTTTGAAATAAATAGTTATCAAATAATGGGTTAAAGTGCAACGTCTTAATTCTGTCTGAAAATATACAGAATCCAGACAGTTGAAATTAGGTCTAAAAAGAAGCTAGATGTCTAATAGCCGTCTGTTACTCAGTGGGTGGTTTGTAAAGCTATTTTTGAAGCTTCTAAGTGCGATTAATTATCTGTTGTTGTGGTTTCTTTTCCTTTCTGGAGGTCGGCAGTCTAAAGAGTTGACAATACAGGATAGGCTTTTATAAGCAGTCTGCTTCTGCCTATGCCTTTTCAGTCAATATTCAACACATGATTCTTGATGTAGTGATTTTGTGTGAAATGTCAATATTTTGTACAATATTTGGTGTTGTCATGACTGAATAAATGACTACTACTAACTAATTTTCTAAGTTTAAAGTATGAATTAACCAGACTGAGTGAGTACTGCACCTTATATTAAGCCAGCTTCAATACAAAAGATCAGGGAGGCAAAACATTAGGAACAACTTTCAGTGAAATAGACTCCAATACACCACTTAGTACGTCCTCAGTAATAAAACATAAAGTACAAAAATTACCTGCGTGATCATGTCAGGTAACAATGGAGCTGTTGTATTCAAAGTGCTCATGATATTATTGCTAGTTAGTGTGGTGTTTTAAAAAAAGGTTAAAAAATAATAACACTTGTATTTTTGACACAATATTTCTTTACAGTGGTATTTCTACTTTGAATAAATACAAGAACAGATTGCTTCTCTACGGCTGTGTCTGAAACTTCACCTTAAGTTTTAAATCACAGTCAGAGTAATGAGGTAATAAGCAAGTTGTGATAATAAAATGCTGATTTCACAAGTGATTTTTGGAATATATGAAGCAATGTTCTGGAGAGATGATTGTGCATTTATTAGCAGAGATTACAGGTCACAGTGATACGGAGGAAAAGGGGAAGTAAAAGGATTAGCTGAGTCTCAGTCTCAGCGTTTACATTAACTCCCTCCTCCCCTCTGTCCTGTGCTCTTCCAATCCCAGTTACTATGAGCGCAATACGTGTGGATGCCAAAGTGGTGATGCTGGGAAAGGAGAGCGTAGGGAAGACGAGCCTGGTGGAGAGATATGTTCATCATCGCTTCCTGGTCGGCCCCTATCAGAACGTGAGTGTCAGCTGCTCTGCTCTTCTCTCTGCGTATCAGGCTGTTGCTGATCTGGTCTTTGCACGCTTGCTCAAATGAAAGACATCTTTATTTAATTGATCCCCTGGGAGTTTGAGGTCATAGAAGTTCAAGCTTGTGATCATCTCAAGCATAAAATCAAAATCATATATCAGATTTGAAGCTTCTGAAACAAGCCTCATGTGTGAGTGTTTTATGACTTTGCACAAAGTATTCTAGTGGTTTTGGAAAGAGCCCTTTACTTTGTATAAACCAGTTTTTATTTACTCTTTCATCGTCAGGTTTTTTGGTTAGCTGAAGATCTTCTATAGATACACAGTTTACGACTCAATCAGTTGTCAGGGGCTCATATCTAACTGGTATTAATGCTCAGTTTTTAGTGCAAAAACCAAAAAGTTTACATATCATGCTCTGGGTGTCTTCATTTCTTTTCTGTGAGGTATTTTTAGTTTGTCTTAACTTAGTTTAGTTGAATGAACTTGCACAAAATAATAGATTAGCTTTAGAAAACCTCAGAAGCCATCAACAATGTTGTTATAACCGATGAGAAATTTTCACATGTGATCAGCTGTTTACTACCAAAACCAAATGTACAATTCAACAAATGATAATAATTGTCTATTTTACATTTTATTTTGGTGGAAATGTAAAATAAAACATCTGATTCCAACTGGAATCAAACTGCAATCAAATACATTTTCAGAGCGAGATTTCAGCCTGAGTAAACAGAGGAGAACAGGATGGGCTGATTTTTATTAGGAGAGGACGGAGAGTCTGCAGGGACTCCCAGCGTTACCACCCACATGTCTGATGCTTCACTGCACCTGTTTTCTTCTCCTCACAGACTATCGGTGCTGCTTTTGTTGCCAAGCCCATCCAGGTGGGAGAGAAAGTGATTACCCTGGGAATTTGGGTGAGTAAGATTTGATACACCTGAAATGAATTTAGGTGAGCGTGTTCAACAGCTCTCGCTTACCGAACCCTGAGATTATGCAAAGGGAGACATTGACATTGCATCATTACAGCAACTGGGATGGCCCCTCAGGAATACAAATGTAGGACCAACAATCCAAACAGAGATGAGTAGTGAACTCCTTGCTTCATCTCCAACTCACAGACCGAGCTTACTCATTCAAAATGTGAAACTTCCATATATTCTACATTCATCACAAACAAATAGAAATATTTGCAGTGGGATGGGTGCATAAATGATCATAAGGCTGACATTTCTGTATATAACGTCTTTTTTTGATATTTTTTTTGTGATATTTTAATGCTTTGAGTACGTGGATTTTTGATTTTGGTGAGCTGTAATCCTCAAGATACAAACAAAAAAAGGAAAAGGAACTATCTTAGGATGTGCTATATTTTTTTTTTAGCTGCACCTGTAACATTTAAATGTGAGGTTTCCCAGCAGTATTTTAGTGATACACAAATATCAGTCTGAAATATTTATCAGTCATCCTCAGTTTATCTTACAGTGAATTCAAGTTCTCACAGAAAATGTGTGTCTTCAATATGGCATCAGCTACATGATACATGTGTGGGATGGATGCTCTCAGTTTTCTATGTGCATCATTTCTCTTCCAAAGAAATAGACCATGAATAATTAATAAGATAATTAGTTTAAGTAGTTGATTCAGAGGATACACTTATGTACAATGATGCAAGAACTGAAATCAAAAGAAACTCCTGCTGCTTCTATGATCGTATTCACCTGAAACATTTTCCTCTTTCTCTCCAAAATAAGTGTCTTTTTATTTAGGTTCAGAGTGAGTATATTAGTAGAAATGAAAACGATGACTTTTCAGCAATTTGTTTGACTTCTCCTCAGCTGAAAAAGTGAACTGCGAGAACAAGATGTGACTTTATAAAATTAGAGCTTACTAAATTGGATTGGTGATGGTAGTTTTTAAGTGAAAAAACCCTAGTGGGGCTAAATTCGCTTTGAGCCACAGAGCTTTTAAAACAGAGGATTACATGGCACCTGAAGCCTGTATGGGGGTTGCAGGAATGTTGACGTATGTACTAAAACGAACGGAGTCAAACAGAAAGCAGTTAGCACTCTGGTGTCTCCTCTCTACCTCCCTTTTGTCTCAGTCGATGTTGACTTTTGATTAAGCTCCGTTTTCTCCTCCTCTCTCAGGACACGGCAGGGTCAGAGCGGTATGAAGCGATGAGCCGAATTTACTACAGAGGAGCTCGGGCAGCCATAGTCTGCTACGGTAAATCGACACTGTTTCTAACTGTGTCTCTTAAAAAGGTGGAAACTTGATGTTGTAGTGCACCCTAAAGCTGGTTTATCTGTCTGATTCCCTGAATCCACGTCTCCATCTCTTCCTTCTACCCTTAATTCCTCCCTCCATGTATCTCTTTATCTCAATGTCAAACTGCACACAGGACTGTATTCAGACTGTTACATGGTAATTTGTTAGATAGATTCGAAGCAATTGTGCAGCTGCTGCTTCGTTTTAGAGCATATTGGCATTTTCTTACTGAGCTCTCAGAAATGCCCTTTTTTGTCTCCTGTGGTTGTATTTTTTCACATTATTATTTAGAAACATTTTTTGGTTGGCCGCTCAGTCCCTGTAGGTTAAACTTTAAATCTCTTTCCTTATCAGAACACAATTGTATAACCCAGCTACCCTTAACCCTGTACCGTCTTTAAAGTATTTAAAGCTGTTTTTTTTTTTTCTCAATGGTTTTATTTTTGAGTTTCTGTTTTTTCCACATTGGGGAACTTTGTCACTGAGGAAACAGCTGACAGTATTTCCCTGCAGATTACTCACACTGCTGTCATGTTCACGTTATCCCTCTTTCTCATCCAGTTTTTATTTTTAAAGGGTTTATTTTATTTAAAATCTTGCCTGTTGGAGTCGGTTTTCGAATTTCCGAGTTTGAAAAGACACAGAAACATTAAGACCTGGTTGGACTGATCGTGATGTCTGTTTAGATATTATTATTAGATGACCAACATATAAAGTTGTGCTCACTGAAGCAGACGTCTCACAGCGACTAAATTCAGTTGTGCTTTGTCAATTTGGGTCTTTCAGATCTGACAGACAGCAGCAGCTTCCAGCGAGCTCGATTCTGGGTGAAGGAGCTGCAGAACTGTGAGGAAGTAAGAGAGCATTTCCAGATTAAACTGTTTTACGGCTTTTTATTATACAGGATTGTTACCCTGCTTCATCACTTTATGGCTCTTTAATAATTCAGCTAGAGAGGTAAAAGTTTGGGGTATGTTTTATTGTTTTGTGTCACTGTGGTGTTTATGCAGTCTCTGTGATTTTTGTGTACATATAAACACAATTTCATGCATCAGAGGTTGGCCTCGAGAAAATGAAGTCCTATATTTGACAATGTCAGAACGAATCCGATCCAAAGATGAGAAAACAAATATAAATCTTAAAAAAAGAGACGGATTGTTTGTCTTTTCATTATATTTTTAAAGCAGACATGCTCTGCGTGAATGCAAAGTACATCTGATGATCATTTTTGGTCTTCTTCACACTCCACGCTGAGTTGTGGATAGGTGTGAACTCTTAGACGAAGGCAGAAATAGAGGTTTTATGATGAGGTTTTCCAGAAGTCATGCAGAATCAGAAAAAGAGGATGAAATCATTGGCAGCTTTAAACTAGTACTTCACTTAAAATATTGATTTTTTTATTTGTCTTTGTCTGCAGCACTGTAAGATCTACCTGTGCGGCACTAAGAACGACCTGGTCAGTGGAGATCGGAGCCTGCGCCAGATCGACTACCACGATGCTCAGGACTTTGCTGAAGGTAATCACAGGCTTGTTTTACTCGTTATATTTTGGATGACATGTAAATATACACACACACTCACCTGTCACGTACCTGCTCAGATGTTCTGCTAAAGGAACAAAACCTAAAAAAGAAAATAAAAGCTAAGAGAGAAACCAGGATAAAGATCATTTCGAGGAATTTACGGCCTCCTTAGTGTGAACTTGAATCTGGAAGCTGTTCCATGTGATTGACAGTTGAATCACAGTCTGACAGTCTGATCGTGTGGGTGAAGCTGTGAGTGTTTGTGGCATAACACTCGATGAGAAATCACTTACAAGTAAAGAGCTGCATGTGTAAACAGTTTATATAGTCATCACTGTCAAACATTTGCAAAGTCTTCCACAACTACCTGCTCCAGTATCATCCACACTCGCTGCAAAACCTGCATGAGCTTCAATTTTCTTTTTGAATTGATTATACTATTAAGCTTATGTGCAGCTTTAAAGGGAGGAACAGTTTGAGGCTTTACTCCACTAAGCAGTAAAGAAGTTAGTTTTCCTGTTTCCTGTCCATGATTAAAGAATATTAATAAATCATAGGCCCATGTGTAGGATTTAAAAAGTCTCAAACATTAAGTGAATGTCAACTTTTCATGAATAAGTTTGAGAGTCTGTCTGAGTTAACCTCCACATTCTGGCTTCCTTCACAGAGATCGGTGCGCAGCATTTCGAGACCTCCAGTAAAACAGGAAATAATGTCGGTGAGTCACACCTTCATTCTTTTAACTCTAAAGCTGTCTTTATTCACAGCCTGTCTGAAGTTTTCAAGACTACATTGATTTAAAAGAAAAAAAAAGGCCAAACTTTTAAACTCTGTATATGTCGAGGTGGTTGCTTGTTGGTGATCATCCTGTAACTCTCGGAGGATTGTGAAAAAGGAAATTGTACAAGTGTCATAAGTCAAATTGAGACATCTTTAGGGGAACACCACAGGCAGGATGGAGCAGACTGAAGATAGTTGCAAAAGATGGTGCTTTTTCTTAATCTATTGGAGCGTGACTATTGGATGAAATAAATTGAGAAAGTACTGTGGAGTGCAATAAACAGGAAGTAACTCTCAGATGTGGTCTCTTCAGACATCAGAATTAACCCCATTAAGGCCCAGCAGATTATTTGGACCCAGTTATCAAAATCAAACATCCAACTTTTACAATGCAGTGTGACAAATGTGATAATGATGTGTTAATGTAGTGCTGACAATGAGATATTACAGTTGTAACCAGCTGAAGTAAAGTTATTTCTGATTGGTGAATGGACTTTTTGTCACTCTGATCATAATGTGTCAATGAACTAATAAACTGAATGGTCTGATTTCTCTTCTACTCCACAGATGAGTTGTTCCAGAAAGTTGCTGAGGACTACAATAGTAGTGCCTTCGAGTATATGACAGGTACTTCATTTGTTTATTTACCTAAATTGACATGTTTGTGGGATAGATACAGTTTCTGCAGGTAAAGACCACATCACGACACTGGTCTGATTTTGCTGCTTTTTTTTTAAGATTGTTATGAGTGAGTTATGGTGAAACACTCTAAACTGCTGCGAAATGCTGCTCTAACAGTGATCCTCGGGGGACACCACTAGTTAAAGGGAGTTCTTTCAGGAGAGTGCTGGAAATGCTTGTTTGTTTACTAATCTAAAAGTGAAAAGCAGTAACCCTGGTTCTGTCTGATGTATACCCCCTGGTTTGTAGAAGAATCGATACAAAAGTCCCAAACACAATTTGACAGATACTGTGTTGATTAAAAAAATTGGGGATGGAAAGCTTTCTGCTACTCTATACAAAATCTGCCTCCTGAACTCACTCCAAAGTTACTTCATATTCTGTTTTTCTCTGTCTCAACAGAAGAAACTAGTGTGGACCTTGGCCAGAAGAAAGACTCATATTTTTACTCCTGTTGCCATAACAACTGATGCGGAACAACAGGAAGGAAAGCAGAAAATGCCGTTGTCAAACCTGGATATGCTGGATGGGTGTCGGATAACTTAGCTCTGGAACTGGGATCCAAATCACACACTGTACACTGACTGTATTTAGATTTGTTTTTGCTTTTGTGCCATAAAGAACTGAGGGCTTCAAGACTTCATGGAGGAGGATTTACGACTGGGTCAAGAAGGACCTGAATATAAACAACACTCATTTTTTTTTTTTCACCCAGATTTGTCCTGTTTTTCTCTTTTGTTTTATTCTCTTGTCAGCTGGTTGTTTGTCTCCTGTAACTTCTCCGGACTGGGTCATGGAGTTAACATGTCATTAAGCTGCAGTGTTAACAATCGGATGATACACTTCTGCAGGAGAGGTCAAGTAAGAGGGATCCTGCTGAACACAATACTGACGGACAAATTTTTATTGATGTGTTTGAATGTCGCGGCATCTTTTGACGCTTCAGCGGGAATGAGGATTTGTTTACAACAGGTAACTTTGTTTACATCCAACTCTATTTAACCTTGATGTGGAAATTCTCTGTTAGTCCTGCACATCTCGAATGAAGCCCAGCAGAGTGAAGCCAAATATGATATGATCTGTGAAAAAGAAAAACACTGCTGTACTCAAGCATGCCTAGAAGTAAAACTGGATGACACTTGGATGAGGTGGTATCACTGATCCGTATGAAGACCTTTTCCCCACAGTAGAAATAACACGACTGTGAAAAAGTAACTCCTTTATTGATAGCAGTTACCAAGTTTTACCATGTGACGCCATGGATGTACGAACAGAGGTAAAGCGTTTCAGGTGATTTGTCCTAGTGGCCACGTAGGGTACTGCAACAAAAACTGACAGGAAGCCTATGTGTGAGAAAAAAGGGTGGATAATCAATGTAAACCTCTTACAGCCCCCCAAAAAAATGTAGTTTTTTGGAAGATCCCATTGTTAAAATAAGATGGTAAAAATGTGGGCAGGGCTACCAGGGGAAACACTAATGAGCATGTGCATTGGCTCATATATCAAGTAAGCAACTTCAATTGAATTGTTGATCGAGAGCCGTCAAGTATCCAGTTCTCCAAACGCCCACAGTGACAGCACATATAACATATATGATTCTGTTTAAAGGAAAACACAGGATTGTGATTATTAGCTGATGGTTTCTATAATGCCTCTATGTCTGTAGTGATACTGCATGGCCTCAGCAGACTTAAAGTTACATTTCTGCACATAAACTCCAAATTTTTCTATTTTTCTTATTTCAGATGAATTGTAGACATGAAAACATGTCTGTCAGATGTTCTCTCAGTCTCCTCTGAAGGTTTAATGATGATCCAAGTTCAACCTCTGTGTTGAGAAACTGCAGATTTCTCCAACACGGTGGACAAACATTGTGGGTGAATGTTGTAACATGGTATAAACTGTCATCTCAGTGTTTTCAGAACAATATTTACAGCTGTGTTTGAGGTTCAAGTCACTAATTTATTGCCTTTTTAAGTTGTGCTGCCAAGATGATGATGTTGGGACTACATGGATACGTTATCAGTTTCCTCCATGTCGCTGCTTCGATGTGTTGATGTTCTGTGTGTTGATATCTTGATGCACAATTTTTTAATGAGGGCTGTTTCACACAGACCAATGTAATGTACAATATGTTCTGTCAAATTAAAAGCTTGTTGACCAAGGCCGCTGTTTCTATGTTAATGTTACGTTTCTGCAAGTCACATGACGTGAAGGACAGGGGTCATGGACAGGAAAAGTAACAAAAGGAAAATCTGCACCTTCAAACAAAACAAAAAATAAGGTCTTTGGGTTCTAAAAGATCGAATGGAGTTATGCTTCCCCACAGCCAACCACTAATCTTGCCCAAAAGTAGGCAAATGAAAGTAAAAAGGCCTCAAACAGAGGTAGAATCAAATCAAAACCTCACTTAACTCTAGAATTTACCCTCAAAACTCAACCACTCTCAAACACACACATCACACAAACCAAGAGACACCAACTGAAGGTGTTGGCATCTTTGGTGTCGCACCCCTAACTGAGTAAAAGAACCTCCTTTTATAGACTACCCAGGCTGACGAGCACCAGCTGAGTGCAATTAGGACAGGTGAGCTGAGTGAGGGGCTCGTTAGGTGTGCTGGAGGTCACATATTCGAATAAAAAATCCAGTAGCTTACTCTAGGATATTTCTCCACTCCCAATGAAAGTCCTTCAAATTAGCTACACTTAAGAACTCATTCGCCAACATTATGGGTTTCACTTCAGGATTTGTAAAGAAAAAGAAATAAAAGACTGAGAGGGATTTAGAAAAATCCAAGCTGATGCTAATTGTCGTCATGAAGCTGCAGCCGTGTCCAGCAGAAGGTTACCGTTTTAACTCCAAGACTGGTGTCAATCAGTGGAGAGTCATTTTACACACTTTTGAATCAAGGTTTTATATTACAAATGATTGTGGCCACAGTCACCCGATACTTCATGGACAACGCTTTTGAAAACTGGAGATTAGGACTATGATCGTCCCCAGTTTGTTTGTTTTTTCAAGGACACAGGAGGCTGCGTTTGGACAACATCTGTGGACGGGAATTTGTTGTCTATCCAAACCCAGTCAATTTGAGGAAATCACACTTTAGAGCAGTGGTTCTCAACTGGTGGGTCTCGACCCAAAAGTGGGTCGCTGACACGTTCTGGATGGGTCGCGAACAGCTGGTCAAAAAGGTGAATATTTAATGCACATCTGATGTTTGACATGTCCTCTGTTTAAAAAAAATAGCTTATTTTGAAAGGCACGCGTTATGTCGTGGTCCTCGGTTTCTTATTAATGTGGCCTGAATGCTGTAAAAATGCATGTTTTTTCTTGGTCTTTATTTTATGCAATTTGATATTTATTTACTTTGTCCTCCTCTGATTATGCTCTGAATGCAGAGATGCATACAATTCAAATTTTTCATTTTACTGGTCTCCATTTTGTACAATTTGATATTTGATATTTTCTGTAACTTCAGTTGTTGTTGTCCTCAGTTCATGTGCTCTGAAATGCACTTTACTCAATCAAATGGGTGTATTTATGTTAAAGATTTGAGATTTGGTTCGAATTTCATCAAAGTGGGTCGCGACTGAAGGACCATGGATAAAAGGTGGGTCCCAGAGTGAGACCAGTTGAAAACCACTGCATTAGAGCATAGCAGGATGGGCGTTCAAAAATCAGTGAGAACTGTTAAACCATTGATTGAAAAAACATACTCCTGTTCATTTGCATATATAGACAATTGGCAAGAGAGAAAGACCCAAGACTGCTGTGCCTATGCTTGACCTAAAAGTGATTTTTGTTTTTTTTTTGTGTTTATTTTGGTGTTCATTTTTTTCACATTATGTGCACGGCATTATTAAAAGACTGATGTTCGTGGCACGTCCACTCCAAGATGTGGTCCGGATATGATAGGCCGAGGTCCCAGGATGAGTTTTGCTCTTTAAGTTCAATGATTCACACTCTTCAGGGAAATTTACCAGCTACTGAGGTTTCTGACAGCAGAGTGAGTTAAATCTGAAATCGGCACAACACAACACTCAAACCCTACCTTTTAAATTGCCCCTTTTCCCTCGTTTCTCCAAAATCAAGGACAGAGAAGGATTGTAGAAAAATCTGAAATACTTTCTCCAGCTGCTAAAATCAGTTGTTTTGGATCTTTGTTGGGAGAGTTACAGAAATAAACATTATTTTAACTGTGTCACCTCAAAGTGTGGCTGCTGTATCAAAGAGCTCTGCAGGAACAAGAACCATCAGATCTACAGAGGACATGATCACTACTACTATCTGCTGCACAAAGGAAACTCCTCAATTCTCAGGGTCAGGGTTTAAGGTTGAGTTCACTTTGGCATCTTGACTCGTTTCTGACAATTTGGGAGTGAGATAATCACCAGAAGAAGAGTTAAATGTGTTGACGCCAACGTGTAATCAAACATTTAATATTAGCATTTGGCCGGAACTTTCCTGTTGGGCCTAGGTCACAAAAATCTACATCTCCTTTTCAGAGAATTACATAAGTGTTGGAGATTTGAAACAGTAGAGACGTATTTGGCTCGTGTTGCAGTAATCCAGGGAGGCCAATTAGCATTTGGCACTCTAACAAAGATTTCTTGAAGCCGCTGTTGTTAAAGAAAGCCTTTTGTTTTTGTTGCCTCTTCTAAATTTCTGTAAGTTTTAAAGCACTTGAATGTTTCATGATCTGCAGATACGCTCAAAAGATAAAATATTTCATAAAGTAAACACTCAAATTTTTAACACCGTGGTGTAAAATGAGGCCAGCACAGACATGGTTTCATAATATTCTTTTTCTTATACAGTATATTTATACAGCGGTTGTTTTAACAGATTAATGGTTGAGATCTAACAGGTCATAATTACACTGGAATGAAACATTGCTTGCTGGGCAACTGTAAAAAGGCATTAGTAGGGACACTTGGCTCTCACAGGCGCCAAACCATTCCTTAAAAATATCTCCAAAGAAATACACTCTAAGGCATTGGCAGATAACACACAGACAATATTAAGCTTAAAGACAGAGCAAAACACATGTGGCAATAACTGAAGTGCAAGCATCATGGCAAAGAGTTCATCTCTTCAAGTGTTTCCCATCCAGTCAGGAGTTTTGAGTTTTCTCTGCTGGACTGTCAAGAAGAGGAGGAAGCAAGGAGCCAAAACCCAGACTCTTCCTCATCGTAGTTTGTGCGTCACAGAACATTTTATAAATAACAACGATAGAGCACAGTATACACACTGGAGCCAACTCGGTGCTATCTCTGCATTCAGATAACCGGCGACTAGATGGGGGAAGACCAGCTTTTTGTTTCTCAGGGTTATATAAAGGAGTGTGTGTGTGTCTATGAAACCTGAGGTCCGACCTGTCTCAGTGTGGAGCTGCTGGGATGTCTGCAAGAAAGCTTCGATGACCCACGATGGTACGAACGTTCTGTCTGTGGAAATTCAACTGAATCCACCTCAACAGTCAAATTTAGAGTTCCCCTTTTTATCCGCTGGCTGCTTTGCAACGTCAATCCAGAACCTTTTTAGGTTTACTTATTATTCAGTTTTATTTATTTCCTTAAATTAATCACGATATTTAAATCCAGGATCTTTTAAGTCCTGGACTCACGGTTGGGGCTACACCAGGCAGCCAATCTTCTGGCACTTTGACATTTTTATAGACAGTCTAATCTTAAAACTCACAACTCTAGCTCCATGATCAAATCTGAGTAATAAGAGTGAAGGCTAAAGCTGCTGTGTCTTTTAAAATCCTAAAAAATACTTCTTAAAATCAATTTAAAAAGGAACTCCAAAGTGCACTCACAAAAACGACCAACTGTGGGGTTGGTTGTGTTTCATTTGGGGCGTAAATAAATATTATTTTTCCTCCTTTTGTACCAACTGGGACAAAGACGCGGCCACATTTTAAGTTCAAATGCATCCATGTCAAACTCATGTTGCAGGTTGAAGACCGAATACTTTGAAAAGCTATGGTTTACTCTCTTTTCCGGTACAAAGCGCCGACATTCGCACTGATTCTGATGCAGCAGATACAAGCTGTCTCCAAATCTTTTTGACATACAGGACTCTTGAAACTCTACCAAAATAAATACCAAAACAAACCAGCAGGTGTTACTGTTCAAAGTATTAGAAAAGAAAAAAAACAAGTTTAATGGAGTGAAATAAGTCCACAGAGTTCTGTCTGTGTCGCAGTTCCAGGTGATATTTGTCTACATATTGACCTTCCATATAAAGATGCATGACCCATTTTCTACAGCGAGTGTGTACCGAGTTCAAGAAATATGAAGGGATCAGAGAGACAAAACTAAATGAGCAGTAAAGAAATAAGATCTGTCTTTGTATATAACCCTTTATAAAGTATTTCTGTTTCGTTTCATTTATAGAAGAGCTTCTTTTGTTTTTGTTTTGACCTAAAAACATCCTCTCCACAGACTCGTGTGGTTCATCTTCATCCGCTTCACCGATTTGAGGGCCTCTGCCACTGTAAAGCACACTGCGTCACTCCTCCTCCTCTTCTTCTTCTTCTTCCTCCTCCTCCTCCTCATCCTCATCATCATCCTCATCCTCATCCTCATCATCGTCTTCATCATCATCCTCATCCTCGTCTTTGATCTCCAGGTATTCCAGCCTCACCTCATCCATCACCGCCTCTCCATCCTCAAGAGGAGAAACTGATTTTGCTCCCCTGACTTCACCCTCTTCGGCTGAATCCTCCTCCTCCTCGACTTCGGCCAGCTCTTCCTCTTCTTCTTCCTCCTCTTCCTCCTCCTCCTCCTCTATGACATCCCTTTCTTCTTCATATGAGGAGATGGGGGAGTAGTGCGGGAGGTCGAAGACGTGCGGGCTGCTGGGAGGATCCGGGCTGCTGCTGGGGGGAGGAGAGCTAGGAGGTGCAGAGACAGGGATGGTGATGGGATCCGGGATGGAAAAAGCAGGAAGTGACCCTGACACGCTGAGATCCTGGCTCCTCCTGCTGGTTGAGTTCAAAGTTGTGGGAATGTTAGAAACTGCAGAGGGGATGACGGCCATGCCCAGGCCCGAGGTCAGGGCTCTCTGCTGGGGTGCGTACTCTCGGATCTCCCCCGGCTCCAGAGGATCAGGTCCACAGGGGTCGTGTTCGCTGCAGCACAGCTTTCCATCCAGCTTGGAGATGAAGAGGAGGCCTTCACGGTGCTGGCTGCAGTACGAACTGGGACACATCTCACAGAAAGACGCCGCCTCCTTTCCACAGATATCACACTGGTGCCAGGGACATTCCCAACGGCCTACAACAGAAACACAAACAGGAATGTCATTTTAAGTAGAGTCAACATTTTAACACTTAGAACTCCACTGGATCATCATGTCTTCAAGGTTTGACAAGCTGTTTTAATGACGTCTTTTTCTGTCAAACTTTTGACCAATTACATGGCCTCATATTCTTCTTCTATCGTTCCCTTGATGGTAGTGTCCAATAAGAGGCAACCAAAGATCAACAAGAGACGAGAAAGTTCCCTGCTTGTCTGCAAAGTAAAAAATAATGGTCCTCAATGCTTGGAAACAAGCAAAGAAGAGATTCTGAGCAGTATGATGTCGCCCTCTGTCTCATCCCAGACAGAAACTGTTTCAAGAAGTGGCATAAACAACTGTAAATAGTAAAAAACGCCTAGAAGAATTAGTGTAAATATGTCAATAGTTTCTGTTTTGTGTTTGTTCCAATCCCAATATTTCTTCTCCTGATGGCCAAGACTTGAGAGAATGATGTGAAGGTGAGAAAAGGCTTGGTCACTGTAGATTTATCTGTTTTCAGAGCAAAGTACTGTTGGTATCAATTTCCGTTTTTGTTTTTTTTTTGTTGACTTTGATGGTTCTAAATCTACTGTCACATTCATTTTAAGTAATTTTTGCACCCATAAACTGAGAGTTGAGGTTTTCCTGAAAAAAAGATGTGTGTATATTTGCTGTGCTTGAAAGGATAGAGTTGCTACATAGATTTTTACACAAAAAAAAAAAAGAAAACAAAACAGGGGGACCAAAAATAGCAAAATATAAAGACTGAGAAACCAAATGTGCGTATCAGCAAAGCAATGAAATATCACAGATTTATGGAAGGCAGCCTATGAAGAGAAAACAAAAAAAGGGCCCAAAACCGACCCTTGAGGGACTCCATGAGTAAGAGATGGTGTCCCAGAGAAATAATACCCTGGATAGATAGAGAAGTTTCAGGCTCTCAGATAGGACAAGACAGTGACAGATTTTTTTCTCTAACATCTCCTGGACTGATAAAAACAAGATTCAGATAAAGAGGGTTTCCAGGGCCACACAGGTTCTACCAAACTAAACGTTCCCTTCAGAGTCACTGACCTGCAGGCCTCTTGGTGAGGTTGAGGCAGTCGGCGTGGTAAACTTTGGGACAGCCAGGTTTCTTACATGAAACCATCTGTCCCCCGTCCCCGCAGCTGAAGCACTCGTCCTCTCGCTCTTTGGTCACCACCGCCTTTTTCTTCCTCTTTCCTCTCCTCTTAAACTTGCGGCCTTTGTCATCAGATGGAGGGTTGTTCTGGTTTGAGAGGAGATTAAATATTAGTTTACTTAAACTCCAGGCTTTAAAAAAATTCATCCAGACAGTTTCCTCACCTTTGGCCTGACACCCAGAAAGCCGCTGCAGTTTGGTGCTCCGCATTTACAGACCGTTTTCCCGTTCCCCAAACACTCCAGGTTGTAGTTGAAGGTGAGCTCTGTGCCTGAATGAATACAGACAAATGCAAAATTCAAGAATGGTTTCTGATCAAATTAAGGCCAAAGATGTTTGAATTTGATCTACGACAGATGAGACAGGGTGAGTCGAATCAAGTTTTTACGATGAAAACCTGCATCAGAAACTAACCGCTCTTAGAGAAGCGTCATACCTGCAGTGATGTCAACGAGAGCGAACAGTCCCACCCGCGTGTCTCCGCTCACCGTCCACTTCTGCGTCTCACAGTTCGGCTGACAGCAGTGGTTCATGAAGCGAGCCTCGTTCCCTTTTGGCCCGGCGTCGATTATTCGATCCTACAAACAGACGCCAACAGAGACGCGTTTAAAGAAAACACAGAGAAATTCTGGCAGTTTTACGTGCCTGAAAAAACAACATCATCATCTTCTTGTCGGTCATAAAAAGGACTTTTTTAATAATGTAGGATCTGCTTTAGAGAGCCACACAGACACACACTGGCTCTTCGGTGTACCTTGTCCAGTGTTAGCATGTAGAAGTTACAGATGTCGTTCTCCTGAGCGTGTCTGATCCTGGACCTGCACTCCTCTTCATCGATCATCTCTCCGACATACTCACTCACAAACTGACCCTGAAGAGAAAACGTTCATAATTCAGCCTGATTCAATCCGACCCCAAAACCAGTACAGTAGGTCCAGTTACCTTCTTGATGTCGTGGACACAGCGGAGACCCCAACCTCGAGACAGCGTCCTGAAGATCTCCACCTGGCTGTACTGGCGCTTTGTGAACGCCTGGTTGAGGCAGCGCTCACCGGCTGGACAAACCTGAAACAGAACGAAACATAAACCCGACTGTAACACGGGAAATAAAGGACTGTGTGATCGTGGCGGAAGTTTTCCCGTACCTGTGGGTGACATTCGTACAGCAGCATTCGGTTGATGCACTCCGAGTCCATCCCACACGGGTTCTCATCTGTGGCTTTGCAGTTACAGCGCGGGATCTCCGATAGGTCCGCTGTGACAATCTGAACCTTTCCTATTGGTCGATTCACCTGAGAGGGTCAGAGTTCAAACACTTTTAAATCGAGACAGGAAAAGGTTAATGATTAATTCTGAGGCTTTCTGAAGTTGATAAAGTCATGAATTGAGACTGCAAAACTTCTTTACCTTGATGTGTTTGTACGGAGGAGGCTTTCTGTCATTCTTTCTGTCCTCTTGCAGCTGCCGTAGCTCCTTCTCCGCCTGCAGTTCACGAAACCTCACGGCCGCTTCCTCCAGAGCTGAAGAGGGAGATCACAATAACCAAACACGGTCAATTCCAGATTATCATGTAGACGAAACCAGTTCAACCCAAGACATGAAGCTCAGTTGAAGATGTTTATTGGACAGACTCGTTACCTTTCTTGTAAGTGGCATCAACACCTTTTCCCATCTTTTCTTTGCTGTTGGCGTCTACGTCCATATAAGGAAAGACCCGGGCCTGGTACGTCCACAGGTAGTCGTTTGAGCCGAAGAAGTGAACAGGAAACTCTCCGACATCGTGCCTCATCCGCTGGATGTTTTCTGGGATTGTTTTGGGATGGCTGACCTCTGCTGGCCACCATCTTGACAAAGAAACAAAACGTTAATATCAGTGTTTAAGGCTAAGGTCAAAAAGAGATGACTCATATCTGCGGCTTTCCACTGACCTGTACCGTCCAACCTTCACCCACAGGATGTCCTTGTAGCGAGGTTTCTTCCCTGCCTTGCAGTCGTTGCAGTACCAGCTGCCTTTTGGCATCTCGATGTTTAGACACTCCCGGTGAAACGCAGCAGGACAGGACTCACAGCACAGCAGACTGCCCCCTGCAGCACAGGAGGAGGAACATGGTGACACTTTAGGGAGTGAACCCTTTTATTTTTTCAACCCTGTCATGATATAAATCTGTTTCAAATTCATCTAGTTATTTGAGAATGTGCCTCCTGTTTATTTACTTTGACCTTGGGATGTCCTGATCCAATATTGATATTGGATATTGGATCAAAATCAGCAAAAATAACAATATCAGATTGTATCAGCCTACATCAGCACTCTGATACAAACAGTCCATTCCAGACTTCGCTCCGGCACTCCTATCGAGCAGCGCTCGGATCCATCATTTAGAGCCCACATAATCACAACAACAGTGTGTGCGAAGGTAATAACAAATTAGCAAGGAGTCGGAGTGATGTCAGAGTGATTTGTTTAAGTCAGAAAAAAGACGTTGCAGCTGAGTGCAAAACTTGTATCTTGTGCCAATATTGGATCAATATCAGTATTGGCCATTACTGAAGGCTACAATATTGGTATTGTATCAGAAGTAAAAAGTTGTACCCCTATGTTTGACCGAAAGTAAAGTTTAAAATTATTGTGTTTAGGAGAGGCTAAAATTATTCCACATGTTCTGAAATAGCACCTTCTGTGCAGACGAAGCACCAGCTGACGTTGACGTGTTCGTGGTTCTTGACGCCGCGGCGTGGGGTGAAGTGGTTCGGACAGATGATGCTGTTGTTGGAGAGGATGACGCAGCCGGCTGCCATGCAGAGGTCTGTAGCGTGATAAGCTACAGGGCAGCGTACGCACCGTACCAGACGACCTACAGACAAACACGAGACAATACACAAAAATTCAGACACGGCTGTTTTTTTATACTTCTTTGCATTTGTTTTCCTACTGGGCCGTGAAATTTGACCTGTTTGCAATGTTGCTGGAAGTCTTTATTCTTATATCTGGTTATGTAGTAGACTAAGTGTCCTATGGTCACCTTTAGAGATAGAAGAGCTGTTGGGGTTGGTGATGAAGCAGGTGAGGCAGACATGAATCGAGCAGCGAAAGCCTCTGTTCACAGGTGCTGTCGGGGCGAAGCTAGCGATGCACTCCCCATGGTAAAACTTCCCACACACAGGAATCATACAACGCCGCACGTCCTCACTGCGCTTCTTACACACAAAGCAGGTGTGGATTCCTGGGGAGATAAAATACTTCAGATATAAATAAAAACTTTTTGGCAAATCATGCTGCCAAATCAAAAATATCAGTTCCTGGAGTAAAATGAAAAATATTGTAGGTACAGAAAGTGAACTTTTAAGTGTGATACGAGAGGTTTATCTTTTTTTTAATGCAGGCCGGAGGTCAAGTCAAAATAACAGTCAGCAGGTTCATGTGATTCACAGCAGATTTGACTGACGTACCTGATTTACACTCTGGACAGACGAACTTCCCTTTTGGAGCTTCAGCCAGAGAGATGCAGGCGAGGTGAAAAGCTCCACAGCACTGACCCTCACAGAGCAGCAGCTCTCCTGTCTTCTCACACACCTGAGATAAAAACAACAAGCTGCTTTAAGAGACCATGTAATGACAGGGATCCAAACTAAGTATAGAGGTGGTTCTCCGTGTTAAACAAGTTTTTCCTCGCTGCTTTTTCACTTTGGATTCAAAGACTAAAACATTACTTAGAAGCTCTGAGTCGTTCTGTGCCAAAATATCCACTAAAGAAAAGCTGAAAATGAGTGTTTTCTCAGCTCCGAACTCACCTGTGATCAATTTCAACTACTCAAAAACAAACAAAAAAAAAAGATCTATACAAACAGATTTAACTGTCAAGAAAACATGCAGTCTGCCTCTGCTGTAGCTCAGGGCTTAAACTCTTAATACTGATCAATTAAGAACTGGGAACTCACCTGACAAATGTTCTCTTTCATGGAGGCAGGGCCGCCTCGGTCCCCGATGATCTTTCTGGCAGGTAAAAGTGGGTCATCGCACAGCGACAGGTCATCCTTCATGGAGGAGAAGCTGTGGTCCAGACTGGACTGGTCACCCTTGAAGGACAACGGCAGAACTCGTAAAATTTTTGAGAATCAAACACAGAGAGACGAGCTAAAGCCAAGCGCTGTTTACTCGGTTCCCCTTTAAGAAATCCATTCAGGCTACAGCAGGAGTTTTATAAAACAGGGTGAATGAACAGATCAATTATTCACCACTTTGAGAGACACTGAACGAGGGAATAGTTCAGCGATCCCAACTGAATGATCTGAAGCATGAAGCTGCTATTATCAGCAACAACAGTATATAATATCAACGGCAGATCAGGAGAATCTCGACACAAAAGAGACAAAATCTTTATCTGACACTGGATGGATGATGTTCGAGCCTTTAGAAGACTCTTCATTGAAAAAAGACACGACTCTGTAGTAGAAAATCCCCGCATGAGCTGAAATCACATCCAAAACCATTGTTTACAAACTCAGTGAGTAGCTGCACTCTCAAACCCGAGTTAAAACTGTAACATGATGAGAGGAAACTATATATTTGGTGACACCGGCAACTTCTCTGGACCTAATCTTGTCTGATGAGGTGAAGCAAAACTTGATACTCTTGGACTTTCACTCTAAAGAGCAGAAGGACCACCTGACTTATGATCCGCACACAGTTCAAAGTCAGCTTGCCTGATGGTATGGGGAAATGTACCGTATTTTTCGCATTATAAGGCGCACTTAAAATCCTTTTGGCTTGTCGGAGCACTGCAGCTACTGTAGCCTCGCGGAGTTATTGACTGTTTTGTTAGGCGTAATGTGCTTTATAATCTGGTGCGCCTTACGTATGAAAATAGACGCGTTCATTGATGGTGCGCCTTATAATCAGATGCGCCTTATAGTGAGAAAAATACGGTGTTTGCCTCTGAAAGAGCATCTGAAATAAACACAAACAGGTTCTGGAGCAACATTTGTTGGGATCTAGACAAAGTGGCCATGTATACTACAGCAAGAATGCCAGACCTTAATCTGCATGAATTACAACAGCATGGCTACATGTGATATCGACAATAACATTTGATATGTTGTCCTTGAACGATTTTCAATCAAACACAGGCTTTGAATGAAACCATCAAAGTTGGTTTCTACCACTATGTCACACTAATACAAAAACACACAAACCACATAAATTATTCACCAAACTGCTTTATAAAAAGACTAGAGGACTGCTGCGTGATAAAGATGGCTGACCTCTGACTCCACCGTGTCTCTCTTCACCTCCTCAGCTTTTAAGTCCTCCGTTTGAGAAACTTCAGTATCTGTTGTTGCGGTCTCCGCTTGGATGGGTTCAGGTGGAGCTGGTGGTGCAGGAGTGGAGATGGGAAGAGGAGGAGGAGGAGTAGTGGGAGGAGGGTCTGTCCTTACAGACGTGGATGTGGGCCTACAGGGGGAAGTGTCTGTGGTTGTTGGAGTGGAGCTCGATGCCGTTAGCTCCTTACTACTCGATTTTAAAGACGGCTGCCCAGAATCTAATGGACAAAGGTTTTATTAACAGCAGTCACCACAGAAAAGGACAAGATAAAAACTCACAGAAGTTCTTAATAATTATTTGTTAAAGCCAAAAAAGTGCAAGAAAATCTACCAATAAAGCTATGAAGTTTTCCAAAATTTTAACTGTTTATGGTCAATTAAAAATTCATGTTTAAAAAGCAAAGAAAAAAACAGGTTTATGATCGCTTTGATTTCAGTGACAGTTAAATATTCACTGACCTGGTAGAGGAGCAGGATTTAAGTTGTTTTTTAGTGTTTTGACCTGTCAGAAAAGAAACAAAACCCTGTAATAAAACCATGTGTGACACATTCTCAGGAAGCATTCTTATTCTCGCTGATTTCGTGGTTCGTCTGATTACGAGCTTGAATAAGTTCTTCAATGAAATCTCATTCCGTATCTTTACAACATTTAAAACATGTTTTTCCCAATCTTTGCCTTGGGTCTGTGGGAAATACAGTCCACCTCATACATCCAGCAAAATCAATTTCCACTCTCTTTTTACTCAGTTCGCAGAAGACTGAATCTTATTATTTAAACTCAAGATGTTTAAAAAGCGATAAAAATCCAACCTGCAGATGATTAAAATTGGCTTTACAATGCAAAAGAAAAGTTCTGCAGTACCTTCTTCTTGGGAACCGGTGAGGCCTCGGCTTCCAGGCAGTACTCCAGGATCTTCTGAGAAGGTTTCCTCTTCCTCTTCCTCCCCAACACTGGAGCGTTTCCTGTCAATCAAACGAAACATGGAAAAATACTCAATGAATGAATGAATCCTTTCTTTAATACAAACTCTTTTGGTTCACAGGTGAAGTAATCTAAGGTTCTTAAGACTTTTCACAACATTTCAAGTACTGTATTTTCCGGACTATAAGTCGCGTTTTTTTTCATAGTTTGGCCGGGGTTGCGCCTTATACTCTGGAGCGACTTATGTGTGAAATTATTAACACATTATTACCGGAGTATCATTTCACATATTATTTTCATACTAAACCGCAAGAGGGCGCTCTAGGCCTGAGTAAGCGATGAGTCTGACGTAAGCGACGTGGAAGAGGAAGCGCCGCATCTTCTACCTCCGGAGTTAGCGGAGTTGATGAAAAGTGACACCGAGGATGAAGATTTCATTGGATTTTAGTTACCGGTATTTGGAGTGACACGGATGGTTTTGGTAAACTTCTTAGCATGTTATTTATGCTATAGTTATCGGAATAATTCTTAATATATTATGTTAACATATCAGGCACGTTCTCAGTTGTGTCATGTAACATAAGCATACCGTTCAGCCTGTTGTTGCCTCTATTCTATTTTTATTTTAAATTGTTCGTCATTTAAATTTTAAATGACATGTCTGTTCTTGATGTTGGATTTTATCAAATAAATTTCCCCCAAAAATGCGACTTATACTCCAGTGCGACTTATATATGTTTTTTCCTTCTTTATTATGCATTTTATGGCTGGTGCGACTTGTACTCCGGAGCGACTTATAGTCCGGAAAATACGGTATCTTTGCATCTTAAAAACTCAACACATGGAAATTTGAAGACCCTGGGATACAACAATGTGATTGACGCTGCACTGTAAACTTTGCAGCCACATTTTGGGGAAAGCCTTCATCTATTTCAGTGTAAGCATTGCTTTAAAAATGCTGTTCCCACTTTGTTATAGAAGACCTCGACTGACTTCTGAGATGACTGGAATGGTGACAACAAGTCGGGTCTTATTGCCAAATACAATCAGCACCAATCTGTGTTTTTTGTGGAAGCAGACTGATCACTATACATGATCTAACTTTATGATTTAATTGCAAAAGAGCTACTTTAAACATACTAAAGACACGTATCTAGATACTAGAGCCTGTTTAGGTCCCTTACCATTGTCTTTGTTGAGCCCTTCTGTCAGCGTAGGGTCAGCTTCAGGAGGAGGGGTTAGTGTATCGATGGAAAGCACGGGTGCATCTTGAGGAGATGAGTTTTCTGCACAGGGTATCTGTAGTTCAGAGGGCGTTGTTGCAGGGATTTCCTCTGGAGGTGGAGTCTGTATTTCAGGAATTAAGTCCAGTGATGGATGGTCATGTGTTTCTTTGTCGAAGTCCTGGAGTTTGGACATGCATGTAGCCGGCTGAGTAATATAAGAGACAAAATTATATAATGACATTGTAAATCGATGACACTAGTCGTTGAACTATGCAGGTGTAACAGCGAACAGTATAATCATTATTAAGCTTGAACAGATCTTACTTTGAAGGATTTTTACCTTTCCAATTAACTGGAGAGGCTTTTTGGTCTTCTTCCTCGTGGAGAAAATCTGATCATACTCTTCAGTCCATTCAATCAGCCTCTTGCTTGGTTTTCTTATCCGTTTGTGGGCTAAAGAATGGTTATATAAGCACAGACAAGTCCTTTAGATCCTTCTGTATCATGGATATATGGAAATAGAAACGTTCCTCCATGTCACGCCATGGACAGTAAAGCTTCTTTTACCACCGGTGAGTGTTACCGTAACTCCTAGTAAGTGGCGACCATTTGGATACTGTCACTTTAACACACCCTGAGCTATGGTTAAGGATGGGGTTGTCAGTTTTCATTGATACTCACATCAGAACTGATACCTCCATAATTTGATGTACAGTGTTTAGGTACTTGTCCATGAAGGTTGTTCCCCCTTGTAATCGCACTTCCCTTCATCCCTATCTTTAGCTTTGGTATACTGTGGCTACACTTTGGACCATATTTGCAAGGAACTGACCATAATTTTTCTTCATGTAGTTTTATACCTACACCTCAATTTAATTTACATGGCTTAACTCAAAGTATAGCATTCCTTCACAGGACTCTCGAGACTCGAAAGCAGACTCAATGAACTCAAACTTTGATGATTTTCAGGTTCTGGAAAATGCCAAACCAGGTATTTGATGGATCTCTAGTAATGACTCTGGAAAAGGACACAGTAGTTTATTCTTTAACGCTACTTCCAGACCAAATCAAGGTCAAAATATAAAAACCAGCTTTCAGTTTTTAGGGCACTTGAACGATTGTTGACACATCTGTTTCTAAACTCGACCACACCCACCTCTTGAAGACTTGCCATCTTCTCCAGTGTTGTGCATCAAGTTTGCGTCAGTGTCAGTGTAGTCCACAACAAGACCGTTTGGCTTATCCAGACCCAGTGTAGTGTCGAACCCTCTCTGCTCCAAAGGCACCATGTTCTGCAGATTCTCCTTTAGTCTGCTCCACCTTTCCTCCTCCTCCTCCTTCTCCTCTGCTACTCCTTCACCATCTCCTTCCTGCTGACCCTCCCAGCTCCTGGTCTCAAAGCCTAGCAGTGACTGCTCTCTTGATGAGCTGTCCACTTCCAATGAAGAGTCCTTTGCTGGCAAGGGATCCAGACCTGGAAAACCAGGTCCAGACCTGGCAGGACGACAAGGCACTTTGCGGTTGGCTTTCTTTCTCACCCCGGTGGAGCTGCCCCTTCTGTTGTAGGCTCTCTTGGACGTCTGATTTGTGCTGATGTTGTGTGTGGTTTCAGTTTTGTCTGAACTTGAATTTGGTTGGTTATTGACATGTTCCACTGGTTGATCGGGTCCCGCCGACGTGGTCTCTCCAGGCATCACTAAGGGTTCCTCCTTTACGTGAGCACTCGGTGGCCCAATTTCCAGTTCCAACGGAGTCCCCTCTCGCTCCCGAGTGTCATGCAAGTCTTTCAGCATCATGAGAAAAGTGCTGAACTTGTAGTTGGAGTCTGCCTTAAAAGAGACAGGTTTACCGTCGCCCTCGTTCGTCAGGGACTGGAAGGATACCTCGTCCACATTTTTAAAGGCATTCATGAAAGAAAACGGAGAAGACGGAGAGGACGGAGAGCGCACCTTCGCGGACTGATCTTCCGTCTTGGCCTTTACTCTTGAAGTCAAGGGTATGAAGTCCATTGGTGGGGTTGACGATATTGAAAGGTCTTCATCTTCACTTTTGACATCAGTTTCATGATCAACTGATTGAGAGGGCGTCAAGGGAGAGGCATTGAAGCTAGACAATGAGACCTCATCATACTCGGTATTGTCTTTATGACGAGGTTTAAGTTTGGCTACAGGACTCAAAGGGGATTTATCTCCAGGGCGACACACAAGGTCCTCAGCTGTTCTCAACGGATTTACAAATTCTTTCTGCTCAGCCTTTTTTCGGGCCTTTTCTTGCTTCTTCTGCTCCACCTCCTGCATCGCCTTCAGGGCTCTGGTCATAAGCCGACCGCTCGCAGGGAGGTGGGCCGGCTGCTCCTGTAGGACGACTTTATTCACCTTTTCTTGGATTTGCTTTAAAGTTTGGACGACCTTCTTGGATTTCTCAGAACACAAACTTTCAGGCAAAGAAGAATTCCTACAAACTAGAGGCCCCTGCCGATGGAAGGACAGAGAAGTTGAATGAAAAACCGCACTAGAGATTGAATCAATCTTTTTCTTTGAGCTGCTGAGCTTGTCAGAGAATACGCTTGTTATGTTGGGAGTAGAAGTCTTCTTGCCCTCCAGCAGGTCTGATTGGTTAGAGGATAGGGAGGGTTTATTGATTGGGCTTATGTTTGCAACTGGTATCCTTTCAGGCTCTGGGCTCTTTGAACTATCGGGAACTTTCGCTACACTGGACACATCAGCAGGTGTCCTCTGCGGTGATTCTGCAGAGAGACAAAGAATACCCGTCCCGCTTGCTTTTAATTTCTTCACTGAGACCTTTACCGACTCTGAACTGACTGCCTGATCGGTGGAAACACTTTCTTTGCCGGCCACACAATCTGACTCTTTAGAGGGTGTTTCAGTCACTTTTGCGTCTCTGTCGTTTTTGTACTTGGTACATCCAGGCTCGTCAGCGGGATCAACGGTCAAACTGGAATTCAAGAACTTCTTGCCTTTAATGTCCTTGCGAATCAGCTTGACAAACGGCAGCCTACACTTGGAGACCAGACTTGCGTGCTTTTCTAGCCTGGCTAATGTTTCAGAAGTGTTGAGATTTAAACTGGGTGCAGGCGTCTTGTTGGTGTCTTTTTCTTCCTTGTCAGTCTTTCTATCGTTTACATCGGCTTTTGTGCTAGTCATGGTGTCCACCTGTTCAGCTGGACTGACACTCTTTGGACCCTCTGAAGACGTGGACTGGTCTTTAGAGGTGACTGTAGTGCTGGACTCTTCGACCTTTTTCAAACATGAGCTCCCTACCTGCTCATTAGCTGGTTTAGTCACAGTATCACTTGTGTGACTCGCTGTCTTTTTCCCCTTTGAATGTCCACTCTTGTTCGAGGGTACGGTGGTGTCAACAGAGGTCAAGGATTTATGTTTGTCTGACGATCCTGTCTGCTCAGTGCTAATGCTGGTCGTACTAAAAGACCTACTTTCAAACGATGTGTTTTTACTCTTCAAGTGTCCCGATGGTTCAAGTGGAAGATTAGTTTCAGTTATTTGTTTTTCCAACAACCCTGGCTGGTCGGAGGGTGCACCGCTGGACAAGGAGGCACTCGGCGCCGGTGTTTTTTTACTGACGACAGATGAGTTCTTCTTCTTACAGGGAACTTTACTAAAGAGAGTGCGGTCTGGCATTGGACTGGTTGTTTTGGGTCGTCTGTCTTTGCCTGATTTGCTGAACCAAAGTCCGCTCTGAATCTCCGGCTGCTTTTTCACCTCTTTGACAACTGAAACAGACGGCTGGGCTGAAACCAACTTCTGCTGACGTTCAAGAGCTTTAGGACACAAAATTTTAGGGACTGAGTCAAGGTCCGAGTAAGGGCACTCACCATTGTCTCTTTCTGATTGATCAGTGCTATCATGCAAAGTCTTTTTAGAGTTCTTTCTACACATGTCTTTCGTTGATTTGCTTGGTTTCCTCTTGCCAGAAGATTTCTTTAAAGTGCTTGGCTTTGCTGGGGTTGTTACTGGAGATAAAGTGGATCCATTGGTCATGTGCGATGTATCGAGGAGGGCGGGGGGAGTAGAGGGAGGACAGGAAGGTTGGTTCTTGTTTACTACCTCTGGTGTTGAGCTGTCAAAGAAGGTTTCTTCTATAAATGAAGAAGAGGAGGAGTCCATTTTTGGTCTCTCTAGGAGAACAGATTCAGCCTCTGCCACACTGTTTTTCCAGGACTCCTGAAAGCGCTTTGCAATCTGTAGAAATACAAACACAGTCATTCAAAAGTCTTGAACCATGCATACGTTTTTTTGATCCCCCTTTTTATGCACAAGAACATGTATCATGTGGGGTATATTCTGGGCTGAATTACCGATATGTGTATCTCTTTGTTTCCTTCAAAACAAGCAACCACAATAGTAGGAGAGACTGCTGATGTGATTATTGTCCAAAAGAGGATCAGTGACACCCTCAAGGAGGATAAGCCACAGAAGGTCACTGCTAAAAAGGCCGGCTGAGTACTTTACTGAAGTACATTCACTGAAGGGAAAAGCGTGACAGGAAAAGATGCAACAGCAACATGGAGGACCACAACTTGACAGGATGGTCAAGAAAAGTAAAATCAGGAACTTTGGGACGACAACATTTGCAATCTTGATATTCAGCCACTCCTGAACCACAGCCGTCAAATGAGTCTTACATGGACTATGGAGAAAAAGATCTGGTCTGTTTCTTAGTGGTTTAAAATCTGATGATTTGGGGTCCCATGTGAGCTGCTGCTGTTAGTTCACTGTGTGTTATTGAGAGCTAAGTCAATAAAAGCACCGATTAGAAGATTGTAAATCACTACATGCTTCAATCTGCTGACTAGCAGGATTTTGCACCTTCCCACAATGCCAAAACTACCATCAAGTGGTTGATGACCACTATACTTCTGCGCTTAGCCAACCTAAACTGAAACTCACAGAAAATATCCATCCATCCATTTTCAACTGCTTATCCCGTTGGGTGGTCACAGGGAGGGGCTGGAGCCAGGGGACACCCTGGACAAGACACCAGTTCATCGCAGGGCTGACATATAGAGACAAACAACCATCCACACTCACATTCACACCAATTTGAAAGTGACCAATTAACCGCACCCCACTTTTGCATGTTTTTAGGATGTTGGAGGAAACTGGAGTACCCGGAGTAAACCCACGCAGACACAGGGAGAACATGCAAACTCCACACAGAAACGCCCTGACCTGGATTAGAACCAAGGACCTTCTTGCGGTAAGGCAACAGTGCTAACCTCTACACCACTGTGCCACCCTTCACAGAGAATATGTGAAATATTTGTCAAGAGAAAGATGAGAAACACTCAACCCTGCCACTGAAGGCTGCTATCACAGCAGCCTGTAGCTAAAGGCTCATCATCTTCACCCATGCTCCACTGATACAGTAATTAACCGTGAGGAACATTACTTTTGCAGCTGCACCTCTCTGTCGGTGCACAAACCTTTTTATGCTGTTGGGACAGAAGCTCTCAAAACAACAAGATTCAGACCAACTTCTTCCTCTTTTTAGAACCTCAGTATTAATATATCATTTATGAAGTTATAATTACAGTGCATTTGTAGTTCTGCTCCCTTTGCTTCCCCCGTCGGCGTAGTAAGCACAGCTGTTCAAATTCAAAGCCACCGTGGAAAGGGTTGGTTGCTTTGTCCTCCACCCATGTCACCTCAGTGGGCTCCCCAAAGGTCCTGATGTAGTAGAGTCTACAGGGTCGATCGCTGGGCTCTAAGAAAACAAGAAACATCAGCCTTGATGCCATGAAACAGGAAGTAAAACTGCAGTTTTACGAGTATATCTAATCAAGGAAGCTCCAAATGTAAGGACAACTAAAATGCTAAAACCATAAAATGTTGTGATGCCACCAAAACATTATTCAACAACAATTCAACGATTTCGCACTTTATGATATCAGCTACCCAAAGCTGTCTTCTCATACGAACGTTATTTTTGATTTTCTTTTGTGATGTTCATGAACACCGATGTTGTCCCCACCTGAGGCTGTCCATTAACTGGGGACCAAAATATTGTATAAACTGCATCAAACAGAAATAAGAGATGCATTATTAATACAGTATCTTGGTAATTAAACCAAACTGTACAATGTTTCAGGCTCACCTTTCATCCGGTGGTAGATTCCCCGCGAAAGGTCCACGATCACTTCACACGGCCACCACGGCCTTCGGTTAAACTTTGCCCAAATAACTTCTCCCTCCAAATACTTTACAGGCGGCGGCAAAGGCTTTTTCTTGAGGCTGTTCTGCTGAAAACATGACAACAACCATATGATGAATGGAAAAACAGAAGATCAGTGCTCTAACAAGATTATTTTGGCCGTGATTTATCTCTCTTTTCCAAAACTGTCTCGAAAGCACCAGGAAGAAGCCAAACATCTGTCAAAACATCATCACTCTGTTGATAACTTAGACTGGATAACTAGACTGGGATTCATATTGGAATTCATATTTTTTATGAGATACAAGAACAAACATGATCATTAGCGACAAGATCGACCACGTCTATATCGTGAATTTTAATGCCTCAAACTAGTGAGGGGGTAGGTGTCAGTCCAGCAGCTAAAGACACAGGCCTGTTTGTACAATTCCTAAAATAAATATTCACGGTAAATCATATAGGATAAACAAAGACAGGTTAGGGGCCACAGGGGGCGCTACATTGACACCTCACAGGAGCTTTAATGAATAACTCCTGTCGATACAAGTCATCTGTATTCAAGACACTTCTTTTAAAACTCTGAAAGATTTGCTATAACACTGGAGTGATGACGTGTTTTATTACATTTCTATATTAATATGAATTATCACCCGGAGAAAGAGCGCATTCTGGTTTCTGATTATGGGAAACAGGACCCAGAGTCCCTGAACTGCATCATGAGTCGACATAAACCAAATCTGCTGCTAAAATAAACAGCATAACTCAGTTTGAAGATAAAATGGACAAAGTAACATAAGCACTTTTTGGATGTTTCTCATCACTGTTACTGTTTTTCTCGGTTCTTAAATGAGTAAAGGATGTTTAATCTCTTAGCTGTCAGTTTGTCATTCACAACAGATTAAAACTTGTTATTCATTTAAGTAGATTGCATTGTTTTGTATGTGAGCTAAAGAGTGAGTACAATGCTCCATAAATCTGCAGGAGAATTACTTGTAATGGGTCATTAATCTAAACTGATCAGTCAGTTCTCAGTTGAATCTGTCAAATTCTTTAAAGCTAAGTCAAAATCCTTTTATCGGTTTGAGGATCATGAGCAAAAAAATCCATTCAGTAATCAAATTATGGCCGATCTATATTACAGATTAGTGTCTGTAGGATTTTATTCATATATAAAACTGCCAGTTTCTTCATTGTTCTTGGATTTTTTAGTTTTTTAGTCTTTTAGGACAAGTACGGCACCAGATTAAAAAACAAGCTTTTTACTTCGGCGTTTCTATCTTTTCCAAACCTACAGCAGATTTCTGATGCACTGTTAAACAATTGTGATATGTGTACCCACAGTTTATAGAACTGCATCCAAACTATTGGGGAAAAAAACATTGATATGTCTGCCCTCATATTTCATATTTTTGTCATGTGCCTTTAAATCTTTTGGAGTCAAGTGGCATCTTAACTTCCTGTATAATTTTAGCTCAAAATAATTGATCGCTGTGTTAAATGTTTTAACAGAACCAAAACCACAAAGGGTGTGCTGAGACAATAATTTAAACCACCTGCTGTGCTCAGACAAAGACACACTGCTTTGTACGGTTTTGGTGTTTAATTTCAAACATGTACAACAGCATGAAAGGAGGGTCGGTTTTCTTTTCCCTCGGTCCACAAAGAGGTCAAAGGTCTCAGTTTTATGACTAAGAATGTTTCTCTAAGTGTCTAATTTTAGCTCCTTGTTCTGTACCATCAAAACATGAAAACATTAAACCCGCTCTGGTGGCACTTTGCGTTTCGATCACCTCAGCGTGAGTGGGGCTAACAGCTCTCAGCGGCAGGTTGAGTGGACTGGCAGGGTTCATGAGCAGGCCTGAGTTATGGCTGGCATGTAGCAGGACTGGCCAGAGGGCTGATACTGGTTACTGTGATGTAACCCTGGCTGGATGGCTGTTTAAATAAGAAGAGAAACTCCACGAAAGTCTCTCATATCTCCATTAAGTACGACACTAGCCAAGAGATCTTTAGCTTAGCTTAGTCTTACAATATTTAGCAAATAAATAACAGCTGTGGTGCAGAAGTCAAGGTGCTTGAATTAAAGCTACAAAGTGAAATTAACTGGAAGGATGACCCTCTGTATTAATCGCTGCATGAACAGCATTTATTCAATAAAGGCTTGTTTTAATGATGTGAATGTGAAGCTTCAACCAGCAACAAATCTGACCAAACGACGACTACAGTACAACAACATGACCTAGTTACAAAGGGGATGCTTTCACTTGCTAGTGCACTCACTGAAGTGAACCACAAGTACCACTGCACTGAAGGAACCACAAATTAGTACTACAGACACTGACATTTTGTATAATCTTCCTTTTTCATATCTAAGCTTCTATCTTTACATTTATGAGTATAATGAATATTTCTATTAGGTGTGGTTCAATATTTATTGATGTCTTTATTTAGAATCACTCATCATGTTAAGTGTGACTGTTGTGTATTAACAGGGAAGATGGAGATAATTTGGGCAGACATTACAAGGCTTATTTTGCACAAAACTTCATTTATGATGAAAATAACTATTATCTTATTGTGTGACTACTACAGCCACCGTCATCGACCAGTTTCAACCTGGCAACTTTGCAAAAACAAACCTCCAGAAACCACGTGTGAAGATACAATCTGTCATGCTGTTTCTTAAATCAGGAAAGATATTTATTCTTTGTCTTGCTCTTTTGAGCCGCCATGGTTATTAGGCTGAATCTTCTTACTTCCTGTGGTATGCTAACTAGCATCAAGCTAAGGGTGTAACCTGCTGTTTCTTCCGTCTATTTTTATTTACACTGTAGCAATCTGGCACCGTCGCAAAATAGGCTTAATACGAGGTATTCACAAGTTCTTGCCTGTACAGTAGGTGTGTCAACTGCTGGATCATTTTTGTTTAGTTTCGTTTTAGTTTCAGGAAATGATGTTCTCTTAAGTTACACTTTTGAGTGTAATTTCTCAATGACTTAATTAGCATTTATTACTCTGGCCACCCGGGGCCATCTGTATGTTTATATGTGAATCATTACTTTAAGAGAGAGAGTAATGTTGACTGCAAACTGCAGAAATCTGGGTTAAAATAACTGAACTACACCAATAAACTGACACTGACATTAAAGATGATTGGAGCCACATTAGTGGACTATTTACAATAATTAACCTTTTGGTGCTGTTTTTTAAAACTCTGTCTTTGATTAAAATGATATTCTGATTTTAAATTTAATGCCAGTAACATGTTTCATATTTCAGCATGGGCCATATTATACATAGTGGTGCATCACCTTTTTTCCAAACCAAACTCTCTAACTGTTCGGGAGTAGAGGAGACCAGTTCTCCGAGCCAAATGTGGTCTTATTCTTCATCATAAAGGATTTTAGCTGCTCAACAGTCCAGGGTTTTCTTTGGTGTCATTTTTGTTTAACCTTAAAAAACAAAAACATTGTCCGAGTGGCGGTACAAGATGCTCCAAAACCTGTACATATGGTTCAGCATTAAAAGTGCCTTTTTGGATATGTACGCCACTCGTACCATGGATGCTAACACATCCCTACGCCATCACAAACTAAATATTTGGTCCTTCCCCTCTCTAGAGCAGAGGATGTGGTGTCTGCTATCACCAAAACAAATGTTAAATTTGGATTCATCAGACCACAGAAAGGTTTTTTTACTTTGCTCCAGTCCAGCTTGAACAAACTCTGACCCAGAGAGGTTGTCATATTTTCTAAATAATATTGATAACTGTTGCAGTTTTAACCTCCATTTTAAGGATGCAGAGATGAACTGTGTTCAAAGATAACAGATTTAGATGCAATTTTAAGCTCATGCAATGTCTTCTTCTGGTTTTGGACCTTGTTCCTGTTCAACAGACATTTCTCCAGATTCTCTAAATTCCTTTTTTATATTGTGATGTTAATAAAATCACTGAATTCTTTGCAACATTGGTTCAGAATTTTACTATTTCCTCCCCCAGCCTCCCCCAGAATTGAATCTCTCACCATCTTTACCTCTGAGGGACTCGGCCTTTCTGTGCCTTTTTATACAGTCCTGTTATCAGCCCGTTTGAATTCACCTCAGTAGCTCAGAGTTGTTTCCACGACGTTATTTTTTAGCTTTGCAAACTTGTCAGTGGTTTGGTGTCTCTTCTCAGCTGTTTTGAAAGGTGTTGCTGGCATCAAATTTAAAATTACCTTTTTTTTTTTTACTGAAAAATCCAAATTTTTCAGTTTCAATATTTGGAGTGTTGTCTTTGTACTGTCCTCTATTAAATGTCGTCTTGAAATGATTTACAAATAATCAAATTCTGATAAAACAAACATTTCACACACCATCCCAACTCTTCTTTTCTTCTTCTTTCTAAAAAGGAATTAACCAAGACTATGCAAACTGTCCAAATGAAAGAGTAACTGGACAAACTTATGAGGTCAAGAACCATATCAACATCATTCTGGCCAGGTGAACCTTCTTAAAGGGACATTCTGTCGTAAAATTAAGTTAGGGAGTTCGACACCCCGTCAAGAGATTAATGTTGCCGACCAATATCTTCTCTAATATACCAACTTTAGTAACAACTGCAGATCTTAATACAGAGAGCCACGCGCTCAACCAAAACGCCACTCTATAGCCACAAATAATGCTCAGAACAGCACCTAACTTTATCAACAGTACATATAGGGTCCCAGCCATAGCACTAGCCACCAAACATCTTTTTAACGTTGCCTAATTTCCTTGACAAAGAGACTAAACACAACTCACTTATTTGTACAGAGACGTCTGGGCGAGTCCTGCTGTGGGGTGACACAGCTCAAGGAAGAACATTTATAATCATTTCTTTATCATTTCCTTGAGAAATATTCATCATATTAATCATTTTGCTCTGCAGACACGGTAGTTCTTCTGCCTTAGAGTCTCGGTCTGATTGCATTTCCATGAAAATATGATCATAAATGTTCTTCCTTAAGCTGCGTCACCCCGCAGCAGTCGATGGACTCGCCCAGAGGTCTCCGTACAAACAAGTGGCTGCTGGAAGAGAGGTGGTGAGTGTCTTTGCTAAATAAATCCGGCAAAGCTAAAAAGATGTTTGGTGGCTAGTGCTGTGGCTGGGACCCTGTATGTACTGTTGATGAAGTTAGGTGCTGCTCTGAGCATTATTTGTGGCTGTAGAGTGGCGTTTTGGTTGACCGTGTGGCTCCCTGTATTGCTATCGTGCGGTCGTTACTAAAGTTGGTTTAACTTGGGAAGCAAGCGGTCGGCAACATTCATCTTTCGACGGGATGTCCAACTCAGTGTTGCTGTGTGTTTGACCCTAAATTAATTTTACGCCAGAATATCCCTTTATTGGGCGGTAAGGATATTTTTGTGTACCACTAGTTCAATAACAAAGCTGTACATCCGGGTGTGTTGCTGGTATTGCTAGGAAACCTGAAAGGTCATTTTTAAAGAGTGCACTCATGAAAATTTAAGATCAAACTTGCCACTGAAGGCTTTAGGAGACTTTCTTCAAGCAGCAACAGCTCGGTGTCGCTCTCCCACTCGTCATCTGATCCGTCCCAGTATCTCCTGCGCTGACCCGACGACTGGGACCGGGTGACCACCTTGGCAGACGACGTCACAGTAGCACCCTTGGAGTCTGTGTTTGTTTCCTTAGCTGAAGACTGATTTACATCCCCCACACTCTCAGGTTTGTCCTGTGAGCCCCCCATTGGCGACACCAACCCCTGCTCGTCATCGTTGTCATCATCCTCGAACAAAGACGACTCAAAGTGGAGGAAACCGTTAGCAAAAGGACTGTTGCTATCCAGAGAGAAGGCTGGGCTCGGTGGGCCCGAAAAACAACCTTCTGTATTCTTCTCTGAGATGGTAGAATCACTCTGATTGGCTGTCTGGATGTCTCTACTTCCTGTTTGTACCACTGGTTGTTGTAGTCCAGAAGAAGAGCTGGTGAAACTCTCCTCCCTGTTCGAAATCTGGGAGCCAGAATAATCCCTGCTGGTGCCATCAGCCCAAGAGTCCCTCTCCTTCTCCTTCCCCCTCTCCTTCTTACTCATCCCCCACTCCCAGCTCCTGTCCGGCTCCCTCACCGGCAGCACCAGGTCCGGTTGGCTCACCATGGTGGTGAGATGTTGCAGCCTTCTGAGAGGGCTGTAGGAGGAGGCTGAAGAGGAAGAGGAGGACGAGGAGTGGTCCCTTTGTGTGAACCCATAGATGGATGCATGTTTGAGGGAGGCAGACATAGTTAATCCGGTCCTGTGGTCATGGCGTCTGGGGGAGCTGGAGTGGGCAGAGGGGTCACGGTTAGGGGTCAAAGGGCAGCTGGACTGATGAGTCTCCCTGCCAGGGCCTGTGTAGAGCCCACTCATGCTGGCATGGTTCCTCCCTGCAACATGAGAAGACACTCTAGTGGGACTTCTGGATAGAACTGTGTAAACATATTGTGCACAATCATCAAAGCTCATTATCATTTCCCTATAAATCATTTTGTGCTGCTTAATAATCCCATAATCCCGCATAATAATCCCACAACAATCATAATAAAGGCATATTTTTCTTTCCCCCCTTCAGATGGTTGCAGCTTATCCAAAGTTACCTCCGGCAGCTAGTGATGAGATATGTCAGAGTGACCGTGATAAAGGCACAACTGCTACATCAAATAACAAAAACACAGCAGTCTACCTTCACATGATGCAAAAAAATCAAACGTGAAATCACCCACGGACGACGAGCAACATCGACCTAATTTGACACATTATCTTGAAGAGAGACTAGTCTGCGCTAACACCGCAGCCTTTCCTGTCGAGCCTTTTCAGGAAGAATTATCGCGATATGATGAAAATGACATCAAGTACGATAAGGTCAGCGCACACATATACATGCTGGAAGCTCCCATAATAAAGCCACTGAGGTTATCAAAGCGCGTCATGGTAGAAATCAACCCCGACGCAAACACGCCGGCGCTGTAACCACGAGCTGGAATTAAAATGGACCCGTTTGTGCGCGCGCGTGAGTGTGCGTGTGTGTATGGGCGTGTGTGCGGACCTATAGGTGTGTGCAACTGCATGTGTATGTCTGTGTATGTCTGTGTGTCGCTCCTTTTCCTCGTGGCCGTGCGGCGCGTTAATGAATGCACGAAAGAGAAACACAAACGCTAAATGATAACACGAGACGACGACACAACACAAGTTCACCCGCACACACTGACACACTGACACACACACACTTCCACAGGCTTCCCTCCGACAGATGCAGGCTATGTGCATCAAACAACAAAATCACGGAGAAAACGCCAAATGACACGGGATTTGGCGCGAGAATCTTACCATTCCGGTGTAGGCCACCGCGCATGTGACCCTCAACCTCGCCATTTTGGCGTTTAAATGTGCCAATTTCCAATTTTTTGAAAGCGGATGAGGAGAATCCCAGTGGAAAAACTACTAGGCCTGGATCCTGTGAAACGTACTCACTCACTCCCCCCCTCCAACCTCCCTCCTCCTCCTCCTCCCCCCTCCTCCTCCTCTCTACATGCGCTAAAGCCGGGTCCAGCGGCCCCTTGAATAGAGATTCAGGCGTGCTGTGCTCGTCCAGCGACACTCCCCTTTTCTGCTTTAAGACAAGTCTAACTTTAAAATCGCCCTTTTAGGATCCCTGCTCTGTTGAATGGCTGTTTCCTGCCTGCAGACTCTGACTGCCCCCTTCAAAGTCAGGCTCTCTCTCTGCCGTGCGCACTGCCAGGCGTCACCACTGCCTCCCTCCCCAGCCAGTCCACAGCATGGAGCACAGAAGGGGCCGTGAGTCCCTCATCAAGACATTCAAATAACAAATCTAAGCTGACAGCCACCAAAAAACGCACCGGACGAGCAAAACGACACCTCCAAAAAAATCGCCCCGCCCCTTTTCTCTAATTAAAAGCATCAATTATTAACCTAAACCGGGCTGCCATCACCAATGACATGATGACACATGCCAAACTTGTGCCAGCAACTGGCATCTTCATCCACCCTCGACACGCACATGCGCCAGAAGATGGGCAAAATGAAGAAGTGGAAGACATTAAAAAATGTCCTCCCAACAGCAGGCACCACGCAGCAGTGAAAATGGTGCAAGCAATCTACCCGGAAAAAACAGACGGGTTTCCTTTTTCTTGAGACGAGTTGTGCTGTGTAGTCTCTGGCTGCTCACCCGGTCCCTTCAAAATGGAGTCCTCCAGCCTTAGAGGAGGAAAAAAAAACAGGCCACAAAGTGTTAATACATTCTTCGATATAAAGTTCACCCAGCCACAGAGAAAGTGAGCCTCAAAGCGCACCTCTCCTCTGCTCTGGAGGTGCTTGTGGAGCCTGCCTCATTCGTGGATCTCCAACTGCCTCGATATGGAGATTGTCTTTACATGTAATGCCTCCCAAAGTCACTGTCTTATGAGCGTTTCTGCCACGATAGGGGGAACTGAGGCACACTTATCCTCCTGTGTATGTGTGTGTCTGTGTGTGCCAAACGCTCGTCTGTCAGCACAAACCACAACGTTTAATAACACTTGGTGCTTTTTGACCGAGCAGGGTTTGTGCATACATGTTGTAAAGACACGGTCAGCTTTCCTGATTTACAGAAACGAAGGGGTGAGACACACAGAGAGACAGAGAGGGAGAGAGAGAGAGAGGGAGCTGAGAAACAACTGCAGCAGCTCTCCACTCGGCTCTACTCGATTTCTCCTCTGGTGTGGAACAGAAACACGTAAATATGCAGATTTTAGGAGTGTATGTGAAAGAGGACAGTAAGGATGAGGGGCTGCTTCAGGTGTAAAGAAAAAAAAAATCCCTCCTCCCTTTCTCACTCCGAGGAGGGAATCGGCGTTTCTGATCGGCAAACAGCAAACACTCCCTCCTCTTCCTCTCCTGTGGGAAATCCTGAAAAACACACACACAAAAAAAACCAAAAGCAGCTCAAAGCTCGTATGGGTCAGTGTTCAGCCCCCACAAAGGACGACTGCTCATGTGGTTATTTTTCACGTTTTTTGTGCCACACACTCGCGGCTTCCCGGTGAAAATCAGCCCTCCACTTTCTCCCCCTGCACTTCCTTTTTCTTTGACTCAACAACGCAGGATTTTGGAGAGCTTATTCCTCCCCAACATTCACTCTCCACAGAGAAAGTGTGTGAGTGAATTATAGAGACAGACAGGCGAGAGAGAAAGACAGGCAGACAGGACAGGGCCTGCTGCGGTCTACTGGAGCGCAGAACAGCGCCACTGAAAGGCAGCGTGGTGAAGCTCCTGTTGAACCACGACTTATCTTCACGACTTGGTATTCATGCGGTTTCAGTATCACGCAGAGTGGACTGAAGCGGGTGATCTGCAGAAACGTCATCCCCGGACTTTCCACTTGAGTGTTAAAGGTTTAATGCCAAGTTTTGAGATGACAAAGCAAGAAGATCCTGAGAGTCCCCTGACAAGAGGAAGTGAATCATTTAACAGACTAATGATCAAACTTGAGACAGAAACACTCGAACTTAACTTGAGGACACACATGAGGTATCATCAAAATAAAAAGCGATGACAACAAACAAATAGCTGACAGTAAATAAGATAAAACCTAAAAGTTAAAGTGCTCCACCTTGCTAAGACCTGTGTGTTTGTGCTACGTCTCATTTCAGGCCTATTGAACAGTCTGTGGGAAGGAAGGAAGGAGCACCTGAACTTCTCCGTTCTGCACCTGAGGAGAGTAAGTCTTTGGCTGAAAGTTCTCCCTCTCAGCCACAGCTCCTCATGGAGGAGGCGGGAGGAGTTTTCAAAAATGTTGTCAAGCTTGTCCCTTATCTTCCTCTCCGTCACTGCCTCCAAACTGTCCAGTTTGTGGCCCACCACCCTGCCGGACTTCCTCACCAGCCTGTGGATCTTATTTCGCTCTCCCTCCCCGATGCCTCCACCCCAGCACACCACAGCAAAAAACAAAGTGCTCGCCACCATAGACGGGTAGAAGGTGGCCAACAGTTCTGCCCGTTCTTGTACACAACATCTGTGTTGACCTTCCAGTCCAGCCTGTTGTTAATATGGACCCCCAAAGACTTGTAGGAGTCCACCATCTCCACCTCCTCCCCGTGGATACTATGAGGATATACTACATCCCCTAACTATACGTAGCCATCATGAACCCTATAAAATCATGGGCATCATTCAAACTCCGCAAAAGTGAAGGTCAAGGTGCATAGACTACAACATGCTCCTGATGACTGTTGTGATGCAACCCTGGCTAGATGTTTGTGTTCTTGTAGTTTTATAAGAAAAACTTAACTTTAATCCGTCTTTAACATCCATTCCTCCGCTTGGTAATAAATGACAAACAGCATCCCCAACTCTTTCTACTTTTAAACCACGTCTTAAAACTCATTTTTTATTCCTTGGCTTTTAGCTCAGCGTGAGAGCTGTGTGGTCTCCATCCTTTTATGTTTTTTATGGTCCTTTTATCACTTTTATTTCTTTTATGCTTTTGTGTTTTTACTTCATTTTAAATGTTTTTTTTTTTACCTGCTTTTATTTTTTACCTCATGCTGTTTTCTGTAGTGTTTGTTCTTTTACTGTGCAGCACTTTGGCAAAGTTAAATGTTTTTTAAAAATTGCTATATAAATAAAGTGGATTGGATCGGTTGTTTTTGAGCTACATGAAAGTAGGTAAGTCATTTCCCAGAAGCAGCAAAGGCCACAGAGTGGGGTCATATAATGGGATAACTCTTAGTCACTGCTTGAATATTAGCTGCATAAACAACACTTTAAAGTAAAAGCTAGTTTAATTTTTGTGAATATGAGAGTTTGAACTCACTACCAATCCGAATAAACTACTAGCAGTCTTATCTACAGCTACAATTTCACACACTGCTGCTGTTGGGTTTTTCTGGTAGTATGCCATGCAGTGTTTACTCATGTGAAACAACATGAGGTGTTTCTCCACTTTCTGCAAAGTAGCGGTTTTTGTGACACTTACAATAGGTGATGCATTCACGGACTGGTGCTCACAGTGAAGTGCACCATTGAGCCCGGTGGGTCAGACTGAGTCAGTTAATCTGCACAAATATCATATCTTGGAGTTTCCGCTATAACATCAAACCAGGTTTTACTTTGAGAAAGCAACGTTATTGTATTGAGTTGTAGTATCGTTAAGGTGTGCCCCAAGAGAATCAGAGTCCAGCAGAGGGGCTTGTGTTCTCTGTGGAAGAGTCAGGTGGTAAATAAAGCTGAAGGAATCATTTCCCAACGTCACCACACCCTGTTCTGTGAGTTTAGGTTGATGCCGTCAGTTTGCAGCTTTATAGCGCCTGAAAAAAAAACCTTACTTAAAATCTTTAATTTCTTCTGCCATCAGGATGTTGAAACTTGATCGTCATCACTTTGATCGAAACACTTTCATCTAAAAAACGTTCACATATTGGTGTTTACTGGTGCATGACCCACAAAGTGGTTACACATGATACTATCCCTGAGACCGGTTTGTTTCTTTATACATTCACAGAATGTAGACTTATGATATAATGTGTAATGCATCTCGGCATGCTGTATTGATTTATTCTTATTTAATTCCTTATTTTGTTCAATTCATTGGAGTCTTACCCATTCTGGTCATCACTAAAAGTGGCCACATGAGTGCAAAGAGCATTTCTGTCAATGTTCTGAATGTTTATTTGTTGTTTCTGACACGTGCCTGTCCACCGTTGTTGTAAATGTACTGTATGTACTGTCTGAGTTCACTGCTAAATTAGATTAACATTTATATGATAATTACAATAATTGTTATTTGTGTGAACTGAACTGAAATAAAAGAGTCGAGTCATCTTTCATGTATGAAAAAATAAACCAAAAGGAAAATCTAAAATTATGAATTTGTTATTTAATACATTTCCTTTAGTTGTCCTAACAGGGATACTACAGGAGGTAAAAGTGTGAGAAGAGAACTCTTAACATGATAACTATGGCCTTTTTTTAGGACAGACGATATGGGCTGGAAGTGAGAAGAAGCAAAACTGGAGTGGGACACAAAAGACCATGACGACATGACTTGTCTCAGATTAAGATAAAGGAGTCTTAAAATGTCTTTTTATTTGTTTGACAACAGAATAATGGGAACACTAGTCATGTTTCCAAACTAAAATTCTACCGTATACTAGCTGTAACTGCCCATTAAAGACACTAAAACAATGGTGGTTAAACATGATAAGACAAAATAACCAGTTTTCACCATCACTAAAAGAAGCCGTAAGTAGATGTCAGATAAAAGATGGAAACATGCAAGTTTCTGAGGTGGAGCCAAATAATTCAGATTTACACATTAGACATGCATGAACTTTAGCGAGAAGCTTTTGGATTGTGTTGGTTTTGGCGCCCCCTCTGGTCAAAGTGGTGTTTTATTACGGCCCAGAAATCATCAGGCTCATTGTCGGTGGTCTTGTTGGATTGTGTGTTAGCTATGACACTGTGATTGATGACTCTGTACACAATCGTTGCTCCTGAAGCTAAGATGACCATATTTTGAGATACTCTATATCTTTAGTTTTCTTCTTCACCCTGGTGGCCCAATAAAAAACAATGAACACAAAGACATTTTCATTCTTTTATGATTATAAAAAAAAAAAAATGAGCAGGACAGAATGTAAAACCAGGTCATGGACATTTGGTCAACCCACCTGAAGTTCTTTGTGCAGCATATTCGCAAAATAAGGGAACACACAACACCTAGAACCAGGGTCACTGACTTTTTCACAACAAGGAGTTTGTGTTTCTTGTTATTAAGAACCCAATTTCAGGTCCAGGGTTTTTAATAGCACTCCAAATACAGAGTGGTACCAAAAAAATAGAGGGTGGTTTTATGTATTAGACGAGTTCTAAGACGGAAACATAATGTTGAAAGTTTACTTCTATTTAAGTATAAATGTATTATTGGCTTTATTTTTGAGAGCTTGTCGTTTTTTTTAAATATTTGTTGCCTTAAACAAAAATCCTGAAATAGAGTATTAAAAAAATGCTTAATGCCCCAAACCTTCTCCCTCCATTTATAGACCTTGAACTGAAACATAACCAAACTGGTCACTTGTCAGATACAAAGTATAACTGGAGTACAAAGATATTTTTGATTGTTTTATAAATGTTTTTGTTTTTGTTTGAAAGTTGGTTTTCTATTGAGTTATGAACACATTGATAACATATGCAGTAGATTTAAATTTTTCCCCTGCTTGTGTGATCTGACATTCGCCCCCCAAACCAGCTGTTTTAGGCATTAAAAAAATGTGACATCAAAACTGTGACTCCTGTTTCTGGTGGTCTTATTTGCATATGTACTTTTGATTTCAGTCAGTTTCATAACGCGTCAGAAACTCCTCACAGGTGCTTTAAGAAACTCCATGTTCTTACGCAACAGTTTTACAACCAAATCCTGCTGATGAACGCGAACACAGCTCTGTCTGAGGCAGCAGTCTAGCCCTGCACAGGGAAGGTCACATCCTGGATCAAGAACTTAAACCAGCTTGTTGTGAGGTCTTGGTGCAAACTACCATCCCAACACTCTGCCGGATGATTCTCACTTGTTTGAGTTTATTTTCCTTCAAGAAGATTTAGGTAGATCTAAATCATTTTCAACATTGACTTGTCTTGCAGAGCTAACCATTGAGTCAGCACACACCGCCTGGCAGGGCGCACTAGTTAAAGTTTATTTAACTAGAAAATTCTGGAGCGTCAGGATCATGGTCCACATTCCAGTGGAGGAAAGCCAGACTGTCTGCTCAATGAAAAGGGCCCAGCTGACATTTGAACCCTGAACCTGCTTTCTGTCAGACAGCTAATTCACCACTTGGTGTTAAAATAGCAAAAATACCACTGATTAAATAAAACAACAGTGTTTTGCCTTTTTATTGTTACTCATGCAGTTTTGTAAGATTAGTGAAACCCACATAAAAAAAATCTAAATCCCTCCCCTTACTCAGGAAGAGCTCTACCTTTCCTGGTCTATTCAAACAGCCTTTGTGGGGACTTATCATGTCCACCAGAGGGCAGCACAGCCCATGCTATGAGACAGACTTAAAATGTGACTGTGCATGTCAAGGTTGGGTTTTAATGGGTTTCTGACTGTCCCTGTCAGCTGGGATTGGTTTCCATTTGGGTTTAAAACATGTGAGGGCATCTAAATTTCTGCTCCCCTCCAAACATACCAGAGAAATTGTCCTGCAGCATCGTGGTAGTTTAGTGTCTCAGAGGAGTTTGTCTCTGAATTAAAGGAAAAAATCTTGAAGTATTAAGTCTGTTTTTTTGTATTCTGTAAATTTACTTATGATCATACAGTTATTGAACACCATAGTCGTGTTTGTACAAGGTTTAAGCAGAGTGCATGGATATTTATGTGGAAAGTTTGCAGTTTAATTCTTCTCTCTGCACTCTCTGTTTGATTTACATGCTTGTTCAAAACCAAAGAAGCTTGATGAGCTCTTCCTACCAGACCATAAAGACAACATGCTTTGGTATTCTTCTTTTATAAATGATTAGAGGCAGTGATTCTTGTGGTTTCATAGTGTAGTGGTCATCACGTCTGCTTTACACGCAGAAGGTCCTGGGTTCAATCCCCAGTGAAACCAGTGTTTAGCAACCACATCATTATTAGTGCTGTAGACCTAATAAATGGGACTGAATATGTCATATTAAGTGCAAAGGGATCAGGGTTGTGATTGTTAAAATAGATACATGTTCTGCTGTAATCTTTGGATCGACAAACATTTAAGAGCTTAAATCTGGGGTGAGCAGACTGACTGTTGCCGTTAATCGTTGCCAAATTGAAATGAAAAGATGATGTTTGACATAATAAAGCAAAGAAGAGTGCTGATTTTTTAATACTGCACTTTTTATGCCTGTAACCAGAGTAAAGGGGGTGGGTGTCAGCCAAGCAGCTGAAGAAACAGCTCTGTTTTTACAATTTCCACATAAAATATCAAAGAACAGGAAGAGCCAGTACATTACCAGGGATATCAAGTGGGCACCCACTTCACCTGTTTCACCAAGTTAGACCCACAACACCTTCAGGGGGAAAAAAGAGAAGGGGAAGGAGTAGCAAGCTGAGCAAGAACACAAATATATGATGATTATTGTGGATTAAGCTGCCCCACTGTAAATATGTTTTTGTTTTTTAATTTCAGTTTTCAGTTTCCTGCTTTATTTTGTAGTATTTCATCCTTGAATGTTGAGTCTAGTTTTACTTCCAGTGTTTTCCCTCCTTTTTTGATAGGACCTCAGTTTCACTCGGTCACCTGTGTGTATGTACACTCTGTATCTTTACTTACTCTGCATTTATGCGTTTCTTCTTCCCTGTGGTGCATCTTAATTTCACTTTCGTAGAGCTTCTACAGTTTTCCTTAGTTTTGCATTTTTGATGGATTTCAATGAGTACATATTTGTCGTTGGCGTTTTGAGATTTTGGATGTTACGTCTCCATGTTAAGTTTGTAGTTTGGGTTCTTTAGTTTGAACTCTAATCCATGAGAGAGCCAACGTTATTGTGTAATATGAATTCATACTCAAGCACCTCAATTTTTAAGAAAACACACACATGTACTCTCTCTCTCTATCTCACACACACACACTTACAGGATTAGATATGTGGGAGGGAGTATCACGCCACATGCTGATGAAGTTTTAGTGAACTGTCTGTCACACGAGAGACCCGAACAAACGGACGCCCACACTCATGTCCTCTCCCGGATCTGTGTGTGTGTGTGTGTGTGTGTGTTCGCGCGTCTTCCTGTTGTTTTAGATTCCTCTTCACTCCCCCACTGCTGCCAATCCATGACCTCTGACCTCTGCTGAACCCAGCTGTCAGCTGTCCTGGACCACATGAGACAACTCTCTCTCTCTCTCTTACTTTCTCCATCAACTTTTTCTCTCTCTCTCTCATGTCTTAATTTCATCCTCATCCTTCTCTCTATGTCTGTCATTACAGCAGCGTGTCATGTACAGTCTTGGTTGGCAGAACTCAAACTGGGGATCAGATCACAGGAGACCTCCTCACTTTTTTCTCTGTATTTTCTCTAAAATTGTGTTTCCTTTACTGTCCATTGGATCGATACAGTAGAAGAAGTAGATGTAAGTCTGATAAACTTGTACCATTTGTTGAACTCAGCAGTGTGACAAATATTTGAAAGTGTTACCTTGCCCTGGTTTTTGCCTCTCAGGCTGTCTTAGCTGGATTAAATATCTGAAAACACTCCTAAGTGGTTTAAAAAGCCAAAATTAAACATTTTTTTGAATTTTTAAAAAACTATCTTTAGGTTATAATTCCATGTATTTTGTCTCCCCCTTGTGGTGTAAAGAGTATTTACGATGTCAGGCAGGTATCATTCCTCTGAATATGTTTTTTAGGGCTATAAAAAACCCCAATTTTATAGCAACAGATAACACAAAAGACAATATTGTTTAAATTTGATGCTGTCTTATTATTATTCAAGATTTTAATTTCCTGGAAGTAAACCTAAATCTTTAGAAAACAATCTCTTCAGAGGATATGTGACTCAGTCTTGCCTGTTCTAAGCGTACATCCTTATGAAATCATGTGGGACCCAAACAGCAGCACAGAGGGAGGACAAAATGAGGACAGGCCACCAGAGGAAACATTGTTCAGGGTCACAAGCGGCCAGAAATCTCTGCACCTGGAGGTGAGTCACAACAAGCCCGGATGCTGCATCACATTATCGACCCTTTAAGGTCAAAGTACTGAAAGACTGTGTAAAGAAGCAGCAGCGCTCTTCCTCCACTCCGTCATTCATCACAAAGCTAAAGTCAGTTGTCCAATACACAAGTTTCATTTCGTTGGCTAATTTGATCATTGTTTTCTTGTTTTATTATTAGTGTTTATTATTATCATGATCCACCGGGCAGTGGCAGTTAGTAATGCACAAAGTCAGACCTCAGAAGTAAGATTAACTCTCACTTGATGAAAATTTCCTGCAGATGTTTTTCCTACATTAGAAAAAGTAAAGGATGAAGTTTAAACAGCTCAGACAGCCTCTCTATTAGAACATTTTTAACTGTAAAGATATAAAGCTCCGTAACTAGAGTGATATTTATTTCCTTCCACATCTCTACTTGATAACATCCTAATAAACGGGGTTCAAAATTTGTACCCACAGTGTCAACTCATAAGCTCTTAAGTCCAGCTACGATTAAAACTTGATCAGGTGATTTCACCTGTCCTCGTCCCAGACTACAATCACCAGGCAAGAATTAATTCATGTCAAAAGTCGATCTATTCCTGGTCGATCTATCACGCCACATACCAAAACAAGATAGCAAAAAGGTAAATGGTTGTGAGTCAGATTGTGAAAATATGGACAACTTTGCAGCTGTGTACCTTTTCTTAAACCAACTTGATCTATTTTACTTTTCTTGTCATTCCTCTGTTAAAGTTTTGTCTACTTCGTCTTTGTCAAAGTCCAGTGTGCAAACTGTAGAGCATGTGCAAAGTGTGGGGCAAATTTGGGTCTGATTGAGGTGTAACCATACAAGAAAGAGTTGATCCCCGAACATATTCTGATCGTCTGCTATGAAAGAGTAGGAGATTTTGGGAGAAAACAATTGAGACGTATGAGACTTTTGACACAATCGTGTGACTGATCCTGATTGTTTCCAGTGTTTTCTGTTGTATTGGTTTGAAGTGTTAGACTTGCAGTGCACTCATGTGAGAGTAAAATAATGACAGTAGATGAAACATAGAAATAGCAGCTCAACCAAAGGAAAGAAATGATGGTCATACAGCGTGGTACATTAAATCCATCACTGATTACAGAACTTACTCTAATACATCATAATGTTCATGTCGTGTTTTTCATGTTAAGACAAGGGACTGAATAAGACACTCAACTTTTTGAATGTTCAGTAAACAGAAAAGCTTAATCGGGATGAAATGATTTTAAAAAAACTGCATAGAAGACATTAAACTGAGTTAATAAGTATTTAATTTTCTCTTCAGATTTGGTAAATATTGATCAGGATTCACTCTGGTGTCAGTTTTATTGGAGCAGCAAGTTTTCTCCTCACAGGGCGAGTCAGTTGTGTCCCTTTAAAAGGAACAAATCAAGAGTTGTGTCTGATGGTATGTTTTAAATCTCACTCATTAAACAACAGTTTTAGATTTTGCCAATTTTTAAATTTTAGCATTTTATTTAATTTTCATAAAATTAGGAGGAAGACAAACTAGGAGGAGTCCGACACCGACGATCGGCGATGATGTTTTGAAATCCCGAACTAAATATCCTCTCTACTCTCATCAAAACTCATTACCTCTCCTCATATACATAATCCTCATTAATCCTACTTGTGCTCATGAACGTGTGAAAAAAAAAGAAAAAACATTCTTTGAAACGAGAGCCGGCTTCACGCCCGCTTTGGCGCCTTCGGACAAAAATATCTCTGGATACCATTAAAAAATGTCAAATTCAATTATGCCTCTCTCTCTTTTGGATCTTATTAGCCATCACACACACACAGACATACACACATGGAAGCACACACACACACATGCACACACTGGTGTAAAAAGTGAATGAAAGAAGAGGAAGTCCTGAGGGCTTTGAAAGTCTGATTGGGAGAAAGCTCTTGTGCTGTGGAGAAAGGAGAAGGTGAATAACAGCTCTGGTAGCCGGCAGCAGCACAAAGTGAAGTGGAGAGCTCCATTCTCCCTGCCAGAGAGGGAGACCCCATCACGGGGGGTGGGTGAGGGACCAGAGGGCCCTCGGCAGCCCGGGACCCTTGCTTAATGAGAAATTCCTGGGGATTTAGAGGGGCGCAGAGGTCTTCATTTTCTCACTGCGCCCACGGGCCCCCGGTAGCCGGGTGTTGAGGGTTCTCTTTCAGCCCCCCAAACGTCCCCAGAGGAAGGGAGAGTCCCCCCCATTCAACAAGAGCAGGGGCCCACCTGCCTGCTGGATTATGTATATGAGATGTGGGTTGCAGGATCACAACCTGCCACCTTCTGAATCTGCACACTGCAAGAAATGTCAAGTCATTTACAGCTGCACCTGCCTTCACAAAATGGGGCTTCATCAGGGAGGAGCGTCCCGGCCTCCGCTAATTAAGACGCTGTTTATTCAGACTGATGAGTGACGGACGAGAACATCAGAGAAAAACACTTCCACAAACAAGACACTCATGCTTAAAAATGTGTAAAAACAACCTGAATGTGATTTCTAGCAGTTTGTAAAAGGTGTTATAAACTAATATAATATCAGAAAACTTATCAGATCTGCATGAAAAACAGGCCACAAGAAGTCCTGCTGGTTTAGCTAATGTTTAACATGAATGAATTTCAATCTCATGTCAACAAAGACAATTGTTTATCTGCAAATAACAGGTGACAATCTTGTCATTATGAGCCTGTAAGAAGTCAAAAAGAGCAGCAATGGGACAGAATTAATAGAAATAACAGAAATAACTGTGTTTGTATCAGAGGGTGTGAGCTTTATAACATTGCAGTGAAGATAGAGATGATTTATTTGTTCTCCCAGCCCACAGCAGTGCAATGCAAAGGTACTCATGTTGGGAAAGTCAGTCTGTATTTTCAGCCTCTTAGCTGCACGCTGGTTGAAGACAGAGTCAGATGTGACGGTCAGTGCGTTTACATGCACAGCTTAATCGGACTAAGATCATAATTGTTTTTTTTCATTGAATCGGACTTCTCTGCTTGTTCGCGTGACCATGCAGCAAAGAAAATCGAATTATTGACGTAAACGTGTCCTCCTTCCCAAAACTAGGGGGCGATATGGATCTTTCCAGACATCAAATGTGTCTACAACTGCTGCTGGGCACTTTTCGAGCAAGAAGATGGAACATCGTCCAGCGTTGTTTTTGTCGTACATGATGTATGCGCTACTTTTTCTACAGATGAGGTGCACGCTACTCCTCTTCTCTAATGTTTTTGTTCCGGGGTCACGGGGGCGTGGCGTGCACACATGCATCGTCAAATCATACTTAGACTACGCTGGTTACATGGTAAAGAAAATCCAATTCCAATTGCATTATTTGGGTGTCTTGATCGGAGTTCTCCGACTCCAATTATAGTCGGACTAAAGTGTTTACATGCACTTCAGTTGTCCGGTCTTAATCGGAGTAAGGCAGTAATTCAGTTTTCTCAAGTGTCATGTCAACATTCTTACTGACTGCACTTATGTCTTATAAAACATACAAAACAACTATTCACTGTCTCAGCAGCTATTTAATGTTATAAAACGTAGCATTTTAAAAGTAGCATTAAAAATAGGTTGTAACTTGTGTGCATTAAATGCTCATCTTTGAGAGACTACAGAGGCTGTGTAATGATGTTCAACTCAAACTGCAGAGCTCATAAAGTTCACCGTTCATTGTTGAAGGGAGATCTCCAGAGAGTTGATATTTCTAAATGTGTAATTATAAGAATGGAGGGGCTTAAAGGGGCAGTTAGGCTTCAGCTGCCGCTGTCAGAGCCTCACAGCGCCAGCCCTTTGGACCCGCTCTGGCCCGTGGCCCCCGGCTGGGACACTCTTACAGCGGGGCCCCTCTGCAGAGCGTCAGATCTGGAGGACTGGGGCGTTGGATATTGTGCTGTGAGAGCTCTTGCTGTGGAACGACTCATGCAGACACAAACAAACCCCAGGTGGCAGTTTGACGGCTTCACAGGTAGAGACGGCGTCCTAACTTGGGGACTCGACTCCTCAGAGGGCCGGTATTCAGGGAGTGCTGCTGCTCTCGTATTTAATTCTACATTTACGTCTTTTTCAGTGTCAATCACAGCCGCAGGGATTAACTGCAGGTTTAGCCTGGTGTGACCTGTAATGAGACAGAGGAAAATGAGTGCAGCTCTACTTTTCAGCAACTGAGTTCGCAGATTATCAACAATATGAGAGCCGGAGGAAAGAATGACGCTTGGAAAAACAACAAATGCCAGGATGAGATTCGTCAAACTGCTTTTAAAGAAGTTTAAATTCTCACGTTATGTCTCAAGTCATTGTGTAAGTGGTTATTAAAGATGAAAGCTAAACACCTCATGTATGCCAACTTCACTTTGACACTCACACACTGAGCCTCCTCGCCTCTAAACTGTTCTGTGTTAGTCAGTGTTGTTTTCACGGCCAAACAGCTTTTTAAACTCAAAGCACAGCCAGAGGCTCCAGCAGCAGAAAAAGATCTCCAGTGGAGCTCCCAGCGTGACGTGGACCCTCTGTGGACACGCCGTGGAGTAGCTCGGGATCATCAGGCGTCTATCCTTATTAAAGAAACCTACGCCTCCACTTAACTGTCAAGTGCAGAAATAAAGCTGCATTTCTACTTTGAATGGATCAAACAGGCTTCTTTTGCCTTTATTCAGAGGGGAAAAGTGCTTAAAAATGTCTATTTATTGCCTCAATCCGACTGAAACTGGATATTTGAGATTGAACGTCTTGCAGGCACTGAAACTCTGGACGTCTGAGTTTGAAGCTGAGCAGCAACCACTGGATTTATTTCTGTTCTGTGGACACAGTGACCATCAAATACCGCCTTTAAATCTGCATCCTTCTGAACAAACCATTTTGAGATCCCTCAGGCCCAAATCCAGGACACACAAGAGAGAAAACCAAAGAAGTACCGCTCTTCCCCTCTGGCTAAAAGTTAAACATCCGAGAGCTGCTTGTTCACTATCAAGCACAAGTGTAAAGAAGTCGTCTTTGCGGGAGAAATGTCCGACTAATTGGTTTGTTAAGACGAGAGACGGTGTGAGGCGAGAGACAGGGAGAGAAATTTCCCTTTTCTTTCAGCCCAGACAGGTTAAATGTGCAGTTAGGCCCGCACAATGGAGCCGTCCTTTCACATGCAAAGATGAGGTATATGGAGCGAGCCTGGTTTTGTGGCCGGTGTTCAGACTTCAATTGAGAGGCACCAAAGCGTGACGGTATCCCCTCCCCTCCAACGCCCCCCACTTTTCCCTCTTTCCTTCATGCTCCTTCTCATAGCATCCATGTTTCTCTCCATCTTCAAGTTTATTTCCCCCAAAATTATATTTTGGGGTGAATAAATGCTTTTGCACCTCATGATTTAACCTGCTTCAAGGCAATAGTCTGGGCATTGATGAAACAGTTCTCTTTGTTTCGTTTCTGTCTTAAATCTTCTGTTGATTTATCACTCATCTAAAATAAACGATTAACTTAGATACCTTAAGCATAATCATTCAGAATAATAAGGGCCTGTTTCCACTTGGGACTGTTGACACAACCACATTTTTAGAGCATGTCTTGCCAGTTCTCACTGTTTCTTGGTTGTTAAAGTCATCTCATGGACTGCTCCTGCTTCACTTGCTAGCTATGAAAACACAATTGGAAGGGTAAAGGAAGTATTATTTGGCAGCTGAGGCCTCGAAGACCTGGTAACTGACAGAGCTAAGTTTTTGTTAGTGTCACTGGTTTTGTAAAGAAAAAAAAAGTCACTGACAAAAAAAGTCGTCAGTGGAAACGGGCCCTTATGCTTCTATTATGTTATGTTACAGTTTACGGTTCAGGACTTTTTATCTTTTCTCATACCAAGTTTGTTGGGCACATACGGTATATTTCAGCAGTGGGTAAATTTAATCTATGGCGCAAATTAAAAGGACATTTTGGACAAAGAAATTTACAACAACAAAATGTCTACTGATGGGCCTTGCACACTCCTATTTTGTTCTGAGAATATAAGATGAGGTCTTTGAGCACCAGTCAACCACAAACAGGGCAAACCCCAATAAAAACAGACTGTATACATGCTTGGTGATTTGTATCTGAGAAAGGTAAGAAGTTTCCTTGTTATGGGAAAATTTACCTTTTTTGTTCAGTAGGTAGTGTTCAACTCAACTGCTCATCTACGAAAAAGCCACTGTTGATCACTGAGATTCAGTAATGGACCATAGTATAGTGAACAGGTGGTTATGCAAATTAGAATTCCAACAGAGTGACTGGGATCCCAACACAAAAACACGTTTTTTCCCCCTCAACAGGATCGACAGGCACTGATGAAATTTCCCAGGACACCATTTTTGTTTTCATATGAGGGACCAGATTATCCCTGGTGCCACTCACTGTTCGAAGTGTTTGGACCAGTCAGAAGTTCAAACTGCATTTGACAGAAACTTGATTACTCAATCCTTGATTTTTTCTTCTGATTCGTGGCTCTTAAACTGATAACTTGAGCTGCTAAACGGCTCATTTCAAACATACAAAAGAGATGGGACGGTGGCATACAGGGAGGGGTTTTGAAAAAAAAAAAGTGAAGGGTAGAGAAAAACAAGTCTGGGGGTGGTAGTTGAGGGATATTTGGTGGTGTCATCCAAAGAGTGAAGCCGTGAAATGGTGCTTGTAAAAGCTTGGCGCTGGTCGCCTCATTGAGATGTCAATCTGCCCGGCAGGTCCCCCGTATGATGAGACCTGTCAGAAAGAGCAGGAGGGGTGGGGATGACCTAATGCTAAATCACCTCCCTCCCTTCTCTCCTCTAAGGGGTTTGAGTGACACCCCCACTGGCCCTCAATACGACCCCCCGTGGCGCCATGGCAGCAGATGGACCAGACCAATCAGGACACTGGACAACGACTGACTGGGCAGCAGGGAAGATTAAACACTGGAAGAAACTCAAGAAACACAGGTGGTGGAGGAAATAATAAAACACTGAAGAGAAAAGGACTTTTTCTTAAGTGACAAACATACACATGCTTAATTAGTCTGATTACAAACTAATATTTAACTCAGCAAAGCAAGAGGGCTGATTTTACACATTTGAAGCATGATCTATCAAAGCTGAGGAGACAAAAGCTTCAGGTCAAATTATAAAACGACCGCAAGATTTTAAAGATTTTAAATACAGTATTACCCTGAGTTCATAATGTTGCAGAGTGTCACAATTATTTGTTGTAACCACCGATCTGTGGCCAGTGTGTGTATCTGTGCAGAGTTGAACCAAAGATGAGATCCAGATCAAGCTAACCAACTTCTTTTTGCGAATACAACACTCAAAGTGTATTTTATATGTTCGCGCGAGTAAAATCATTCGCACGAATGAATTACATGTTAAATCAATGCAAAGATGCGAATAGACGCTCCTACAACTCTGGGGGTGCAAATGACGCCAACTGGTTGAATCTCAACTTGAGCGGATATCCGTGTCGCAATAACTACTCGGCTTGAAGGTTGCCAGATGACATATGAAAACGGACAGCTGTTTACTGGTATCTAAAATGGAGGACAAACTGGATTGAGTCAGTGTGTGGGTGACCTGAATTATGTGATACCTTTTATTTCAATTTCCTGCAAGTGAGTGAGTGAGGAGGTCGGATTACCTGATAAATTATAAAAAACCTTTGTCTATCACTTGATCCCGCAAGTTGAATTGGTAGGGATTACCGTTAAAGTTACCGTTGACGCACGAATGAAGCGAGTAAATACTGTTCATTTACGTATCTAGTGAGTAGATGATTTTTCTCGCACTCAGTGTGAATGCCCCATATGGGAGAAACACCTGACTGACCAGGTTTGCTCTAAAGAAACAACAAACCTTGAGTGCTGTAACAAAAAAATTTGGGGGTGTCGTGAATAGTTCCACCTCCAAAACTTCATGTAAGTCCCCATTTCTTACCCTAGACTGAATAAAAAGGAAAGACACATGTACAGGTTACTAGTTTGGCCAAATCAAAGAACACCTTTATGAACAACTACAACTAGAACTGGAATCACAACCAAAAACACATGATCATTGCTCATAGTTGAGAAACAAACTAACCTTAGAATTAAGCACTTAAACCACATGGAGTATCAATCGCCACAAAGTTCACTGGAGAACACAACGCACTGGAGCAGACGGCGCTAGATTGTCAGCAAAGAGAGGGAACCTTTACTCACTTTAGTTTGTGTTTGGAAAGAATGAATAAAACACAGGAGATTTTTTAAGAGGAATGGAGCAATAAACCATTAAAAAATCCCAAACAGTTCATGTTTCCAGAAATGAAATGTCAGTCTTGTCCATAAATTCATACAACAGAATCATTCGCCGTAATTTCCAGCATTTCTGACAGAACGCTGGTGAAAGGGCAGGTGGCGATGCAAACAGCTTCACCCACTGGCCTTTGGTTCGCTGTCACCTCCTTCCACCTATCACACCATGTCTTTGTCTATCTCCGATTTCCCAGAATTCAGCTCTGGACCAGACGCATTGTCCTCTTTGATGACTTGATGTCTCTGTCTGTCCTCAAGATGCAAACACAAAAACGCACATAGCAACGCACCCCAGTCACAGTCTGGCGTGGTGACGGATCCTCTAACAAAGGTTACATGTCAATCTGATTTGACAACCGTGATAAAGAATTCGAACGCGGGTCACACTGGGAAATTTAACAGAAATTTAAGGCCACATGAATATTTCAAAAGGCATCAGGCGTGTGACATTGTGAATATCTGTCAGGTGGTAGTTAGTTGGGGAAGTTAGACTGTTTCTATCATTTTAAGACATCTTTGAAACTCCTCCTACCCTGTAACACTGTGGAAATCAACATGTCCATATTGGAATGAGACGTGTTAAAAACCTGCTTTACAGCTGATTTATTTTAGTGTTATTTCAATTTGGTTAAATGAAAGTGACTGAACTTGATTAAATTTTTCCAGACAGGTATTTAATGCTGAGTAGTCGTCTGCATTCATGGTATATGTCTTTAACTCAGCCATAAGGATATGATCTCAAGGATACACAACTATGTCACACAAAATCAAATCTAATCCGTGTCAGTTTAAAGAAAACATTGGTGTTTTTTATAGTTTGCATTCGCCTGTTTTTTTGTTGTGGTTGGATGTCATGTAAATCCCTTAGTTTGTTTAAAATGTAAAGTTTAGTCTCGACATTTGAAAGTCAAAGCTGGAGCTGGAGCTCCTGGACAGAGAGGCGGAGGGTGGGTTAGTTTGAATAAAGCCCTTGTCCACATGGGAAACGATATATGGCTGTTTCATTTTTTAAAAATTGCCATAAAGACAGAATTGTTTCAGGAAATATCCACGTCAACACGACGTCACTGTGCTGTAACACTGCCCTGGGAGTGCACCAAAAAACAATACAAGAGTACGGTGCATGCGTTTAAAAGTTTTGTGCCGTATACAGTTCAACAGTCTGTGATGGAGACACCAGAAAAGATTGTTTTTGCTGGTGGTAAAAGGGTATCAAATTTTACTGTAAAAGCCTGTAAAAGTCTGTCAAATAAACGTAAAAAAAAGTCTGAGTATCTTCCGCAGCACAAACACAACCCTGTAGTCAGC